CTGCTGTGCCTGCTGTGCCTGCTGTGCCTGCTGTGCCTGCTGTGCCTGCTTCTCTTTCTGCTTGCTGGCAGTCGCCCGAGTCCTCTTCCTCTTTCGTGACGTTGGCAGTTTTGACGACCTTCCGTCTGCATCTTCTACCTCTACACCCTGAAGCTCGGATAGATCACCGACCGGGGTGCCAAAGAGCTGGACGAAGCAGCCTTGAGATCCGTCGATGGGCAGAAAGAGGGAGGTTGTTGTGAGAAGGTATAGCAAGATATCTGGCCCTAGGCTGGACTGTTGTCAGCCACGGACTTTCGTTCATGGCAGCCGACGCAGTGACTCACAAGAGGAGCATTCGCCTCCATTCAGGGCCCATGACGATGCGCGTGACATTTGTGTTTACGTAGAAGTTTGTCAAGGCCGACGAGCCCGACACGAGCGGCAGCTTGAAGACGCTTGCTCGCTCGTCTGCCCTTCGGTAGCCGTGAGTGAGGATGTTGGCTGCAGACGTTGTTTTTCTTCCTTGGCGACCTCTCTCCTGTTGAAAGAGGCGTAATTGCGCCTGCTCGACAATCTGATGGAGAGAAGGAGAAGATCAAAAGGTGAGCTCCTCGAATAGGCAAAGGCTCGAGTACCCGTTATTGGCCCACCTGTGCAACATCGCCGAGCGCCAGCGCTTCCTCCTCTCTTGGACGCCTCCAAGTTCGATAAAGAGGCTGTTGTGCGATCTCGGAGTGTCCGACCAAGGCCCCCCGGAGGCAGGCCAAGGAGGAAGACAAATTGGAGCTGCACGACGACTCGGGTGACTGGAACAGCTCCTCAACACAAGCGTGGCCCTCAGACTGCGGCAGAAGCTGGCAGAGGTAATCGGCCAGGCTGCTGACGCGAGGATAGAAACGCATCAGCAGCCGCTCGGTCTCCTTGTCCATGCCCGGCATGGCCCATCATCTTCTTCCTCTTCCTGCAGATAGATAGAGCGCCATCTTTAGTCTAAAACCAGGCTGGGGAAACGAGGCGCGAGCGTGCGCGCGTCTCAACACGTGGAAAGTGTCAGAATGGAGTGCATGCAGGCTGCCATCATCGTCGAGGAAAAATCATTTTAATGCTTGTTGCAGCTAGAGTGTAGTGATCTGCTGCTGCTAGAATTTGGACCCTTTTGCGTCCGTGCGAAGGATGCCGCCCACAAGCCTCACGAATCAATTCGGAGATCGATTTGAGGGTGGGGACTCGACGGGCTGAGCAAAGCGGAGCCTCTAACGCCTAGCTCCCACATCTGCCTCATCCCAAACATCCATTCCAACCCATCGTCTTGCTCTCGTCACCAGTGCCGCCATTGCATCGTGATCAGCAAAATGAACGCCTTTTTCGAAGACTTCAAGAAGCAGCCCGTCGGAATCCCAAAGATCCCGACGCCCATCCAGCAGTGAGTCGCGGAACCCCACTTTGTCTCCTCCACATCCAATGGGTGGTGCTTGCTGCTGCCTGGCCGTCCGCCCACCTACCTGTCCATCCTCATACACACGCATACACCTAAGCTGACAGAAGCAATACCACGCAGCCCTGAAGAGGTGACACAGTTTGGCGAGACATGGCTGTGGGGCACCTTTGGCTTCATGGCCCTCGGCGCCGTCGTCTTCTTTGTCACGTCGCAGCGCGCCTCGTACCGTTACCGTGCCCTGCACGTCACCAACTTCTTCATCTGCAGCATCGCCGCCGTCGCCTACTTTGCCATGGCTTCGGGCATCGGAAAGACCCTCGTTCACTCGGACCCACACAACCGCTCCTCGTCCCGCGAAGTCTTTTACGCGCGTTACATTGATTGGCTCTTGACCACGCCGTGAGTGTGCCGCCGTCGAATGAAGAGAGGCTTAGCACAAGGGCTGAAACTTTTATGAAATTAGCCTCCTCCTCCTCGACCTGACGCTCATTGCTGGCCTGCCCAAGGCCGAGACTCTCGTCGTCGTCGGTGCCGACGTCTTTATGATTGTCACGGGCCTCATCGGTGCCCTGCACCCTTCGCTGCGCTTCCGTTGGGGTCTGTACGCATTCAGCTGCCTCGCCTTCCTCTACGTTGTCCTCCAGCTGGTCACGTCGGCACGCAGCTACGCCTTCCTCCGCTCGCCAAAGGTCGGCAACCACTTCAACCAGGTCGCCCTCGCCCTCGTCGTCGTCTGGACCGCCTACCCCATCGTGTGGGCCTTTGCTGAGGGCACGGGCAAGATGTCGGTTGACAACGAGGTGCTGGCATTTGGCATCCTCGACATCATCGCAAAGCCCGTCTGGGGCCTCTGGATCCTCCTCGCCCTTCCCGACGAGGGCCATGTCCTCCTTCCCGAGAGCTGGACTGCTCCCCTTGGCTCCGTCTCGGGTGGCAACTACGGTGCCATTCCCTCGCACGAGGAACAGGCTTGAGCCATCTTCTTCCCCTATCTTTCTCTCCCTCTCTCTCTCTGACTCTTTCCACACTCCCCTCTGTCTCTTTCACACACACACACACACACACTCGAACACCCCCTCTCTTGCTATGAATACTTCCCTACCGACGGTGCCGTTCTCACTATGTCACCTCTTCCCGTGCTTTTCCAACCCGTTCTCGCACACGTGTCTTCTTGCCATCACGAATTCAAGCAGCAGTTTGATAAAAGTCCGTTGATGCATATGGATGCAGCAGTCAAAGTCTCGCGCCTTCATTCTGGCATCGTCGAAGCGTTCTATCCCGCATCGAAAAAAAGAACGAAAAAGTCAGCGAGAGTCGGAAGGGCCTTTGGGTGGGGGGCAGGATGAGCTTACCTGGGTCCGAGCGGCCCTCTCGACGTCGTCTAGCCCCTCTCGTCCCTCCTTTGCAGGCACCAGGGCCATCTTTTCGCCCACCAGATGGATCTTGTCCTTGATCTTTGCGCCCAGCCCCTCCTTCCCGCTCTGTGGCTCCGACGACGCAGAAGAGGCCGCCGTTTGGGCCGTGTTGTACGTCGATGCGCTCGACTGTCGCCCATGTCCCGGCCCCGCTCCCGCCTCTCCTGCCGCGTGCTCCTTCCTGGAGCCTAGCGTCTGCGCTCCCTCCTGCGGCAGGTACTCGTCGACGCGCTCCGCCTCCATCGTCCCCTCTTGGTCCTGCTGCGCCTCGGCCCAGCCCGGCGGACCCTGTGGGGAGGCGCCAGGTCGCACGATGGGGACGTGGTGCTGCTGCTTCTGCTTCTGCTCGTGCTGTTTTTCCGCCATGCTTTACTCTCTCTCTCTCTTTTCTCTTCTTCGTGAAGGGAAGGGGGTAAAGGCAAGAGGAGGGCTAGGTGTTAATTTAATGTGGGAAATTTCCGACTGCGATGAAAGTCGGGCTTCTCCTCTACTCTAACTGCGAGTGGAGGAAAATGCTGCGTGCAACAGCAGCAGCAGCAGCAGCAGGGACAAGCAGAGAAGTAAGATGCAACGAGTGCCATTGATTCATTTCGCGCCTGGAGTGTATTCAAGGGTATGACAAGGCAGGGCAGCAAATAATAGAGGGATGAAGGCGAACAAGACGAGGATGGACATGGGACGCTCTCAAGAAATCGTACCGGTTCGCTTCAATGAACCGACGAGGGGAGGCGGCCTCGCCCTCGGCCGGAAGGGCCGGTCGTACTGCTTCCAGTCCGGCAGCTGCGCCCGGAGGCTCTCGCAGAGGGGCGCCATGAGCTTGCGCGTGGCCCACATGCTCGGGTATGTGGGCGTAACGAGCCTCGGATTGTACTTGAGCTCCCGCTGGTCGTCGGCGGAAAGCTCGTCGCCGACGTAGTGCTGCCGCAAGGGGTCGGGGATGCTAAAGTGCAGCATCGGGTACTCGCCCATCTCGGTGCCGCGCTGGGCATTCTTGACGAGGCCGTCGTCCTCGTTGACGCCACGCTTGCGCATGAGCTCGCGCATCAGCCCATCGACGTCCTGAATCCGATCCTTCATCTCCTTGGTGGGTATATCGTCTGCGCAGAGGCCACTCTGCGGTGCCGCGTCTGGGTGGTTCAAGAGGTAGTTTCGCCTCATCTCGAGCTCGTTTCGCACCTTGACCCAGCGCGTGAACTGGACCAGGTTGTCTGTCTCCTTGATGATCGATTCGACATCGGCGTCGCTCAGCCGCGGGTCCTGGAGCAGCCTCTCGATATCCACTTGCAGGTGCCCGGCCTTGCGGTCCGCTGGATGATACGGGTCCACGGTGCCCAGACTCATGTAGTCGGCCCCACCCTGCGTCCACTCCCACATGGGGCCGGCCACATCGGCGATCTCATGGATGAGGAAGTAGAGCGACTGCTCATGCCGTGCGCACAGCGCGATCCACGATTCGATGGCTGCATTTGGTCTTGTCAGTGCGGTGCGCTTATAGAAATAAGAGGGTGAAAGTTAGGGAGAAGAGAGCAAGACTTACTGTTGTCGCCTGACTTGCGGACTTTGATGAGGTCATCGAGGAACGCTTGAAGGTTGCCCAGATGCTGGCTGAGGTCGGTCGCGTGCGACACCTTGCGGAGCGCATCGTAAAAGACGAGCTCGAGGAGATCCTTGAGCAGCGTCGGGACGAGGCTGCCGCTGCCGACAGCGAGCGCCTGCTCGCGATCCCTCCGCTTAAGCTCTTCGCGAAGTAGCAGCTTGAGCTGCGCAAACTTCGTCGCCGCCTCGTCTTGTGCAATCGACGGTCGGCGCGTGGCCTCGTTGCCCACAGACGTCCCGGCAGGGTAGGCCGCATCGAGCTGACTGCGATAGACGCTGTCGAGGAAGCTTGCCTCCATGCGCCTGACGTGATCCTTCTGCGACTCCGACAGCTCCTGGCCTCCGTCTGACGACTTACCGCCTGCGTAGAGGAGAATGGCCGTCACCACATCGATCTTTTCCTCGTCGGCCTTGGCGCGCATCGCTCTGCGCTCTGGACGGCTGCCCCTGCGCACGTACGACTCGATGCGCTTGGAGAGGGCGGTGTCGTTGATGGACTTGCGAAGGATCTCTGCGTTCTTGGTGAACGTCGCCATCTCCTTGGAGACGGACGAAGCAAAGAAACGCTGCAAGAGCGACTTGGACCCGGCGGGCCGAGCGAGGAAGAGAGAGATGAGCGGACGGACATACAGCTGTTTCGTTTGATAACGGGGACTGCGTCAGCAACTGTAGTAATACGTCGGGTTGCCTGTATGCAAGCCAAAAGAAGGGATGGCTCACCTCGGCGTTGGCCACCTTGAGGCCGAGCTTCGCCAGGCGGTAGGGAAACAGGGCATGCACCGTCTTGAGGATATTGAACACATCGTCCGAGTTGGGCAGCTCCACAAACAGGGTGTGGACCATGTAAGCAACAAACACCCTGGCGTATTCGACGCAGTTCTTGAGGTGAGGTGGCAGGTTCCTCGAATTGCCAATCTGCAGGTAGCCGACCATTTCGTCGATGCCCGTCTCGGTCTCGACGACGTACTCCTTGAAACTCCGCCAGTCCTTTTGGATCCTGTGCCACTCCTTGCCCGCTCTCTGCCACACCTCCTGCTCCTTTTGCGAGCTGCCAATGAGGCCGTCAATGTCAGCCATGAGGCCCTCGTCGATGCGTGCAGGCTTGTCGAGGCCGCGCTTCACGGTGCCTTTTCCCCAGTGCTTGCCCACGCCCCACTTTTCGCTACCTGGTTCTCCCCTGCCGGCACCCTTGAGCTCGCCGGGTGCACGCACACCGACGCCGCGGGCGACGAAGCTGCCCAGGAAGCGCGTCATGACCAAGGTGAAAAACTGCCGCTTGCACATTTCTGCTCGCTCGTCGCTCGTCGAAAAGTTGCGCGCAGCCATCTCGTCAAAGAAGGGCTGCAGACGCTCCGTCCAGAACTTTTGCGGAGCCCCGTCAAACCCGGGAAAGGTGTGGGCGTGGGTGTGGAACAGATGCCGGAGCAAAAAGGGGTCCTTGACCTTTTCCGCGCGAAGCAGCGCGGCATCGTTGCCTTCGTACGCATCGTCGTCCTCCGTCTGCACCTCGCCGCCCTCGTCCTTGTTGCCGTAATTGAAGTCGGCGAGGTCCTTGAGGACGTCCTTCTTGATGCGCGAGAGCTTAGGCCGCGTCGCAGCAAATGGCGCGCCATACATTGTCAATGTGCCCAGCTTCTCGAGGTCGCGCGCCTCATCCTGCATGCGCATCTGCATCAGCGTCTTGAGGAGATAGTGTCGCTGTTCGGCGTTGAGCGTCGGCCGGGGACGCGCAGGCTTCTCGCGCAAAGTTTCCTCGATCAGTATCTCTCTCTTTCTCTTTCTCCCTCACTCTCTCTCACCTTGCCAGCCGTCTTTGCGCGTGCCTCTCCATTGGCCTTGCCCGCGCCCGTGCCTCCACCGACGGCGCTCCCGTTGGCCGCGCCATCCGCACCGTCCTGCTTCTCGTTCACCTTGTCCTTGTCGTGCTCCTGCTCATTCTCCTGGACAGAGGCTGCCGGCGTCTGCGCCTTGTCCGACGATGTGGTGAGCCCAGCGCCGTTCTTTTCGCGTCCATCGACACCGCCGGAAGAGGCCGACGAGGGGTCCCTCTTCTTCTTAAAGATGTTGAGCATGCTCATGGTGTTTCTTTCCCCCCCTTTCTTCTTCTTTGATGAGGCCGAGCAAGAGAAAGGGCAGAAGACAAGTTCGGTGGTTCGAGCAAAGAGATGGGAACGAGGCCCAAAGCTTTAAGACGAGGAGCCCACCCGCTAAAAGTGGGGACAGATTTGGGCACTCTCAGGATCAGACTAGCTTCCCGCCTCTGGTGCGCAAGAAGACAAACATTAGTCTTAGAGGTACATCGGGCTCTTGCCCCACACCGCGACGGCGAGCCGGTAAATTGAAGCTTTTGCTACTAGTAAATTTAGCTTCGAACGCTTAATATACGGTGCGGAAGCTCTTTTTCACATGTCCTCTTCCCCTACTTAGGCAGGCTCACAAACAGTGGTGCGCTTGGCTTTCTCCGCATTGTCATTGGACATCGACATTAGATTACAACACCGTCACAGCTCTGACTCGAGGTACTTGTACTCGAACCGGAACAGGTTCTTGCGCCTTTGGGACCACGTCGACTCAAAGTCAAAGTAGATGTATGACCCTTCTTCGTAGTCCTCGTTGATAGTTATGGGCTCGGAATGCCTTCTGAACCAAGTCCCGTAGCGCATCGAGAAGCGCCAAGATTGCCGTTTGAGCTCCCGTGCGGCCAGGTACCGATGGTAGTCGCGCTGGGAATAGTAAAAGATGTAGAAGAGCGTGTCTTCGTCGAATCTGGCATAGATGGCCGGGTTGTCAAAGATGGCAGCAGGCGATTGCGGGTACCAAGCCGGCGTCGGACACGGGTTCTGAGGTACATAGTACCTCGGTCGGTCGCTGTCCTGAGCGTCGGGCACATTCATGAACGACGACTCGAGCGACTTGTGCACCTCGGACAAGTCGTTGTCTCTCCGCATCGCTGTAGGATCACAGCAAAGTCAGCAAGGCTGCAAGTCGGAGGAGGAGGGACGAACAAGCAAAACGAAATGCAACACTCACAGTTCTGCTTTGCGCTCTCGAAGCTCGAGACGAGATCCGCCAGACTGCTCGGCAGCCTCGCATCGGTGCCTTGGAGCCGTTGTGCCGCTTGCTGTTCCCTCTGCGTCCCTGCACCGCCCCCCGCTGGCTGGACGACACCGGCTGCGGCCGAGCTGGCCGCCAACTGGGCAGGCTCAAATTGCGACTGATCTTGCCTGTGCTCGTCGGCCTCTTCCTGGTGTCCGTTGACCTGTTGCTGTTGTATTACATGCTTACCGAGACCAGGTGGGCCAGCAGTGTTCACCTGGTGAGCCGACGCAGGCGACAATGGTTGTCCGCCCAAAGCGCTGGCCCCCGACAGGGACGTGTCGGCCACGTCATGGTTCGCAGACAGAGATGCTGCTCTCGCACTCTCGGTGGCCGGCGTGGATGTAAGGGAGCCTGGATTCGATGCACTGGGCGCCGACTGTTGAGAATGCTGAGGGTGCGAAGGTGCCGGCGACTGCGACGTTGCAGCCGATAATGTTGACGCCTCATCTGCCTTTGAGCCTTGGGCATCGGAAGAGCTTTGAGCATTCGACGGCCCTGGTGATGCCACCGATGGCGCCGTCGGTGCCATCGCCTGCGTCGGCGACACTGCCGCCGCAGCTGCAGCTGCATATCGGATCGGGGGCAGGGCAGCTGCACCAGCGCTGGGCGCTTTCGGCGGCTGGGGAGATGTGACAGAAGGCTGCGAAGAAGGGGCTTTGGCTTGCGAAAAGTTGGCCGGCGGGACCGCCTTGTTGTCTTTTGCTGTTGCCTCTTTTTTCGCCGCCGCTGTTGTGGGCCCCTTCTTGGCCGCCACAGTCGAGGGCGATGATGATGCCGCCGCAGATACACTTGACGGTTTCTCCTCTGGTCTGCCCGCGTCTTCGGACTCGCGACGTTGCTTGGTCGAAGACGAGTCCTTGCTTGGGGCTTTTGGAGTCTCGTCTGGGAGCGAAGTTGCGTCGTGACTGATGGCGTCGTCGTTGTCCTTGAGCCCAAAGGCTTCTTCCTCATCGTCGAGATTGTACTCGTCGTATATTCCGTCATCCTCCTCAAAGTCTTCCTCGGCGTTGGTCTCGACAAAGTAGGAAATGTCCTCCTTTGCTCTCTCGACCTGCTCCGTCTCGAGAGACCCGTTTTCGAGCATCCGCAGAAGAATCTCTAGCCGAGACGAGTGCCAATTTCTCCGCTCGTTGAGATGCTCGAGCTGCGCCACTCTCTCGACGGCGGCGGCGCCTGCGCCCCCCTTCTTCTTCTTGCCCCCACCAGCCAGCTGCTCGAGCTCGGCTTCTGAGGCTTCCACCTGCCGGCTCAACTCATCCACTTGCTGCGAAATCCATTGCGATAGCTCAACCTTGGCCTTTTCCGCCGGATCGAGTCTCGCTGCTGCGATGAGGCCCTCTTTCGAGAAAGCTTTTGTCTTCATTTCCTTTTCGCACGCCTTGAATCTCTCCATTTGCTAAATAAGTTTGTCAGCGTCGCGAGGAGGCGTCACTACAGGATCCTGGAGCATCTGCAACCTACAGTCTCAATCAGCCGCCGATTCTCCATCAAGGCTGATTTGTCCTTGATGTCGTTGCTCTGCAGCCATGTCTTAAGCGAGTCGCGATGGCGCTGAAGCCGCTTGATTGACGTCTTGAGCTCAGACTCATACTTTGTCGTCTGTGATGGTGTCGATGCACTCTGCAGCTTCTCGTAAATGGACTCAAACTCCTGAACACCCTCCGCAATTCGCTTAAGCGTCTTGTCAATCTCCGCTGTGAAAGAGAGATGGCGAGAGGATCAGCTTCTGCACAATCTGGAGACGCTTCACGCGAGGACGCCGACGCAGCTACTAACCAGCCAGCTTCCTCGCCGCCATTGTGAACCAGATACCAATACAGTCGGTGTGCGCTCTGCCGTCTTGATGATGCCAATAGTGGTAGGTGGATGTCTGTAGGAATGGCGACGAATACGGCCCAGACGACCTTAATGAGGTTGGAGGATCAGTTAAATCGACCCACGTGGAATATTTCGTTATTTTTTTAATCCCGCCCTCGCCAGAAGAAAATCTGCCCCGTCGCCATCAGCCATCAGCCAACAGCCGTCTGCCCTCTTCAGCCTTTACTCATCAGCAACAGGCATCAGCATTCTAGACACATACGCCATCCTTTCGGTCTAGTTCAGGTATGGATAGCCTAGTGCAGTGCTTCAAGCGGCAGGCACGGATAGGTGCATCCGCTGCACGACGAGGGGCATCTGCTTCATCGTCGAGAAGGTCTGCTTCGACCAGCGCCCAATCAAACAACAGTGAGCCTTACCTCTTTCCGTTTTCCACTTGGCGGACCTACAATACTAACGATAGGTCTCTCTCTGACTCTGCTTCAGAGAACATTTCCTATCCATACTCGCCTTCTGCCGTTGTTCGAGCACGCTCACCAGTCCCGTCTGGCTCCGCATCGCCCAGCAATCCTGCGCGGGGCATCATGGCTTCGCTGACCCAAGACATGCGACACCAACATGACCCAACAGGCCGCCTGACTGCTCTTTTTTCGCGGACTTCGACTGAGCGCGTTCCGCCAGGCTCCGTCCTTCTCGTCGAGACATGGACAAACGCGAGCAAGACAACCTTTTCGACGTTTTCCGGCGTCCTCCTTGCCGTCCGGAGGCGAGGAACAGCGACGTCAATTGTGCTCCGTAACGTCGTCCAGAAGCTCGGCGTCGAGGTGCGGTTCAACATCTATTCTCCCCTGCTAAAGGACGTCAAAGTCGTGCAAAGGGCATTGGCTGGCAAGGATCAAAAGGGCGGAAACCTGAGGAGGGCCAGGAGGGCAAAGCTCTACTACCTTCGTCGTGATGACCGGAAACTGGCTGGAATCGGGAAAGCAATCCAGAGCCTGCGAAATGAGCAGCAACAGAAGCAGCAACAGCAGCGGGGTGCAAAGGGAGGAAGGTAGACCCATCGTAGTATCACTTTAACATCTAACGCATTACGTTTCTGGATGTTTGTGAAAGTGTGCTGAGCTAGCTACTGCAGTATGGCACAAGGCGGCGCCTGTATTTGCAGAACCAAGGCCATGGGACAATTAGCCGCAGACAGTGTTGACGGTGATGCTAGTGCTGATTGTACGATAACGACAGAGAGGGAGAGAGGGGAGAAGATTGCGAGTAGATTCTATCTCTATCTAGTATGGGACAGAAAAAGGCACAAAAGCTCTATCTGACCGACTGACTGGCTGAGGAGAATGCGGAATTTTACATAGATGCTTGATCTGACCCGATCGACGATGTTCTCTTCTTCGTCGACCGACGACTACTACTAATGATATGACTGCTACCGCTACTAGCCTGTGGCTTGCTGTTGAAATGCCATCCCATTACATGCGATACGACTGCGATCTCCTCGCTTCGCCAAGCTCGACGCCTAGACTGCCACCACCACCACCTCCTCCAGCGTTGCTGTTGCCGAGGTCTGCTTCCGCACCAGCATCTTGCTGCTGCTGTTGCTGTTGCTGTTGCTGCTGTTGTTGTTGTTGTTGTTGTTGTTGTTGCTGTTGTTGCTGTTGTCCCGACTGTGCCTGCTGTTGTTGCATGGCCTGAGCCTGGGCCTGTTGCAGAGGCGTGTGTCCAAATGCAACGGGAGAGACGACAAAATCGGAGAAATTGAAGTTGAAAGAGGACGGATTGAGCCCTCCTCCTCCTCCTCCTCCTCCTCCTCCTCCTCCTCCTCCTCCTCCTCCTGCGGTGGCATTTCTCCTGTTCGAGGGACTTTGTTGTAGTGAGTTGCTATAGTGCTGATGCTGTTGATGCTGCGGCTGCTGTTGTTGTTGCTCTTGGCTGAACGGACCAATCAGGGGCGCTCCATGACTGTTGGTGGCAGGCGGTGCAGAGGAAGGTCCACTGCCAACGTCGAGACCCATGGCCGATGAGGCATGAGGATGCGGGAGCTGACGCTGCTGCTGCGGCATGGCGGAGAGGTGATGCGAGTGGTCGTGAGCGGGTGGTTGCATCTGCTGATGCTGCTGGTGATGGTGGTATTGCTGATGCATCTCGACCGGCAACCTGGAGTCGAGCATCGTCGGAGGAGTGGGGAGCGATTTGGACGAGTCGCTACTGTCCGAGTGTTCGTGCCTCGACAGCATCGCGGGCACCCCCCTCCCCATCATGGAGGCGTGCTGCTGCTGCTGCTGCTGCTGCTGTTGTTGTTGATGATGCTGCTGCTGCTGTTGGTGCCATTGGTGCGGATAAGCGCCTGCTGCTTGCTGAGCAGGAGCAGAGGGAGGAGGCGCAGGATAGCCACCTGTTGTAGTTCCCGGATTCGAATACACTGCCCTGTATTTGCTAATGATCTTGTGAAGAGCAGATCCAAGAACCCTCCAGGGGAAAACCTTGATGTCCTTTTCAATGTGCCTTGGCTTTGGGTCTGGGAAGCTCATGATGAGCTTGAAGAACTCCTCGGTCTCCCGCTTGCCCTTGCTGATCGTTATTGGCCTCAGACCCTCGAGATTCCTCCTGATTCGATTCTTTTCCTCGACGGTAAATCGGCTTTCGACGAGGGCCTCGAGCAAATAGATTGTGTCGACAGACGTGATGAAGCACTCATTCTTGTCTGCCCGAAAGATGCACGAGACGGCAATCGTGTTGGGCTGATACTCTTGCGCCCGAACGGGCTGAAAGGCCGCCTGGATAACGTTGCCCGTCTGCCGTCGCCAAAATTGTACAAGCCGGCGGCCATTTCGGTACTCCTCTTCGGACCAACCGATGGCCATGTCGTTCAGATCGCCCTCGACGGCCAGAGTGGCGCGTGTGTGGGCCCCTGAGGCTTCTTCGGCCATCGGCGTCGTCGTATTGTCCGACCCAGAAGGACCTTCAGGTAGCATGAAGAAACTAGAAACGTTGCCTGCCGGATGCGGAACCTGCGAGGCGCGTACCAGCTGCGGAGGCGTAGAACCGGCGAGTCGATGGCCCGATGCCGCCGCTGGAGCGGATGACGAAGCACCCGGAAAAGTCTCATGAGGTTGCGCATTGGCTGGCGATGGCGAGAACATGGCCATGGTGGAGCTCGATGTGGCTGTCGAGGGCCGTGCCGCCAGTGGCATCGGCGTCCAGCTGTCTCTGCGCTCCTGGTCGTAGCCTGGGGCGGAGAAGGTGAAGTCGCCTCCCGCTGAGCCAAAGGCCGACGACGAGCTGCTGGCCTCACGCGGACCTGATGTTTGGCTGCCCATGCGCTGGTGCTGCAGGCCAAGTGCGCCAGCTGATCCTCCTGCGCGCCCGTATGTCTGCGATCGTGGGCCCAAGCTTGGCTGCGGGGGAATTCGACCGCCCGCTGAGCCTCCTCCTACCGCGCCGCCACTGGCATTCAAGGCAGGAAAAGAGGCCGGCCTTCGCAGCGCAGGCTCGGTTCCACTATCCTCTGCTTGCCGCTTGAGCGAGCTCCTCGGGGAGACTTACATGGTAAAGAGAAAAGAAAACAGGTGGGTAAATTTTCAAGCTCTTTCTCTGACAAGGAAACTGCGGACGATTTGCCAGCGATCAAGTTGACTCACCATGCCAATAATGAAAGATGCCCAAATCGACTCCTACGGAAAGAGTCTCGACCATGGGATCGACGTGTGGGCCAACCAACCTGAGCCTTAGGGGGACGCGAGCGCTCGTAGCTTGTGTCGGGTAGGGCGGCGTGTGGGCGACAATGGTAAGATCGAGATCCTTGGACGGTGATGAGCGATCGCTGCCGCCTAGGCTGGACGACGCAGGATAGAGAGGCGTGAAAGAACTGATAGGGCTCTCTGCGGAAGCACCCATCGACTTTTCGGCCCTCGTTTCCGCGTCGACGGAGCCAAAGCTGACGACGAGCTGGCTCGTAGCGCGGTTGTTGATGCCCGTGGCGCTGCCTCCGTACCGGCCATCAGCCAGCCATAGTCCCACGTCCTTTGCCCAATTGGCTCGAACGGAGACAAGGATCGTCACAGGCACGCCAGGCTCGCCTGCATCGGGAAAAACCTGGTGGATGCGCAAGGGCCCGCTGCCGCTGCCGCTGCCGGTTCTGGGCGCACCTAGAGCGTGATGCTCGGACCCAAAATCAAAGTGAGCTGGCGCCGTCTCATTGCGACGGTGGGTGTATGCGAAGGTATTCGGCATCCCAATTGCATCAACAGGACCATGTCCTGTCCCCTGTCCTGGTGCGGGCGACGAAGACGACGATGAGCCTCCAACGGCCTGAAGTGCAACAGCGGATCCCGGATGGATGGCCGAGGCCATGCTGCTGCCAAGAGTGTGGGCGTAGGTAGACGGCGGTGGAGTGGCGTTTGACGAGGATGAGTGAGAGGAGCCAAGACCGATTTTGGCAAGCTGAGATGCAGGTCTCAAAGGATGGCTCAATTGCACTGGCTGAGACAAAGCAAAGGTGCTGCCGCCGGCGCCACCACTGCTGTGAATGTCGACGCTGCTCGAGCTGGTGATATGTTGCTGGCTGCTGTTGCTACTACTACTGTTGTCGGCGTTGTTGGATGGTCGAGATCGATAAGACATCCCGTCCAACGCAGGAGGGCCAAAAAAGGGAAAAAGGATTGTTCGAGATGGAAGTGAGACGAGACAACGAGGTTGCAGGTGGATTGGACAGGTGTCAATTTGTCGCAGAATTCAGTCTCATCAGCATCACCTTTGACCATGGCAGAATGTACTGAAGGAGACCGGACGTGGGCCGCATGCGGACGGGCAATGCTCCAGACCCAAGCAACGAGAGCGTGGGGACAACTTACAATCAGGTTTTTTTTTCGTGGGTCCAGTGGCACGGAATAGATCGATAGTCCGAGCTTGCCTTGGTATCTCTCTCCTTGTGGGCCCCTCGCAATCCTCTTCAAGGTTAAAGTTCGTCGTCGAGCCCGCGTCACTGGAGGCAGATCCACAAAAGCCTCCGTAAGCGTTTGTGCAGGCGAAAAATAATATCCGACGCTCCGTCCCCTGCCTCGTCTTGTGCGCACAGAGACTACTACTGGGGGCAATTCGATAACACAGATGCGGAAGCCGAAAGAAGGTCGATTGCAGGCCTATCGGTCTGTTGCCCGCTCCTGTGCTCGGACAATGTCTCAGATTTCAAGTGCTAAGTTGCCCTTGAATCACGCAAGCGTCCTTGGCCTTCTCCTCGAAATCTTGTCGTTTGAAGCCTGTCCGGAAGCGTAGAGAGTACCAGCGCGTTGTCGTCCAGATCCTGGAGGATCCTCCTTGTCGCCGACTCTTCGTTGTCACTGCCTCACACTGCGGTGCAAAGAGCTCACGGATGCGGGTGCAAGACGCGAGCGCCGACCGCTTCCGGAGCGTAATAAAAAATCAATATCTGAAAAATAAAAATAAAAAATGGGAAAGTCAAAGTTAGAAGCTGCTCTTCAGCGAGAGAGTCGACCCGAACAACGCAAGGCTAGGCAATCACGGCCAGCTCGCACGGAGATGAATGCGAGCTTCGGTTGGTACGCCAATTCCCCTTGCTTCGACCACGAGTCTCACCACGGCTGAGCACCATGCATGGAGCATGACGCTGTGCTGATGACTGTCTTGGCTAGCGTTGCTAGCCTTTCCTTGTTTCGACGCCCTTGTCGCAGTCTTAACTTCGCCTTGTCCGTGTCGAAAGAGGCAACCGTTCCAGACGACAGGTATGCTACACAATCTTGTACTTTTTGCGCCCCAAATTTCCTCTCTCTCTTACTGCTGTGCCTTTGACACACGGGCGCCGCCTGGCTTGCCTTTCCATCTCCGTTGTGGCGTGACGTCGCACCAGCTCCAGCGAAAAAACCCTCGTCCCCGCAGCCGGCAACCGAGCTCTCCCGCCACCAGACTCACTTGACTACGCCTTTAGGCATCCTCCTTTTCTCTGAATAACGCTCCCGACATGGCACCGCTCGAATGACCACGTAATGCCCGACGTCCGCACGTCGCGTCACTAGAGCGGGCGCTAGCTAGCCTGAGATTGTTGCTTCGGCTCCGCCTCCAGCATTCCAATGGACCGGACTCGCTTCTAGCGCACCCTTCCCCTTCCGGAATAGGCTTTCTGTGGAGATGACCCTATCAGCCCTCCTTTTTTCTTTTTCCTTTTTTTTAACGAAAAAAACCAAGCACAATAAAGATTCTTGTCAGCTCAGCTCTGGTCTTCTTTTTCATGGTCTCTTCCTTCGCCGTCTCACCTTTTCAGAGACAAGCAGCTGTAAATAAGGTCGGCAAGGCATGTTTTGGCTCCTGTTCCTCAGTGTTGTACCTGAGGTACCGCTGTGCATATTGGCCATCGATCATGGCAATAATAATGGATGTGTGAGGCAAGACAAGCCAGGGTCCTGCAGCCTCGAGCTTGATCCGAATGTATCACGAACCCATAAGTGCTCCCTCACATGGCTCCTGTCGCTGACCTCGTCAATGATCCTTTCGTCTGTTTGACCGCTGGATGGGTAGTCGTTGCCTTACATTGACCTCCACCTGTTGAGTGCTTCCAGCGCTGTTGCGGGTGGTATGCTTGCAAGCTTCGCTCAAGGTGTCTATTGCTGTGTTGGAGACAAACAGGTTGAGTTGCCGCATCCGTCGTGTCTAAACATTTGGCCTTTTCTTATAATCCTCCTCGAAAGCACTTTGGCCTCTTTCTAGGCCGCATTGGTAGACGATACCTCAACACACCAACACTTTTTCCCTCGCGTTTTGAACGACGCGATTTTCAAAGTTATTTTTCCGGTGATTCGGGACTTCTCTTGACGCAGCAGCAACCTCTCCCATTACTCAATTGGTCACAGATGACAGACAAGTTGTCACTTGCGCGTCTGCGCGACGTCTTCGTTGCAAAGATAGTGAAGCGATGAGAGGGAGAGACCAACGAACAATCCCCCGCGCATAGAACAGGCACAAGGCCGCCGAAAGCCCTGATGTACTCCCAACGCGGAGACGTGCTTTGAGAGAAGTGATATGGAAGTCTGAGACTAGAGGGTAGCAGGCTGGGCACAAGTCAATTCACCTCCTTTTCTTTGCACTGCTCTCTCGTCGTCTCACAAGGAAAAAGTTTGCGAGGTACAGACAGTACCAAGGCAATGTTTCAAGGGACCGATGAAGCGTGAGGGGCATATTGCCTGTATCTTGAAAGTGAGCACCTCTAAACGCAAAATCTAAATGGGTGGCTTTCTTCATTAGCCAAAAGGTCGGGATCGTCACATGAAAACCACCATAGACACAGCTGTTATGGTCGTGTGAGCAGCCTTGCAGGCACAGTGGCTTTTCCAGAATCTAGATTTCCCACGAATAAGTGCAGATGAAGTGTCGCCACGTCGGGGTGTTGTCACGTCACGAAAGCGGCAGGCCGTTGTTGCGTGCCTGCCGCGACCTGTGCGCAGCGGGCTGAACGGAAATGTGGCATTGAGATCTAGGGCTTGGGACGAGGCATGCGTATTTTGTGGCTTTACTTTTTCTCTTTCTCTACTCTGTTCAGAGCACCTCATCGATGAGCTCGGCTTCGTTCTGCGCCGCACCGTACCGTACCGTACCTCCCCCGCCCGGCGATTCTGTGAATGCAGCAGAGTAGCCGCACGCCTAGGCCTGCTCGAATTTTTCAAGTTCAGTAATTATTGTGGCGCTTCTTCTCGATACACGCTGTACCAAAAAAAAATCCTTGTTCTGGAAAATAAAAATAAAAATTAGGTTGGTCGAGTGGCCTTAATTCACATCCTCCCGTCTCTGGATTGGTCCAGGCTTGTCTACCTGAAAAGGATAAACTATGGTGTGATCGATCCATCATCCTCATCTTTGCCTTTCAGGTGGGGTAGGAGTCCATGGGAAACAATGTTAGCCGGTTAAGAATGGACCACAATCCTTCTGCTTTGACCTTCCGCCTCCATCCCTTCTCCGTCTCCCCATCATGTCACATTTGAGCAACGAGATGCCTCGCTACCAACGCGAGCTGAGCTACGACGATAGCAAGGGCCTCGGCGACGACAAGCTTTCGCCTACAGCCGAAGTTCCTGGTCTCCACAAAGATGGACAGGAGTACGAGGTGACAGTCAGGGAGGTCGATGCGGCTTTTGCGGCCCTCGTCGCTGAAGAGGCCGACCACGACATCAAGCTAAGGACGATGTCGTGGCAAAAGACTGCGCTCTTGCTGCTCGGAGACCAGGTCTGCCTGGCCATCATGGCTCAAGCCTGGAGCTTCAAAGTTCTTGGCTGGGTTCCGGGTCTTATCACGACATTCTTGGCAGGAGTCTTCTTCTGGGTCACATCTTACACCCTATGGCGCTTCATGGTGAGTAAGGGAAACAAGTGGCGCGCGACAAACCTCTCTGATTCGCATTCTCCTGTAGATGAAATATCCTGGCTGCCGTGACATCTGTGATGTCGGCTACCATCTCTTTGGAAAGAGCAAAATTGCCTACGAGGTAACTGGCTTGATGCTTTTGGCCAACAATATCCTCCTCATCGGCTTGTGAGTACCTCTTCGCGCTGCGCCTCTGGCCTGATATTGGACCCCTCGACCCTGACATGCTCTTAAACTTGATAAAGTCACGTACTCACTGGCGCCAAAATTCTCAACACGCTCACGGACCACAGCCAATGCTCCGTCGTGTTTGGCGTCATTGCGGCCCTCATGGGCATCGTTCTCTCGTTGCCTCGTACCCTCAACCACGTTTCGCTCATGTCCATCTTCTCTGCCGCCGCCATGGGCATCGCCATAATTCTCTTCATGGTTTTCGCCGGCATCGAGTCTAATCCGGCGACAGGCTATGGCGGAGACTACCCCACAGTCGGTCTCGTCGCTACCAATGCTTTTCCGGCTTCTACCACCACCTGGGTCGACTGCCTCAACGCCGTCCTCAACATCACTTTCCTCTGGGTTCCACAGATCCTTTTCGTGAGTCGGTCCCGCTCTTTTTCTCCAACGGCTCTCAGGAAATGCTGACTTTAGGCCACTTTCAGCCGTCGTTTGTGAGAGAGATGAAGAGGCCGCAAGATTTCCCTAAGGCTCTTTCCGTTCTTGCGTGCGCCTCGTTTGTCCTTTTCATCGTCCCCGCCATTGTCGGTTACCACTACCTGGGCCAGTATGCCGAAGCGCCAGCCTTTGGTTCGCTCCAGGACAACTACAAGAAGATCTCGTTTGCATTCGTCATTGTCCCCACACTCGTCATCGGAGGTGGGTTCCTTTCCACTTTCATGTCGCGAACCGCTGCTAACCTCCCGAGCCTCACTCGCTTTCAAACAGCCATCTACAGCAATGTGTCAAGCAAGTACATCTACCAGAGGATTATGGGCAACTCCAAGCACGCACACAGCAACACCATCATCGGTTGGGGCGTCTGGACGGGTGTGGTTGTTGCCGTGTGGGGAATCGCCTTCATCTTCGGTGAAGTCATTCCTTCCATGGGCGACTTCCTCAGTCTGCTCGGTGCGGCATTCGACTCGTTCTACGGCTTCATTTTCTGGGCAATCGCTTACGGGCTGCTGGAAAGGGGCCAATACTTTAAGGGGCCTCTCAAATCAGTCAACACCATCTTCCACGTCATCACCATGGTTGTTGGTCTCTTCCTGCTTGGTCCCGGCCTGTACGCAGCCGTTGATGCCATCATGGCTGACTACGCTGGCAGCACCAGACCTGCCTTCAGCTGCAAGAATCTTGCTATCTGATTGTATTTTACCTCGGCAACGAGACAGGACGACTTGATGATCGCCACAGCTTCTCATACGTACAGTACTGTGTCCCCTCCTTCCCCCCCCCCCCCTTTTTTTTATTTTTAACAGCGCGCTTTTTCTTTTACCTTCCTCTTGTGTATTCCTCATTGGGCTTTACTTGGTATGGTTGCTTGTCGACGCATATAAGCCAAATGTAAACTGTTCAGTGTGCTCAAATACCTTGAAGGTAGAAGTTCCTTGCTAGGGGTCTGTCTGCCGCCGGTTGAGTTGGGATGGAAAGGGAGAGAGAAACGCGACTTGAATACTTCTAGCTTCGGCGACCACGTGGTCTCGCTCGGCACCCAGAGAGGGCCCTTGCACTGGTCGGTCACTTCGTCGTCCGTTCGACAGAATCCCACGACGTCTCAGCTCGCGATCCGCGTCTTTACTACGCTGTCACCACCCGCCCAAACCTCCTTCTCCTCTCTATTTCGCCCAGGGCCGAGGTCCAGCTGTCCTCTGCTCTCGCTTCCTATTTTCTTCAGCACTTTGCGGGTATGCCAACCGGGAGAATCTAGGTCCTTTGACGTTAGGGGCTTCGATACACCTAGCCCACCACCGACTACGTCTCGATCTTCCTTATTGATCTTGCCTTGCACGAAAATTGAAGATCTCTGCAGCTATCAGAAGGAGCAGTGGTACAGAGGACAGCATCATCCAAGCAAGCACATCCAATTATGGCGACAGTCGCAGCTCACCCCCTAGTCCATGGAAGTACCGGTGCGGATCACGACAGGCATCCCGGGTCGGCTTCCTCGTCGTCAACAGCAAGGACGTCTGCCACGTTCCAGTCGGTCTCCGACACGACAATCACGACAACCTCATCCGGAGTGCCAGCGACTGCGTCTGGCGGCGTCACCAAGGCGGATCGTGGGCAGTCTCAGGCTTACAGAGACGATGACGACGATGACAATGATGACAATGAGGGATCAGAAAGCCAAAGCAACGCGAGATTTGATGATCCATGGGACGTTTCCCGCTCCAGAGCGCTTGAGCAAGTAGCGAAGCCCGTTGACGATCACGTTTCGCCTATCGCCAAGGGGAACAGCCTCCGAGGACCTTCCTCGCCCAAATTCAGGGCCCAGCAGCAGTCAAGGCGGTGGAGCTCATCAAGATATCAGCGGTACGAGGACGACGACAGCTTCACAAGCGCACAGGAGGACACGCCAATTCAGTATCCACCCATGTCCGAAGATGACAAAGAGGCTAGGGTCATTGAGCAGAATCTGGGAAGATGGGCCGCCGAGGAGAAGCAGCGGAGGAAGGCAGCGAGAACCTCGAGAACCTCTTCCGTTCTCTTGTCGGGCGCAGGTGCAAGTCCAACGGCAAGCCTCAGTCCTGCAACAGCGCTGACGAGGACGCCGAGCAAGCTGGCTAAGCGCTTCTCGCAGCTGGGCCGACCCACCTTGGCCGACGTGCATCGCGACAGCATTAGCAGCACCGGCTCGTCCACCGACGATCAGAGTCGAATGTCCGGGTCGATTCGATCGGCACGTTCTGCAGATGCGTCGACGCTGGAGGATGTGCCGGAAGTAGAAGACGGAGCGGTGGATGCGCAGGAGGAGCGGCGGCGGCAGAAGGGAAAGGACCGAGCTCCTTCGGATAGTAATCCATTCAACGACTCGTCGTCATCATCGGAAAACACAGTGATTGAAAGATCGCGATCTCTCAAACCGACTGCCAGAAAGCCCATCGTGACGCCTGGTCGCGCACCCACTATTCGTCATCGGGCCGTGGAGAATGCTCGGAGATCGGGCGGAACGGGCAGAATGCCGTCGATTGTGGCGACAGACACGGATCAAGAGGAGGCAGAAAACAACCGGCTGCAAAGAGCCACATCCAACAATCCGTTCAGTGACGCCGCAGAGAGAGCGGCCGGCAGCGAGGTGGACAGCAGTGGGAGACCGAGTGGCGCGCATGTCGTCTTGCAGCATGGCGACGACGAGTATGGTGGGACGATGCCGCCGACTCCTCACTCTCCCAGGTCGGCCAGAAATAGACCTTCGATGTTGCGAAAGAGTACCAGCAGCTCGCGCTTCAACGAGGTCGGCCTCGATGACGACGGGTCGCCCACTGGCTGGCCTAGTGAAGAAGAGGATACCTCATTCAAGCCCGGTCAGATGGGTCATCAGCAACGCATGAGCTGGCGGCAGCATCAAAGCGACCGCGATGGCAACGTCGACGAGGACGAAGACGGCCAGCGTAGGAAGCCTTGGTGGACTGAGTGGCTGTGCGGATGCGACACGATGCAGGATCCGGACGAAGAGCAAGTGAGTGCCGGGGCCCATTGTTCAGCGCGAGAGGTTGTCCAGTGATTGACTCTTGTTCGCGAAACAGACTGGCAAGACTGGTCCCGAATAGCCAGTCAAGCAGCAGATGCCGCTTGTCGTGTCTGATACCTGTCCACTCTTCTCAGTCTCACGGACGGTGGCTCTCCTCTCTTTCCTTCTTTTTCCCCGCTCTCCCTTTCCCACGCTCGTGGCTTTTCCGCAAGCAAACACATTGTCCCTAGTCTCCAGTATCTCTTTTTCTTTCCTCACCTCCTCAAATGCATCATCGTTGATTCTGTCGTTTTCAACTCGTTTCTGTGAAGCAATTACGTGTGTCGACGTACAGTATCTTCGTAGGCTAGATCAACGTCGAGCACTTAAGGGATCCGATGCAAAAATGCCGTTGCTGTTGTGCAAGGCCGGCTCAAGGGAGATGGTGGCAAAGTCATTCGACAAGTCTATCGGCAATGAATGACATCTTCGTCGCTAAGCACATGTGTTAAGGTGGGCGCTACCTTCAACGAGCGAGCAAAGCAGACAAAGTCGATGACGAGGCTCAAAGGCCTGGGGAACTATGCATGATGCTCTTCATTGTTCATTTTTGTCGGCAAATTGAGATTGGAGGTATCGATTATCATTGTGAAGAGAGATGATGCGCTGATCCGCAACTACTTGCTACTGGCACCAAAGCCGAAAGTCCGGCTGAGTGTGCTACGTCTCCTCGACACACTGCCGTCTGTACCGAAAGCGTCTGCCGTGCTCGGTCTTCTTGGCCCTGTGCTGCTACTGTACTTTCCTGCGGTCGATCCGAAATTTGCGTCACCAACTTCGACCTGTCCAGCTGCTCGCAGAGGGGTGCTAAGGTCTATCGCGTTGCTCGCCGAGCGCCTTGTCGGACTTGTCAACGAGGGATAGGTTCCACTCATTGAGCCAGAAGCCCGCCTCGATTGTCTCGCAATCTTCTGCTGCTCCTTTTTCGAGAGAGGGCGATCGGCCGGAGCCCACGCTGCACCTTGTGCTGGCCTACTGGGCGACACTGGCGATTGTGGCACCGTCGGAAGGCGAGCAGGGAGAGGCGAGGCGACAGTCTGATTTGCTTGTGATAAAGGCACCTCTTGTCCGTGCGAAGGGCGCGATACCACAGGCGCATCTGACTGACGCTCTGCGGTGGCAATGTTCTGAGCTGCCACTGGCGTCAAAGTAGTGGGGGTCGAATCCTCTTCTTCGTCTCTCGCGAGATTCACCTTGGGCCGTGGTGTCAAGTCCAAATGCGGCGGCGATGAGGCAAGCGAGGCTGTGGCTGTGGGTTTGCCAGGCCCTCCCGAAGAAGATCGTGTAGAGACCGAGGCATTGTCCTCAGATTCAGCTGCCTGGCCGAGGCTGACCGGCAGTCGTTGTGATGTAGTGGCACCGTTTGAACCATTGACAGGGGCTAAGGGTAAGGAGCCCTTTCGATCGCGACCTCGAAGCGCACTCAGCCAGTTGCCTCCGCCACCACCGCTGCCGCCACCACTGCTGCCGTTATTGCTGCTACCGCCGTTGCTGGCCTCTCGCGCGTTTTCAGCAGCATTTGTCGAATTGCTGCTGGCTTCCCTTTTGCGACCGAAAATCGAGACACCCGCCACAGATGTTGGGGCACCTGCAACCAATGTGCTCTTGTCGGACCTCATCTGAGGCGAATGATGCTCTATGGAATCGCTCGTCGATGGCGAAACGGCCGAGGGTGTTCCGGGAACGTTGGGGACTGTCAGCAAGGATTGCGACGTGTTGACCGACAACTTCTGAGCGGGTGCAACATCGACCGATGTCTTCCTTGCCGACGAAGCGGCCGCAAGTCTGGCCTCCAGCTCTGCGTCGACCTTTGCTCGGGCCTCTGCCCGATGTCTCTGTGCCTCTTCTAGGCCGAGCGCGTCAAAATCAATGTCGACGGCCTGGTAGAAGAGAACATAGGCGCTTCCCGTTCCCGGCGTGTCGCCGTAGTATCGAGAAATGTCGGCGTCATCGATGACACTAATCGTTTCGTCATCGAAGACGCACCACCGATGACCCACCCTGATGATGGCAATGTAGTGTCCATGATGTGGGCCCGCTCCAATGTGGACAACGATGGCCTGCAGCTCATAGAGCCGGTCTGCATTTTCGGCGTCATCCGAAGTATTGAAAAGGCGAAGGTCGAAGGGGAACACGACGCGGTATCCAAGCTTGACGTAACGCTGGATGCTCTCCTCGTACTTGAATCGTTTGAGGTGCAAAGCTAGGACATTGGGCAACTTCTTGATCTTCATGCGCTTCTCTGCTTCTTGAAGGCCAGAGCAGGTATCGCAAAAGAACTTGTTGCGGGCGCACAGCATCTCTGAGGCACTGAATTGGCGCAGGCATGACGTAATGGAGGAATTGCGATCAATGTCGATGGACAAGTCGAGAAAAGACTCGTCTCGCGACGTGACCTTTGACAACGTCAGCTCTCTTCTGTCTTTCCATGGTTCAACACATGGGCTCACCGATTCACAGGTCAGACATCTAGTCTCATTTGTGAGGATGCCTTCGAAGAGTCGATGGACGCAGGTGCTCCCGTTCTCACCAACATCCTGTACTCTTCTCTTCCCTCCGGCGGGTGAGACTTCGGTTGTCTTTGCTGTTTCCACGATATCCTCACCGACACGGTTCAGGAGAAAATTGAGCATCTCGTGGGCGTCTTGGTGCATCGTCGTGTCAAAGAGGATATTCGCTTTCTTTAGGCTGACGAGAAATTTTTTGACGGCCTGCGCATCCACTGTTACAGCCGCACTCGAGTTGGTCAGCTTCGACGAGGAGGTTGAGGGCAAGGACACGCCAGCCAGGGAGCCAATGGAGCTAGGAGGGACCGAGTTGAGCGTTGGGCCGGCTGATCGCCCTGATGCAGTCGATGGCCGACTAGAGCCCTTGCGCCCTAGACCACCACCAATCCCTCCGGACTGCGTCGACACAGACGTCGCCATCGCTGGCGCCTCGATCCGGTTGGAAGACAGCGACGTGATGACGGCCATGTGGTGGAAGAGAGACTGAAGGGCGACAAAGAGCGATGTGGCCTCCTCTCGAGCTGTAGACGCCCCGTTTGCGCTCGGTCCTGGGGTTGCGCCTCCTTTTGGTGCCAGCCCTGAGCCTGCCTCCTGTTGCATTCTAACTTGTGTCTGTGTAGATGCGGATCGTTCGGTACTGTTCGACGATGTATGCGGTCTGGCTAGCTTGTGGGAAGTCGTGGTAGGAGGAGCAGAAACTTTGCCTAGTCCCCATATGCCTTTTCCGCCGGTCGTTGGCTTGTGCGTGGGAAGGTCTTCAGCGTCGATGGCTGTCGATGGCCTTGCAGCACTAGCCTGCTGTTGCTCTTGTCGCTTCTCGGCTATATGGTCTCCTATGGGCAGATTTTCAGCCGACAGTGCCCCAAAGTCCTTCTGCTGCTCCTTTGCCGTCGCCGCCGCATACACCAACATCGATTCGCGGAACGGCTTGCAGAAGTAGAGAGCCTGGAGGACAGAATTGACGTAGCTGGTGCAGCAAAGAAGTCAGTGGCCTCTCCTCGTATCGAGCCAATAGCGATTCCTCACCAGGTGTTTCCGAACTGCGCAAGGAGGAGAGAACACAGATCAGTCATCGAGGGCTGGAAGAGGAGGCGCTAATCAAGCTCACATTCTCCATGCCCAGCATGGGTGGCAGATCTGCCAGCCTCTCGACCTCTTCCAGGTCGTACGCCGAGAGATTAAGCCCATAAGGGAGGCTCGAGAGGCCATTGAATAAGGCTTCGTGCGCGGAGGAGCCAAAGGCAGGTGCTGAGCTGCTGCTAGCACCGGCACCGCCGCTACTATTGCCGCCTGTGCCACCGTTGCCGTTGCCACTATTGTTTGCCCCTACGCCAAGCAGCCCCCGCCAAGAGAACGACATTGTTGCTGTTCTCTCGCAGAAGATGACAAGGCGCGGTGTTGGCCGACGGTGGCATGCGTATCCAGGGCGCGGCTTCAGCAATCAACCTGGGCGCCAAGGACGGACATCGATCAGATGTCGGTGTCCTGTGTCTCTGCCCGATCAGTATCTGGTGAGAGTCTGATTTGTCCGAGAGCGCGCTCGCCAAAGCTCTCGAAATCCACTCGAAGGGCGGGCTAGGCGGGGTACAATGTCGAACGATGCTGGCCGACCTTGTGTGCGTGTGCTTGTGCGCGCGCAAATGCAAGCCTTGAGGCAATTTCAGTAGGAACAGAAAAGCCACCCCCCAACTCAACTGGGATGACTACTTTTCCAACCAACCAAAAAAATAAGAAAGAAAAAGAAAAAAGATAGAAAAGAAAACTTAAAGTCGGGAGGAGGACCGCGGACAGCGACGATAAGAAGTAGCGGAAATTGCGCCAGAATTCTCTCTCATATCGGCCGTAGGAGTCCGACTCTCCTCAAGGAAAAAGGGTGTCGTTCACTAATGCAGCTTCACCCCCACCTTGAGCTGGTTATCTGTTCGTCGTCTTTGGTCGCCGTAAAGTGATTGACGTCAAGCCTGCAGCAAAGAACACAGTGCACGGTCGCGATGAGCGTCCGCTCCGTCCTCGACGAAGCCTACTGCCTCTCTCTCGCGAAAGGTTATTTTTCCCGACGTAATTCCTTCTGAAAGCAGCAAAGCGGCCTGGATGGGCTGCAGGAAAGCGTGTAGACCGGGAAACCACACATCTGGCCTCCCGCTGGGCTGCTAATACGAGCGGCCAGACAAGAAAAGAGATTGAGTAAGGGTTTCGAGGTTGCAACATTAAATTGTGAATGTAGCAGGTGCGTGGTTCCTCAGGCGAGCAGAAATGAGCCTGTCTGGACGTGCAAGGGCGGAGAGACAGATATATGTGCATTCCTTTTTGCGACCATCTTGAGATGGCAGGCAACCTCTCGCAAAGACGATCGCCGGTGAGGGGAGACAGCACGTGATCAGCTTAAATCACGTGCCTCTAGTTTGGACCGGCCGTCGCCGGCACCATTTCTTCCTCGAAGACTCCCAAGACCCAACGCTCGTTGCAACGTGACAACGATGTTTCAATCGGCCCTCCGCACCCGCATGGGTGCTCAGATCGCCTCTTTGAGGTCGTCCGCCAACAGGGGCGTCCATGTGAGCGCCGTAAACAAGGATGCGGCGTCGAGTGCACAGAAGGCCGCAGAGGGAGCCAGCAAGCAGCTGACGAACCTTGCGGACAAGGCTAGGCAGCTGGGCAAACCGCTGGCAGATCGAGCCAGCAGCGTGACCGGTGGTGAGTATTTGGGATTCCTGCAGCGAGTCGGTTGGAAGGAAGATTTACTCATATCCGTCCTTAAAGTCAACGTATCTTCGTATGCCGATTCGCTTCTCTACAATCTCCGTGTGGCCGGCTCGCTCTTCAAACAGGTCTACATCGCCGAAGGCATGGCTCCCCCAAAGCTGCAGGCAATTCAAGAGGCATACAGGACCATGTATGCGCGGGCTGTTGATGCAAACTGGTGGACAGGCATTGTCAACAATGGCGAGTGGAAGAGGTTGGCCCTCTACGCCGTAGAGGCCTATGGCATCTTCAACATCGGCGAGATGGTGCGTCGATTTTTGTCCGTTGCTCTTGTCTGCCGGAGGGCCCAGCTGATTTCTTGGGTCATGTGCTGCAGATTGGGCGCAGGCACATTGTCGGATACAAGGTTGACAAGTCGGCCGCCTCCTCCGCAAGTGGACACCACTAGCGCCTCTATTGAGGTAGAGACCGCGAGCGAGGAAGCAGCGCAATTCATGCATATTGTCTCCTTTTGCAAGCCTCTTGATTGAACAGCTATCGTGCAGTTGCAGCGTGGTCCCGTGCGGGGACTCTAGTCATTCGTCGAAGAGCACTGACCGAGCTCTGTTCATGGTCAGCCAAGGAATATACTTCTCTGGAAAAGGAAAGATCACCGACGTGGTGACAGAAGCAGCCGGACTGATTAAAGGGGTAGAAATTGCGACAGGCAGGACTGCTCTAACGTTAAGAAGGTTCGTATAACAATTGATACACCAGCCAGCCTTTGGCCTCTTCAACCTACACTGTCCCGCCTTTTGCCCCGGCCCTCTGGCAAGCTGCGTTTTCAAAGCTTGCCACAGATTGGGTCAAATTCCGTCTCTTGCCATATCCGGTGTGCAAGACGAGGCGAAGGGACCATAACACTGACGAAACCCGGCAAGCGCTGGTGGAAATGCTGGTACTAGAAAGTGCATGTTTTGTCGTGGTACTTCGCCTAACATTCGTGCTTAGCAGGCAGTGAGAAAATGGCCGATTTTCACGCATATGGGCCCCGGCTGCTCGATGTGAATACTGATACGGTTGAAGGATCCCTATACGGCGAGCCTGAAGTGTGACCTTGCCCTACTGTAAAAGTGCTTCCGAAGGAGAAGCGCAGCGGCGTAGTGTGATGTTTCTGGCAGTTCTGTAGTCCAGGTCAATTGGCACTAGCTTGTCAACTAAGACAGTTCTCGACAGTCAAGAAGGATAACAGTTCTGTAACTATTCGTAATAGAGGGTTATATTAGAGGGTTATTGATGGTAGAAGACAAGTAGTAAAAAGAAAGCACGTGTAGATCCAGCCGACCTTTGCGAGAAAAGGCATTGGAAGGCCTCATAAGCGTTGGTGCCCGTGCCTGGCCAGGTGGGGGAGTAAGTAGCCAGTGTAGATTGATTGTTCATTGGTATTGGCTGCTGCGTGGAGGGTCCGATAAAAATGCGCTCTGAAGATAATTGATGCATGCCGTCTTGCCGGTCAGCTTTTTCTGAAGAACATGATATAGTTCGGAGAACCTGCCCACTACCTTGCACACTACTACTACTCTTCATCTCTGATCCTTGCACCACTCAAAAGGAGAGTAGCTGTAGAAGTGTTAAAGGGTGTGTCAACAGGCGAATCAAGCAACTCTCTATGTCGGTCAGCGTTGCGACTACGACCGGCGGATGAGCAACGGGATCATGGAATCCAACGGGGGGTCCCCCTGAAGACAGCGCAAGGAAGGAGAGAATAAATTTGCCGACAGGGAAGGAGAGAATGCTCAAGTGATCGAATATAAATGAAATTTCAAAAACGATCGCGCTTGGGGAACTATTTTTTGTCCCTTTTTTTCGGGCGTCTGGTCTGAGCTGCTTGTGTGTCTGTCAAGGTCAGTCTGTCTTGCTTCCTGCCTATACCTGCTGTCGACGGGGCTGGTGGGAAGTGTTTTTTTTTTCAGCCTTCCTTCTTACTACACGCGCTGTCCGCGCAATCCCGAGGCCGCTCACACCCCAGTCGACCTCCGTCGGCGTCTATCGATCCAATCCTCTTGCACGTCAGGGCACACCGGTGGGAATCGTTGCCAAGTGACATAATCGTATAGAGAGGAAGAGAGTCGAGGAGATTCGAGTAGGGAGGGAGAGCGAAGGTAGGGTGCAAGACCGAGATCCTGCCCTTCTAGAGGCTCATAGTTACGGGCTCCCCCGTTCAGGTCTCGTCGTCCCGGGATCGTCGAATGAAACCGTCGGTGGTCTTGCCAGGCGTCGTCATCCCGCCGGACACCGCCTTTGACTAGGCAACCTTGCTCTGCGAGAGACTTAGACTTTGATCAAAAGCTAGGTGAGTCTTTGACCCGCGCGCCGGTGAAGAGAGTTGGCTCGCGCAACCATGATGGTGGACAGCCGAAAGGGTATATTGGCTGTTGCAGATCCTCTGAGTTAATCTCAGCAGCCCTCTGCAAGAAGAGGAAGAGGTGAGAAAGAAGGCGGGCTCGCGCGGTGTTTGTCTGCGCCGCCGCCGCTCTCTTTTTCTCTCCTCTTCTTTTCGTCGCTTTCTCCGCCCAGCGCCGCTCCTTGGGTTACCTCTCTTCCCCTCTACCTCTTGTCTTGACAACGACGTGCACTCTTGCTGACCAGTCTGCCATACACAATGTCGTTTCACGACCGCAGACGCCTCCAGCCAAGAGCGAGGACGAGCTACCCCAACGAAGGATTTCGGACTGCAGCAGCAGCTGCCCAATCAGCACGACCTCTTCCAGCGCCACTTCCACAACGGGGCTCAACTGGATCACCGTGGGTGCCAGGTCACCTTGTCCATTGCGAGACAGTACCCTCCAACAAGGTGCCCTCACCGAGGATGAGTGCTAGCTCGTCGACGGGCGGCGGTGTTGCCATCCTGGCTCCCCCAATGGTTGCACATGGAGGCCCGTTGGAGCACATATCGCTCCCTGCAAGAAACGAGTACGCCCATCTCAGAGACTCCTTCTCCTCGACAGACCCGCGAAGCAGACCGCCGGCGCGAACGAGGGCACCACCGACGTCGAATAGCTTCATATCCGATGTCTGGGCCAGCACGAGCAGCAGCGCCACGAGTTCCTCTTTCAGCGTAGATCAATCGATCCAGAGCCCGCGAAGAATTGCTGGACAAGGACCGAGCGGATCATCCTCTTGTTCATCCTCCTCTTCCTCATCCTCACGGAAAGGAACGATGACGCCGGTGTGGAACGAGCTCAGCGGTGGGGACTCTGTTGGCGCTGGTGGTGGATTTTCAGGATCTGAAAGTGGATGGACAAGAATCAATGCAGCCTCTTCGGGCATGGGTGGCCCATCTGACAACGGAATCGAAGATGGCGGCATGGGCAATGGCTCCGGAGCAGGCAGAGGAGGAGGAGGCGAGGGCGGTCCCGATGGCGATGGTGGCGATGATGATCGGGCTACCAAAGACAAGGCAAAGAAGGCCAATCCTCTCGTCGACCTGATCGAGACGGAGACGGCATACGTAAGCGAGCTGGGCAAGATCATCAAAAAGGTGGCAGGAGCATGGAGTCGGTCCAACTTTCCTCCTCCGGAGCTCGACACGATGTTTCGAAACGTAGAGTCGATCTACCGCGTCAACCGCTCGTTTCTCAGATCTCTCAAGGAAATTGGTCCGAACCCTTCGTCGCCCCGTGCGCTGGGAGACTTGCTGATGCGCTGGATCGATGACCTAGAGACGCCGTACACGCGCTACTGCGAGAACTACTTCACCGACTTTGACACCTGGGCCACGGTCCAGAGTAATGCTAAACTCCCGCCACTGCTCCAACAAATCTCTGAGAGCGAAGACGGTTTGCCAATCGTCTACTCGGACAAGAAGCGTCAAGCTGGAAGCGTGTGGACCTTGGATCAGCTCTTTGCGCTGCCGCAAACCCGGCTCAAGTACTACAAAAAGCTATATGCACGACTACTCAAGAGCACTCAGCCGGGTCGAAGCGATCACAGGCTCCTTGTGGCTGCCAATGAGAAGCTCGACGAGCTATTGGAGCTGTCCAAGAGACGAATCGCCACGTCTATCCTTGACGACGGATCCATTCTTCGATCAAGTACTCGTGCGAGCGCCGAAAGCTCAGCTGGCGATACGAGCAACACTCTAGAGTGAGTAATTTGTTTTCGGAAACTCACGTAGCAATCGTGTCAGGGAATTTGCCGACTGACGGTTTGCATTTCACAACGACAGCAGTGCACCAGCGCAGCGTGCCTCTTCGGCAACGTCTGCTGCGTCTGGAGAAGCGCATCATACCCCGCAGCCTACAATAAAGGACAGCAGCCCACCTTTTCAGGCCACGGTACAAGCTCCGACCCCCCTCGTCAAGGTACCTGAGCCTTCGCCCAACGGTCGTCTCCCATCTTCTCACGACAGCGCTCTGGAGCCGACCGACAATCTCGAATACCGCCTCGACACTGCAAGGACACTCGACATCTTCTCGATGCAGCCAAAGGTGAGTGTCGCGAGCTTGTTTCCTTGATGTCCTTCTGCTCACGGCTTGCTACAGAAATGCCAGTTACGAATGAACCCTCCGACGCTGCCATTCACACGAGAGTTGCGAAAATCGGCCGACGTCGTCATCTACTTCACTCCAACGAGCACAGGCAATGAATTGGTGCTGCGAAGGGCCCATATTTTCCTCCTCACCGATCTCTTCCTCATCTGCGAGCGAAAAACGCCGAGCGAACGGGCAGGAGGAACCACAAAGGCTGACCTTTGGCTTCTCTACCCACCATTGGCCGGCAAGCATCTGCGTGTCACAGATGCCGGGGGCGGGCAAGGAAATGTCCTCTCAGTTCTCGTACTGAAGAAGGAGACGCTCATTATCCACACCGAGTCGCGACAAGCAAAGGAAGATTGGATCTACCAGTTTGCCGAATGTCAAAAGTTTGCCAACAACCTCGGGCTTAAGCTCAAGACAGGCAGCGACGCGCCTCAGGATCAAAGCAATCCTCTGTCGCCCGGCCCTCAGGCGACACCATCGCTCTCGCCAGCCATCTCCGTTACACCTTCGTCACGAGAGAGCGACTCGATCCGCGATGGCAGCATCATCAACGGCCTTCCCCCCGTCATGTCCCCACATTCGTCCATGTCGTCGAGCCTGGCTCGAGACAATTCCTTCAATTCATTTGTCAACAAGCCCGACGGACACCAATCCAACGGCAACGGTCATATCAACAGCTATCCTAATGGCTCTTCGCCGGACCCTCGGATGCGGACAATGGCGGCAAGCCCATCACCTATGTCGCCGACCATGATGTCTTCGCCGATGACGGGGTCAGGACCTGGATATGGACCAGGATCCTATGGAAGACCTTCTCCACCCCTTGGACCAGGGCGTCCGGGTCAATTCCGACCTGGCTTTGTGACGCCATGGCCCAGCGGCATCGGGAGTACCAACAAGGCTTCTTTGCCTCCTCGGCCCGGCATGAATGATTCTCCGCCATCGCGACCCATGTCTCCTCCTGGACAGCCGCCCAGCAGCAACAAGGGCAACGCGGGAAGACCATGGCCGCCGTTACCTCCTCCTAATGCCATGCACGCACACAGCGGTCGCCCTCCTCAGAGGCCGCCGCCTAGTCAAACTGACTTTCTCCACGAAGGCCCCCGTGGCGCCAATAGACGTCCGTCCGCCCCCAATCTGAGGGGAGCGAGCGAGTCTGGCCACAACGGCATTCACAACGGCGGCAACAATGGCGGCCCTTACCGGTCCAGGTCAGCGTCAAGCGAGCACAGCGGGCCACCGAAGCTCCCTTCCGACTTTCTCAAACAACCAGGGGCCCGGCCCAAAGATCAAGAGTACAGCCCGCCTTCTAGCCCGACACAGACGCGAAGAGGGCCGAAATCTTCGCAGGTGGCTGCCCAGATGCGGTGTCGACTGTACCTCAAGCAGTCACATGCCCAGTGGAAGTCTCTGGGCAATGCCCGGCTGAAGCTCTACCATCTAATGCCCGACGATGTCAAGCAGCTCGTCGTCGAAAACGACAAGAAGCCAGACCCCTTGATTTCTTCGATCATTCTCCCCGACGGAGTGGAGAGGGTGGGCAAGGTGGGCGTGGCCATTGAGCTGAGCGACAATGGCCAGCGAACGGGCATCATTTACATGATCCACCTCCGGAGCGAAGAGAGCGCAGTCGCTCTCTTTGGTCAGCTTCTCGAGGGGTCCGATCGTTCCGTCATTGGCACCTTGTCGTAGCTCCTGGCCCCCGCCTTGGACTTCTCTCCCTTTGGGTTCATCTCTTCCCCCTCCCACCTCTTCTCCCTCGTTTCCTCGGGACATTTCCTTAGTTCTAGATGAGCTGTCGTTTCCATCTCTGTCACTCAAATCTGTTTGGCTCACACTCTCTCCCATATATCTTGACGTTCTGATGAAACAGTCATCGCGAGTCACCCATCTTAAAAGTATCTGGATCATTTGCTCCCTCGTCTTTCGTCAATTCCAACGCAGTCTTGCCTTTCCCCTTACCTCCGTTCCCTTGCCGTCTTCGCGTGGTCACAGGGCCGCCTACGGCAATGTGCAAAGATAAAAATGTGGGATGGGGCGTTGCCCGGTGGGAGCATTTGCAAAAGGTTGATGCGCTGAAGTGAATTGCAGGTTGAATCGGGTCCGTGAGTATAGAACGGAAAAGGAGCAAGCAGAGGAGTAGAGCAGGACAAGTGACGCTCAGACGAGGGCAGTGACACAGCCGAAGAGGGCGCTGGAGTAGAAGAGCCAGGAGGCTGCCTGGAAGACGGCCGAGCTTGCTCCACTCGTCGAGTCACGGCTGTTGGATGAGCTGCCTGCATTTTGCGTGGTTTGGGATGACGAGAGCGTCGAGGCGTCCGAGGTCGCCGAAGAAGTGGCCGTCCGCATAGACGTCGATGCAGAGGAAGAGGCCGAGGAAGACTCCTGCTCCGACGACGACGACGAAGCGTTTGTGGAAGAATCAGACGAAGAAGAGTCGGAGGACGAGCTGGTGCTGACCAGCTTTCCGTTGCCCCAAGGAATGGCCTCGCCCGTGGGCTGCTTGGCCTCCGGAGGGTCTTCCAGCTTGCCGCTCGGACTCGCGATACCGAATCTAGTAGTCCAGGCCGGGTTTGCGCCGTCGCTATCGGTGAATTGGTAAAAGTCTGTCCATCCACAACGTCCCCGTCAGGTCGCTGATTCTGCATGGACGGGAGCGGACTCACAGATGGCAGAGTAGGGGTCGACTTCTGGGCAGGTCCACTTGTATGACGTCACGCTCGAGTCGGTGCCATCGATACTGGAGGCGACATTTGTGAGCTTCTTCATGTTCTGATTGGCACCAGTCATGACTGAAGGGTGCCAGGTTCCATCAGCGTGAAATCTACAAGTAGGATGATGGTGAGAGCGGGGAAGGCTCACGATCAATTGTCATCTTAGACCACTTGCTGTCCGTCCCAGGCACCCATTGCATCGTGCAATCCGAGCCAGCTATCTCGTAACATCATCAGCCAGCCTGTTGAGTACTGCGTTAGGCGTCGTCGAATGGGACTCACACTTGAAGACATCACCGGGACCTGGCGCCGTGGGCGTGACATCAGCGGCCCTCTTCTCCAGCGAGGCGACAGGGCCCTTCGAGGCGCCAACCAAGCTTGACACGACCAGGCCTCCTCCAAGGGCAAGCGCAAGACGTTTAGTCAGCTGCATCCTGGTGGCTTGCTTCGCGTGAGGTAAAAGGGTCAGGAACGAAGAAGGAACGAAGAGGTTGAGGTAAAGGTAGAGATCGTCTCGGAGAACAGTAAGAGTGGGGAAAAAGGAGTGTGATGGACGATCTCTGACGAAGAGAAGGAGACAAGAGCGAGCTGCTAGAAGTAGCAGTGTGGGTGATGGACGTTGAAGAGAACTAGACTGGGAGGGGAAGGAGCGAAAGGGGAAAGGGGAGGCATGCAGTCGTCTCAACTCCGCAGCCTCATGTTGCCGGAATATAGGCAAAGTTCTTTTCAAATACCAAAGTACGGCCACAGCGACGATGTTTGTCGTGCAGAAAGGACCATTCTCTCTCTGTGTTTGTTGTTCGACCCCCTTATTTTAGCGGTAAAGGAAGGAAAGAAGGAATTGCACACGACTTTCATTGGTTCCAGGTCCATTTTCAAAATTGAGGCCTTTGATCTGTTGCTCATGACTTTATTTTCGGTCCTCGGAATGAGAGGCTAGAAGTGCTTGACACACGAGAACTTCGTTGGCTGACTCCATCAGCTCAATGGGTGCTACTAGGTTCCGCGTTCGTGCCAATGCTATGTCTGGCTTCCCTCGAAACCATCCATCATCTCGATATCGTCCGCTTCTTCTGGCTTCTTACCTGTTTGCACTGAGGGTCCATCGAGGGCCAAGAGCGGCGGGCTGGCCAAGAGCATTGAGGAGGAGGACGAGGCATGGGCGCCCCCCGGTGCACTTCTCGCTCCCACCTTTTCGCCAGTGGCCAGTGGCACCGAAGCGTTGCCGTCCCCCAAAGGGATTCTCCTTGGCCAGAGCGCGCTGCTATCGAATTGTGCAGTACCAGAGATTGAGGAAGCAGTCAATCGACGAGCCAGGGAAGGGCTTGTGCTGCTGTTCTTGAATGTCTTGCGCACAGAGCTCATCGGTCGAAGCACTTCGGGCGACGTCGAAAAGGACAGGAGCAGCTCGGCATCCCGCTGCTGAGGTTTTCCCATCTCTTTCATTGTCGCGACGTCTGTTGTGATGGGCGTCAAAGAAGAGGCCGGTGTTGCCAACAATTTCAACGCTTCCTGGGCCTGTGTGCTTCGCGCAGACGAAGGCCGAGACGAGGATGGCGGAGCGCCGCCACTGAAGGCAAGAGCTGGTGCGGGAAGCATCTGCCAATGAGAAGGGCTCTTGGTAATAGAGCTGGCCCTTGTCGAAGTGGATGTGCCGGCATTGTTAGCACTCAGTGCGCTCGTTGCAGCTGGTGATGTGGACGAAGACGTAAGTGGAGACGATGACGAGGCCGCAGAGGAAATATTCATGTGATGCAGGGCCACCGACGAATTCCTGCGCTCTGGTGATGTGGAAAGATCACTTTTCCCTGGGTGCGCATTTGACCTTAGGATGGGGCTTTCTGCGCTTAGGCTCATCATGGGCGACGTCAAGCTGGTGTATGCCGAGGCTGACGAGGAACAGGCACCCGAGAACATAGGCGACTCGGCGCTGAGGCTCATGACAGCAGGGGATGTCCTCATGTCTTCGCTCGAGCCGGAAGAGGCGGCTGATCGCCTCCTATGAACATCGTTTTGACCATGCACGTCGGCCCTTACTGCGCCGACCACTTTGCGGCGTAGATTGGGTCGGTTCTGGTGCTCTTTGCCCTCCTCGACCTTTGTTCGAATACCTTGCCATTCAGCCATTTCCAAGCCACCGTCTGAGCCCGATCCCTCGTCCTCATCTGCATCACCCTCTTCGTCCACCTCCTCCTCCTCCACTGGCTCTTGATCCTGGTCCACGTCCTTGTCTTCCGCCCTTTTGATCCTCGCGGGTCGTTGCCCGGTTTCGAGCTCCTCGATGCGTGCTTGCAACTCGTAGATGTAGTCGATGGCATGAGTCAGGACCTCAAGCTTGTGCAGACCAAGCTCCTCTTCTTTTGGGCCGTCAGACGCCGATGTCGCCTTTTTCCGATTGCGTTTCCTCTTTCCCCTCGCGCCACCGACTAACGAAGCCGCCCTGGCCGAAATCTCACCGGCTGCAATCCTGCGCCACTCCTCTTCCTCTTCCCTGCGCTGACGTTTGCGTTCCTCAACTTCGGCGGCACAGGCCGGCACAATGACGCGAAGCGTGACCAGTCGATCGTTGATCTTTTCCCGTCTCCGACGTTCGATTTGACTGTGGGTGGCCCGTCGCTTCGAGTCACGTCCAGGCTTCTTTGTAGGCGCGGGGGCGGTTGGGCCACTTGCGCTCGCTGCGACGGTCGTTGCGGACGATGTGGCCACAGAAGCTGCCTTTGCAGCCGACAATCGACCGCTAGTCTTGGCTACCTGCGCCGCAGCTTTTCCTTTCGGGACCAAGGCCGCTTCCAGCGCCGTCATTCGGCCTTTCAAAGACGTCAGATGACGGGGTAAGCTTTCCACAACGATGACGTGGGCCTTTGACGTTTTGAAGGCTGGACTATGCTCCGATATCCACTTTGTCACTTCGTTCGCGAGCGTCTTGGCCCCTGTCCCCTGAGGATGGCTAGTGGTAGTGACGGGCACGATGAACGCCACCGGCTTCAGCTTGGCCACCGCCGCTGCTGCCGCACCGTCTTGAGGCAGAGGAGGCTCAACGAGCGCACAAGCTTGCACACGAGGGTGCGAGGTTAGGAGATCCTGTGCCTCGGCAAAGTCAGACGTCGAACAGCTTGTGCTGGAAAGGATGTGAAGGCAGCCCTTGTAGTCGAGCGTGGCTGATTCGGAAAGTGTTGAGAGCGGTGTGAACTCATCATCATGAACCAAGTTGAAGGTCCTAGTACTGTGCTTACCCATATCGCCGACTTCAGTGTAACCTGGCGCTTGACTGGGTTGCGGATGCGACATCGTCATCATTGTCGGACCAGACATGACGATAGTGCGCCCTTCTTTTGAACCTTGCGCGACGAGCGTTGGGCTCGGAGAGTACGAAGCAAGGCCCAAGACGACATAGCCTGGCATGAGCAGCGTATCCGATCGCGCTACCCTTGTCAGGTGTGTCAGCCCCGTGCTCTCCTTGGGTGCATAAGCTATACGCGCATGTGTGAGAAGAGAAGAAGTGTGTGTAGATGTAAGTTCCGCCGGTCGAGAGGAAGTATTACGTGTGCTGACGCACCATTGAGAAGGGACAGCCCAGGTTTCAATGCCATCAGAGCATTCTGTACATTCTGCCCTGCGCCAGGTTGGATGATGACCAGACACCTTAGCGACTCTTGGATGGGACGCTTGATCACCCTAGTTGCCGCCGTGAAGCCATCGGTGAAAAGAGCATCGACGGGAAGGCCATGAAGATCCTCACCAGGTCCTGCGATGAGCACTGGACGGCCTTGCCAGATCGGCAGCAAATAGGACAATGTCAGACCGGCAGCATCGTCAAGGGGCATCTGCACCATCGTGATCTCGTTCCCAGTCGGTCCACCTCGTACGACGCTGCTCCCGCCCACGCTGCTGGTTCCCTCTCCAAGAAGCGCATGTCGATGCAGCAGGAGAAGGTGCTCGGTCGAAAGGATCCCCGCAATCACTTGAGCGTGGCTAGCGCGCATCACCTGTACGGCGCTATTCGAATCTTCTCGCAGTACCAACATGGCCGTCCAGTGGTACACTTCTTGACCCTGTAGCGACAATCGGCATTGATCCAGCTCGCTCCAGCTACTCGGGCCCCTTCGTCGAACTTCAATATCGGTCAGTGTGGCACATTGGGACGAGATGGAGGACGATAGAGGTTCCTCGCGACCCATGAGCACTACGTGTTTGGGCGGTAGGCCAGATTCGCAAAGGCCTGCGACAAATCTGGGAGGAGCAAAGGCTAACAGCGGTCGAACAGCATCGAGCCGACGAGCTTCCATTGAGAAAGAGAGAGAGAGAGGGTCTGAGCTCGAATGTGATTCGCCATTGATCGACTCTTTCAGACGGTGACACCCACCTAGCGACAATTTGTCCAAGTCCAAGTCCGAGATCGAGATCGAGTCCGATTCCGACTCCACCACGCACACGGTCATGCCAAGTCTCGAGCAGGCCAAGAGAGCGATAATGGAATCCAGCCGATCGCTGCCCTGAGCTTGTTTGTCCAGAAGAATAAGGGCTCTCGGCATTGCATCTTCCATCCGCCGCGATGCAGCAGCTACCCTTCTTGCCGTGCCGAGCACCTCACGAAGCTTCAGCCGAGCATCGCTCCACAGGCCCAAAGACACATCATCTACTCTCTGGCGCAATTCGAGCAGCGACAAGCCTCCGTACTGCGACGAGGCGGAGCTGCGGCACGACAACGACGATGGCGAAGAGGTAGACGGCGATGCGGAAAGGGCATGAAGCAAGAGAGGCGCATCGTGTCTGATGACCCTCGTCGGCGGAAAGTGCTCGAAGAGAAAGGTGTAGAGGTCACTGGGTGTCCCGGCCCTCGATCAGCACAGATTCCACGGCCAAGTAGAGGAAAGGGATCGGCCGAGGGCAACTCACACGTCGGGCACCGTCATAGCCACCATTGGGTGCAGCCACCGGTCAGGCAAGGAGCGGAGAAGAGGGGTTTAGGGACAAGGAAGATGGACAGATGAGATTTCATAACTAGAGTGAAAGGTGAGACGCTCACGGTCAAGTCAGTGCAGTCGTGCATATCTGCGCACGACCTCGCCCAATTTTTTTTCTCACAGGCCGCAAGGCCAGACGGGCAGGGGGGCGTGGTCGTGTGACGAGCGAACGTGCGTGTCGAAAAAGTCTAAAGATTTCGTCGAATCGCCTTTTCGCCCCCTCGGCTTCCATTAGCCACGCGAGCCAAGCTGTGCAGGCCTGCCCGTCCGCAATGCTTCACTGTGCACTACTACCTATCTCCGCCTTGCATCTGCTGCTCAGACAATAATTATGACTCTATAGTATTGATGTAGACGCCTCATCAACCCCATTGGAAATGCATTCTCCTCCCACCACCGCCGCCACCGCCGCCCTGCTGGAAGAAGAATTGAGATCCGTCGCCCCCTGGACCGCCCTGCTGGAAGAATTGCGCAAATGGGTGGCCGCCGGCAGCGCCTTGGGAGAAGGGATTGCCGTACCCGCCCTGATGGCCACCCATGGGATCGTTTGGGTCGTCGCCTTGGTCGAAGCGGGCCTTCAGCTCAGCGTCATTGAGGACGCCAAAGGCCTCATTGATCTCTGCCATCTTTTCTGGCTTGCCGCCTTTATCCGGGTGGTGCTCCCGGGCCATTTTTCTGTACGCTTTTTTGATCGTCTGCTCGTCTGCGTCCCTCGAGACGCCCAGGACCTTGTAATAGTCCTTGGTCTTGCTGATCTTGAGCCTCTGCTGCGCCTTTTGCAATCGCGCATGGATCGATCGATTCGTCTTGCCAGACTGCTCAAACGCCCTGCTAAGATCGCGCACCGCCTCCTCGTATCGCTCTGCCGCAAGATGCTCTTCGGCCTTGGCGACGAGCCCGTGTAAATTATCCGGGTCCCTTTCCGACGCCTTTTCGCAGTAGGGCATGGCCTTCTTTAGCTCATCGAGCTCTAAGTGAGCCTGGCAGTGCATCTCATTGAGCTCGTGGAGCAGCGCACTCTGCTTGAGAGGCTCTTTGAGCCCACTGGGAAGCACTCTGGCCTCGACATCGTCCTTGATGGCCCCTTCAATCTGTTGGTATATGCTCGGCTGGCCAACCTTGGGCCCCTTGAGTGAGCCTATCACGGCTCTCCAGCTGCCGCCCTCTTGGAAGTTCTGCGCTTTTTGCAGCGCCTTGTTGAAATTCTTGATACGCCGATGGGCCTTTGCGCAGCGCCTGTTGTCTGGGTCCGAGCCAAGACACGTCTTGAGATGTGACAGCCCAGCGTCTCGGTATTGCGAGTCACGATCGCCGAAGATAAAGTAGGAGAGCGAAGAGAGTCGAAGATATAGATCCGTCGAGGGTGCGAGGTGTGCGATACGCCTACGCAAGAGAAAGTGAGGAAAATCAGATTTCATCTGATGCTTTGCGCAAGCGAAACTCACGTCCAATCTCCCACAGCATTCTCGACGTCGCCCTTTGCAAGGTAACAGTCGGCCCGCAGTCGTCTGGCTTCCAACAGGCTGGGTGATACTTCGAGCACCTGACTGGCGTATCTCAAGCAGTCATCCGCCCGTGCTGCGACGCTGCTATCGCTTGAAGCGTCGTTTCCCTTCTTCACGTTCTTTTCCAAGGACTCGTGCGCCGACTTGAGGCTCTTGAGATTCGAGAGGGCCGCGTCGATACTATTTGATAGCGTGGTCGCTTCCTCATCGCCCTTTTTGAGCTTCAGGTACTCTTTGGTCGACTTCTTTGCTGCGTCCAGGTCGCCATCTTTCGCAAACGTCTTTGCTTTTTGCAAGTGCGCTTGTGCAAACCTGGGGTTCAGCGTTAGAAGCTTGTCCAGGTCCGCAAGCGCCGAGGCCGTCCTGCCTGAGGAGAGGTAGGCAGTCGCTCGGCGGTAATACGACAGGTAGTTGCCCGGATCAACGGCGATCGCTGCATCGAACTTGGCAATGGCTTCGCCCATCCGGCCTGTCGTCAACGCCGCCGTTCCTTCCTTGAGGAGCTGCGACACCGAGGGTGTGTCGGTTGCATCAGAACCTCCGCCGGCGCCGCTACCACCGCCAGCGTCCTCGGCCGCAACGCAAGCCAAATTGAGGCACAGTGCCACGGTCAAGGCCACAGCCAGGACGATGACCAGTCGTCTCGAGCTATAGTACATAGTTGTTCCTTCCCAACGTCTCGAGGAAGGGCCTTGGGAAGAGAGAGGGTGAGACAGACGGACATCATACAGAGACAAGACGTGGAAGGTTAATTTGTCGGCCGAGATGCACGTGTATTTCTCCACATCGTTCTCCCACCACCTCGCGGAGGTGCCTTTGATGATACTGCCTCTTCTCCCTTCCCTCACCATTACCGTACAAGCCTCAGTCAGCGGGATGTCCCAATTGACTGGATGCTCGAGTGCCCGAAAAGAGATGAATAGGATGAAGGTTGAAGACAAGATTCGATCAGATGAAGGAATGCATCTTTAGCAATAGGTTACCCTGCTGACTCTGTGATAGTCAAGAAGCTGCTCGGCGCTGCCGTACACAACCTCGAGCTTTTGAGCACTATTGCCAAATTGTTAATGAGCAATCACTTGCCAAGAAGAATACAAAAACTTCAATGCTTCCACAACTCACAGTTCGGGAATAGAGTCGACTTGCTCCTCATACACTCTCTGTTCGGCCGCTTCTGCATTGAGCATGAGGCCCTCGTCCGGTAGTGACAAGGGCCCTTCGGGCTTCTTGCCTCGAGGCACGCCAACCTGTCCTCCTGCTCCGACATGATCCAAGAACCTGGCAACACGCTCGTGCATCGTCTCCAGACGCGATGCTAGGCCGCCGTAGCGGAGTTCGACGACTTCCCAGCCATTTGGCTTGTACACAGACATCCAGAGCTGGCGGTGGTAGTTGTGGAGTTGCCTGAGCGCCTTTCTTAGCTGGAACATGCGCGAGTCTGGTCCCCTTCCCGCCAGAGCAGCCAACTCGGGCCAGTCTTGGTCTACATAGGCTAAGTGAAGCCGAAGACGAAGGGCAGCTTTGAGGCTCAGCACCTTGGCCAATAGCTGTGGCATTCTCAGCCTCGCGTTGAAAGGGTGATCCAACAGGCTGCGAGGCGGCGACTCGACTTCGCCCGGTACCACGAGAGATTGTGTCGAAAGACGATCGTGGAGGTACGAGGCCAAGGTGGCATAGTGGAACTCCAAGTCGAGACCAGAGGCTTGTACGGTTGGCGAGACAAAGCCCAGGATGGGCTCTTCCCAAAGAAGCCACTTGGAAGTATTTGGAGCAAAGTGGATGCGATCGTCAATGCTCTGTGCCTCGGGATTGGTATCGTCAAGGCGAGAGGCCATGACAAAGTCGTCGAAATTGGCACCACAGATGCCATCAAAGGATGACTTGAGGCGAGGGATGTCGACCTCGCTGCCTCTCTCGTAGGCATGCTCTGCATAGTAGGACCAAGCGGGAAGCGAAGAAAAGAGATCGACCTCGTTTCCTTCGTCGCCCCAAATGGTGAGGAAAACCCTCGTCACGCCGCTTGACGGGGCCTTGCTTGCGTTCATGCTAGCTTTACATGTGGCAAATGTAAAGGGCAAGGCCGTCCAGAAGCGACTCCAGGTCCAGCTTCCAGCTGCCATCCACGGACTCTTTCTCCCCAGCTTCCAGTGGCTCTCGATTCGGTTCGCGTAGCTTTCCTTGGATGTATGGTCTGTTTAGTTTTAAGAGGGAGCGCAACCATGTGGTCAGTTTTCTGTCGTTGGAGGCATTTGTGCGTGCATGCGCTCCGAGTCTTTGCTCACAATAGTCCCAATAGACAAGGTCGAGATTGTCAGGAATCCCTTGGACGGACAGCGTGGGCTGCGCCGAGTCGTAGTAACCCAAAAGGGAATCGTTACGGGCATTGAGACAGAAGAGCATGTCGCTATTGGTGACGAAATTGAGTGCTTGACAATTACGGCGCTGTTACTGTCCGGATACGCTACTCACCTCCAGATGCATGGCTCCAGGCCAAGATCTAGACAGATGGCATTGACCCTGGAAAGATGATCAATGAAGATGCGAGTCGGCTCCTTGTAGTTGTGCTGTCCAAAGACGCTGTGATAGCGTCCATGTCCGAGTCCGTGCGTCTGCAAATTCGGTTCGTTCAGAACAATCTCGAAAAGGAGGAAATGGGAAGGGGGAAAAAGGGGGCGAAGAGTAGAGCGCGCTCACCTCGTCCATGCCCAAGTGGATCTTTTTAGAGCGGAAGGGGGCGGTCGCCGTTGAGATCATCTTGGAGATCATTGTATATGCTGCTTGGCAGGCGACAGGACATCGATGAGACGCTTTCTGCTTTCGAGACGACGTACTACGATGCAGTCTGACAAACACTCACTCTCTTGATGGTCGGCCAAGAGGACCTCGGACGTGTCTCGCAACGAGAGAAAGCGAGGCCACTGAAGCATCTGCCCAAGATGACCAAGTGTCTGAACTGTTGAGAAGAGACAGGAGGGAATTAGAGGTCCTGCACGACGATGGAGGCCATTGCCACCGATTTGACTCACTGCAAGGGATGACCTCGATGCCCAGTGAATGCGCGTAGTCGTCGATCTCTCGAAGCTCGGCCTGGGAGTAGCCTCCGCGAAGGTATCCAAAGAAGGGCTCTTCCTCAATTTTGTATGTATCTTCGGTGTACAGTTGCCTGTGGTACGGGGTCCGTAAATGTTGGTATGTACGCTTAGGAGAGCATTCTTAAGGGCACTCAACTCACAGCATGTTGTACCCCATCAGAGCTAGCTTCCTGCACAAGAACTTTACGCTCTCAACACGCATGACGCCATTGCGGCTGCAGTCGATCATCGTCCCCAGCGTCTGGAACTGGCATTTCTCGTGGATTGACAAGAGCCGCTTGACGGCAATGTCATCCATAACCCAGCGAGGCCCGTCTTCGTTGGAGGAGCGGACGAATGGGGTCCTCGATACGCCCAGGACATGACCGAGCCCGCGAAAAGCCTCGCAGGGTCTATTGTAGTAGACAGAGACAGTCACGGCCCCGTCTTGGTCCGAAGGTACTATCTGCAGATCCCTACAAGCCTGGGAAGTGTCCTGTCGGAAGCTGATGAATTCATGTCAAAATCAGACAGGAGGTGAATATGCGAAACACTTGTGCTCAAACTGCTCACACAACATTCCACCACCACTGGCCGGGGGAGGCGCTCTGCTTTGCTCGGGCAATCTGGGCTCCTTGCACAAAGGAGACGTTCCTCCTCGGCGCATAGGTGCACAGCTCCCTGACACCCAGCCTTATTGACTCAGGGACGTGATCCTCGGCGATTTGTATTTGGACGCCTTCATCGCCGCATCCTCCGTCGGCCTTTCTTCCTTGGTTGGCTGTCAACGAATCGCTTGCAGTGGGCAGCGGTGGTACCGCCGAGAGAACATCCCCCAGTCGTGGCTCTGACATAGGTGATGCTTTTGTTGCCGGCCGGTGACAAGTGGCAATGAAGAGCGTTCTGCGCACCGGCCTGTGTCTGATGTGTGCATGTGTGTGCGTGAGGACGCGTGTGGCCTGTGCTCCTGGCTATTTTTCCGGCCCTTCCCACATGGCTCCAGAATGCTGCAGAAACTAGTGCTTTTACTTTTCCCAGGTCCATTCTTCGCCGCCCAAGCTTGTCACTAGATCAGTAGCAGAGGCAGAAGTAGCAGTTGTAGTGTCAGCTAGCGGTGGGGCAAGGAACAAAGGCAACCATGTCAAAGAAGCCATTGGCCAGGCGGCGAAACACGGCGATCGGGTGGACCTATGCTGTACTGGGCTACGTGATTGCGCCCTTGTTCGCAGTGCTCCGGTCGCTGCTGTTTGCCGTCCTCAGCGTTGGACCCATCCCCCAGCACATTGGCATCATCATGGACGGCAATCGAAGATATGCGCGCACTCACCCTTCTGGTCCCATGCCCGTCGCACAGGGTCACATGTCGGGCTTCAATGCGCTTCGTACGGTGCTGGAGACGTGTCTCAAGCTCAAGGGGCTCCATACGGTGACAGTGTACGCCTTTGCCATCGACAACTTCAAGCGCGACAAGGACGAGGTCGAGGCCCTCATGACGCTCGCAAAGAGGAACCTCATCGAACTCGCAGGTCACGGCGAGGTTCTTGCTCGTCACTCTGTCCGGCTGCGCATGGTTGGGCGCCGAGAGCTGCTCCCCACCGACGTGCGACTGGCCGTGGAGAAGGTGGAGCGCATGACCAGCGGAAACCGTCGTGCGACGCTCAACGTCTGCATCCCATACTCGTCTCGTGACGAAGTGGCATTTGCCGTCGAGAAGAGCTGCCGAACGGGGCCTTGCTCACGCCGCGAGAGCAAGCAGACCGGCGTGGAGCAACTCGAGGAGAACATGATGTTGGCCCACTCGCCTCCCCTCGATATCTTAATCAGGACCAGCGGTGTTAATCGGCTGAGCGACTTCATGCTGTGGCAGGTGAGAAGAACAAGCCATTCGGGCTGGGCTGGGCGGCACAAGGGCAGGCGGAGGGAGGGGAGAAAGGCCGAGCCGAGCCGAGCTGAGCGGAGCGGAGATGAGCTGACCTGACCTCTTTCGAACGTTTGTCAATGCAGAGCACCGAAGCTCAGCTACAATTCACAAAGCGCTATTGGCCACTGTTTGGTCTCCGGGAGCTGGTCCCCATCATTCTCGATTACCAGCGAATGAAGTGGCGGCAGTGGCTCGAGGCGCAGCTGCTTGCTTGGCGGTGACAGGAGAAGGCAGGGTACCCAAAGTTACACACAAACGGCACACACGGCAAATCATGCACGAAAGCAAAAAAGAGGCGATGGAGAAGGGCGCAGGCAGGCGGAGAGGGCCGCGGTAAAGACGGCCGCGGCTCCAACTCGCACCGCCTTTCGGTCGCGATTCGGGCGACACTCATGGGCTTTGCTATGTCCGGTCGAGATCCTCTGTCGGGTTACGTCTGCTTGGCGTCGACTTCTCCGCCTTTCTGCGTGCCATTGGGCTGGCTGGCTGGCTGGCTGGCTGGCTGGCTGGCTGGCTGGATGACCGAAAGACCTCGGGAGGGAGGACATTATCGGAAAAAGGGAGGATGGGGACCTCTCTCTTCAACCCCCCTCTTCTTCCTTTGGTTCTCTTTTCTGCGAATATTTCGTTCTCCGTGCTACATTGGCGTCAGGGTCCCCTCTTTCTCTCGTCCGTATAAGAGAGAAATCTCCTTCGTCCTTCGCAAACACCCCTCTCCTCATTACAGCCAATCACCACCATCGCAGGACCCACTCCGTCTGCGATGCCCTGCCTAAATAACCTTGTCACCGTCCAGCTTCATCCTAAATATTGGACTGGTCAGGCAGTGCTGCCTCTACAGACCGATCCCGTCGCCTTCGAAGAGACCGCCGTGGCACCACGCCAGTGGGTAAGTTGAGCTTGAAAGGAGAGCAACGCGACAAGGAGAAGTGTTAGGAAGCAATCCCTTATTCTTCCCCTTCCCCCGCGGCAGTCTGTTCGTACCATTGCCTGGACCGGAGGAAGCAAATATGCCTTTTGCAGCATCGACTTCTCGAGCTTACTTCAGGCAAACCCAAGCTGCGACAAGATCATTATTTACCTCGAGGTTGATTATGGTGTGTGCCTTTCCTTCCCTATTCTCTTACTCTTTTGCTTTCCTCTTTCTCTTCTTTCCCTTCTTATAACATGCACATGACTCACGCTTGCCTTTTTGTGTGGACAGGTCCATCGGTTCGCAAAGCTTTCCTACGAACCCTGTCGGCGCGTACCCATCACCGCGTTTTCACTGCCACCTTTGGTCTGGCCGAGAAGGGTGGCGTTGTCAAGGTCCGACTGATTCCCGTCAATGATCTCAAATCGAAGCAAACAGTGAGTGTGACTTGTGCAGTACTGCGGGGCGCACTACCTGACTATGCAAGATTGCTTGCGCACGGCAGCATGTTCCCCCTCTCGTTTTGGTCTTCTACTACATTCACTCCCTAAGCATGGAGACTGGCCTCACAATTGGAAACCCTTGGCTGCCGACCAGCGACTCGTATCGCCGCCCGTCCGCGTGCGACGAAGAGATGGATGCGGCGAGCGCGAGGATGGGGGTAATAAATATACCCTCTGCGTCGCCTTACTTGACGACAGCGGAGGTGGCATCGAAAGACGCATGCAAGAGGAAGCCTCTTTCTGTCCAAGAACTCTTGGCGCCAGAGCCCAAACGTCGTCTGGATCGACATTGCCGCGAAAATGCTCGAAAGAATGCTTCAAAACCTATGGCGAGCGCAAAGCCTTCGACGATGGGGCTGGCACTTCAGAAACGAGTTCGAGTCATCTTGCCTGGTTCTCCACCTGTCTCAATGGTCGCGGCAGAGGAGCGATGGCGGCACCAGCTCCAGCGCGATCAGTTGGTCAAGAAGCTCGCGGTGTTGAACGGGTACCATCAGCACGTACTGATGACAAGATACTGTGGGTCGGAAAAACAGGCCGAAAGTACCGCGCAAATGACCTCCGTGCTGCTGCTGCGGCATCAGTCCACAGAATCGGCTCGCGACTGGTGTATCAAGCCGTATCATCGCTCTCAAAGTTGCACAAATTGCACGCGTGCAGTGCAAGGGTTTCTCGGCCGACCTGACTTTCAGACAGTAAGCTGCGGTTGGGATCGCCGCCCAGTAGTCTCGATGCACGCTGCCTCCAGAGCAGAGCCGGAGGTCAGGAAGACCACCGGTGCTCCCGTTGCTGGTCACGGCAACTCCAAAGTAGAGATGCATAGAGGCGGTTTCCATGATGATGGCGAGGACAAGGAAGGACACGGAGGGGAAACTTTCACATGACGAGGTCATTGCCTGCTCTGCAACCTTATCCGTACTGTACCATCCTTCTTGCAAATAACCCAAAGTAAATAGTGACAGCGACTCCAGCAACGCTTACAAGCTCAAGGTCGCAACAAAATTCAGCAGTCTTGTCAACGGCAAGAGAAAAGGGAGGGGAATAGCAAGCACATTTCAGCCCAAGTCCCACACAATCTTGGTGTGAGAATCAATGACCCTAGCATGTAGATGGCGAGGAGGGTGATGGCTTTGAAACGATACAGACTTTATATCTTTCCCCCTCCTCAAATCGTGTTGACGTCTTGAATAACAACATAAAGCATGTAGCTGTATATTGGTTCCTCATGTTGCGCTCGTCGTATCTCGAGAGCTTGCAGGCCATTTGTGGTAAGTATTCGTGGGCACTGACCAGGCCGAGTAGATTTACAAATGTGACTTCCGAATGTTCCATGCTTTGATGGGACGTTGTACTGTACTACTACTGTAGTGTGCACATACGGCAAAGGAGTTGACGTCGCTGGACACAGTGTGCTACACACCCCGCAGTAGCTCTATGGTACTTGAACACTAGCGAAAAAGAACCCCTGAATTCCGAGCAAAGACGAACACTACGGTGAACAAAAGGAGGCTGGAAAGAAGGTGACTAGGGCAAGAAGTGCTGAACAGAAAGAGAGACTGTTCACGCTTCGGAACGAGGTTTCTTGTGGCGGCGAGGAGGGGACTCAATGTCTTCATCGACAAGCATCTTGTCTTCCTCTCGGGCTTCGTCGCCGGCTAGTCATGCTCCTCCAGCACCGAAAGGCGATGCACCAAGACCGCCAACCCAGGTGCCAGCGCCTGGGCCTCTTGGATCGGAGGGTGCACTGACATCGTGAGGCGCCCATTGCACATCAACAGCAGACGAGGGAAGAGGGGATGCTGCCGCCGCCACAGTGGCGCCAGCGCCTGCAGAACCACCGTGATAGTAGTGCTCCTCCGCGTGGCGCTCCATCGTCGACGTGAGGGAGCCCACCAAGCGCCTAAAAGCCTCTTCTGAGAGGATGGCCAGCTGAATCTTATTATTCCTCTCGTCGTGTGCGTCACCTGAAGAGGTGCTGTAGGAGAGCGGGGGACCGGCTTTGGCAGCCACGACCGAGGCGGCTCGGGGAGCATTATTGAGAAGGGCCAATTCTGCCATGTTACATGTCATCAGCATCTCGTCGATGTCCACTTCTTCGGAAGAAGGGTCGGGTATCACTCACCGCCAAAGTACTCTCCGGCGATAACGTGGCCTACTTGGACCTCTTCTTCGCCCTCTGCGCGGCGCCTTTGCACCATCAGCTCGCCGCTGAGGACGATAAAGAATTCCCGGCCCGGCTCGCCCTGGGTGATGATTCGATCGCCGACCTTGTACTCGCGAATGTGCAGCGCGTCGGCCAGCTTGGCGATCCTGCTCGAGTCGAGCGTGTCGAAGAGTGAGACCTTGCGCAGAAATTTCTCCAATGTCCACCGCTTTCTTCCATTTGTCTCTGTCAAGATCGACCGGAACGTTACTCGATCGACAGCCCACAGGACGCAGGGAGAAGTGCTGACGATGCTCGCCGCGCGAGGCTGCAGGTAGAGGAGGGCAAGCTCTCCAAACGCACTCGACGGTCCATAAGACGACTTGTACTCTCCCAAAAATGAGACGGCGGTTTGGCCATGCGGAATCGAGCTGCCCCCTTGGGTTGTTGGTGGATGATGGCCCAGATCTTCGCCGAGGGTAGAGTCACTGGAGGTCGTGCTGCCGACGCTGCCTCTTCCAGCCAGACCGCCACGCGGAATACTGTTGTTGAACGAGGAAGAAAGCTTGGGGTCGATGTGCACGTCCAATGTCCCACTCTCAACGACATAGAAAAAGTCACCTTGATCACCTTGACGGATAACTATGTGATCCTTGTCCACCTTGACCTCCTTCATTGCCAGGAGCACATCATTGGACTGCTGCTCGTCGAGCTGCCTGAATAGAAGGTTGCTCCCAATGCTTGCCTTGATGCGCGCCTTTTGAGAATCCGTCTTTGGAATCACAGTCTTCGGCAGAAGCTTTCCATCTGCATCATGCGAAGACGGGCCGAGCGAAGGTGCCAAGGACTCAGCGCTGACGCTCTCTCTGCGGCCGAGATTGAAGGCAGGAGGAGGGATGAATGCGTCAGGGTCCGACGAAGTGCTGCTTGAAGAGATACTATCGCGCTGCTGCTGCTGGTGAGTGTTCGAGGTGACGACAGCGGGTGCTGCAAGTGATGCGGGTGGAGCAGCAGAGGGCGATGCACCGCTAAAAGGCGACGTCACAGATGCTGACGATGAAGCTGAGACGGCACCGAAAGGGTTGACATTCTGCAGCCGAGAGGCTGAGGAAGTAGATGTGGGAGTGGTTGTGGCAGCATCCTGTCCTTGACTGAGCACGCGTCGATGGTCTCGCAGACGAGTCTGAAACCAATCGGCGCAGAACTGCAGGATGTCGGTGGGACGCTGTCGCAGCACGTCGCGGTTCAGATCGTTGAGGATCGCTGAATAATCGTTTGTGAACGCCGACATTATCGTCTTGCGCCCTCGAACTCTGTTCAGGCGTCTATGAAAGGGTTGAAAACGTATGGTCAAGAAGGCGTTGAGCCGGTCGAGGAGGCTTGGCTCGATGATGTTGGGAAGGTAGGCGGCCGTGAATGCGACCGACGTCCGAGCGTCTGTGGTGGCGCGCGCTTCGCACTGGCACTACCAGTCTTCATTTGTGCCACGTGGGCGCTGTCCAAAAAATGCCGAGGGCCAACTTCTGTGCACCGGTCTTTTCTCCTTCTGATAAAAATGTCTGCCCAGGCCCATAGTATTCTTCCCTTTCTGGACCGCAATCTCCTTGACTCTGTATGCTCCTGTCGCGGCCAAGTCCTCTCTCCTTTGTTCTGCACCCATCAAAACTCTTCGCTTCGCCCACAAAAAAGGTGAGTGACTGCTCGAAGATGCACTTGCGATGATGAGCACAACTTGCAACACACGTGAACAATCCAACACCGAGCTCGTCATCTTAGCGACGACGATGTGGAGCCAAGCTAGATCAAATCTTCTGAACGTCTCTCATGTACAGCGCGAAAGATTAGCGGCAGGATGAGCTGCAACGGCTGACCACTGATGACCTCTCTCCGCTCATGGCAGGCACCTTACAGGCTCGTCTCGGATCTTGCCGCCCTGGCTTCGCATCACTCAAGCAGCATGGCGGATGTTGTCAATTCGAAGGCGCCCAAGCCGACCCTTTTCATCGACGGACAGTGGCGCCATTCCTCGTGGGGAAAGAGTCGACCGACAATCAATCCCTTTGATGCGAACGTGATTACAACCGTCGACGAAGCCTCCCCGCAAGATGCACTGGCAGCCATTAAATCGGCTCGCGCCTTCCACGACTCGTCCTCGTGGCCCCGCCAGTCATTTGCGTCGCGTGCTCCCCTACTGACAAGGATCGCCGACCTGCTGCAGAGGGACCGCAAGGTGCTGGCCGAGATCGAAGTACAGGACACGGGAAAGACGCTGGCAGAGGCCGAGACGGACGTTGACGACGTTACCGCTGTCTTTCGCTTCTACGCAGAAGAAGGTCCCAAGATGGACCGTGAAAAGGTTGTGAAAGGAGATGGGATTCCCAAGAGTGTCCGAAGTCGCATCGTAAAGGAAGCGGTGGGCGTCTGCGTCCTCATTGCTCCGTGGAACTGTGAGTGTCAATCTACTGCGAGATGGATGCTCATGCTGAAGCCGCACCGCCCCCCCCCCAAGATCCGTTGCTGCAAATTTGCTGGAAGCTCGGACCTGCGCTCGTGGCCGGGAATTCGGTCATCGTCAAGCCCTCGGAGGTAACACCTCTCTCGACGGTTCACCTGCACAAGCTCATGATCGAGGCCGGCATCCCCCCAAAGGCGATCCAGTTGCTGACCGCTGGTGGCCAGAGCGTAGGGCCCACGCTGACCGAATCGCCCGACGTGGACCTGGTCTCGTTCACCGGCGGCTTGTCGACGGGCAAGAGCATCATCAAGAGCTGCGCAGACAGCATCAAGCGATGCTGCGTGGAGCTGGGAGGCAAAAACCCAAACATCGTCTTTGCAGACACGCCACTCGATCTGGCAATCGATGTCATTCTCACGGCCGTCTTTCTGCACGCCGGCCAAGTCTGCAGCTCTGGCACGAGGCTGATCATCGAAGACAAAGGTACTTTTGCAGACGAAGTCGTCAGGGGCGTCGTGGAGCGGGCACAGCGAATCTCGCTTGGCAACGGCATGGACCCCCAGTCAGAGGTGAGCTTCTGACCAAATCGTACTCAACCCCTTTTCCTTCCACCTCCTTCTTTTCCCTTTAGGCGCGATATCTTGGGCTCACATGACTTTGCAACCAGTCTGGGCCGCTCGTCTCTCTGGCACATCTCAACAAAGTCAAGGCATTCGTAGAGCTCGGGAAGAGCGAAGGCGCAAAGCTTCTCTGCGGCGGCTCCCAGCCTGACGCAGTCCGGAGACCGGACCTGGCAAAGGGCTACTTCTTCCTACCCACCGTGTTTGACCACTGCCACCGCGAGATGCGCATCGTACACGAAGAGACATTCGGGCCAATCCTCACCGTCGAGAGATTCCCTGCCGGCGACGAGGAGCGCGCCATATATCTGGGAAATGATACCAAGTGGGCATCTGAAGCCTGTCGCCCATTGTTAACTTGTTCTTGCTGACAATGATTCAAACGCAATGATCTTGCAGATATGGACTGGCCGGTGGCGTCCAGACGAGCGACGTCGAGCGAGGGGCGAGGGTGGCCAAGCGTCTGCGCCACGGAACGGTGTGGACAAACACCTTTGGAAGCTACACGCCCCGGGCAGAGTGGGGTGGTTTTGGCATGAGTGGAAATGGTCGGGAACTCGGCAGCGCAGGACTGGATGAGTACGTCGAGAGCAAGCATCTCTACACCGAGACGGCCCCGGCCCCTGCGGGCTGGTTTAAAGGACAGAGCAAGCTGTGAGGCGGAAGAATGTCTCTAGTATTTGATAGAAATCTCTCTTTTCTCTGTTTCATATTGCATATCGCTTTGATGATCCCATCCCGCGTCCACAGGAGCCATAATAGCTGTGACAGTTAACATTTGACGTTCGTTTAAGGACGCCCTTCAACCCTCAGCCGACTTGCTTTGTGCTACCGAGTCGCCGCGATTTGTGCTCACGACGTTGCTGACTAAAGTGTTCACGAGGGGGGGTGCGTGCCTCCACACAAGACGCAGCCTAGTGGGCAAAATATTGCCTAAGCAACGAGATGGATTGATGACCAACACCAGTAAGGCCTTCCCCTCACACACCACTTGCCCAGCATGACGGCATCTCCCACGTCGACCAAGGTGGGCCAGAACGAGGGCGGTGCAAAGGCGGACGCAAGAACGAGCAAGGGCAACGATGCCAAGCAGATCAAGAGGAAGAGGGTGCTCATCGTGGGGGGCGGCTGCTCGGGCATGTCAGCCGCCTATTGCATGTCGCTCAAGCCCGATCTGTTTGACGTGACACTGTACGACAAGGCCAGCAGCGTGGGAGGCAGCGCCACGTCCTACCAGCTGCCCGCCGACGGCCGCTTTGGCGCCTCGTACATCAACGACGGCGTGCAGGGCGCGAGCCCCGTCTTTTTCAACACGCTCAAGATGTTTGAGGCTGTCCTGGGCTTTCGTGCCAGCGATGTGGGCATGCAGATCAGCTTCGGAAAGGGCAAGGAGTCCTTTTGGTCCAACGTCTTTCCCAGCGAACTCGTCGATGAGTATCGCAACGACATAAAAAAGGTGGGTCGTGAGACTTCTCGGCGGAGAAACGATCACTATTCCGCTGATCCACAATTATGCTCTCTCTCTCTCTCTCTTTCTCTCCAATGCAATCTTCGCGGGCCCCAGTTCGGACGCACGCTTCAAACAATCAAGCGTTTCGAGCCGATTTTTGCCCTCATTCCCGTCGACAAGATGCTTGCCATGTTTCGCTTCTCGCCCTCATTTGGCGAGCGAATGGTCTATCCCCTGGTGGCCCTCTTCTTTGGGACGGGAAATGAGACCCGGCACATCTCGTCTGCCATTCTGGAGAGAGTGTTTCTAGATCCCAGTATGCGCCTCTTTGAGTTCAGCGAAGAGAGCCTCCTTGCCAGCGTACCCCACATGAAGGCTTTTCCCGAATTGGCGCGCGTCTACGGCGCATGGAGGGAAAAGGCGCAGGAACAAGGCAATGTACGCATCGAGACGGCCCGTCAAGTATGCAGCGTAGAGCGAGGTTCCTCGCGGGCGAGAAGTGCTGGCGCCAACATTCTCGCTACCAGCAAACCGGCCAAAGAAGACCAGGCAGCATTGGAAGCTCATGAGCCAGAAGAACGAGAGGAAGCCTTTGACGAAATCATCTTTGCATGCGATGCCGACAGTGCTCTCAAGATCCTCAAGGCTGGATCGGGACCGACGTGGAAAGAGTCGAAGATTTTGGGAAATGTCTTGTACAAGTGGGATGTGACGGTGACGCACAACGATTGGGACTATATGTGCAAGCACTGTGAGTATTTGTCGCTCGGCGTCCCTTGACAACCGTACTCGGCCGTGTGGATGAGGCTGCTAAGTGTTGCACATTTTCCTTCTCCCCCTCCTCTTCCAGATCAAATGACGTACGACGAGGAATATAACGCCAAGCGGGATGATGAAGACTCGAAGAAGGCCTTCCAATTCGCAAAAGACAACTGGCGACCGCTGTACCTCATCAAGATGTATGAGGACGAGCCGAGCATGATCGAGATGAGCTTTGACCTGAGTCACTACCAGGGACAGTTCGAGGGCATGCCAGCCGTAGGCAGAGGGGCCGACGTGACCCTCGAGCAGGCCCCTCCGACGGAGAGGGAGGGTGTGGGTGCGCAGGGGCCTCAAGAGGTTCCTGTTGAGGGACAGAGTGAAGAACAACTCCCCAAGGAGAGACACGTTTACCAGACCATCTACCTCGATCGCGAAAGGCGGGAGAAATGGACAAAGGACGAGGTGCGCCAGGACAAAATCATTCTCGAAAAGTGGTGGAAGCAGCAGAGCCATCGTTGGCAGCATTACGGCGGTACTGTGCCGTGGATGTGGACGATTAATGGAAAGAACAACACGAGGTGAGTAGAATGAGGCTTTAAGTTGCATCGAATCCTCAGAGTTGCAAATTGACACTCGCCTAATCTGCAGCTTCGCAGGCGCTTGGTCGCTGGTTAACATGCATGAGGTGGGGATCGCCAGCGGCTTTGCTGCCGCCTACCAACTCGGAGCGCCTTACCCTTTCAAGGGTGACGAAGATTGCACTCGCCTGTTTCGTCTCTACCTTCTCCTGGCTCATATGGCTCGCATGCGTTCTGAGGATCGCAAGGGCTTCTTTGCCTAGGTGTCTTCTCTGCCATTTGATGTTGTAGTAGTACCCTAGAACGCGGCGTCATATCATTGCAAGTGCAAAGTGCAAAGTACTGTGTGCGCTGGTCTTTCGTATGATCTCGATAAAGTCGGAGTACCTCTGGAGAGGGAGAGAAGAAGTAGAGTATTGGGAATACATTAAGTAGGATGATGCCAACCTAATAAGCGACAATGCTCTTTGATATGTGGTCGTCACAATCACAATCTGGAGAAAGAGCGCCCTGGGTCAAGGTGTCTTCAAGATAATGCTGTAGTCTGCCATCTCAAAGCCATAGGCAAGGGTACTTGCGATCTTGAAGATCTCGATGCTCTTGCAGAGGAACACTGAACACCGAGCAGTGTAGATTGACTAGTAGTAGTGCAGTCGAATGTGTCAGAACAACGAAATAAAGCTCCATCTCCGCTGACAGCGGCACCAAAAAGTCTTGCTATGAGGAAATAAGGAGGATATTAGATCGAAGGGCTCATCCTTTCGGAAATGACTGTCCAATCATCCACAGCATGCTCCTTGTTAGCGTTCTACCATGGATGGGTGACAATTGACCAGAGCATACAGGATGAAGTAGCAGGAGATCGGTGACCGTGCGTCGACCACCAACAACCAGAGTGGAACGTGCGGTTTTACCGACGCGACATGGACGAGCGTAGCGACTAAAGATCTAGAAACTTTATCTACCGGTAATGAAACTTTCGTGAGCATGTTCTCTCACATGCATGCAATCAAGGACAAACGAGCACGGTCTTACCGGCAGCTTCAACAATAGGTGGTCGGGTGTCTGCACTGGAATCGTCGGCTTGCTTCCATCCATGTTCTGTCTACCCTCGGCTATATGCGACAGAACATGAATCTTGCGAGGAGGCAGTGGCGCCGGACCTCGTGCTGGACGATCTTGTGGTTCGTGTCTGCCTGCCTAGGACAGATCATCACGCTGCAGGACAAAGCCACGCTCCTGGGTAGGCGTGGGTCAAACATCGATTCATGGCTCGGTGAGTTGTCCGGGCTTGTCGACTGAGCTTTCTCAACTCTCGATCCAACAAAGATCCTTTTGCAAGGCATTCGTTACGCCGATTGGGACCGATTCGGAGCTTCCAGACCTACAAAACAACACGCGAAGCTCCGCCTGCCCAACGGAACCTGGGACGCCACCACCCTTGGGCCTCGCTGCCCTCAGCCCGGGTCTGATGCCAGTGCCATCTCGGAAGATTGCCTTGTGCTCAACATTTATCGGCCGTCATTGGCCCCACTCACGTCCGCAGCTGCCTTTACCAGCGAGGCTGATGACAACGAGGGTAGGAAGCTACCGGTGATTCTCTTCTTCCACGGCGGCGGGTTCCGTATTGGCTCTGCAAATGACTTCGACCCCACTGTGTTTCTCGAGAGCGCTCAGAAGAGCAATCGCAGCGCGGCAGTATTTGTGGCCGCAAACTACCGGCTGGGCTTGCTCGGTTTCCTGGCATCGTCGTCGTTACAGGCGTCAAGAGATGCCAATGAAGACAACGTGATCCTTAACCCAGCCATGCAGGACCAAAGGGTGGTTATTCAGTGGGTCAAGGACAACATCAAGGCCTTCGGCGGCGATTCGGACCGCATCACCCTCTGGGGCCAATCTGCTGGCGCATTCGGCGTTGGAGCGCAGCTGCTGGCGCACGCCGACGACGCTCACCCACCTTTCCACGCCGTCATACTCCAGAGCGGTGGTCCCGCGGGTGTGGGTGAGTCCTGGCGGGACAAACGAAAGGGGCGAGGGGCGTTAGAGGAGAGCAAAGAAGGGACCTAACCACTGCCAACGTAGCTCTCGGCCCTGTGTCTGCAAAGGATGGCCAGTTCCAAAGGATCCTGAGCTCGACCAATTGCGCAAATGTTACGTGCTTGCGGGCCCTGCCCTTGGCTACCATCCTCGCAGCACAGTATGCTGAGGAATCGAAGCCAAAAAATTACGATTTTCTGGGCGGTGCGCCGTGGACGGCCTGCATCGACGGCGGGCCTGGCAAGGGCGGCTTTTACGAGCAGGACCCTATCTTTCTTGTCGAGGAGGGCAAATTCGCCAGCGTTCCCATACTTATCGGCGATACCCTCGACGAGGGGACTCTCTTTACATCCCAGTCCAGATTCGGAAAAAGCAGCGATATCGAGGATTGGATAGGTAGTCGGTACCATCCTGTGCACACCGCCCTTCGCTCAGATCTCATTGACAATACCAATTGGCATACAGATTCTTATGGACTCGGTCGCAAGAACTCCGACACCGTCATGAAGGCATACCCCAATGATCCCACTCAGGGCTCTCCCTACGGATCGACCCAATCCTTTTCTGGCCAATACAAGGCGAGTTGGCCAATTTACCACCTCTCCTCGCTGCCTTACTCACAATACCTCATTTGTCGACGACGCAGCGCGCTGCATCCATCTGGGGCGATATACGCTTTCAATCGACCCGAAGGTTGCTCCTAGCAAAGGCCAGTGCGAAAGCCTGGACGTATCAATTCAGCCAAGCTCAAAGCCCTGGCACAAAGGCCTCACTGGGCGTTCCTCATTCCAGCGATCTCTATACGGTCCTAGAAATCGCACCTACGGCTTTGGGTTCTTTGATGGCCAACCAATTCGTTGCTTTTGCCGCCAATGGCACCCCAGAAGCACCCGGGTTACCCCCTTGGCCGGCCTTCGACAAGGACATTCGTACGATGCTGCAATACATAGACGACTCTGGCACCTTGATCAACGACACGTATCGCGATGCGCCAATGGAGACGCTGATACAGGTCCGCCTTGCGGTACAGACGGATCAGGCAGCCCCACAAAGCTCCACAATGAGTCTCTTCTGGGCTTCCGTAACGACACTGTTTGCTCTTGGTCTCGGTTCGCTGTGATCACACTACATCGATTTGGCTGCATGCCGTTGCTTCTTTCTTGGAAACGTGGCAATAGAGCAGTTTACAGAGCAACAATGACCAAGAAGATCTTGGCCTTTTCCTTCGCTTTGCCTTGCCTGTTGTATGTTTTCTTGTTCTCCCCCACGCCTTCGTCCACCCCCAAACCACTGCGAGTAACGGAGTGTTCTATGCTCTGAAAGTGTGGATGTAGCGGAGGTATCTCCACCGTTGCCAGTCGTCTCGCCGTCAATCTCTCGCGTCCGTTGTGGACAAAGACTTCCAGGTTGCGCGGCAAGAAGAAATGCTCCGACCATGCTTCGATTGTCTCGAGGACTTCAGGTTCCTTTCGCTTGGCCATGACGCCTTTGATGGCTTTCGTAACAAAATACCCTGTTGTTTTAGAGCGGAGAAAGGGAACAATAATGAGCTCAACATGTAAGTAGTGAAGAGTTTGAGAGACGATTCGCACCAGTGGCACCCATATGCATGGTAACGGGAGCCACGGTGGCCAGGACTTGTCCCCCAATCCCCACTCTGCCAGCAACCTCGACATCTTCGAGAAATCGAGCCCAGTCTGCTGCGCTCACGTCGTGCTCGACGAAGTCTGGTCCGAAATAGCATGGCTTGAAGCCCTCGCCTGCGAATTTGCCATTTCCCTCAACCTGGCGGGACGGGAAACGACGGTAGCTGTGAAGCCCTGGCCGACGACGAAAACATGGGGCAGTGAAGTCCAGTGGCTGGCTTTTAGAAAGCCGATTCTGGACCCTTGTGGCCCAATCGAGAGAGGGAAGCTGCGTCAGTTCCGCGTCAGCCTCTGTAGGTGCCCAATCTGGCCTCAAGGCGTATGGCGACCCAAAGTCGGCTACTGTGCTGGGAATTCCAGATCTGAAAGCGTTTGATGAAGGCGATGGAAGTTGCAACACCCCTCGCGGTCGCTGAGCATGAGGGTGGAGATGAAATGCCGCCGTGTGAGTCGGAGGCTGGCTTTTCTCTTCCATCCTTTCAGGTGCTGTGGCTTAGTACTGTACAGTACAGTACGTTGTACCCTACGTTGGCGTTGTGCTACTAAGTAAGTCTTTCTTCTCGTTCGAAGGAACACCGATGAAGAAAGCAGATTTCGAGGCAGGATCAGCCTCTGTTTAAGTACTTTCGACGCTCAGTCAGTAGTAACCGATGGGCTGCCGACCCTCCCTTCACCGTATCCTACAGTGGCTACCATGCAGTGCGCCCGGGCGGGCGGGCGGGGACAGCCGAATAAGTGCCTCGGCGTTGAATCGGTTCCCATTTCTTTAGGCTAAGTAGAAGATTAGATAAAAACAAAAATACGCCTCGGACATGTGCGGTATCACTTTGGGACGGAGGGAGCATAGCTCGTAGTGATGTTGCGTATCGACGAAAGAATGAAGAAACGCGGAGCGATAAATTGCATAGGCGTTTGGAAGAACATCAACGCTATTAGCCAGTGCGGATGTGTCGATGCCCTTTCTTGTGACGCTGTTGTTGATGAGCGTCGCTTTAATGCTCATGCATGGGACGAGCTCTACATGACTTTTCAAAGCCTATTCGTTTAGCTGATTCGTTTAATTTTTAGCGTGCTTCTTTCTACGAACAATGGCGACCAACCGTTCTCATGGGTTGCTGTGGTCCACCGATCGCGCCCCGGAAGCATGAAAATCCTGATTGTTGGCGGCGGCATTGCAGTGAGTGAGCGAGCGTCCTGAGAAGGACTCAAAGAGGGGGACGGAGACGCTGAAAAGACTACTCGTTGCTAGGGCCTGGCCACAGCCGCGTTCCTTCGGCGTCGCACGAGTTACCAGGTGGAATTAGTCGAGAGAGGTCCGCTTCTTTCTGACGCAGACGATTACGGCATCGCTGTCGCCTCGAATGGCGTAGCGCTTATGCGCCTGCTGTGTGATGGCGAGGATCTTTACCAGGAGCTTCAAGCCAAGGAACTCGAGCAAGTCATGATGAGAAGGGAAACAAATGACGGCAACGTCGCTGCGCTTCCCTTTCCTGACTTTGGAGCACCCTTTCTCTTTTGCCGTCGTAAGAAGCTTATAGGCTGGCTTCTCAAAAAGGTACAACACGGTACTGGGCAGGTCGTGAAGCTCCATCATTCCATACGCATGGTCAAAATTGACGTCAAAGACGGTACTGCAATCGATGACGTTGGAAGACGGTATGTGGGAGATCTCGTCGTGTGCGCAGACGGTATCAATAAAACTGGTCGCCGAGCCGTGTTGGCCGCCCAGAATCGCCGAGACAGCGACACTGTTGCATTCGACAAAGGCAGCACCTTGTCATCCAACAGGTGGACAGAAGCTCACTGCGCATATATGACCACTGCTCCAGCTTCGTTCTTAAACTCCCGCCAATCGCTCCGCTTCCTTCTAGAGAAAGGCTGCCTCGTCAATTGGTTCTACGACGAGCCAAACGTAGCCAAAGATGATGCAAGGCGACTCCAGCGTAAAGTCGTTGCCTATCCGCTCGATGACAAAGGAAACCATCAGATCTTTGGCTATCTGCCCACCACAGATGAATTGCTTTCGCGTTTCGAGAGCTCGGAGAACACGCAGAGGCGGGTCAGTATTGCCAACAATGTCCCCGCCCATGAGGCCGTTGCGGCATTCGAGCCCTTTCACAAAGATCTCAGGGATTTATTGAGGTGAGTAGAGGAGGGAAAAGGGAAGAGGTTTAAAATCCCAAGTCGACAACACGAGATTGGCGTCAGCTCAGAAAGACATTGTTCAAAAGCTGCCACCCGACAACGGACCTCTGCCTCGTTCGCGACAGTGATCCGCTGCCCTCTTGGCGGGCCGCAAAGGCCATCCTTATCGGCGACGCAGCTCATGCCGCCGCGCCTCGTGAGTTTCGTCCCTCCCCCAAGCAGTTTGCTGCCTCCTTCCCAAGGACTCAAGCTAGCTCCCGTCACAGATGCTGGTCAGGGCTCGGCACAGGCCTTCGAGGACGCAGAGACCCTCTCACACTTCATATCTCACTTGGGTCTCGAAGAGGCGCTCGACCGTTTCGAGCAAGCACGAAAGCCTCGGGCACACTACGTTCAGTCAACCGGCAGGGTCCTCAACGGCTGCCTTAGTATCGATGGGTGGAACGAACATCATTACTATACGACCATTTACACCTGGAGAGGGTGTGGTAAGACGTAGCTCGAATTAAAGACGCGATTGCCGTCCTTGCGAGCTGCTCGTTGTACTGGAGCAAAGGCCAGCCAATCGATTGATGTGGTCCTCCGCGTCCCTCTCGATTGTCTTGAGGAGTTCCTCGCACGTTGGAATATCGTGGATTAGGCTGAGATAGTTGGGGTTTGAGAGACGTGGAGAAGGGTAAAAAGGTCAACATTACAAGTTGAATCAGTGCTTCACTTCACTACGAGGGGACTCACCCTACTGAGATGCCACAGGTCCAGATGCCTGCATCGATGTCACCATTGATGTAGACTTGCTTGCCACGCTGCCCTGACACCAGGGGCTGGCACGAAAGCGACGAGACGTGAGCACCACGCTTAAGACTGACACGAAAGCGGACCGGGAGGCCTTGCTTACCTGTATGTCTTTAAATTGGGCTCCCTTCGATTCCTTCTCTACTACTTCGACGGCGACTTTGTTTTTGAACACCCTGGCTGTGTTGCGAAGCGTACGGAAGATGTGTGTCTGCAAGAAGGTCACACAAGCCAATCCCGGTCAGCGAGCCCTACTCGAAGGATACCAGACACCTCGCGGCCTTGACTCACGGTATTGCGTTCGTCACTCTTGACCATGACCTGCTTGACGTTGTCGTGAATCTCGGCTTCCTTTGTTGCCATGAACCGCGTTCCCACTGAGAACGGCAATCGGGTATGAGCACAAATACTTTACCTCAATGTATCCTGGCTTCAAATCTAGCTCACTATTGGCTCCCTGTGCCCCGAGGGCAAGACTTGCGGCCAACCCCTGGCCATTGGCGATACCGCCAGATGCGATAAAGGGAATGCTGAGGTCTTCTGCGGCGCGCGCCATGAGCACCAATCCACCAATGTCGTCTTCGCCTGGATGGCCTGCGCATTCGAAGCCGTCAATAGAAAGCATGTCGGCTCCCATCTTCTGTGCGCTTTTCGCATGGCGCACCGTCGTGCACTTGTGAATCACATAGCCGCCATGTTCTTTGACGAGCTTGATAATCGGGCCAGCTGCACACCACACCCTTTCTCATCAGTATCATCTACTGACCAAGACACATCAAGCCAACTTACGATTGTTTCCGGCCGTCTCAAAGATGCGTACACCTTCTTCAAGAGCTGCTCGGCAGTACCCCTCGTAGTCTGGAGGGTTAATGGAGGGCAATAGGGTCAGATTGACGCCAAAGGCTCCGAGCTTGCTCCTCTTGGCCACGTCGGGCCTGATCATGGAGCGGGTGTGCTTGACGGCTTCCCTGAGCGCATCGGGCGACGGCTGTGTGAGGGCAGTGATGACTCCAAGACCACCTGCATTGGAAACGGCCGCAACGAGCTTGGGCAAGCCGACCCACTGCATGCCGCCCTGGACGACGGGAATGCGCAGCCCCAGATCCCGGGTGAGGGCCGTGTTGAGAACCATTGTGAATTGAGAGCAAGGTGGAGTATGGGATGATGTGCGTGGACGGTAATAGGCTGGAGCGAGAATGGAAGAGAATAGGAGAGAGAGAGAGAGAGTGTGTGTGTGTGTGTGTGTGTGTGTGTGTGAGTGAGTGAGAGAGAGAGAGAGAAATAGGGAGAGAAAGAGAATATCGCAACGGTCAATGATGTTCACCGGCAAATGAGTACCCGGAATGGTCACGTGATGCACACTTTTGTCGTCTGTGTCGCACAACAATCGACTCGGCGTCGTCTTTCGGGGACATTGCCATGGCCGTGTTGCACGAAGGTCAGAATGGTGTGGTGATGGACAGGTTGGTAGCAAGTGTAGACGGCGTTGGAGGTGCCGAGGCCGTCGCGGTGATGGCGTGGCAAGACTCGCACTGCTTTGTCCGGTTAGCTGGCCGACGCGAGGCGGTCCAAGTTGGAATTTTGACGTTTCCGACAGCTTCGACCGCGCTCGGACCACCATGACGCCGATTCCTTCTTTTAACAGACACTCTGTTCATTATCGTATTCAAGTAGCATATGTTGCCTTCGTGTCATCGTCTGATCAATCCTTGAGGGTCCTGACGCAGCTGCAGTGACAGGGTCGTCTTACGATCCAGGTTCACTAGATTGTGCAGGATCGAGATCTTCATTGATGCTCGATCACCCGATGGAAAACCTTGGCTCAGCCAATGGATATCCTCAACTCCGTCAACGACTGCGGGCACACCGAGCATCCAAGTTTCCCACTTTCAGCGGTTGTTGTCGCAGCCACTAGCCTATCTTTCTTCAAGAGGAGGGAAAGAGGGAAAGAGAAAAAAAAAGGGGAAAAAAGAGGAGTTGTACTTGTCTCTCTGTCTGCCAAGGGCCCCGCTCCGGCAGACAATGGGGTGAGAATTTTCACCGAGTAGCAGTCAGCGAGAGTAGCATGGGACAAAGACAATGTGTTGTACGGAGAGCAATTTTTGATTGGAGTACACCACCATCACCATCATCACCACCACCATGATCCTCTTTCGAAGCCAAGCAGCCAGCATCTGGGTCCTCTGTAGCAAGAGCATTGCTTACGGAGAGGTTGTCTATGCCGACCGGAGCCGCAGCTCGGTGCCCAAAAACACGCGGCATGTAGCGTGCTGCCACCAAGACCTTGGGACACTCAAGGAGAATGACAGGCGTCTGCTGCTCAACAGCACAGAAGAGGAAAAGGCAGCCATCCAATTCGCGCTTGGCAGCAGCAGCAGTAGTCCTCCGCCTGCCATGTCGGCCCTTGAGATCAGGCGACCACCACCACTCCTCAATGACGTCAAGGCTGCCATTGACCAGCTGGCCTCTTCGTTGCCCATGTCTGACAAGCTGCCGGCATGCTTTGTGCACCATGGCTCAGCAGCGTCCATGCCACATCTAGGCCAGGAGGAGCACCAGCGGCTTGTTGCAGCCAGCCTCAATGTTTGGCACACCATTGTTGTCCGGCTTGCCTATGTCCCTTGGCAGGTGTCTGAAGATGACCAGTGGGAGGATCGAGCTGCTCGCCTGTCTGCTGTCAAGATCATGGCATGCGCCAAGGTGAGCAACTTGAAACGCCTATACAGGATCCTTTGCTAAAGTTTGTCAACCCACAGCGGATATTGGGCGACCTGCGCCTCATCGAGCCCAGGATCTCTTCAATGGGGGATCTCTCGTTTGAAGAGCACCTTGCAGTGCTCAAGGACCTGCTCATGGTCGCCCATGCCTATGACGTGGATGTTCTTGCCAATGTCTGCCAAGAGGTGCGAAGAGACCCGGACACCCTGGTGCCTGCCAACATGCCCATCGAGGAAGAGGACGTGGACAAGGCTCTGGCTGGCCTTGCTAAGCGGATGAAGCAGCTCTTTTCTTCTCCATTTGATACTGCTCCAGTCGCCGCCATGGCTTCCGTCGCTGCTATGGCCCCAGTCACTGCTGCTGCTCCGGTCGCCGCTACTACCGCCGCCACCGACGCCGCCGCCACCCACACTGGGCCTTTGTCCAGTCCGCCAAAGAGGTCCATGGGCATGCTGCGCAGACGGTCGTCCGATGCCGCCTCAGACCTCGGACGCAAGCTCTTCCACTTCTTCCACAGTGTCACAAAGCTCAATCGCAACATAGCTGTGGCCAAGTCCGGCACCGTGATCACGTCGTTCGTCACCACAACGGCGGCCGAGGAGGAGCAAAAGGGTGGCATTGACCCTGCCACGGGCATCTGGGAGCCGTACAATGAGTACATCAAAGTCAACTACACGCCGATAGAGAAGCTCTACTGCAATCCCAAAAAGCACGACGATGTCTGCGACCCGGCGCGAGGTGGATGTGGACAGCGTGGGCACTGGGCCCAAGACCATGTCTGTGTCAAGCACAATGGCCCAGGTACACCTGAAAAGGTAGTGGTCCCTCACTACTGGGGTATCTATGCATGGGCACTCCAAGAGGCAAGGTCGAGGGAGCGGAGGATTCGAACGCTTACAAGGGAGCTTGCCGAGTGCCGCAAAAGCCTCTTGGCGTGCGAGCAGCAGCAGCAGCAGCAGCAGCAGCAGCCGTTGCAACAACGACAGCAGCAACACGACCACACCTGGGCACGTCTCTTGACGACGTCAACCATCCTGCTCCACTCGTCGCTCTCACTGGCCAGGCGGGCGACGCTTGATCCAATTGTCGACAGGCGCAAGGTGGTCGCCGCGGCCACATTCTCCACAGCCATCGAGGTGGTTGCCCATTCGACGCCAACACCATCAGTACAGCCATTTTGCTGGACCAATAATGAGTTTGCCAAGGCATGGGTCGAAGGCACTACCTTTTGGGAGATGCTGCGGAAGGAGGGCGAGATGGCTGTGGGCAAGCCATACTGGAGCGCCCGTGGTATCACCACTGCTGTGGACCTCAAGACCAAGGAGGAGCTTGCACTAAGGTGGACGACGGATCGGCAGACTTATTTGGAGCGTGCCACAGCCCTTGGTGGCATCAGCATGAGCACCAGCATCAGCATCAAGGAGGTGCCAAGCCGCCTAAGGGAGCTTTTGCAAGAGGCAGCACTCGCGCTGGTGGGCAGAGATATGGTCGATGACGCTGTGGCCATGGAGATGGCTGCCCTTGCTAAGGCCACAGATGGCCCCTGGCTTCAGGACTACCTCAACTTTGGTCGGAGCATTGCAAGGCATGCCGTTGGGCAGATCGATGCCTTTGTGGACCGTCGTGCCATTGAGCTCCTTGCCTTTACCGACAAGTGGGCTGCTGGCACCAAGGATTGGCTCGCTGTTGCCACCAAGCTTGAGCCATTTCCCGTCGATGGCAGGCTTGCCACCATCCTGCAGGCGCCGTTCCCAAGGCACCATCCACGCTCCTCTACAGACATGGGCCCACTCCGTCCAAAGCCAATGCTGTCGCACGTCCAGGAGGAAGACACAGACATCAACCTTGCACAATTACCGTTTGATGCTGGCGAAACAGTTCCTGTGCCTGGCACAAGCTTTTGCAGAACCAACGTGGTTGGCGCAGACGGCAATTGCCTTTTTCGTGCCGCTGCCTTGCTTGTCTTTGGAGACCAGACTCGACATGCAGAGCTGAGGGCAAGCGTCGTTACTCTTGGCAGGTCCTACCTGCAGAGCACACTGCCCAGGGACACCAAGACCACTGCAGACTTCGAGCGGCAGGCTAGACTGATGGAACAGGGCACCGACGGCCAGCTCTATGAGTCCCTCCAAGCATGGCTCGACAACATGGACAAGCCGTCTACATGGGGTGATGAACTTGCACTACTCCTCATCAGCCAACTTCTCCAGAGACCCATTGCAGTAGCCACGGTCACACAAGGTGGAACAACCGTGTCTATCCTCGCGCCCTGTCATCAGCCCGACGACAACCACCTCGGCTTCTGCCACCTCGGTGGTGGACACTATGAGCTCCTACTCACCCCTGAGTCCACTTCCTCCATCTAAGCCATTCGAGCACTCTCAATACAGCCCACGCCTCAAAATGAATGATGAGACAGAGCAAGTGATCATGACTAGCCCGTAGAAACAAAAAAAAATCGTGCCGTGGCTGATCGACAGTAGGACTACGTTACTCACCAAGCTGAGAAGCAAGCACACATCCACTGAGTGAGCACATCGCCAGTGTCGCCCTTGGTTAATCCCTTGGCCTGTCGCACGAAAAGCTTAGACTCCTGGCCCTCTCGAGCCCCACCGAAGCTCTACCTAGCACAGGCTCCAGTTCAGGTGGTTCTGAGAGATCCAGGACATATAGCTGGTGGGGTTCAAAGCCAGAAAGAAATGCGCGAGGCTCTTCGGATCCGAATTTCTCACCACTTCGATCTATCTGCCTACTTGAAAATTGCACCGTGGCTGCTCGACGCCAGAATATGCAACCGTGGAATCTCAACACGCACTGCGACAGCCTTGGCGCCTCCAATGCCGTCAACAATTGGAACCAGCTCGTTCACCACCACCACCACCACCACCACCACATGCTTCACCTCGTGTAACGCGCCACAGCAATGCCCTCGAAGACGATCACTCCTCGTCCGTTGTGTGACCACAGAAGACAAGGACCATATCACGTGACCCACATTGCATTGTGCAGCGTTTCAAGAAGAAATTCTGCATCTGGAGCTTGCATCGTCAACGACAGCCAGTACGATGGCTGACACCAAAGCGGTTGAAGGCAGTCGCGTAAGGCAAGGCGGCGGAAGGATTCGCGGAAGTACTCCGAGGGGAGCCAGAGGAGGTAGTACGGGCAGACGGGGACGTGGTGGGCGAGGGGGGTCTGTTGCCGCTGATCGACGCGCCGATCGCAATGGAGCGATCGACGGAATCAGTACACGAGGCGCCGGCGGTGATGGGGATGGTAGCGCTGACGGAGGCAAGTTTGGACGAAATGATGGCATCATGGACGTTGACCCACCAGCGTCGACGGCAAATGGTGGCAACATGGAAGGAGATGACAGGAGGGAGAAGGGCCACCTGAGCGATAGGCGCTTTGACAGCCTCGGCTCTGTTCTCGACCCCCGACTGCTATCTTCGATCCCTTTTGAGTTCATGTCCGTCGTGCAGGCGGCCACTTTGGAGCATTCTCTGTCCGGTGTCGACGTACTGGCTCAAGCCAAGACAGGAACTGGCAAGACGCTAGCGTTCCTGCTGCCTTGCGTCCAGCGAATCTCGACGATGCTCCCTCTCGTCTCACGATCCCCCTCCGACATCTCTGTGTTGATCCTCAGCCCGACGCGCGAGCTGGCACTCCAGATCGAGAAGGAGGCCGTTGTGCTCCTGCGTGGTTTTCAAGGCGCGATTGGTGTTCAGCACTGCGTCGGCGGCACCAATATGGAGACGGAGAAACGAGCGCTGCGAAGTAGTAGAGCCGACATTCTCGTCGCCACTCCGGGCAGGCTCATTGATCACCTTCAGAATTCTGGGCTTGCGCCTCAGCTCAGAAACGTCAGAGCTCTTGTCCTCGACGAGGCCGACCGCATGCTTGATATGGGCTTTCGCAGGGAGCTGCAGACCATCCTGGCTGCGCTTCCTTCTCGCCAGGAAAGACCTCGCCAGTCACTCCTCTTCTCTGCCACGATCCCTCAGGGTATCCGAGATGTCGCCGACCTTGATGAGAACCACGTATTCGTCAACACTCTGCGGCCCGAAGAGCAGAACACCCACCAACACGTGCCGCAAGACTTCATCATCGTGCCCCACACACAGACATTCGCCGCCACTCTTTGCATCCTTCTCGAAAGCCTGTCACAGGATCCCAAGACAACGAAGCCGATTCTCTTCTTTTCGACGGCGAGAAGCACAGCAATCTTTTTCGTTCTTTTGGAGACGCTTCAAAAGCAGCTTAGCGGAGTGCACAGCGCCAACCTCCAACGCCTTTCGCCCGCATGGCAGGCTCTGCAGACTGTACCGGTATTTGAGCTGCACTCCAGAAAATCCCAGTCGCAACGTGTGCGCGCCACTCAGGCATTCACCAAGAGTCAAACTGCAATTCTGTGCAGCAGCGATGTCACGGCCCGTGGCGTCGACTTTCCCGGTGTGACAAGCGTCATTCAGGTCGGTCTCCCCAGCAGTGGAGAGCAGTACATTCATCGTCTTGGGCGAACGGCTCGCGCAGGCGCTGCAGGGTCTGGCGTCCTGATCTTGACACCATACGAACGTTTCTTTTTACGAAAAAAGGAGGTTGCTGGCCTTCCGCTGAGAGAGCGCAAGCTGGTCTTCACTGAAGACGATTTGCTTCCAGAGGCCGACTCAGCGATTCGTAAAGCTCTGATGACCGTGTCGGACAAGGAAAAGAGTCAGGCATATCAGGCTGGTAAGTCTCACTGCCGTCCGTCTGCAGCTGCCTTGACACTTATGCCCAACGTTGTCTTACATCATGCCCCTCACAGCCCTAGGCTACTACAAAAGCTCGCTTAAAGACCTCGGCTGGTCTCCTGCTCAGCTTGTCGATGAGATGAATGATTGGGCTCGACAAGCCCTTCTTTTCCAAGAGGGTGCGTCAGGGCCTGCGCCGCCTCTACTGGCGAAAACGGTGGGCAAGATGGGCCTCAAGGGCACTCCGGGCCTCAATGTTGTCAAGCAGCTGCCATCTTGGGCAGATGACGGCGCCGGTGACTCGCCAAACGACCGTGGCGATGTCTACCAGCATTTGTCTACCGTGCGTCAGAGGGGCTCGCCTTACGGACGGGGAGCAAAAGTGGTCGCGAATGGCCGCGGCGGAGGAGCAGGACGTGGCGCGAGAGACTCAGTTGTGCGCGCAACTCAATCGTCGTCGTAGAAAGACTTCCTTTGGTTCACCATTATGATGAGATGAGATTTTCAATACAACATGCCATTAATGACCAAAGCATTGGCCTCATTCGTCAAGATCTTCGCTCATTGCCGCGTCTGACTCCTCGTCTGTGCTGACCGCCACTTCGAAAGGGACGGGAGTTGTGACGCCATTCTTTAGGGGCGTCTGCGCTTGTTCATCCTGAAAGCTAGGACCTAGGATGGCATCCATAGCCTCCAGCGTGTACTCGAGCATTGAGCTCTCGGTGAGGATGCGCTCTGCTCTGCTGTAGTGGCGCTCGGTGTATGGTATCAGTGCATCAACGATGCTTGCCAGATCCTGTGCTCTCGACCTTCGCGCACTTCGCCTATCCACAGCTTTGCGGTCGCCGGCCTCGACGCTGCTAACTGGCTCTCCACTGTCAATTGGTCGCCACTCAAAGGCATCGATGATGGCTTGAGGAGAGTGAAGTCTCAGCACAGCGTGGAGCACCATTTGGGCAGTGCCAGCGGTCCGCGCCGAGGTGTTCCAATCCCGCACGAAAGTAAGCAGGCGGGCGAGTTGCTTTGCTGACATTGTCCGGATGACGTCGTCGACGTCGTGTGAGCCAGTGATGCTACCCGCTTGCTGGCCGCCGTCGATTTTAATAGAGGCAAAGAGTCCATCTTCATCATTTCCAAACTTCTGATCTCTGCCTCGACTTGCGTCCACCGACGAAAATAGGTCGAAAAGACGTCGAGGCTGATCCATAGCCAAGGCAAGAGCAATCGCGTTGCGATAGTCGCGAAGTGCCACAAAGTTGGTAAAACGCTGTTCGCGTTCAACATCAACTTGGCGCTGCTGGGCCGCTTCCTCAACGTCGAGCTCTGTTCGATCCTGCCATACACGGATCATACCATCGGCACCCGCCGACAGTATTTCCGAAGCATTCTGGCGACATTCGAGACCCCATACACGATCCTCATGACCGTCTAGTGTGTCGACACAAATTTCGTCGCGCACGCTCCAGAGCTTGACAAGGCCATCGCTGGCGCTAGTCAGAAGCTGCATGCCACGGAATTGCGGTAGGAATCGAGCTCGAAGCACGGCATTGGTATGACCCTCGAACGTTTTGACGCAGCCGAATGTGGCCAGCGACCACAGTCGAACGGTGCGGTCGCCGCTTGCCGTAACGAAAGCAGCATCAGTTGGACTAAATGCAACAGACCAGACACCGCGTTTGTGAGCGCGGCAAGTCGTCAGCTGCTTGAGCGAGGCTGAAGCTCGACTGGCATTCGCCTTGGAGGGGGGCGTGTAGCTGATGGAAAAAAGTTTTGCCGTCCTGTCCTGGGAGCCCGACAGCAGAAGGGCATTATTGGGAGCCACATCGAGCGCATTGATGTCCTTGTCGTGGATCTTGAGAGTGGTAAGTGACGAAAGGAAGAGAGGATCTGCGTCAGGGTTAGACTGCAGTGATTTGATGTGTTCGGCCATTGTGGAGAGGTCCCAGACCTTTGCCGTTCGGTCTTGGCTGCCCGTCACCATGAAAGGCGGGTGTCCTTGCGGGTCGTTTCTTCTGGCAAAGGCAATGGCGCCTACGCTCTCAGTGTGACCTTTCGCAACGGCCACGCATCTCCACAGTGGTGTGACAATCCCCTTTCCCTCAACTTCGCCCTCGTCGAGGCAAGATGCTGTGGGTATGATTTGGGCCCAGATTCTTGCTGTAGCGTCTTTGGAGCCGGTGACGAGCCATTTTGCACCTTGGCACTTGTCCAAGCACAGGATCAAGCCAGCGTGTCCATCTGCAGGACGCGAGTCCGAAGGGAGCATCTGGACGTCGTGCTCTGCCGCTCCCAGATGGTAGATCCTGACCGACGTGCTATTGGTTGCCACCGCCAGATGCGAGTCTTGGACGTCGCCCGGCGAGAGGAGCGCCAGATCGATTATCTGGTCATTGAAACCCACGAGCTGGCGCAATCTCGACAAAGCTCTCCGTCTCGGCCGTCGCTCTGAGTCCTCCGCCAGAACAGGCACCGGAGCGCAGCGAAAGGAGAAAGTCTGGTCGGCGTGCACGCTGACCAGAGTATCTATCTGAGCCGCGTAGTGCACTTCCGTTATGGCCCTTGTTTCGTCTTCGTCGCCTTTGTCGAGATCCTCTGAACTTTCTCGCTCTTCGCTCCGCCTTCTTCCATGAGGCTGTTGCGCTCGAGCCTGGTCCGTGGCCCAGCGGCCTCCGGGCTGAACGGCGACGACGACCTGAGAAGTAAAGCTCCAGATCCGAATCTCTCCTTCAGCACCTCCTGTCCAGACGAGGTCCTGCTCTGCTTTCTCGAGGTCCTGCTTTCTTTTTAAAAGAGTGGAGCCTCGTCGGAGGAACCCAGCGCTTTCAAGCGATTCACCTGCCGTCACTGAGTCGCAGAGATTCCAAGACACTGATGCAGAGGTACCGTTGATATCCTTTTTCGACGAAGACGCCTTTGGAACGGTTTTGCGCCTTTGCCAAAACGACAGCATACGATCTCGAGAGGCCGATACCAGCTTTGTCCCGTCGTCCGAGATCGCTAAGCCCCTTACGACGGAGAAGTGGGCGTCGAGGACCGCTAATGGACCCTGTGATCTTTTGCCTTGTGCACCCCTTGTTTCTCCTCGAAGGTCCCAAAGGCGAATCTTTCCGTCGATGTCACCAGTGAAGAGCTCAAAACGCCTCTGTCCATCTCGTGCCGTCTGCGAGTCCAGCTCGACCGGAGGCGTATTCCATGCCAAGGCGCTGACGATGCCGCCGTGGTTGCGAAAGACGTGGGTGCAGAATCCACCGGCAATGTCCCACACCTTGGCACAGCCATCTGCCGCCCCGGTAGCCAGAAGCGAAGAAGTCGAGTCGATGCGCATGATGGCAGCTGGGGCTTCGTGGCTCCTTGCGATGCTGCGTCGAAGCTTTGCCACGATACGTATCCCTTCATTGTCATCGATGCGTTCGAGGGAGAATATCCGGAGGCTCAAAGACCTCGAAGCAATTACCAGAGTGGTATCGTCAGGAGTGATTGCCAAAGCAGTCACTTCTTCAGTATCGCTGCCGATTCGACATATCGCCCTCCCAGTCGAGACGTCTGTACCTACGACCACTTGATCGACAGGTGCAAAGAGGAAGCGACCATCTGAAGTCAGCGCGGTGCTTGCTCCTCCCGTGTAGATGGGCTCCAGCGAGCTTTTCTTGATGAATCGTGTCCTCAATCTTGGTTTTTCAGCCGTCTTGACCGCCAAAGCAGCTGCTCCGTCCTCTGCATTTGCCATCGTTGGGACAGGTCGATGTCTGGCTACTCTTCGGATCAGTGACGGCAAACGGTGCTTCTTCACCCTGCGCGCATCTTCTAAAATTTTAAATTTTCGAGAGGGCAGAAAGAGAACGTGACTTCTTTTTCGCTCCTCCACCTGAGATGTCCTCGGTTCTCACCGAGTACCACTACCCAAAAGCAAGGTTGTCGACTCAACAATGAATCTCTTGGAGATTGTGCGACAATGCCACAATGACAATCCCTGGCGAGACAGCAGCCTGACGCCTTTCCATCTCTCTCCGCCTCCTCTTGGAGTCCAGATTGGCTTTCTTCAAGATTCGGTCGTCGAAGCCATCGAGGACGAGGTGAAACGGGGCTCGAACACGTTTACCTTGGGTCATACGGGCAAAGATTCCAGAAGGCGCACCTTTGTCGCAATCAGTGAAGAGCTGAGGACTTATGAGGAGAGGTCCGACGCCATGCGGACAGTCGTAGAGTCGTGGAGAGACCGCGGACTTTTTCCCGATCCATTAAATGGTGCGTGGAAACCCGCCTTTCACCTTCGCTCCTCCCACTGTGACTGAAGGAGACATCTCTTCAACCTATACGTACCTAAGGCTGGAGAGACGAGTTGTACTCAGTCTACGGGCCGAGTCCAGATCCACCAGCCGACGGGAAAGGAAGCAATCTCGCCGCATTTGCCCTGGAGCGCTCCGCTTGCGCTTTGTTTGGGTGAGCAAAGTTTCCATCTGTCCCGATTTCCTCTGCCGACTGGACCGATGTCATCCACAGTCTCGCAACTTTTGGCGTCCATGCTACAGTGAGTGTCCGAGCAAATGAAATGCCAGGAATCTCGTTGGGCCTCAAGAAGTTGACCTTTGGCTCCTCAATCACACAAAGGCCTTTACGCCAGACTATAAGATCTGGGTCCCGCGACGAGCCAGCACCAAGTCGACGTTTCCGGGCATGCTCGACAACACTGTCGCCGGCGGTATACAGGCGGGTGACGACCCTTTTGACTCAATGGTCCGAGAATGTTACGAGGAAGCCGGCTTTCAAGAGAGTCTTGTACGCGGCGCCATGAAGGTGTGCAGCAACATTGGCCGCGGCAGACGTGCGATTGGTTTTTATTTGCTGAATCCAACGAAACCTCCCCTACCTTTCGAAGCAAACTGGTGTCATTTCTTACTTTTACCGTACGAGATCGGGCTGGTGTCAGCCTGAGGTTGAGTGCGCGTCGTCGGTGGAGGGGACACATGCATTGAATCGCTCACATCAGGCCTTCCTTCCGAGCAGGTATACATACGACCTTGTCATCGACCCATCTGTCAAGCCGAGGCCTGTAGATGGGGAAGCGGAGTCTTTCGAGCTTCTCGACGTCCAAGAGGTCCTATCATTGATGCGCAAAGGCCACTTCAAGCCCAATTGCGCCCTGGTGCTCATTGATTTCTTGATTCGACATGGCCTTTTGACATTCGAAAATTGTCACTGCGACTACCTAGAGCTCGTCTGTAGCTTGCATAACCCCCTCGGGTTGCCGTGTCCCTGAAGTAAAAGATAGAGAAGGCTGCTGCGATGCTGAAGTGGCAGAATCATGTCATCCTGTACTCCCCTTCACGAACATACGAATTTCAAAGTAACTCACCGAAAGAAAAGAAGGCGTCCGTCCTATCCACGACGAGCTAGGCAAATTTGAAATTCGAGAAGTCATAAAAGGACTGAGGACACAATGACAATGAGAGAGCGTCCCTAAGAGACCATTCTTTGCCACCAGACGTCTCAGAATGAACGGCGGAAGGGAACTCATCGTTTCGCAAAATGGAGGTGTGCCTATGTTTCGGTCTGCTGGCGCTGCTGGAGGCGAGCTGAGCGACACGGCAACCGCCAAGGGTGAGTGAAGAGGTCCCTTTTTCCTCAGCACGCATCCTCACCGCCTTTCTCTCTTTCCCACTGAACCAAGGCATTTGGGCTAGCCTCGGGTGGATGGACAGACTGCTCTCGCTATTCATCATCATTGCCATGATCGTCGGTATCCTTATTGGCGAGTTCGCACCAAATGCAAAAGAAAACCTCACAAGGGGAAATTTTCACGGTACGCCGGCCGCGTTGGCCGTCGGATTGATTGTCATGATGTGGCCCATCTTGACAAAGGTCCACTTCGAGAAGCTTCCGTCAATGCTCCGTACGACACGAGTCTGGAGCCAGCTCCTCCTGTCGCTGCTTCTCAACTGGATTTTTGCTCCGCTCCTGATGCTCGGTCTTGCTTGGGCTTGTCTGCCTGATCTACCGGGATATCGAACAGGCATCATACTCGTCGGACTGGCCCGATGCATAGCCATGGTTATGATTTGGTCTTCAATAGGTGAGCTTTAGGAATCGTAGCGCCATAGTGGATACCACGTCCACGGCTGATCGAGACCTGGCAGCGAGAGGCGACGCAAACGTGTGTGCCGTCATCGTCATCCTCAACTCACTTCTACAAATTGTTCTTTACGCTCCGCTCGCCGTCCTCTTTGTCAACATTATTTCGTCATCACCGGAGCAAATTCGCCTCAGTTACTCTGATACAGCTCTCTCCGTCGTCGTCTATTTGGGCATCCCCCTCTTGGGCGGCCTCGCCACTCGTTTCAGTGCTCTGGCCTTGCTGGGCCGAGCGAAGTTCGAGAAACAATTTCTTCCACGCTTTGGAATCCTCTCGCTCGTGGCGCTCCTTTATGTCATCATCATCATCTTTGCAGAGCAAGCTCGCTCCATCCTCGACAACCTTGGTCCAGTTTTTCGGACTTTTGTACCACTGGTCATCTACTTTGTCCTCGTCTGGACTGGCACCTTCCTCTTCGTTTGGAGACTTTCGCTTCGTTACGGGAAGGCAAATTGGGGCTACCAAATGGCCGTCGTCCAGAGTTTCACCGCGGGAAGCAACAACTTTGAACTCGCCATCGCGATTTGTGTCGCCGTCTATGGCGCCGACTCCGAGCAGAGCTTGGCGGCCACCATTGGGCCCCTTGTCGAAGTACCGGTGCTGCTCACACTTTCCTACGTTGCTCTCCACGCTGGGTCAAAGATGCGATGGGATGTCGAGTTGGATGAGGAAGTAACGGCACGCTACCATAGTGAAAAATCCATCCCGGCGGACCGCTCAGCGGTGGCTTCCGAATGCGCTGGCGAGGCAAAAAGCGCATCCGAGCACACTACTACTCTCAGTTTTGCTTAGAGCCACACAAAGCAACGTAATGCACATACACAGCGACAACCAGAGCCCGTCTACTGCTGTACCACTGTATAATAGGTAGCAATTACTTCGTCATTTGTCTACAAGGAAGGCATAGATCTTGTCTCCTTCTTCTCGTTTCTTGTGTGGACCCGAAGCCGCCATCCTAATCGTCCTTCAGTTTCGAAACTTTCCTTCCACCGCCTGGGAACCGGCTTCCTCTGCGTCAGCCAGTAGAAGATGTCCCAATCTGGCTCATCGAGAAGCTGCGGCGAAAAAATGGGTCGAGGAAGAAGGAAAAGATGGACAAGAGGAAGCAGAGGAAGAGGAGGAAGAAGAGCAAAGAATTTGACGGTCAACAATCGTTCTCGACGTCAGCATGATCACGAGCCTACACACCCGGTCAAATTCGTCGACTTCTCCGTCAGACAGAGACCGAAGATGTTCTTTCGCAAAGGTGCTCAGAAGAAGATCTGTCTCGAGCGTGCCGCGCTTTCTTGCCTGGTAGATGAGCCTGGCTACCTTTACGTCACGCGTCTCCATGCCGAGCTCTCTGCCTGGCACCCGAAGTGGGATGGGCTCCTCGCCATTCAAGGCGACGCCATTCGCAGAGAGTCCTTCGGACTGGTGCTCGCTCGCAAGTGACAGGCCTTGCAGCCGGGGATCAAAGGGAAGCGGAAAAGGGTCGCTGGTTCCAGAGGGTTTTGCGGTAGAAGTTGGGGCGGGGCTTTTTGGCGTTCCATAGCCGGGGTCTGCCACTGATCCCCTGTTGTCGGACGAATACGGCCTAATGCTGTTGCTTGCTCCGCGCTGCCAATTCTGTGAGCGTGCGGCAACTCTAAACAGCTTTTGAGCTTGTCTCGACATGCTTGAGACCTGGTGCGATTGACTTCAACGATGAAGTTACGACATTTGGTGGAGAGTCAGGGTCGCTGATATTGTAATATTTGTCCGGGCCACGCGAGCGAACTATATTTCTGACACACACACCAAGAAAAAAAAAAAGGAAAAAAAAAAAGGGGGAGACCTAGAGAGAAGAAGGGAATGACGAGAAGAAGAAGAAAGCTCGTTAAGCTAGCCAAGACTTGCGACGACAACACGATGTCGACCTTTGGGAGCCACTTTCGGGTGACAACATACGGCGAGTCACATTGTGCCTCGGTCGGGTGCATAGTGGATGGAGTGCCACCCGGTATGGCACTGAGCGAGGCCGATGTCCAGGTACAGCTCTCTCGTCGACGTCCAGGACAGTCGAATTTGACGACGCCTCGCGACGAAAAGGATGCCGTCAAGATACAAGCAGGCGTGGAAAAGGGAGTCACCTTGGGTTCGCCTTTGTCTATGCTAGTGCGAAACGAGGACCAGCGGCCGCATGACTACAGCGATGACACCCTAGATCTGTACCCACGACCGAGTCACGCCGATTGGACCTATCTCGACAAGTATGGTGTCAAGAGTTCCTCCGGCGGAGGGAGGAGTAGCGCTCGAGAGACGATAGGTGAGTGCTCGACAACTGTTGATCCTTGACTAGTGTCCGGACTTTTGTATCTCATTGGCTACTTGGACACTCCAGGCCGCGTTGCTGCCGGTGCTGTTGCGGAAAAGTACCTTCGGGAGGCTTTTGGGGTAGAAATTGTCGCCTTTGTCTCTTCGGTCGGCAAAGTCCACATTCCTCGCTATCCTGGCGAGCAGTTGGCTGGCGACGAGTCGGCAAATGCGGCTGTAGGGGCAGGATCAAGCTCCAAGCTGGTCGACAACTACATCGACACGACGGGCCTCACCGAAGAAGAAGCTGAAGAGCCCTTGAGCCTCGAATTTAGACAGCTCCTGGCAACGATTACCAGGCAAGACGTCGATAAGACAGACATCCGATGTCCTCATCCCGTCGCTGCCGAACGCATGCGCCAGCGCATCCTTCTGGCCAAGTCAAATAATGATTCCATTGGTGGTAGTGTGACCTGCGTCATTCGAAAAGTGCCATCGGGCTTGGGAGAGCCGTGCTTCGACAAGCTCGAAGCCAAGCTGGCCCACGCAATGCTCAGCATCCCTGCCACCAAGGCATTCGAGATTGGCTCAGGTTTCCGAGGAACAGAGGTGCCTGGCTCGCGTCACAATGATCGCTTCGTCGCCAAACACGACGGCACCCTTGGCACAGCGACCAATTGGAGCGGAGGAATACAAGGAGGTATTTCCAATGGCGAAGAGATCTACTTCCGGTCAGTGCTCTGCGCGTGTGTCCCTGTCGCTACTTCTCCTCTTTTCTGACATAAGAGGCGGTCGTTGCAGCATCGGCTTCAAGTCGCCCGCCACCATTTCACAAAATCAATCCACAGCAACGTACTCGGGCAAGGATGGCACCTTGGCGACTCGTGGACGACACGACCCATGTGTCGTGCCGCGTGCCGTTCCCATCGTCGAGTCGATGGCTGCTCTCGCCATCATGGATGCGCTCTTGGCTCAAGATGCAAGGACAATGGCCGCCTCACGACTCAACGCTGGTCCCGTTCTGGCATTGCCCAACAGCATGCATTTGCCCAGCAAGCTCAAGACCAGACAGGATCATCTCAGCGGATCTTAAGGCCCCGAGAACGAAAATGATGGAGGGGAGACAAAGAGGGAGGAAGAGATGCAGAGACAAGAGAGACGAACAGTGAGAAAAAGACAGGCCCGTCGAACAGTGCAATTCTACGATGCAACTTGATAGGCTTTCTTATTACACCATGCTGCTATTATTATTACTGCTGCTCGGCGACGCCTCATTGAGCGCACTACCTCTCCTTTCCAAGCTAGAGGGTGGTCTGGCCAGCTGGTCGCCCGCTGTGGCTGATGTTTCTGCCTCTTTGGCTGCAGCCTCATCGGTCCGCGCTCCTCTCCTGATTTTCTTAGCCCCCGACAAACGATCCTCTTCATCGTCGCTCCAAGCCGGAAGCTCCTCTTCGTCGTCTCTGGCCACGTCGAAGCTGGAACTACGCAAGGGCCGGTACTGAGACCCATTGGCCGAAGACCCGGTGGGCTTGGAAAGGGGCAGCTTGCGATAAGTACCGTGGCGGAGATGCAACGCGTACGAGTAGATGACAAGGGCAAAGTAGACCTAGCGAATACGCTTGACAATGAGCACAGAAAGGAGAAGCGCAGATCTTGGAGAGACATGCGTCGAGGACTGACCTTCAAGAGCCAGCCCGAGGCTAGGACGGCAAAGCTGAAGCCACGCTCTTCACGCCAGACACGTTGAGCGGCTTCCACGCGCTCTTGGCCGGCCAGAGGTTCGTGATGCAGCTGTTTTCCGGGAGCCTCGTAGCTCTTTTCGATACTCTCGATCAGGTCCATTAGACCCGCTTGATGGGGTGCCAGGACGGGCCGGTCGCCGTTGTGAGGAACATAGAGGAACCACCACAGGCCAAAGAGGAGCGTCCAGGCAGAGGAGAGCAGGTGGTCGGCCATGAACAGATGCGCGTATCTCAGCGTGCGTATCGGATCCTCGTCCGATATTCCAGGCATCGCCCAGAGAAAAAGACCAATAGTCGCTATTGAGTAGAGATACATGCTGACCTGGGCAAATGAGCCTCCTTGAAAGAGGCTCAAGATGCCGTAGACGCCTGCCACTTTGTTGAACAATGCAAAAAGTGTGATCAGAGTCACTCCCAGCTTGAGGTCCATGACGCCAAGAAATGACGTCAAGTGGGCTTGGACAGCTGGTGCCCGGAACCAGAGCCTCGTCATGGCTGTCTTGTCCGCTCCTCTTTTCGCTCCGTCGAAAGAAGAACGGCGGAGTCGACAGTCTCAGCCTATGAGGTCTCGTGGTGTACACGTTGTCGTCTGCGTTGCAGGACACACGAGATGCAGGCGTCGTCTTTAGGTGACGTTGCCGGTGCGTAGCGCACAAAGGGAAGGGAGCGATGGTGGATGAGGTGGAAGCAATATCAACTCAAACTTCTAGACCTCCAGAACCACGTGCGCGACTCTTTTTTCAGGCCAACTTCTCACCTCCACTCACGGGAATGTGCGTCAAATGCTTAGGCGATCTTTATACCTACCTCAACCATGGCCTCTGCCAATTCACCATACCCTCGCTGGAAGAGCCTGATCGCCACTGCAATTCAAGATGGTATGGCGAACAAGGAAAAAGGAATTCGTGGGTACGGCAACACTTGTAACGGGGCTTAAGCATGTTTGCTTACTCGCACGTACCTAATATTCATCTGCCTCAGTGTACTACAGTATTGCGACATGCGAGCCGGGCGACAGCCCTGCGCCCCACGTCCGCACAGTTGTTCACCGTGGCTTTGTCAACGAGCAGCGAGATGCGCAAAGCAAGACCGGTGTCAAACCGTTCGACTCGTCGTTTGGGAGCAATTCTTGCCTCATCACGACAACGGATGTGCGAGCACCCAAGGCACAACAGATAACCAAATGTCTTGAAGAAGCAAAGATTGCGCGAGGCGAGATATCTTGGTGGATGGAGTCCAAGAACCTGCAGGTGAATTCCATGTCCGCTCTTGCGCTCGCTCCTGTTACTCATTCAGCTGGCTGGCCATGGGGTTCTGCAGATTCGACTTGCAGGGACCCTGCACCTCCTTCCCCGCCCTGATCACGGAGCCATAAAGTACTTTGATGGCCCGTCCCTCGCGCCACCGAGCTCCCCCTCGCCATCAACCGACTCTGCCTTTGACTGGGCCAGAGAGCGTAAAAGAATTTTCGAGAAACTTTCGCCAGGACTTCTCGCCTCCTTTGCCCGGCCGACACCGGGAAGTCCGCATCCCAACAGCGCCAATCTCTCCGCGAGAGGGGGCCCAGGTAGCCTCGATGAGCGCGCGAAAGACAAGCTCGAGAGCCCGTGGCCATTGGAGCTTCCTCAGCCGGGCAAAGAGGCCAGCGAAGAGCAAAAAGAGCTTCTGGCCGAGGCAGAGAAGAAGTGAGTTCTACTTGCCGCATGTTGTGTAGCGGCGTCAAACGACTGAAGCGTTCGCAACAGCTTCGCCCTCATCATACTGTCGCCCGAAGAGGTTGATGTTCTTGATCTCCAGAGCGATAAGCGAAGTCTTTTCACCAGAGTACAGTCATCACCCAACAGTGACTGGCATGAAAAGAGGCTCGTGCCATAGGAGATTCAGACTATCTATTGTACTGTCCTGTACACTGCAGTGAATCTTTTCATCTCATACGATCCACTATCGATGCAATCTCTGCCACATCTAGGAGACCTCTCGTTCGCACGATTGCCAGGGCATCATCATTCGCATTGGTTGCTGCTACCGTTGCTCTTGCTCCTTCCCTCGCCAGATGCCTGGCCTTTTCGTCGGCTCGCTGGAGAACTTGCCCGATGGTTATGGCTTGCTTTGACGATGCTGCGTGGACCCAGATGACACCGTTGATGCCAATGGCAGTCTCAAAAGGAAAGTGAGCGGCTACCTCCTGCAAGAGCTGATGCTTTGGATCCAGGAGGCTGAGAAGTACGAGGTCAGCGTTCGCAGAATGGTTGACGTCGATCAGCCCGGTTACACACATGGTCACACACACCTTCTTGCGAGACCACAGCTGACCGTGAAGATCATACCAACACCCTCGCTCTCTTTTTTGAGCTCCCCAAAGCCTTGGCTCTTTCCAGACTCGGACGCGACGCAGCTCAGCTCGGGCTCGACATGCCTGCCAGCAGAGACAACGGTAGCGTACAGAAGACTTCCCACTTTGAGATTGGGCTTATTGCGCTTGGTCGCACCTTCGAACGACAGCGATGGAAGCGTAGCAGGTGTCGAAGACGTGAAGAGGGTGCACTGGTACGATTCGGGTCCCCGATTGGTGATCTGGACAACGACAGAGTCGCGCAAGGCGGGAACGTACTGTGGTGGAAGCGCTCAGATCAACTGCCTCGGTCGCACTCTCGAGCTCCCTCTCTCTTCATTCTTGATGACATACCCTCTTAGTGTTTGTCTCGATCCATTCTGCTACCTGGGGCCTCTTTGGCTCTCCTGCGTCCATCATCTTGCTCTTCAGGCTACTTTGGGCAGTGGAAGAGGCATCGATGTGACCAAAGACGCCTGGCGTCGTTGCAACGAGCTGCTCCAGCGTGCCCTCGTTCCGCGCGAGTCCGGGTCCAAGCTTTATAGCCGACGAAGAGGCTATATCTACGGCGTCTCCCGGCAGCAACACGACCGACATGGCTGACTTTGAGGTTTAGGTGAGCGATGATCGGGAGGAAGAGCAACGAGCCAGACCACGTGAAGAAGAAGAAAAAAAAGTTAGGGTACGCTACGTTTAAATTTTTTGAGCAGACGTTCACCATTCTCTGACCTTCATCGCGACGATGATGACCTCAATTGGACCTGAAGCCTCGACGTCCAAAACAGCTCTACATAGTACGGCAGCAGTAACTGAACAAGAGGAGAGCAAGACTTTTGCTTCGCTTGGTGTTCACCCGCAAATATGTGAAGCATGTGAGACCCTCAACTTCAAGCGTCCTACTCAGATTCAGATCCAGGCCATCCCTGAGGCTTTGACGGGAAGAGATGTCATTGGACTCGCTCAGACGGGAAGCGGGAAAACGGCCGCTTTCGGGATACCGATACTTCAGGCCCTTTGGGACGATCCAAGACCATTCTTTGCCTGTATCCTGGCGCCAACCAGGTGAGTGCGTGGCTCTGGTCACCTTGTCGCACCTTCTCCTGCTTATGGCGCCGAAATTACATTCCACAGAGAATTGGCGTATCAAATCACTCAACAGCTCGAGTCACTGGGCTCGACAATAGGAGTGCGCTGTGCGACCATCGTGGGCGGAATGGATATGATGTCACAGTCTATTGCCCTCGGTAAGCGCCCTCATATCGTCGTCGCCACACCAGGCAGGCTACAAGATCATTTGGAAAATACAAAGGGCTTCAGCTTGAAGGGTCTTCGCTATCTTGTCATGGACGAGGCTGATCGATTGCTCGACATGGACTTTGGGCCCATTATCGACAAGCTGCTACAGTCTATTCCTAGAGAGAGGCGCACGATGCTTTTCAGCGCCACCATGACCACAAAAGTGGCCAAGCTTCAGCGAGCCAGTCTCAAGAATCCTGTGCGAGTAGAAGTCGGGACAAAGTGAGTGCTATGTGTCACATCCTGCATTCGGCGCTTTCACCTAATGCCCCAAGACATCTGATCTAGATACTCGACGGTCTCAACCCTCGCCCAGCATTACATTTTTTGTCCATACGCTCAGAAGGACGTCCATCTCGTCTCCCTCATCAATGATCAGTCAGGCTCTTCGATTCTCGTGTTCACTCGGACGGTGCAAGACTCATCGCGGCTGTCCATCCTGCTTCGGCTGCTCGGCTTCTCCGCCATACCTTTACATGGTCAACTTTCGCAGAGTGCTCGACTTGGTGCCCTCAACAAGTTCAAAGGCGGAGGCAGAAGCATCTTGATTGCAACCGACGTGGCCAGCCGAGGTTTGGATATACCTGCAGTCGATCTTGTAGTCAACTACGACATGCCAACCAATTCAAAGGACTACATTCACCGGGTCGGTCGAACGGCCCGTGCAGGGCGAAGCGGAAGATCGGTAACGATCGTTTCTCAGTACGACGTCGAATTGCTTCAGCGCATCGAAGGAGTCATCAACCTCAAGCTTTCCGAGTTCCCCAGCTTGGACAAGGACGCAGTTGGGTTGCTGGAGGAGCGGGTGGGTCAGGCAGCCCGAGAGGCAATTCGGGAAATGCGAGAAACAGGAGGGCAGAGAGGTGCCGGAGGTGCCGGCAAACGTAAAAGGAGAGCGGCGGAAGCAGCAGCAGGTACTAGGGACGATGACATGGACAGGGATGACGACCTCGTCGAGGCAAGCATGCCTCGAATTCACAAGACCAACCAACAGGCCAAGAAAAGGTCGAGAAGATGATGCAAGGGCGAACCCCTTTCAGCAGGCCAATGTGTATTGATGTTTTTCACCAGCCTCCAGCAGAGAGAGTGAGATCTAGCGACAAGGTCATGCGATCTCTTGATTCGCCAACTGACCAAGCCTCGGTCCCTTGATCGAGGACGGTGATTTGCAACGTACGTGTGAAGAGCTGGTCGATCTTTCCTTGAAGTTCGGGCCCAGATTGCGCAAAGTCGGGTTGCTTTAGGAAAAGAACGTGCCTTGTCAGTGGGCAAGGCTCGGGATGAGCAATGCGGTCAACAAAGCTCACAGCATTGATCTCCAAGAGTAGAACAGACGGTGAGGCCCCTGCTTCAGCATTTGACACAATCAAGTCCACTCCGAAAAGCTCCCATGCATGAGGCCATGTTTGCAGGTGGATTCGTCCCGCCGATGCTGCAGAAGAGAAAGCCTCGGCCACCACTTCGTTTGTCTGCCTCTTGATGTCATCTAGGACCGCTTGCCCGCCTAAGCGATCCTTAAGGTCATCTAATAGATGCACTGTCGCGAAAGACGTCGCCCCTTGAAGACAGGTATTAGTAAGGTGTGCCCGCAAATTCCCGCTTCCATCTGGAGAGGAGGATGGGTGTGCGTAGGGAAGGGGTGCGAAGAGAGCAAGAATCTCATCATAAAGGAAGACGCGAAGACTCCCTTGGGCCAGAACGTAGGCTCGCAAGTGGAATTTGTGTTTTTGCGAAGCTCCAGGAGGTGTAACGAGAAATGGGTCGCAAATGTAGTCCTGAAACAGGGACATGTGGCATAGGTGAGTGGACTGTTCTCTCGAAGATGTCAACCGCCTGGCCTTCACCTGAATCACAAAGTGGCGGAGCTGACTCATCATAACAACGGTGCTTGCTGTTTGATAATATGCACGCTCCGCTTCTCCTTTCTGCGTCTGCTCCTGCTCTTGTGTCTGCCTTTCAGCCTCCTTTTCCTCTGTCTTGCCTTCTTCTTTCCCTTGCTCGCTCTCCTGCTCGCTCTCTCCATCACTATCCTCAGCGTCGAATTCGTCGAAAATCTCTCTCAAGGTGTCCACGCTGTTGAATAGTCTGATACCCATACCTCGGTCCGCCATCGCTGGTTTCAAGATAAACCACTTTCCTTCTCCTTTCTCTAGCGCTTCTCTGACGTCATACAGATCGTCCATCAAGAGTTCATCCAGATCATCTGCGCAGGTGGCCTCAAATACCCACGTTGCCGGCGTGATCCGCTTGTTGCTCCCTTTCTTGAGTTGGGCTGCATGTAGGCTAGACGCCAGGTAGTTCTTGCGAATCAGGGACTTGCGAATCGGATATGACGAGAGTTGAGGGAGCAGCGGTTTGATTGAATCTGGTGTGAAGGAGGCAGGGTGAAGTTGCTCAAAAGGCAGGAGGTCGTAGTCGGCCAAATATAGCTGCTGTGAAACTGGAGCTTCTGAACCATCGCCTTCCTCGATCTCCCATCCGAGCGGCAAGAGCACGTCTCCGCAAGCTTTTACTGCGGAAGCCTGCGTGTACGGTGCTCCTGGGAATGAAATCCATGCCCGCAGCTTTCCTTCGGTCATCTCTAGGTGGTGGTGGTCACTTGTCACATCTCGTTCTCGGATTCTTTCTTCTTATTTTTTTTCTTTTTTAAAAAATCAATCGTGCAAGGGAAGCACAACTAATAATGTAGGATCCGTCTGACAGGCGCTGCTTTGACGCAACTGATGTGATCGTCACGCTGGCTAACTTATTGGGACACAGGCAATGTGGTCAACACTCTATCTGCCACGATAGGCTTGGAGAAGTTGGTAGGATGATCTTGCCATCTAGGAAGCAGCCTTCTTTTCATACTCGGAGATGGCAGCAACCTTCTTGGCCGAAGCGCTTTGAGGGTCAAAGACGTGGCCCAACCATTGCTTGACCAAGTTGCGGGCGAGCTCAATCCCAATGACGCGTTGACCCATGGTCAAGATCTGGCAATCATTGGATAGGATAGACCTCTCAACGCTGAAAGGGTCATGGCAACAAGCGGCCCGGATGCCTGGGACCTTGCAGGCGCTGATGGCGACACCGAGGCCCTGTAAAATTTCCGATGTGTGGACAGCCTCGTAAGCCTAATAACTTGAGATGATGTGTGAGTCACTCACGGTCCCGCAGAGCAACAGCCCGCGATCGTATTGACCTGCAGCCACCTTCTCAGCGGCGGCAGTGGCGACATTAGGGTAGGCTGCGTTTTACGGGATCAGTCGAGCAATACATAGGAGAGAATGTGCGACGAGCTACCTACGCGTCTTATCAGAGGTGTCTTTGGCACCGAAGTCATCGACCAGCTCTACGCGGGGGTCCTTCTTAAGATCCTCGATGATAACTTTCTTGTAGTCTACCGCGGCGTCTAAGGCGGCGATGTTTTTGACACTGTCAGAAGATCTTGATTCACTGTGATACATCAAAGACAAGCTATCTCACCATCATTGGCGACGATGATCTTCCACTTGGGTGCAGCGCTCGACATTTTGAGAGATGATGGGGCGATTGGTGTAGGAACGATGGACGAAATGATAATACTGAGCAGCAAGGTGGCAACTCGGCTGGATTAGCCTCCACATAAAGCCACGAGTCGAGGGAGTCCATTTGTGTTTAAATTTGTCACCTGGCGATCGGTCACCAGAAGAGCCAGCCAGTAGTAGCATTTTTTTTCAGGGTGGACCAATGCTGGACGAACTCTCAACAGTTGCCCCGTTCGAGATTCTTGGTCTCAACATGATCACAAATGATCTTGAGTGACAAATGTCCCCTCGCGATGATCTCTTGGTTCAGAACTCACTCAACTCGCCTCCTAAAGTCTCCAGATGATGAGCGAATGCGTAAGTCCGCAATCAACATGAGACCAACGTGCTTCCTAGATCCGGTCTGAGGGTGTCAATACGGCGCAAAAGTCACCTGTCAATACAAGGCAGAACATTCACCAATAATGTCGCATTGGCGAGGGTCCAATATCCGGGTCCTAAAGAGGAGATTGGATGTTTTCAAAACGCCAGTTGAGGCCAGGCTCGGGGTGTGTTGCAATGTTGCGATGCAGATGCCCACTGTTACACCTCCTCCTTGGAACCGAGAGCTGCTCGACCTCACGCACGAATGATGCTTGTCTAGAGTGAGCGACAAGCTCCACAAAACATGCCCTTTTCGGTCAAAATGCCTCTCTGTTGTCACAAGGTCTCTTAACGATCTGTTACAAAAGCTTCGATCAAATATGCCGAGTCAAATTTGCAATCAAACTTTTCTGAGATAACTTTTCTCGCGAAAGTTACGTGTTGCGTCGCAAAATATGGTCTGAAAAGTGTGATTATAGACTTTAGCTCACAAAATTACTCGATGCGGATGCCTAATTCCATGTTTATGCGGACTACGGCGTCTCGCTCGTTTGGTTCATTTATAGCTAACGATGATTAGCATAGCTCACAGCTATTGGCGATTGGACTCCTTAGTCTCCCACAAGAGTAGCAAGGTGATCAAGAACGATGCAAAGAGCTTGTGGCTGTACGACGTATACACCTTGTGCACAAATTATGACCACACCTGTAGCATGGTTACCACCAGAGCTTTCTTGGCATTACGTCTTTGGCCAAAGGACGTACGAGATGTATCCACCCCTCAGACTGCGATGACAGGTAATGGGTCAAGAACTGTAGCAATGCAAGCGTTCCAGAAATTGTTCGACTTCAATGTTGCGAAAAAATAAAAGAAAGACGACACACTCAAGTAAGTCGCTTCATAGCTCACGACCACCTGTAGCCATGACCCGTGAGTTAACGAGACGATCTTTCTTTCAACGAAGTGCATTCTGAACAGGACCAATTCGGTGTCGGAGTACTTCCTCCGGGATATCTACCCAAGTGGCTGCTTCTTGTCGGTCTCACCGCCATTGGCAATGCCGGCGCGTGTCATCTTAGCACAGCTTCATCAAAGAAGGTTTACATTACTGGAGGTGCTCAAGGTATTTCTCTCGTCCTCGCTGAGAAGGTCAATCATGCTCACCAGGGTTGCTGGTGGTTTCAGTGACTCCGCTCGCATCCCGCCTTTTCGGGGTGTGGAATCTGACAAGTGGTGCACTTCGAGTCGTTTGCGCTTACAACATGAGCAACCCAGCGTGCGTGCTCGCTGGCTATATGAGACTTCATGCTTCAGAGTGCTCACGTTACCCCTTAACTTCCTCTAGACTCTTTTACATATGCCAGATGACATTCGCCACCGTCTTGCTTCACCTGCTGCTTGAAATCTTCATCTACAAGACAACCTCGCTCAACGCACCTGGTGTTCTCAGTCCCATCCTCGTCGCCAGTCAGTTAAGTGCTATTCTCACTGCACCCTTCTTCTTTGCTGACTTCTAAGGCTCGACCCATCGGCAGCAACAAGCCTCACAGCAATGTCTTTGCAGCATCGCTCCTATTTGTCGTAGTTCGTGTAGTAAGGACAGACAAAGCTGTCAATCACATGGGCTTCTGCACTCAAATCTTTCGCTTCAATTGTCGCTATCTCGTCGCGAACATGATGAACAGTACTGTACAAGTGCCAATGACGCAACCCATTATGATGCTATCTCTTCTCCTGCGCCGGCTTATAAGGCGAATGAGGTTGTTCAGGCCGGGGACTTGGCCTGCCGTTGAAGTGAGCCGTATTGAGATGTTCTGCAAGCTTGATTGCTGACTGGCAAGGTCGGCTCTAGTGGCGTACGCTTGTCTGCCGCGAAGGGGTGAGAAGTCGAACGGCCGGCGAAGAGGCATCACTTACTCGAGGGTACCATCTATCATCCGATGCGAATTATCGATGTGGCCTCGCTCGGCCAGAAGGGCGTCTGCGTCCGAAGCATATTGACTTTTGTACTTGCTGCCAGTCCGGGGTCAGGATTAGTGTCAGTATCTCATAGCCAGGCAAGCCGTGCACCGACGCACTCAATGTCAACCCGGACGTCACCCAAAAGAGCTTGCCGATCGAGGGTATGCCTGACAGCTGTCTTCGTCCTATGAAAATCTCTTTCGAAATCCGTTAAGACCTCTCGATGTCGCTGGACAGCATGCATCTGAGAGGCCGATGGTGGAGCGTTAGGGTCGATGAGCATCGCCGCCATTTTAGATACACTCGTCGACAGCTATTCTAATCAGCCTAAATGAGCTACGACGGGTGAGCAACAGAGACTCACATCATTTAGAAGCTCCTCGATCTCCTGTTCGAGCCTGTGGTCGTCTTGGCCTGACGGATCTTCGACGTCTTTCCCGGGCCACGCGGACGTAGACCCTCTGGACAACTCAGTAGCGAGTCTTGAGTATTCATTGAGCGCGGTATCGACACGAGCTTCAGCCGCCCTCGCCTGCCTCCTCTGATCGTCCCAGAACGACGACATCGGAACGAGTGAAGCACACCAGAGGTGCAACACCAGATCGAATAATACCTCCTCGGAAACGTGGCTATCGTAAGGACTCTTCCGGCTGGGGGCGACATCTAAACTATCATTAGATTGGGCAAAAACCCATGAAAAGCCGAAGCTACCCCGATAGCTTAGTCGGCAGAGCATAGTGCTTATACCTTTCGCATCTTCTTTTGCCGAAGAGCGGGTGTTTTCGTCGCCAATTTGGAGACGCTAGGGAGGCGAGTTCGATTCTCGCTCGGGGTAAAATGACAAGGCGACCTCTTGACGCCTTACTTTTGCACGTCCACCGCGTCCTTTTAAAGTGTTTGTTCGCGCGTATCTGAATGGCTTGTATCTTGCGCGCTTTTTTCGAAGTTGTGTTTGTTTATTTTGGCGCTGATTTTTGCACTTTCATTGTTACAGCGGCAACGAGCTTTGGCTTTGACGCATCACTCCGACTTGAGATAACGTGTCTCTGCAGTGTCCAAAAAGTTGGTAGAGCGCCTCCACTGCGTGAATGAAGCGTTCGAACATCTCGAGGGCGTGCGAGTCTTGTCGGAAACACAAGAAGAGGTGCGACGGTGCGATTCCCGTCTGCAGCCATTGCGCTCGGTATGGCTACAGATGTGTCGTTGCCTCGAACAGAGACAAGCGGTGCGTACGACAGTCGTCTTAAATTCTCCTTTCCGACTCTGACATGTGCTTTCATCATGCAGAAAGCCCGTGACTAAGAGTCATCATGAGGCTCTGCAAACGAGGATTGAGATGTTGGAGAGAGAGCTCGAAGCTGTTGGGCATAGACGACGGGAAAGGAGCGAAAAGCGAAGCATTCAGGGATCCGGCACTCCCAGCGTCGTCGATGAAATGGCACAAAACCTATGCGCGCAAACGATCCAGCGGAGAGGCTACCATGCTCGCAACAGCAGCAACCCTGATCTATCAGAAGATGTATATGCCCGCATACTGGCACTGCCCCGCCCTTTATTCGAGCATTTGCTTGGTCTCTCTTTCGACTATGGCTGCAGCTATGGACGGATTGTGCCAAGAAAGGTGAGCCAGTCGCCGAGCGCTCCTTTGGTCTGTCCTCTAAAGACAATTGCACCAGCACTTCTTCGAGTCGCTCGTGTCAAATCCTGGTATGGTGCGCAACGACCGAAGCTCGGTCTTTTCGCTAAGCGCCGTTCTTGCCATGGGGTGCTGCTATCTGGACGAGGCGACGCTGCTCAGCTTCAATTTTCACATCGATGGCCTCGAAGAAAGTCTCACTCGCAACCCGAAGGCAATGTCTCGTTTCTTCGCGGATCTCGCCAAGTCTCTCCTTGCCTACGAAGTCTCGCATCCCCTTTACAGCACTCTATCCGGCTTAAATTGTTTAGCTATTCGAGAGATCGGTATGGGCGACGAAGCGACTGGACTGGCCTTATTTGCTGTGGCCCGTCAGTTGGCTGACGATCTCGCCCTCATTTCCCTCGTTCGGAAGAGAGACCGAGACGATGAGGAAAGCTTTGAAAATGTTCACTCAAGCCTAACTCGAATTCCTCGACCGGAGCAACCTGGTTTTCTGTGCTACTGGAGCTTGACGACAATCGACATCGCATTTGCTATCGCACGGGGTACTCAGCCCCTTGGCGCGGCCAATTATGCTCGGGATTTATCGGAGGGTATGGATGTCCCTATCACCGTTCCATCGATCGACCTCAGCTTTCCGCGGAACGCCACGCTTGCATTTCGAGAGCTTTCAAAGCTCACAATGGTAGCCATCCCTGCCTTGGCAGATCTGTGCAACGAACAAATAAGCGATGAGGAGAAGTCGGTTCAGATCACAGCCTCGATCTTGCGGCTGGAAGAGTGGCATAACCAACTTGAGTCGCCTCTGAGAACCTTTTCGCATAGCCCCAGTCAGGCCAAGGATCCGCACATCCTCACGCTCTCCGCCACCTACTGGGCGCTGGTCATTCTCCTTCACCAGAAGCAGCCTTCATCACTACGGCGGCGCAGCGAGGCTTGCATCGCAATGGCCAATCTAGTCGCGATGCTCCGCACGACTTTGGGTCTCGAAAAGGCCCCTTCGCTGCTTGCACCCCTTCTGGCCGTCGCTTGCCTGGACGCCATTCAACTCCTCACAATCACCACTGCCTTTGCGAGTCCCACCCCAGGTACATCGAAGGCACAAGCAAACAGACCACACTCGGATCTGATGGACGAAGTGTCATCGGCGCTCGTCTCGCTGATTGCAGCTCTGCAAGGAATCTCGCGAACATGGCTACTTGCGGCAGACTTGAAATCGCGAATCGACGTCTACATCAAATGCCTCGATTTGGACCGTAGCATCGCTTTCAAGCCAAAGAGGCAATCGCATCAGAGCCACTTGTACAGCCGCGACCCATCCCAACGTGATGAGTAGGTGTACTTACCGTCAAAGAATTAGATTCCAATCTATAAAATCACCAAAATTTACGCGTTATCAACTTTGGCCTGAGCGCGATCGAAGAGTGACACCTAGAGGACAAGGAGACGCAACAAAAGTGGTCAAACATCCAGCGCGGGCGGCAGAAGATTTTTCTGCTCCATAGTATCGTACTGTACATCGACGTTTATGAAGAGAGGCTAGGAAATGCGAACGAAGAAATCTCGCTCGTTCTCGACTTTCGGCTTCACCATGGCCTGCTGGGCGAGAAGGTCGCCACAAGCTAGTCGGATCCTTTCCGGTGTTGCGGGAGCGTCCATATCAAAGTCAGCTTTTAGCAGACCGTGGTCAATACGCGCTGATCGGACGGCATCTTTGATGGCGAAAAAATGGAAGCATCCTAGCGTCAAGGGTGGCTCACCCACGCCTTTTGACCCTTGCACGGTACGTAGGTGATGCATTTTCCTCCCATGGCTGGCTTTCATGAAAGAAATGCGCATATCTGAAGGTGTGTCCCTGTAGACGTGGGCAATACCGGTGTTGTCGTCAGCAAAAATTGCCGAAGAAGCAGCCGTAAAGGAAACACGCACAAAAATGCAGGAATCTTGTAGTTGCCGGGACCTTTGGTCACCAAATCTCCATTTGGCTTCCATAGACTCTCCTCTATCGTGACAAGGCCCAGGCCTTGCGTAAAGGCGCCCTCGATTTGACCAACGTCGATGCCAGGATTGATGCTTCGAGCAATGTCCATACAGATGTCTGCCCTCACGACCCTATTGTCTCCGGTGGCCACATCAATCTCGGCTTCGGTGCAAACAACGCCTTGGGTCCAGTAGAAAAATGGCTCTCCCTCGCCCTTTTCCCAGTCCATGCCTTTGATCGGTGTTTTGTAGTGGCCGACGGCAGAGAGGTTAACACGGTCCATGTAAGCTTGGTGAGCCGCCTCGCGGAACGAGATGCCGGGTTTTCGGTACGGCTTCAACCGCTCCTTCAATTGCTCGCAGGCTGGCCAACAACGTTTGCCGTCAGCAAAGTGAACGCAAACAGTGTTAAGATATTGAAAAGGAGATGCTACTAACCATCTTTGACTGCAGCACCATTTAGATCGGATCCCACGGAGGCGGCCGTGGCTGACGTATTGGCAGTCTCGCGAGTGGAAGTTTGAGAAATGTGGATTGTGTCGTTGTCGACGCCCAATTCACTTGCTGCAACTTGGCTCACTTTGGAGTGAAGTCCTTGGCCCATCTCTACGCCAGCATGGCTAATCATGACAGAGCCGTCATGAGCGTATATGTGCACAAGACAACGGGCTTGGTTGAGAGTGAGAAATGTGTAGGAGAGCCCAAAGCGAGTGGCTTGAAGGGTAATCCCACGCTTCTTCCAGCGATTCTCCTTGTTGAAGATGTCAATCGCACGCCTGCGCCGATCAAAATCAGAGGAGCGCTTCAGCTCTTGCCACATTGTAGGGACATTCCAATCGACCAAAGGTTGCTTGTAGTGCGTCAGGTCTCCTTCGATGTTGAAGTTGAGCGCCCTGACGTCCTCGGGAAGCAAGCCAAGGGAGCGAGCCGCCTTAGTCAGAGCGTCCTCGACGATGAAAATACCCTGCGGCCCGCCAAAACCCCGGAATGCCGTGTTCGACACGGTGTGCGTTCGACACATCCAACCGCGAACACGGAGAGCGGGCCATCGGTAGCAGCCATCGATGTGAAACATCGCCCTTTCCAACACTGCTCTTGATAGATCCTGAGAGTGGCCTGCGTTGTTGTACACTTTCACGTCGAACTTTTTGAATTTGCCTGTCCTTGTCATCCCAATCCTCCACTCGCCCTTGAAAGGATGCCGTTGACCGTTGAACAGCATGTCCTCGTCACGGTCGAGTTGACAGCGAACAGGTCTACCCGAAACTTTGCTAGCGACGGCCATGACGGCCGCCAGGATAACGGAGCGAGTCTCTTTGCCTCCAAAGCCCCCGCCGATTCGCTTGACGCGTACATTGATGCGGCTCATGGGAATGCAGAGAGCCTCAGACACAAATGCCTGAGTCTCACTCGGATTCTGTGTGGAGCTCCAGACCTCCATGTCGTCTCCCTCCTTGGAGGGAACGATGAGGCAGGCGTTAGTTTCGAGGTAGAAGTGCGACTGGCCTCCCAAGCGAGTCGTCCCTTCGAGTACGTGCTCGCAATCGGACCAGTCGTCGAATTCCTCGTTAGTCGCCGTTTGGATCTTTGGTCGCGGTGGGAGAAAGCTCTCTGCACTTATAGCAGAGTCGATGTCCAGCACAGGAGGGCCTAGTCGTTCGTATTCGACCTTGACCATCCTGGCAGCTGCCTGTGCTAAGCGTTTCGTCTTTGCAAGAACGACGCCGATGACCATGCCGACAGCATCGGAGCGACTACCGGCGAAGAAGCGATCATCGAAGAGGAACGCATTACGGCCCCCCAGCTTCACCAAATCATTCTCCTCAACAAACCACAATGCTGGGCCGTTTGGCATTAGAGCTGGCGTAGCATCGATGCTGACAATCTTTGCATTGGCCGTCGTCGTCAAGACTAGTGCACCTACTAATTCACCCTCCTGGAGAGCAATATCGTCAACGTATTCTGCTGTGCCAGCGCATTGCTTGAGGGCGCTGAGGTGGGGCATCGATTCACCAGATCCGCCTTTGACCTTTACTTGCACCTGTTCGAAGTCTTGGCTCCCTCTTGTCACCGGTCGCACCAAAGCTGATCCGGAGAGCCCCTTGAAAGCGCTTGGCAGCGAACTTCTCACTTTCACTTCACTTTGAAGCTCTTCGGTGACCTCGGACCAAAATTTGGCGAAAAAGCTGAGCGCTAGCGCTTTGCGATAGGAAGCCATACCACCTGGGACACTAAGAGCGAGGTCAAAGTCCCTGGAGCCGAGCCGGTCGAGAGCACGATCCAGCAGTGTGTCATCGTTGAAGTTCGAACCGCGTACTTCTTCGGCCGTCTCCTTGGCCAGCACGGTTGTAGGAGCCATTCCTCCGTAAGCGAATCTGGCTTCTCTGACGGTCCAAGACTGTCCCAGGTCAGGCGGAACTGCCTCGACCTCCAGATAAAGGCAGCACGTCACGGTAGCAATGTCGTCATCGACACGCTTCGCCTGCTTGTATGCTCGCGTGAAGCGTCTTGTCTCTTGGGCATCATTTGGATCTGGCGGTGGTGGAAGAGAGACGACAATTCGGGTTATGACAGCTCCAGCTGGCAGAGCTGTCTTGCGATAGCCTCGAAAAAAGTTCGACATAGAAATTCTTCCTTCAAGACGCTCCAAGAAGGCGTCATCTTCGCCCAAGACATCATCCTCGCTGAGTTCTAGGGCGTCAATGTAACGCACTTCTGAGTTCAAGGCTAACCAAACGGGATTGAGATCGCTGATAGGTGAGGCTGTTGCGACGTTGCCGCCGACGCAAGCAACATTACGGATCTGTGTCGAGGCAAAGTGCGAGATGTTGGACATGATGGCGCGAAAGACCTGGAGACTGAATTGAACGGCAGCAGATCGATGAAGACTCCCTGAAAACTTCCGCGAGAGACTCTTGAGGGCGGCCGTAATATCATTGATGGGCAAGAGCGAGCCAATGGAGAGCTGCTCATCTGTGGATTCGAAGCGGCAAAGGCTGGGGATGTTGCCCGTGTAAATACTGACGCTGTACTCGCGGTGGCCAGATTTGACCTCGATCCGGCACTCCGAGTCACCTGAGCGAAGTTTGGCTGCAATTTGCCGAGAATTATAGAAGCGCAGCATGGTGACGAGAGACGAGAGCGTCGAGGGTCGGAGCCAGACGACGCTCTTTCTGCTCTCGTGTTGCTGCCGCAGGCTGTCCTCCGGGGCCACTTCTTCCTCCTCGCCATTGTTCAACCCCCAGGGCTGCGACGAAGACACGTCGACAAAACCCAAGTCCTGGTCGTCCCAAACAGAACGATTGCCGCCCTCTGCCCTATCGCGGGACCGAAGTAGCCACGCGGGGAAGATCGGTTCGTTGGCGCCATCGTATTCCATCAGGCCATCGGGCTCCTTTGACGCGATCCGAGCCCTTGCCAGCGAGAGAGACGAAGCGGGCAGCGGTGTGTTGGAAGATGCGAAGCCAGAGTCATGGCCGGAGGAAACGCTGGTCCTACTGCTGCTAGTATCGCTCCCCGACTCAACTGAGGCAGGTGGCGTCTTGCCGCCACTCGCACTGGCATCCTTTCTTTTGAAGCGACAGCAGTCTTCGCCTCGAGGGCAAGCACCTGCTGGCGAAGAACAGGAAAGCTGCTGCTGCTGCTGCTGGGAGTTGGCGGTGACGGCCTCGAGCCCATTGAAATACTCGTCATCATCGGCGGTCTCTGATGCTTTCGCAAATGTCTTCAGCGCGTCCAGGATCGGTCGGTAGCCCGTACACCTGCACAAATTCCCATCCATGCCTCGTTCGATGTCTCGTTCCGACAGTCCTCTTTTGCCGGCATTTCGCAAGGTTGCGTAGCTGTCCGACAACGCACTCCATCATGTCAGTGCCCAAAGACTCAAGTCTATGAAGGCCCACAAGTAAAGTGCTCCTCGGTCGGAAAGACTTACAAGGACATGATGATACCAGGGGTACAGAATCCGCACTGACTGCCAAAGAGAAAAGCCTACCCAAAGTGGTCATCAGCATGAATTCAGTAGCAAAAAAAGGGTCGCACCTGTGGCCTTGCCCAGACCTTTAACACTCACAAGTCTCTGCTGAATCGCGTGCGGGTGCCTTTCTGTGCCGATTCCCTCTGTGGATGATGGGGATCAGTGCGCGCTACTGTGGGGCTCAACGTCGATCCTGTTGCCAACTTACCGATGGTGATGACCTGTGACATAGGTGGTATCGGACATCGTCGAGACAGCCAGGTCAGTCAACTTTCCCTTACGACGCTACGCTGAAAATCGCTGGACGAAAGGTAATGGTCCTGTTTCTCTACTCACTTGGCATCCGTGCACGGCAATGAGTGGCATCAGACAGCTGTTGACAGCTCGGATGTCATACGGCAGCCCGTTGCCCAGGTCGTGTTCCTGTTCGCGTTGCAGCTGTGCCCTCGACTTTGGTCGAAGCACAACGACGGTGCAAGCGCCGCAGCCGCCTTCACCGCAGCCGAGCTTCGTACCTGTCAATCTGACGTGGTCTCGCAGATATTCGAGCAGAGTCGAATCCCAGGCGACGGTGGTGTCATGGGGTGAGACACTGATGCGCTGCCTGTTGACTTGAAATGACAGAGGCAGGAGAGAGACATGAGGTGGCAAGGGATGGCCATGCAGCTGGACCGCTGTTGCCATGGCTTGCTCTAGGAAAGCGAGACGGTGAGGAAGTGACAAGAGTTGGCACAATGCTGCTGCTGATGGTGGTCGCCGCGGTGTGCGGGTGCTGGTGTTGGTGCTGGTGTGTAGGGGCCACTCACTACAAACTCTAAAAATTAAAAGTTGGTATTGGTAGAGCGAGACGGGACCTCGGTCGAGAAGCCGGCGCCAATGATATCTTGTCGGATTCCAAGCAACTCGGCGGCTTTACCACTTGCACGCACACATCAACAAAAGGATACGAGCTGGACCGAGTGTATGGACACGACGATGACAAGATCATGGAAGCATATGGGCAACACATAGGCGAGGTGCGTCGCCGCGAATTTGCCTCGCAGCATCTCGACTCGTCCACCTTTCTCGACGCTGCCTCGCATCCTCCGGCGCCCCTGTCGGCCCTCGATGCCGTTCACCTTCACCTCACTCGCGAGGGTGGCCCCATCTCGAACCCGCACAGCGGCAGTCCCAGTGGAACGCGGACACGCCAGAGAATAGACGAGGTCCGTGAACTGGTCTGCCGGGAAATATTCGGCCTGGACCGCACGGGGGGCCCATGGCGTCCTCTCGACGGCATCGCGGACAGCAGCAACAACGAACGAGGCTGGGAACTGATCTTCACCAGTGGCGCCACTGCAAGTCTTGAGCTCGTGGCGAGGTCTTTCGACTTTGGATCAGGCGACGGCAAGGGCACTTTCGGCTATCTTGAAGAAGCCCACAGCAGCCTCGTCGGGCTCCGCGACATTGTCACGGGCGAGAGGAGCGACCGAGGCGCCAAGTGCGCACAGCCTCTCAAAGCTGACAGCGCACAGATCGAAGCCTTTATCAATGGCGCAGCCACCTCGTCGTCTCCCTCGCTGTTGGCGCTTCCCCTTCAGTGCAACGCCACTGGCAAACGCTTCAACGGTCTCGTTGCATCGTCACTGCTGCAGAGGAGGGGTGCCCATCCACCGAGACCCTACATCCTTCTCGATGCAGCATCCTACCTCTCTCCGTCGATGCGCCTGCCCATGCGTGAAAGCTTTAGCCACGATTCGCAAGACGAAAGCATGCCAGACTTTGTGGCATTCTCCTTTTACAAGCTCCTGGGTTCTCCCACCGGCCTCGGCGGCCTTCTGGTCAAGAGATCGTCGGCAGCCAGAGCTCTTCTTGCCAGCAATGGCAAACAGTATTTTGGTGGAGGCGCCGTCTCTGCCTTGATGGCATCGGCCGCCTGGAGAGAGCCGGCTAGGGAGTTGCATGCGGCCTTGGAAGATGGCACAGGTAATTTGCACGCCATTCTGTCGGTGCCCACGATGCTGCAGACACTCCGGTCTAGCTCACTCTTGGGCTCGTGGAGCGAGAGTGGAGCCTACGTCGATGACCTGACCAGGCATCTCTGGTCGTCGCTCAGCAGTCTCCGGCATGGCGACGGTAGCAGCGTGTGTCGAATGTACTCCCCAGCTCCTCGGGGCTGCGGTCACATACTCTCCTCACCACAATCATCACCCTCAACCGCCTCACTTTCCTCCACTCCCACATCATCAGCATCAGCATCAGCATCGCTGAATCAAGGACCGATTGTCCTCTTCAACGTCTGCCGTCCGGCCTCTGCTGTCCAAGACGACAATGCGCTATCTCAGTCGCTGCTTATCGACCCGAACGAAGTCGATAGGCTGGCGAGCGTTTCTGACATTCACCTGCGCTGCGGCCGCATGTGCAATGCCGGCGCGATCGCCAACGCCTTGGGGTTGGCCGAGAACGCTTTTCAGAAGCTCTGGCACCTTGGTGTTGGGTGTGGCATGGCGGGCTGGGTTCAAGGTGCGGGAGACTCCCAAGTCAGCTCGGCCTTGAGGGTCAGCGTCTGTGCCTGGAATACACGAGGCGACATCGACAGGCTCGTTGAATTTCTCCAGCGCTTCTTTGCCATTGATGGTTGCGCACCTACTAAAGTCGAGGACAACGAACAAGACGTGTACCTTTCCTGTGAGGATGACGACGAAGACGATGAACGAGGGTCGGCAAGCGAGACAGCCTCGCAACAGACCGACTCAACCAGTCAGACGTCGTCATTAGGACGGCAACGGAAAGAACACGAGCAAAGGTGCTTGAGGCTCTCGAGTGTCCATCTTTTTCCTATCAAATCGTGTGCGGGTCAGGTCATAGACATTCCCTGGCGGCTTAAGCCAACGGGGCTTGAGTACGATCGGCAATTCTGCGTGATTGACCTGACCAACGGCAGGGTCATGAGCCAAAAGCGGGTCAAGGCCTTGGCCAGAATTCGTCCCTCGATCGATCTGAGCTCAAGAACGATGACTGTCGAGTTCATAAGCCACGATGGCGTTTCAAGAGTGCCCTCGCCTATCCATGTGCACCTCGAAGAGGAAGACGGAGGGAAGGAACTGGATGTCGACTTCTGCGATGACGGCTCCATTGTTCGTCCGGTCCTCCTGAGCTGTCACGAGGTGCAAAGGCGTTTCTCTGAATTCCTTGGTCGTCGATGCACCCTAGCAAGGATGGATAGGAGTCGACTAAGGATGGATCGTCTGCCTCTGTTGCTTAGTAACGAATCGCCATTTCTCGTCATCAATCAACGGAGCGTCGAAGAAGTTTGCAAGTGGATCGAACAAGACGAAGGAATTTACATGGATCCCGAGAGAGTGGCGTTGTGCTTCAGGAGCAATTTCGTCATTGACGGCGGCCTCGACCAAGCTTTCGACGAAGACACCGCGAGACGCGTCGTCGTGGGAAGATCCATATTTGCCGTCATGGGCCCTTGTCGTCGCTGCGAGATGATTGCGCTAGATCAGGTCAACGGCAGACCAGTGCCTCAGGTCTTGAAAGCTGTGGCTTCCCATCGCAGGTATACAGGGGGGGCCCTAAGCGGGAGAATTCTTTTCGGAGCTCACTTGACCTGGATTCAGAAATCTTGCTCGCAGAGCGAATGGATCCAGGTCGGTATGCCGGTCTTTCTTCAATGAAATATGCAGAGCGATTGGGCAGCTACTTTCACGCAATCCGGTGACGGAATTGCTTCCTCTTTCCTCGTTGCATCACTTGAGCCCCTGAGAATCCAGCATGCGCCGCTGTGGTTCATAAATATGGTACCAACTACGCCGGTGTACGTGAGCGCGCAAAGCTGGAAAGCAAGACACAGCCAATCAAAGGGCGCATCCAGCTTGAATCTGGAAGCACACCTGTTGTTTCGATAAGATTGGAGCAAAGTTTGGACTGCTCACAACAATGTAAAAAATCACCGCGTGACAGTGAAAATGGAGCATCAATCTTCTCTCGAGTCCTTGTTGTGAGCATGTTATGAGCGTTCCGATTTTTGCTCCCGATACTGTCGATAGCATCGCTTCCTGTAAAAATGACACTACCACAGCTAGCGACTAATTTAATTTCCCCTCTGCTTGCCAAAGCGAAGCGAGAAGGTATTGGCCGATGCTTCTACCGTCGATGCGCATCTAAGCCAATCACGAGACACTGCACATCCAGGCTGGGGGATGACTCAGTGAACCAGAGGCGCGATCGCGCCGACGCGAACTCGGAGAATTAGTGCTGAGTCGGTTGAAAGCGAGCATCCCCGCATGCGCTCCATAAGTGGTGGTAGCTGTTCCTCGTTCGGGTTCGGGAAAAACGACTAGCTCAGTATATTTAGAGGGGGTGGAGGCGGTCAAAAAGGCTCGCGCTTCCTGCCTTCTTGACCACTTCTTTCCCTTCCTCAACCAACCTGAATCAACATGGACATCATCCGTACGAGCGCCTCTCATCTGTCGGAACATGCGACACTCTACGTCGGCGCTGTTTCGTCGCTCCTTCTTTATGCCGTGTACAAGGCAATTCTATACCCTCGCTTCTTTAGTCCGATGCGATCCTACCCCGGTCCACAGACACACTGGCTCTTTGGAAATGTCTTTGACATTCTGGGGAGCGAACCTGGGAGAAGCTATATGGAGTGGCACAAGCAGGTACGACCTTGAAAAGATTTGTGGCCTGCGCGTAGCCACATCTGGCAAGCTCACCGTTCTTTTGATCCGCAACAGTACGGCCCTGTCATCCGCACAATTGCTCCTTTCCCTGGCTACGGTAAGCTTTTTGAGAGCGTCTTTGTGCCATAACTCTTGCTGAATCGTTTGCAATGGCAGAAAATATCTCTTTCACCTCATATTCAGCGCTCAAGACGATTCTTGTGGATCGCGCTTACGACTTCCCCAAGCCATCCTATCTACGTGACCTTCTGGGAATCGCGGCTGGGTACGGGCTCTTGACACTCGAGGGGTCAGAGCACCAAGAGCTTCGCCGTTGGATGAATCCTGCTTTTCGGCTCAATTTTTTACACGAGCGTGAGGCCCACGGAAGAACGAAACAAAGAGAGGTTAAAGGCACTGACCACAACACCCCCGTCAAACGCACAGACTTCGATATTTACCACAAGCCCATCTCATCGCTCGTCGACATCGTCAGCAATGATATCAAGAGCAACGAGTCTAAAGATGGCAAGGTCTTCGAAGTGACAAAGCTCATCAACAGCTGTCTGATGGACATCAGTGAGTAGCGCGTATGCACCGGCCATCCCTGTCCTGCTTCTCATTCGCTATTCTTTTCTTCCTTGCTTCGCGACAGTCTGCCTAACCGCTTTTGGCTACGAATGTGACAGTCTCCACAACGAAGATCAGCCGCTTGCCAACGCATATCATTCGCTTGTCAACCTACAAAATCTTCCAAACTTGCTGACCTTTTTCGGAGTTGTCACATTACCTGGAGGTGCACGCATCGCAAAGTCGGCTGTACGATCGAGCTGGGTCGGGCCTCTGCTGACACGCCTCAACGACTTGACGGGAAATACCTTTTTGGGCCCAATCGCATCCTTCGTGCGGAATATGAGGCAGGTCAACGTCATATCGCAGCAACTCCTCAACGAGAAGCTGTCCGAGGCTCATCAACTTCAGAAGGCTGGCAACTCCCTCGACGGCGGCAAGATCGATGTGCTGAGCCTCATGGTGAAGGCCAGTCTTGACAAAGACAGCCCTTACAAGATGGACGGTGAGGCTCTTTCGAGCCAGATGCTTACATTCCTGGGGGCTGGCCACGAGACGACGGCAAGCGGAGCAGCTTGGGCCCTGTGGGAGCTTGCAAGCCATCGCTCGATTCAAGAAAAGCTCCGTAAAGAATGCCAGGAACTCATTGCAAGGAACTCGACGCCGGGCTATCAGGACATCAAGCACCTTCGCTACCTCAACAATTTTGTACAGGAAGTCATGCGCCTTCGACCACCGACGCCGCAGACCGCAAGGCAAGCAGCCAAGGACTCCATGGTGGACGGCGTATTTGTTCCCAAGGGTACTGGTGTCTTCATTGCCAGTCGCGTCGTCAATGAAGATGAGAAGATATGGGGAAGCGACGCCCACGAATTCAATCCAGATCGTTGGGACGCTCTGCCAGAAAAGTATGACTCTACATTCTCCATGCTTACCTTCATCGCTGGACCACACCATTGCATCGGCCGCAACATGGCTATCATGGAGCTCAAAGCTCTGCTCTGCGTTCTGGTCGCCAACTTTGATTTCACTCCCGCTCAGGCCACACCAAAGGAGACCAGCGCCATCACAATGAAGCCAGAGGGGGGCCTATACCTTCGCCTCAAGCGCCTCAATCCTGCCGATGTCCTCACACAGCAGTAAAGATTCCAAGTATCGACCGTTCTGATCCCTGTATATGACCAAAGCCTCCGAGCTCTTTATATAACGAATTCATTCACTCGTGACGATGGCAGTATTACAATCTACTGAAAAATAGACTAAGTCGATTTATTCAAAATCGTATTATCAACTTATTATTTCAAGACTGGGAAAGAGGTTGATATCCTTCTACTGAACCCATGGTCCAGCATGGCGTCGTCGCTGCCCGTCTCGGTGTTGGAGTACATAGCACCCTGTGAGCAGCCAGATCGATGGCCATGGGCTCTGTTTCCCGGACTTGCAATTGCCGTGCTGACGTGAGAGCTCTTTCCGATGCACAGGGCCTCTCTACGCACTCGCCTGGTCCTCGAGCCCCTCTAGTCCGGCTCTGGGGAAGTCGTCGACCCTTTCCGTGAACAGCAACACCACCTACGAGCCGTCACCTCCTCCTACAGCTTCCAGCGATATACCAGTGGATGCTAGATTGGCCATTGGAAGCTTTGTCGATGAGTACACCAATCGGATCCAGGTCTTGGGCGTTGGTCAAGATGAGACAGGGTGGGTCACGATGGCGAGAAGGAGCTGCGAGCTTCGTTGTGCTATTTTCTTCTGACTAGACGACAACAGAACGCCCTGCCTCAAAGTGGTAGCCGATGCCTCCCACCCCTACCCAGCCACTAGGATTGCATTTCAGCCCTCGTCCTTGAGTGGGGCTTCTTCATCGGCGTCGTCCTCGTCTGCTACCACCACAACAAACTCTCGCTATTCAAACCCATCGAGCAAGATGGCCAAACGTGCTTCTTGGGGAGCGTCACATGCTTCTACGTCTGGGTATGGTAGCGGAAGAGGCAGTTCGTCATCGGACAATGACGAATCGATGTCGACACCTAGATATCCAACACGGGAGTTACTGGCCACGACAGCCGACTGCCTCAGAGTGTGGGAGTGCGCTCACGATGAGGAAGAGGGGCCCAGATCGAGCTTCGTGGGCGCCTCCAATCCATCCTCTGGCTTACAATACAGCCTTCGAGAGAAGAGCGTCCTTGCGCACGTGAGTTCAAAGATGCTCTTTTCGTCCTTGGTACAGTGCTGATGAACCCCCCTTTTGTCGCAGTCAAAGAACACAACGTCTCCTCCTGCCCCACTGACGTCCTTTTCCTGGAACACGCCCTCGCCGAATCTGATAGTGACCTCGTCAATCGACACGACCTGCACCATTTGGGACTTACCATCTCGGACAGCCCTGACACAACTTATTGCTCACGACCGAGAGGTGTACGATGTCGACTGGTGCCCAGGCAGCGCCGACGTCTTTGCAAGCGTGGGAGCCGACGGCAGTGTCAGGGTATTTGATCTGCGGAGCCTTGAACACTCTACCATTATCTACGAGACAGGCAACCCAGGTGCGACCGCCAGCGCTAGCGGTGGGAATGGAGGTGCAGCGGCTGGGAGTGGCGGCGGCGGCGAAGGAGGAAGTCGACCAGACAGCGGATCCAGCAGCACAAAGAATGTGCCTGCAGCCCCGCTGCTTCGCATTGCTTTCAATCCTTGGGATGCGAATTACTTGGCAACATTCCATCTCGATTCCGACACGGTGCAGATTCTCGACGTACGGGCGCCAGGCTCACCAATACTAGAGCTGAGGGGCCACGCTGCCAGCGTCAATGCTGTCGCGTGGGGACCTCCAGGCAGCGGCGGCATGGGCGGCGCAACATCGAGTAAGGGCATGGTTTGCACAGCCGCCGACGACTGTCAGTGCCTAGTCTATGACCTGGCTAGCGCGACCTTGCGGAGCGCCTCGGCCCAGGGTCGAAGGTCACGGAACGGTGCAGGCCCAAGTCCCGCGCCCTCTTCAAGCAACAGCAGCTACATGGATGGCAGGAGCGCCACGCCAGCTCGGTTTGCAGAAGCTCCCATTCTGACATACGCTGCCCACGAGATGGTCAATAACGTGGCATGGCTTCGGGCCTCAACATCGACGATTTCACAGTCACCTTCGACGAACGCAAAAGGCAGTGTGGTGCAGGAATGGGATGATTACACCGCACGAGCAAGGCAAAAGCAGCAGTCCGGTAACAATGAGCCAGACGTCGACTGGCTCGCAATGGTAGCTGGCCAGTCCGTCAAGGCATTGCGGGTATGACTTTCCACATGGCGTCCACGTCGTCAAGCTCGTCATCGTCGATGATGTCCCATTGTAATTATAAAAATACACAAAATTGCAGGCTACATCCTCACGCCAAATTGAAGGAGTTGTTACCCTCAGTGAGTGCAAGGTCGAACTTTTCAAACAAGACAGCTTCTGAAGTATAACGTGGTAAGAAGAGGGTGTTTGTGCATGTTGATGACCGAGGAAGATCTTGGGGCCCTCCTCCCACAATCGAATCCCGTTCATCGAGGACAAAGATGGTGAAGTGAAATGCTTCCTCGTCCTTGGCGAGAATTGAGGTGCGGTGATTGGCTGTAATGAAGCGATAGAAGCCAAGGACGGACGTCGGTCCATCGAGTGAGGAAATGTAGTGCCAGAACCATTCGAGCAGCAGTGGCACAGTGTCGGGGTCGCCATCGTTTTCAACACGACAATGGCGACGCAATGTGGTTACGTCCAGCGGCAACTCTTCACCACGTATGAGCTGAACGAGTTCGTTGGCATTGAAGAGCTCGAAGCATCGCAATATATCGTTGGCACCCACAAGTACCGCCCGGAAACCACCATGGAAAGATTGCAGCGCGCTAAATGGCTCTTCGATGAGACGTTTTCTGATGAATGCGCTTACGAATTCTTCTCGATTGGACACGTCAACGACCATTTGGGTGCCTTTGACCTCGTCGTCCAAGTTCCAGCCCAAAGTTTCGTGGATGGGTCCATCAATTGACTCGTCCCATTCGAGGAGCTTTGAAAGTCCGCTGGCAAGACTCTGATCGACTTTGCCCATATCGACCAGTGTTGGTTGATAATGCGACAGTTCACGGACGGTCAGAATGGCGAAATAAAATGTGGGCAACGGGACGTCGATGACGACCTGGTGAAGCATGGCGAGAGCGAGGCAGGCTCCGAAGGTTTTTGCAGTCGATAGTCCGTCGTGAGACTGTTCTGAAAAAAGCGCTCGAGGTTCCCGAGCACACCTCTGCGTGATTTCCGCGGCAATGAGTAGCAACCATTCTTTTCGAAGCCCACCGGCGTCTTGACCTTCCTCGCCAACAAAAGATACGCGAACTCCAGACAGCGGCCTTGTCCAGCTTTGGGTCACTCGCTTGAGCTCAGAAGTCGTTGACTCAATTAGTCTCGTCCTCTCGATCCTTATGGTGGGCATGAGTTGCTGATCGTCTCTTCCTAGCCCGGCATACACGGCGTCGAACATATCTCGTTGTCTTCGATGTTGGTGACAATGATACAGCTCCGTCTGCAGCAGCCGGGCTTTGGAACGGACAGAGATGAGGCGCCTTGGATATGCGTCCAGGATTGCATCGATCGTCTTGAGAGGCGGCAGAGCGAGCAAGTGGGGTCCAGTTTCGTTGTACACCCGCTCTATTAACACGTCAATGGCAACGAGGGAAAAAGCCAAGGGATCAATTCTTGTATCGACGCTGTCTTTGGCTTCGATTTCGGCTTCGGCGAACAGATCCAAGAGGCCAAGAAGATCTCTGCAAGCCCTTTCGTCCTCTAGCAGCCGTTGATTGCAGATGCGCACCAGCCGTTCCACCGTGGGCTTGAAAGCACTGCATGGATACAGATCGGAGTCTCGAAGAAGATCGACAAGAGTCGACCTCGAAGAAGCAGCACACTTGAGAACGGCAATTGCGATTTCGTCGATTTCGTCTCGCACTAGGAGAAGTAAACGACATTCGAGTACGACCAAAAGGGAGGTGCAGCGCAGTACCTCCTCTTCTGGGCCTGCTGACGCACCTGCAGAGGCACGAACAAGGGTTCCATTGATGCTTGCCGACACGGCCCCTATCACGGCCTCTCTGTGCGCACCATCGAGCTTCTGGATCCTTGCTAAGCTCCGACGAATCTGGTCTAGGCACAGCTGCCTGCACGGCTCCGACTTGAGCAATTCAGTGAATGTGTAATGCTGTACTCTACTACTCACTGTTTTACCCTTGGCATTACTAAGGGAAAGGGGAGTCAGCCAGTCTGTCAGATGTGACTTTCGCCGAGACAACTTCGGCCACCCACGCGAGCGAGTTCGAAGAAAGTCAATTTTGTGAAAGCTAAACATAAACAGCAGAGGGCCAATCTGCAGGTGTCAAACTTTCGGCGTGTGCTGAGGGCGGCCCATGCAAGTGGTGGGCTTAGGGTAACGTTGAGCGCGCGGCTGTGTCAACGAGGAAACCCTGTACCCATCCCTAAATCCTGGAGGCTGACGGACAAGGAGCCCCTGACCCAGACAGACAAGCTGTTCTGTACGATTCGCCAATCACGGCGAGTCGTTTCCAGACTGTAACCGTACTTCTCACCCTCGACCCTGACTCCTCGAATCAGAGTCGGAAACGAGTTTAATGTTGCCCTGGCTCCTCAAGCTGCTTTCCTGACTGGTAAACGCATGTGAAGAGGGCATGTCGACAGTTCCCTAAGGTCAGGGCAGGTGCAAGCTGCACGAAAGTCAAATCATTGGGCTATCTGCAGTCTTCTCCTGTTCCTAACAAGGTCCCACGTAAAGTACGGTGGTGCATTGTTCTCCTCGCGAGCCCGTTTCCTCCTGGGAGAGAGGTGATAGTCTCACATTTTCGAGACGGCGGCCCTATAAATGAGCAAGCGCTTCGTTGGCCAAAGTTGTTGTCCTCCGCTCTCGTCTCCCTCTTCTCCCCTGCGAAGCGGCAATCCTCGCAAAGCAGAGTCGCCAGGTGTTCACGTAACATTCCTACTCCTTCTCAGGGTCCGCAGACTGCAAGATGTCGCGACCATCGCTTGACAAAGAGGATGGCTTGGACTCCAAGTCCTCGGTGTCGCACAGCACCGGCGTCGTGGTGGGCCATGAACTACCTAACAACAGCGACCCGGAAAAGGGCGAGATACCTTTCACTCGGATCGATACGGTGCGCTTCGGCCACGACAAGCAGATCGAGGATGACATCCACCTGGCCGCCATTGATGACGAAGGAGCCATGCAGCGCTCGAACGACCCTCCAGGAGACATCATGATGTCAAAGAGATTGACTCTCCAGAGAACACATTCAATCGGATCGCTCAACCGCAGTCGATTCAACCAGAGCAGCAAGGTCATCGGTGACTTCAGGACAATGAGCATTCAGCTCAGCCAAGGCGGTTTGGCAGAGTCTGGAAAGGCATCGAAGAAGGAAAGGAAGCGCGGCGGCGAAAAGAAGACATTGAAAGGTGCGCACTTACTTCTCTTGAGAAGCTTTGCTCGATTCGACTTTGACTACGACTGCCTCTGACGAATGTCTTGTCCCAACAGATATTGCCGACTTGGAGTGGCATCGGCTAAGTGCCGAGGAAAGCATGACGAGGTTGGGCGTATCCGCTCTTTCAGGACTAGATACGGCTCAGGCAAAGCGACGCTTGGACGCTGATGGACCAAACAAGATCAGCAAGCCCCCAAACAATTGGCCTCGAAAAATCTTTACATACGTATTCGGTGGCTTTGGATCACTCCTTGTCGGGGCATCAGCTATCTGTTTCGTCGCTTGGCGAATCGGCCAACCACCGCAGGCTTCGAATCTGGCCTTAGCTGTGGTGCTCCTCGTCGTCGTCCTGGTCACCTCGTTCTTCAATGCTTGGCAGGACTTCACTACGTCGCGTGTCATGGAGAGTGTACGGGGCATGCTACCGTCTGACGTCGCCGTGCTCCGCGACGGGTCGATCCATGTCGTCCCTGCAGCCGAAGTGGTTCGCGGCGACATCATTGAAATCAAAATGGGAGCCAAAGTGGCGGCCGACTGTCGCATTCTTTCGATTGAGTCCGAGATCAAGTTCGACCGGAGCAGCTTGACCGGCGAAAGCGATGCAATCGCGGCCACGGTCGACATGACAGAGGAGAACTATCTTGAGTCTCGCAACATCGTCATGGCGGGCACCAAATGCGTATCCGGCCAAGCCAGGGCCATCGTCACAGCCACAGGCGACACGACCGTCTTTGGCAGGCTGGCGAAGCTCTCGTCGACTCCGAAGAAGGAAAGGACAACACTAGAGAAGGAGATTTTCTATTTCGTCCTCACCATTGCTTCATTGGCCGCTACCGTGGCAATCGTTTGCGTTATCATTTGGGCCGCCTATTTGCGACCCAAACATCCCGATTTCATGAGCGTATCGAGCCTCCTCGTCAATGTTGTCTCCATTTTGGTCGCCTTCATTCCAGAAGGCCTTCCCTGCGCCGTCTCGCTTTCGTTGACAGCCGTTGCGGCGCGCATGCGACGTGCCCATGTTCTCGTCAAATCGCTGTCCATCGTTGAAACGCTAGGAGCGGTCAATGTTGTATGCTCCGACAAAACGGGCACTCTTACCCAGAACAGCATGTCAGTCCGCGCCTGCGTCGTTCACGGATTCGAAGAGGACGACGTCGAAGAGGCGAAGCGACACGTCGGCATGGACACGCCCATTGGCCACGCCTTTAATCAGCTTCAATGGCTGGCCGGAGTCTGCAATGCAGCTACTTTCGACAACACTGAGTCCGAGAAGGCAAAGAGGGTGGATGAAAGGGCCGTCCATGGCGATGCCACCGACACGGCCTGTCTCCGCTTTTCCCAGCTCCTCGGGGGTGATATCGACCAGTCCAGGATGGGCTGGACCACGATCCAGCAGATGGCCTTCAACAGCAAACACAAATTTGCTCTTCGGCTCCTCAAGGCGGACCCGGCCTTGAGCATCACCAGGGTTGCCGATAAGGCCCTCTCGCAAGCCGAGGCCGTCAACTTCAGTGCTGATTCTGACCTCGTGCTTCTCACAAAGGGCGCTCCTGATGTGCTCTTCAGTCGTTGCACCAGGACCCTCGATGCCAGCGGAAGCGTCGTCGAGCTGACGAAAGCTCGCAAGCAGTACCTCGAGGCCGTGCAACAGGCATGGGCTGACACGGGCAAACGCGTTCTACTCCTCGCTCGCCGCATCGTGTCCATCTCACCAGCGTCGCGCGTCGAAGAGCTGAACGAGGGCGAGCTGATGGCGCTCAACAATGACCTAACCATCGTCGGTCTCGTCGGCATCGTTGATCCTCCTAGGCCGGAGATTGCCAAAGTTGTCAAAACAGTCCGCGGTGCTGGCTCCCGCTTCTTCATGGTAACGGGAGATTTCCAAAACACAGCCGTAGCCATTGCAAGACAATGTGGTATCGTCACGACCAAGAAGGTAGCAACGTACGACGACATCGAATTTTATCGCACAAAAGATCCTTTACCTCGCTACGACTTTCTCGATCCAACGAACGACGAGAGGCCACAGAGGGCCATGAGTTTGACAGGCTTCGACGTCATGAGGCTTCAGCCGGCGGACTGGGATGTGGTGTGCAATTTCGACGAAATCGTCTTCAGCAGGACCACGCCGGACCAGAAATTGCGAATCGTAAAGGAATTCCAGGCCAGAGACGGTGTTGTGGCCATGACGGGCGATGGCGTCAACGATGCACCGGCGCTCAAGCAGGCCGATTGCGGTATCGCAATGGGAGGTGGGAGCGAAGTGGCCATCGAAGCGGCCGACCTAGTGCTCCTGGACACCTTTGCCAGCTTCGTCGACGCGCTCCTGTACGGCAGGGTGTGCTTTGACAATCTCAAAAAGACGGTCGCCTATCTCCTCCCCGCTGGGTCCTTCTCCGAGCTCTGGGCAGTTCTTCTCTCCTTCTTCTTCGGCCTGCCCCAGATGCTATCGAATATTCAGATGATTCTCGTCTGTTGCCTCACCGACCTTTTCCCATCGTTGTCGTTGATCCAGGAGCAAGCCGAATCAGACGTGCTCAAGCGCAAGCCGAGAAACGTCAAGAAGGACCGACTGGCGAACCCACAGCTTTTGCTCCAGGCCTATGTCTTCGTCGGCATTCCTTTGACGGTATGCTCGTGCGCCATGAGCTTCTGGTGGATGCAGCGCCAGGGAATTCCCTTTTCCGATATGTGGTTCAAGTACGGAGGAGGCCAGTTCCAGACAAACGACCCGGATCGATTTAACGAAATCCTCTATCAAGCGAACGCCGTCTACTTTTTCACCCTCGTCATTCAACAGTACTTCGACCTCTTGGCCCTCCGCACCCGTCGTCTCTCCCTCTTTCAGCAGAATCCGCTCTGGGGACCAGGACGAAACCGATGGCTGTTTGCTGGCATGCTCGCCTCATTCTGCCTGGCCATCTTCTTCTCCTACATCCCCCCCATTCAAAACGTCTTCCTCACCAGAGGCATCCCCGCAGAGTACTTCTTCCTGCCTATGGCATTCGGCTTGGTGACGCTATCGCTCGATGAGCTGAGAAAGCTTGTCGTCCGACGCTACCCTCGCAGCATCGTCGCAAGACTAGCTTGGTGAAAAGAAGTCGCACAGCCCTGCGTTCTTGTCAAAGTAGCGACTGCAACACCTCTGATGCGATGTAATTGCTAATTAACGCCTTAACGATCTTGCCACGAACATGTGGACTCTCATGTTTGCCTGTTGACCACTGAGGCTGGGAGGGCATGCTTCTCGTCTGTACCGAACAAAAATTCAAGAGGATTTGTATATTAGGTAGCCGAGGACATGGAGATGGCGGAGGTGAGGGAGCAGTATTCCTTGAGTCTCCTGAAGAATATCGCCGCATGCTCCTTCTTCAGACCCATCTCGCCACGGTAGTGCTCTGGCAGCCTGGCTACAATGGAAGCGTCGCTCAGCGAGTCAATGGTGCCCAGGTAACGCAGCTTGTCCCCTTGCCCTGTTCGCGTTCCTCCGTAAAGACCAAGTCCAAAGCAAAGAGCGCCTCGCTTCGCCTCGTCCATCATGGGAGACAAGCCTCGTTCTTCAATGGCCACCTTTGCTTGCAATTGCTTCGAAGCCGTCTCGTACACGGTCACCCGCCAGCGAGTACTGCCGTCCCCTTCGCTTGCTTCGAGCTGGAGGTCCACGCCGAGGAGCGTCTCGAGCAAACCGGCCTTTTTCCGCAGCAGCGCCAACTCGCTTCCGTCATCTTGTCCTGCCTCTGGTCCGGCGAAACGTTCCTTGCCGCTGTCCTTTCTTTTTCCCCTGTTCTGCTCTTCCCGACCTTGCATCCCTGCTGTCCCAAAGTGTTCTCCAATTGATTCCTCCGAGGAGAGAGGAGCTGGAATTAGTGCTGGAGGCGGGCTCGGGCTCAAGACGGGTTCATTGGGCAGAAGCTTGTCCTGCGCCCCTCGGTTCCTTGTTCCTCCCAGCCCTGGCAGCCGATTGTGGGAGACAAGGAGCGTGCTAGGGTCTGTCTGATCCAAATTCTGCATTTCACAGGAGAGCAGCAGAAGCATCGACAGTCAGCATGGACCCTGCAACTCTCATGCTCAAGATTTTCGTAGTTTCTCCTCACCCTGATCTCCTCCCAGACCTTACCCTTGTCGAATTTGCCTAGGGCCGCGTCAAAGTCAAAATCTTCATCGAGGTCCGACTCTTGATCGCCTTGCTCATTGTCACCGTTGTAGAAGCTGCTGTGATTGTTGCTGTATCGCTGAGCGCCCGCTCCGCCTCCTTTGCGACCACTCTTTTCCATCTTGTTGGAGAGCTGGGCGTGGCGCTGCATACTGTGAGTCAGCTCGTCCCAGCCATGACCTTGCTTGCCTTCGGTGTTGCGGCTATTGCTGTCAGGATTGTTGCTGCCGCCTCGTGTGACGACGCCTTTGGCTTTCGCCCTTCGACCCGTCGGCTTGGGCGAAGAAGCGGCTGACGACGTCAAAGGGGCATCCCTCGCTGTGGCAAAAGGAGGTGCAAGCGCCGCCGCCGACAATGACGAGGAGGAAGACGACAATAATGACGTCGATGAGACTGATGGCGGCGCAGGCGGGGACACTACACCATCTGCCAGTGAACGACTCGAGGAGACGATGGCCGGATCTGCAAAGCTGACCTGTGCTCGGCTTGAGGCCGGCACAGAAAGTGAGGCTCCAGGATCGGCACCAGCAGTCACGATCTGGAGATCGCAAATGTTGGCCCTTGCAATTGCCTGCTGTCCGATTCGCAGCGATCCCGTCGCTGTATCGATATCTGTGATGACCCCTTCAATCACCTCGCCCGACGTCATCGCAACCCGGACCTTGAGGCCCAGATACGAGGATGAAGACATCTTGGGATAGATGCGAGTGGGGCGAGAGATGTGCGCGTCGATGGTGTAGGGAGGGCTCAAAAGCTTTTCTCTCTTCCCCCCGCGCCCCCTCCTCCACGCGTAGGTATCAACAAGAATCGAGGAAGCATTCGCTCGCTCTTCTGTTTCTCTCGACGAAAGCGAAGAAAGAAATCTTGCATGACTTTTTAGGTGGCGGAAGGAGAGAATACATGGACATAAGCCAAAAGAAGAATTGTGTAGAAAGTGTGTTTGTGTGTTTGTGTGTGTGTGTGTATGCACCGTTCGCAGACGGTATGTCAAAGTGATTCCGGCGGCGACAGCCCAGGATCATTGCACAAGGCATGCATGCTCTGCCCAGCAAAAAATCCCACCGTCTGTCCCCAAGACATCACACCCTCGACATTGCTCCCCTCCTCACGCTGCAAGCCCGTATCTTGCGTATCATGAATGCGAACATGATTTACACGCCGTCGGCGTCCTAGCATGTCGCAAATTACAATCAGCAAATGCACAGCAAGAGCAGACAGAGGACAGCATCTCTTCTCACCCTGAACATAAAGGTGACGTCCTTGCCAGTCAGCTTCCTGTAAACCGACGAGAAGCTGTCGAGCTTGTATTCGAGCGAGGTGGCGTCTTTTGAGTCAAGGAAGCACTTGATGAGCTTGTGACCATCGGTGTTGACGCGAGTGCGCTTGCCCGTGATCTCGGTGGGGAAGACGAGGTCCTCGAGGATGGCAGAGTGAACCGAGGTCAGGGTGCGCGATCGGGGCCGGGGCTGCTTGGAGCGGCTCCGGTGGCCAGGCTTGCCAAGGATGCGACGTTGACCGACGAAGAGGACATGACGGTCCGAGAATTTCTTCTCGAGCTCTCGCGTAAGCCTAGAATGTGACGAGATTGAATCAGAAGTCAGTCATCTGCGGCGCTACTTCGGAATATGCCTTGCTCCCTTCTCCCCTTTTCCCCTTGTCCCGTTTCTCCTCTCTTCTCGCGCATCCCTCTTTCGGTGCGCTTGTCTACCATCTATAGCAATACACACCTCTGTTGAATCTTGTGGAATGCCTTGAGCTGAGGAACGGGGACAAAGATGACGATGGCCTTCTTGCCGCCCTTGACCTCAATCTCCTTGGCGGCCGAGAACTGCAGCGAACGCAGCTCAGCCTTGAGCTCTGGAACATTCGACTCGAGGTCCAGAAGCGCCTGCGCGACGACAGTCTCGGTCTCGGTAGGGGGGACAGAAGGCGCGTTGGCCGTGCGGAAGATCTTGTTGCTGACGGAAGCCATCTTGAGTAGTCTTCTGAGTAAGAGGAAGAGGAGGCAGAATTTGACTTGAGCGTGAGCGGACTGTTCGACACACAAGTGCTTTGTCTTGGCCCCTCGTCTCCCTTCGCTTCGTCGCTGTCCATCCCAAGCTTCCGATCGACAGAGCGACTCTTCCACCACGCTTCGTCGCCTCCATATCCCTCGGCATCGGCGTGTCCAAGCCAATCTGCCCGACGAGACACCCCAAGACAATAGAGATAGTCCTTCGAACCATCGACCTGCACCACTGGCACGTTTGAACCGCTCTCGAGGGCCGATAGACTCACCTTGAAACACACGCGCTACCAGGCTGAGGATCGAGGTGTCAAGATGTCTTCAAATAATGCTTCTTAATGCGAGGCCCAAGGAGGGCTGCTGCGGGCAAAGATCACGTGTTTGTCTTGTTTAGATCTCTGTCATTTTCGGTCATGTTCCTATCCTCCACCTTGGACAAGCAAAACAAGCAAAAATTTCAAGATGGAGAGATAGGCACAAGGGGTGAGGGCCAGGAACCAGGCGAGCACTTTGTCCGAGACGGCTTGCAACGTCAATCAACGTCGACAAAAGGCTCTGGGTACGGCGGTCAAGGCAGAAATGGCGCAGCGTCTCTTGACCGCGAAGATGCTCCGTCCCGGCTCTTTGAGTGTGCTTGCCAGGGGGGGTGAGTCAAGGCAGCAGCTGAACGACTCTTTGTTTTGCGTTTTCCTTTCCTGATTGGAGCTTGCTCATTTCTATGCATCCCTATCGACAGCCGTGGGCTCTGCTTGCGCACCATCACATAAGAATTTTGTCGCAGCTCGACCTTTTTGGAACAGTGCCTCTGCGACGACGCAGACGCCAAAGCCGCAATTCATCACGCCGTCTCCGACCCCAGGTGCTCTCGCGAATGGTCAAGCATCAGTCTCATCGGGGGGGTCGCATGATGCATACACCGGCGTCCAAACACAGGGAGGAAGCCCGAGTGAGCCGAAAGGACCTGGCGGAGAAAAGAAGAAAGCGAAGAAGGGCTTTTTCAAAAGATTGCAAAGAATAACCGGCTATACATCAGTCGCCGCCCTGGCTACGGCAGCCTACTTTGTCTATGATGCCAACCACCCGCCGGAGCAGCTGCCGCCCGATCCATCGAAGAAGACAATTGTTGTCCTTGGCAGTGGTTGGGGCTCCACAGCCCTTCTCGATGCCATCGACACGACAGACTACAACGTCGTCGTCATCTCGCCCCACAACTACTTCCTCTTCACACCGCTCTTGCCCTCGGTCACGGTCGGTACGCTCAACGGACGTTCGATCACCCAGCCGACGCGCTACATGGTCCGTTACAAGACGCGCGAGGTGCAGGTGGTTGAAGCAGAAGCGACGAAGGTCGATGTTGCAAACAAAAAGGTGACGTTTGAAGACAAGAGCGAAATATACGGCAATCTGGGCACCGTCGAGGTTCCCTACGACTACCTCGTCTACGCTGTAGGCTCAGAGAACCAAACATTTGGCATCGAGGGCGTGAAAAAGTACGGGAATTTCCTCAAGGAACTTGGCGATGCTGAAGAGGTCAGGAGGAAATTGATGGATTGGTGAGTGATCAGAATTCAAGCGCCTAAGAATGCCGTGATGAGCACACAAGCTACATCCTTATCTACATTATCAGACGGAGGACCCAAGATGGCCTCCCCTTGATCGATTCAACTCCACCTTTGCAGGGGTTCTGATTCTTGAAGACATTGTATGCGCCCGGCTTTTGTCCTTTGTTGCTGATGTCGATGCTTGCTCTCTAATCAGCGTCGAGAAGGCGTCGTTGTTAGGCCAGAGCGAAGAGGAAATCGACCGGCTGCTCCACTTTGTCGTCGTGGGAGGAGGCCCCACAGGTGTGGAAGCTAGCAGCGGTGAGTCTCACTTTGCCCCAAGCCTTCTTGTGAAGCTCTCGCTCATATGGGTGGCGTCCAGAATTCCGTGACTTTGTGCGAGACGATCTCTCCAAGTGGTATCCCGCAGTATCCGGGCGGGTCAGAGTCTCTCTGATCGAGGCGCTTCCCAACATTCTGCCCATGTTCTCCAAGAATCTCGTCGAATTCACCGAAAATGTCTTCAAAGGTGAGAGTTATGTCTGCGTCGACGTAACGATGCCGCCATTAGGCTGACGAGAGGGCGTTGCTCTTCCCTAATTCTATCATAGAAAACGAAATCCAGATCTTGACCAAGCATATGGTCAAGGACGTCGACGAGAAGAGCGTGACAGTACAGGGTCCCGACGGCAAGATCATCAATATCCCCATGGGCATGCTCGTGTGGGCTGCCGGTAACACTGCCCGGCCCCTCACCCGCGACGTTCAAGCCCAGCTCAAGGGCAAGCAGACGAATCGTAGAGGTCTCCTCGTCGACGGACACATGCGCCTTGTGGGCGCCGAAGACAGCATCTTTGCCCTCGGCGATGCGACGGCAACCGATCTGGCGCCAACGGCCCAAGTGGCCAATCAGCAAGGTGAGTGCTGTCTTTTAACAATTGCTTCCGCAATGTCTCGTAAGAATCTGACGAACTTTTTCATCGAGTAGGAGCCTACCTCGCCTCCGTCTTCGCTCAGCTCTCCCGCGCGGACCGCGTCAACTCCAAGCTGGAAGAAGCTAAGCGATTTGGAGCAGCTCCCGAGGAAATTGCAAGGCTAGAGAGGAAGCTGAAGAAGATGCTTGACATAAGCCAATTCTCTTTCACCTCTCGGGGTGCCATGGCTTACATTGGCCATGTGAGTTGGATGGGCCCCCCTGGTAGCACTCGTCACATGGACCGATTCGCTGATTCCTCAATTCACACACAGGAGAACGCCATCGCCGACTTGCCCTGGGGATCGGTACAATTGAGCAGCGGAGGCGTCTTGACTGGCGTGGCATGGTCAAGCGCTTACTGGAGCCTCTTGTTTGGCATCCGTAGTAGGACTAGCGTTGCCCTCGACTGGCTTAAAGTCCGAATCTTTGGACGAGATCTTACCGTCTGAGCAGGAGTTGTTATCCGCTCTCAGGCATTCTGTACATAGATGAATGAACAGAAGAACAGTTAAAGAGAACAGAGACCCAACTAGTGATACATGAGGGTCCAAATGAAGGAAGAGCTATCAGAATGTGGACACAGACGTGTGCACCTGCGACAAAAGGCACCTATTGGCGAGAAGCAAAGCAAAGCAACGTCTTAGAAGAAGGGCGGTGACCCGAAGCTAGAGAGAATCCGTGAAAAGATTGGCGTTCCTTGGGCATATATGTAAGGTGATGTATGTGGTAAGGCCTGAACGAAGAGAGAAGACGAGTCATTTGGCTTCCCCAGACCTGAAGCCGAAAGCCTTCTTATGCTTGGCCATCACTTCGTTGCTCTTTCGGATGCTGGCGTGGGCATTGTCAACCTCTTCCTGGCGAGTCAACTTTCGGCCGGTGCCCTTGATGGCGATGCCATCCGATGAAAGACTAAAGCCCTTTGCCTTCATCGCCTCGTGCTGTTTGGCCAAATTCTCATTGACGCTCGAGCCTTTGACGGCGTATGCGATGCCGCCGATGATGGCCAGAACGATGAAGAGGAAGATGTAGTCTGAAATTTCGAGTCAACGTGAGCACGACCTTTTGATCATCAAAGGGCTAAGCCTTGTGGCTTCACCTCCGCTCGTCACCTGAGCGGCCCATCATCTCTGAGTCGAGGGTCTCGTCTCTGCGGTGGCCGACTCACCTCCGACAGACGCCATGGTAGATTTTAAGATGCTTCCTCCACTGCCATCAGGACTGAGAAGTCCGGTAAGAGAGGTAATTTGTTTCGGCCGAAAACGCGCGCCTCGCGATCCGACGGACAGTCACGATAATCCTCTCGCAATTAGGCGGACGACCACCAACTCTTGTCTCGTGCCGTAGCAGATCCTTACGGACGCTTCCATGGCATCTACGGACGCTCAGATTCCTCCTCTATCTCCATCAGCAGAGGTAGAGGCTCTGACCGAGGGAGCTGCGTCCATATCTGTCTCATCGACGCCACCCACATCGCTATCATCGCCATCCTCAGATGCGAAGTCTTCCCGTATGACGGCGGACGCCGCGTCACCTTCTTCCCCAACATGTGGCTCACCTGCTGCTACATCCCAATCGTCGGTGTCTTCATCCTCTAACTCGTCCCTTCCGCTACGACCTGCAAATACGATTGGTTCAGGCCGTGGAGGGCCACCTCCCCGCATCTCTAGCGCTGGCTCGGGAGCAAGCGGGGGTCCCCAGCTGGCGACTGGAGGTCCAAGAAGTATCGCAAGCATGAATGAGAGGACACAGCAAATGGCAGCGACAAGGTTGCCTCCTAGCTTGCAAGCACGGCTGGCTGCGGTGAGTGTTCATACACCAAGTCTTGGCTTTGCCCGGAAGAGCCCTTCGTCTGATTCCGAGACTCTCTAAAGAATGCCAACCGAAGCACGTCCAATGGATCGCCGAACATACCGTCTCCTTCGGGATCCGTGCCTAGTGCTCCATATCAACTTGGTCACAACGAGCGCTTGGACGCGGCTGCCTTCATGGGTAGTGGCAGTCCGGCGAGCTCTCACCCGCCTTCGCTCTCGAGCGCTGCTGGCTCAGGCTTAAGTCAAGGTCCTTCAAGGCTACCTGCAGGTATCAGGAAGGCTCCAGAACCTCCGACGGGTATCAAGCCAGGAGCTGGTGCAGGCGCAGGAGCACCGGGAATAGGAAGTGGCCTCGGTGGTCGAAGGGCTAACAAGCCAGGACTCAAATTGAGCGACATTGGCGCAGACATCGAACCGCCGTCAGCAGGATCAAGCGGTAGTCGTGCACCACCGGGACAAGTACCTCAAGCTGGTGCTATGGGCGGACTAGCTGGAAGAAGGCTGGCTCCTCCTGGTCGATTAGCCGGCGCCAGCGGAGGGCCCATGAGCACCGCCTTTAGCAACTTTTCAAACGTCGTTGATACCTCTGGAAGGCTGAAGTTTGACGGAAAAGCTGTTCTATCGGCATCCGGCGTTGAATTCAGTAGTGGTACGTCCTTCAACATCAACATGGACGATCTCGAACTCCTCGATGAGCTTGGCAAGGGTGCATATGGAACTGTGAGAAAAGTGCGTCACACAAAGACGGGGGTCGAAATGGCCATGAAGGAGATCCGCCTGGAGCTCGACGACGCCAAGCTCAATGCTATCATCATGGAACTTGACATCCTCCATCGAGCGACAGAACCCCAGATCGTTGAGTTTTATGGTGCTTTTTTTATCGAATCGTGCGTCTACTACTGCATGGAGTTCATGGACGCCGGCTCGTTGGAGAATCTCTACGATGGACGCTGTTCGGTGCCCGAGGACGTCTTGGCTCGCATTGTCGGAAAGACGGTACGTGGACTTCGTTTCCTCAAGGACGAGCTGCAGATCATGCATCGGGATGTCAAACCCACCAATATCCTCATCAATCGAAGGGGAGAGGTCAAGCTCTGCGACTTCGGCGTCTCGGGTCAGTTGGAAAAGAGCTTGGCGAAAACCAATATTGGCTGTCAGAGCTACATGGCTGTGAGTCGCAAATCGTCTAAGCACCTGTCATTTCACCACTTCGTCTGACGATTTTCTCCGACAGCCGGAAAGGATCAAGGGCGAATATCAGAATATGCTAGGGACGTACACCGTTGCTTCCGACGTGTGGTCGCTCGGTTTGTCGATTGTAGAGACCACGATGGGAACTTACCCTTACCCGCCCGAGACGTATTCGAATGTCTTTGCCCAGCTACAAGCAATCGTCCACGGAGATCCACCCCAGCTACCGGATAGCTACTCGGAAACGGCCAGGGATTTCGTGGCAAGATGCTTGGAGAAAGTTCCGAGCCGAAGAGCAACATATGCGCAAATGCTGGAGCATCCGTGGTTGTTGGGAGATGAAGCAAGGGGTCTAGATGGCGTCGACATGAGGGGATGGGTAAAACAGGCGCTAATGCGCAAAGCAGCTCGAAAGGAAAGAGAACGAGAACAGCAAAACGACGCTGCCGCTTGATCATATCCTTCGTTTCTGCCTGCACCTCTTTCTTCTTTTGGTGCGCATTTCGATCTAGCAGGATCACCTGCAATATCTGCCGGACTTTGTAATAGCGTGATTGGCATTTGATCTAGCATCTGTGGAGATGGGAATACAACGATAACGTAGTGAGGAGCACGGGCAAAAGTTGACCTGATGGTCGAAACAACGACGAAAGAGAATGGAACTCCTTCCCTTCGGGAGACGTGTAGTGAGAAAGAAAAAAGGTATACTACGATCCTGCTACGCTTCCGAACATTCTACAATCTTGCTATCTCCTCATCGAATGCGAGTGTTTTCCAGTCGAAAAGCTCACACCCTCGCCTTCCTCTTCTTCTTCCTTTTCTTCCTCTTCCTCTTCCTCTTCCTCTTCCTCTTCCTCTTCTCTTTCCTCCTCTTCGTCTCGGTCAAAACTTGCTTGATGCTCTTCTTCGTCTTCGTCCGCGTCCGCGAAGCGATCCTCGGATACATCACCCATCTCCTGACCTTCTTCTCCGTCACGTCCCCTCGTCGAGGTGAGGCAGTCTGACGCTCCCGCGAAGTGGGACCCATAGGCAAGGGGGGAGAACATCTCAACACTTTCATCGGCAAGTCGCGACAAAACACCTCCGCGTTGCAACGCTGCTACTTCGCCTTCGTGTTCGCTTCCCGTCGCGACGATTGCCTCTTGCCCCACGCCGACGCCACCAGGGTTCGATTGTGAATCTGTATGCTGTACGCCAGCATAAGGTGGTTTGAATAGATTGTAGCCTCCTTCGACTGAGGGTGTCAAGCTGTCGAAGGCCGAGCCATTCACCTGCGTGCCTGTATCTCCTTCCACTATAGAGGAATGGTCACCGATACTACCTGTAGGAGTGTCGTGGCCATGTTGCCGAGCCATGCGATCTCCTCCGAAAGAGTCTTGATTCATGTCTCTCCACATCCAGCCCGAACCAGCGTTGTGTAGGTACTGTGTAGTGTCACCTGCTCTTTGTCCAAGCTCCATTCCACGAGCAGGCGTACCCAAGTCCTCATCATCGGAGAACTCATCAATGTCTAGATCGCAATCGTCGACTCCGAATTTCTGCTGCAGCGATGATTGCTCTTGTCGGGGCCGGTCCTGATCCTGATCGTCGTTCAATTGCGAAGTTGTCGTCATGAAAGGTGAAGGCGGTCTTGAAGTGGCGGGGACCGACGGAGAGGCAACCGCTGTCGTCCTCATCGCATTAAGAAAACGCGTAAAAGTCGGCAGCGGAGCGCTAGCCGGCGCTGCGGGATCAGGCAACGGTCCCACCTGCTCTGCCGCGCCGACCGAGTCCACTGACAAACCATGATCGTCCCTTGCTGAATGATGGTGGCCCACTTCCGAAAATTTCTTGTCTTCTTGTCCATGCGAGACTCTTTTCGAATCGCTGTCATGTTGAGTGTCGCTCTTCTTCATCGTCAGCTTGATCGATTTGTCCGAGTTGCTCATCAAGGCCGTTGACGATGCTGTGTTGGGCCGAGATTGAAGTCTGGTGCGATGACGAGCTGTGGAGCCATTCGACGTAGGCGAAAGATGTCCGTCGCTCGAGGAGCTTCCCGCGCCTGACCCCAACACGCTGCGGAAGACATCGCCTATCCGAGAGCGACTTCGTCGTCCCACTTTCTCTTGCTGCTGCCAGAGAGACGAGGGAGTGTAGTCATGAGCCGAGAAAGGTATTAGCATCCACTTGGAAGCGTCTTCGGGTTCAAGGGACAGATGTTGATGCGCGTCTTGAGATGCGAGATGGCGAGACGAATGATGGGGAAAGCGTCGCAGCGAGCGCCTCGACGAGGAAATCGACGATTGTGTGTGCTGCTGCTGCTGAGCGGGCGCCTTTCCCACGTCCGCGATGGATTCGTTTGCGTTCGAGTCCGAAGAGGACCTCGTCATGGTCAGAGGAGCCATAGCTCTCTCCATTGTGGGCACTTCGTGGGCCGATTGAGGACTGATGATCTGTTGAGCTTGCAGTAACGAAGGCCTTCGGGTGCTGAGCGCCGGTGCATTCAATGTGGATGCGGGTGTCATTGAGATCTCGCGCAACACACTCGCCGCATTTTGTTTAGGCTGTCTCGACGTTGGCGAGGATTGACCGTGGGCAGTGGCAACCGCCGGCACCATGCTGTGAGGAGAATGTGGCCGAGAACTGGGCTGACTTTGAGAACCCAGCTTCTGGAGTTCGTCGTGCTGGCGTGGCGCATTGGCATGCTCTGATTTGACATCCGTGCCGTGATGGAAGAAGCGAGATCGAGTCCTGTGCTGCTTTGTGTCGTCCACGTTTGCTGCCGCCGCATCATCGGCGGTGACCTGACGCCGAAAGAAGAGATGTGGGCGATGGTGATGTGGCCCTCTGGAAGAGCTCGTCAATCGAGACGACGACGACGTGGTGGTGCTCTGCCCAAAGTCGTGCGCGCCAGTCGATGGGGTGGCGGTCGTCCTAATGTCGTCAATGATAGGTCTTCCGTGAGCTTGTGAGGCGGATTTGCTCCTCTGTCTTCTTTCCAAGTTGCCATTGGCATTACCCGACAGGGTCCCAAGGAGCCTATTCTGCAATTGCTTGATGCGCTGCTTGAACTTTGAAAAGCCTGTCAGGGCGTCTTCAACCTCCTCGTGAGAGACTTCGACAAATGGGAGGTGCTGGGGGTCGGTTTCGTCGATCCAGGTAGGAGGATCTGCAATGCCACGCACAACCCAAGGGTGCTTCTTCACCTCATCGAGCTTGATGCGCTTGTTGGGATCCTTTTCCATTAAGCGGTCGAGGAGATCGCGGACCTGGGTGGCTTCTTCCGAGAGCAGTGAGGCATCGACGTTCGGTCCTTCATCTGCTTCTACTTCCGGTTGAACATCGGCTTCTTCGTCTGTCCACTGTGGCAGAGTTCTCCATCTCTTGTGCCGGGGACCGATGCGAATCCGATCAGCACCCATGGTAGGAGGTAGCTCATAATCCTCGTGAGGAATGACGGTGAAGAGGGCGTACTCGCTGTCGGCTGTGAAGGGCGGGTGGCCAAAGAGAAGGCAGTACAGCGTCACACCCAGAGCCCAAACGTCGATAGCCTTGGTAATCGGTGGTCTGGTCCTTGAAATCGCTGATGCAATAGTCTTAGTATCTCTGGGAGAGTTACGACCGCCAGCACCTTTTTCGTGCCAGGGAAACTCTTTGGCGCCCTCGTTGCGAGGAGTATTGACGTTCGAATCTGCACCAGTCTTGCCTGTGACCTCGGCAGGGGTTAAGGTGTAAGACGGATCGCCGGCGAGACAGAGCTCAGGAGCGAAAAAGGCAGGGCTACCCGCTGTCTTTGCTAGTTCGTGATCGTCGAGGAGGCTGGGATCCCCCTCGTTGCCCTCCTGGCTCGGTAGACCCCCACTGGCGACGAGGAGAGCATAGCTGAAGTGAGAGACTCCGAAGTCGGAGATTTTGACCTTACGATCGCCGTCCCATAGCAAGTTGGCCGGTTTGATATCGCGGTGAATGATGCCCTGGTAGTGTAGGTACTCGAGACCGAGAACAACATCTCGGAGCGTCTGCCGTGCTTCTTCGACGGTCAATGTCGGAAAGCCCCTCTCGTCCTTCCATTGAACCTCGCCCCCCTCCATGAATTCAAGAACTGCCAAGGATCTGGTCAGCAAAATTCGCCATCTTCGCACCTATCGCCCCCTTTCTTGCACCCACCCATGAAGATCTTCTTGCTCTGTGGGTCGTCGATGACTTCTTTCAAGCCCACGACGTGCTCATGGGCGCATTTTTTCATGATTGCAATTTCCCGCTTGACCTTTTTGTCGGTGGTCCACAGCAACCGCTTCCTCGCCTTTTCCCTCTCTCTTTCCCGCTCCCTATCGCCGTGAGTCGGCCTTGACGGTGCACCCTCGCCCCAACGTCCGTATCTTGCTGCAGCATACGCCTGAGGGCTGTGGGTACCCGTGAGTTTGGTCGATGAGGCTGTAGGTGAGCGTGGTGGCGTCATGAAGCGAGCATGTCCTGAGCCTTGTCCCGGACCGAAGCCAGGATCCGGAGCGGCGAGAGCCTGACCTGACCCGCTGGCGGCTCCTGCCTCTGCGTCACCGTCTTGATCGTATGGCAACTCCTTGCCCTTGCCCTTAATCTTGACTTTGCCCTTTCCATCCGAGCTTTGGCTGGTGGGCCTTTTCAAGCTCGACGACATTGTGCCTCCGCCACCTCCTCCCAGCCGTTTGCGGCCTTCCCGCTCGACAATCTTGACGGCAACTCGTTCGCCCGTCTCGGTGTCTCGGGCCAGGCGTACCTTACCGTGCACCCCTCTTCCAAGTTCCTCATCACTGGAGCAAGCGACCGGTCAGGGGCCCAAGAGAGACAAGAGAATCGCTTTGAGTCTGATAACTCACATAATGTATTGATTGATCATCCTCCTTCCACTGGGAGCATGAGTATTGAGCTGCAGGTGATGTGTCTCGAGCACCTGAGGCTTCTTGTGCGAATGCGGGAACAGCCTCGACGAGGGCGTCGACGAGCCAGAATGAGAAGGGCTCTGGCTGTTGCGAGATGATGCAGCACGACTCTGCCTCGACGAGGCGTCGCCCATGAGGGCAGCGCCAGGCCAAGGCGACGAGGTCGCCGTTCGAAGCGAGGTAGAAGCCGGACGACCATCGGCACTTGCATTTCTGATCATGATGGATGCTTCGGGTGCTACGCCTTCGGCCGAGGTGGTGCGACCTGTGAAGCCAAGACTCATGGCAGCAATGCGTGTGGCCTCCAGGGCTCGGTCCTGGACGGCGTCCTGCTCTTGCTGATGCTGATGCTGATCCACCACAGCGTCGATACGTTGTCGCTGGATAGGCGCGTCGTTTTGCGGAGAGGCCGTAGCCGAGCTGCTTGGATTGGACCAGTAGACTGCCTGGGCATGCTCGCTGGCTGCATTGGGCTGCGAAGGGGCACTGTAGAGGGCCCTTGACGGTCCCGCTTCCAGGAAGCTCGAGCTCCTCTCCAGACGAGGTTGCGCATCCTGACGACGAGCTTCCATTTGAGCCCTCTCGACGAGCCATGGCTTGAAGGGCGAATTCGCGCGGCTCGATGATGACGACGTTGGGCCGCTGCTGGGCGGTGTCATGGCAGATGCCTTGGCATTGGCGAGCCGTTGCTTGCTGGGCACCAATACCTCGCCCATTATAGCAGCTTGCTGGTGATGGGATACCTTCTCGTTGTCGTCGTTGTCAATGACCCCCGAGATCAACTGCGCAGCTTGTGCTATCCTTGGACCGAAATGATTTGGTCCTAGGAGCCCAGCCCCGCCAATGCCATACTCGCGATCGTCGCCGCCGTCGTCGCGGTTGTTTGCAGCCTTGCGGCCTCCGTCGGCCGTTGTTGTCGAGGTTTTGCTCGCAAGCTCCTGCCCCTGCTCCTGCTGCCCCACTGTGAACAGGCCGCCAGTGGTGCGCGCTTTAAGCAGCTGTGGCAAGTCGTGAGCCAGTCGAGGTACAATGGTGGGGAGATAGGCCGCGCCATGTGGCCTCAACACACCTAGTCGATATCTCACGTGAAGAAGCCTCCGCCCGCGTGATTAAAAATAGGTGAGATCTGGCAAGCACTCCCTCGACATCAATGACTGCGACAACAGCAGTTTCGTCCTACGCGCTCGTCGACGCATGCTGGGCTGTGGAGTGTGAGGGAACGTTCTCAGCCTTGCGGTATGACGTCACTCCTGTGTCCTGACATTGTCATTATCTCTCTCTCTGCCAGGCTCTAAATGCGGCAAGACTACTTGGCAGGGGTGCGGGCTTCATATCGATAGGGTGAGGCCAAACTTTGATGTATGGTCGGCAGACTCGATAGTGTGCGCTGACATCTAGAGATAGGTCATGTCGGCCATTCCTCAATCGCAGCGTTGTTCTTGTCCTCGCCAAAGGAACAAGGATTTCTGATAATACTAAAGATAGATCTACTCGGGTCACTTTCTCTTCCACCACCTCTTCCTCTCGTTTGCTGCCGCGCCCGCCCTTCTCATGGCTTCGATGTTACGCATCACTTGCTTGCTTTCCTCTTCCTGTCCGCGCTGATGTTGCGCCAACCTCAAGCCGTGGCCTCGATCCATGCTACCCTTCGCACCATCCTCTTCCTCTTCCTCCTCCTCCTCCTCCTCCTCCTCCTCTTCTTCTTCTGCGCTGCTTCTGCTCCCGTTTCCATCATGACCCTGGTGAGATTGCGGCTTGGAGCTCGACTTTGACAAATCGCTCGAGTGTCGCCACGAAAATCGATCAGAAATCTTTCGTCTGACGATGTCTTCGTCATTCGGCGAGCGTCGCTCCTTTGCGAGGACGTCCCTGGATGTTGTCATCGCTTGGTTTGACATCGACAGCTCTTCGAGCATATCTTCGGGCGATGTACCAGGCATGGAGACAGTGGCACTCCGCAACCTTCGCCCATTTCTGCTCGTCGGAAGATTGGCACTGATTTCGACATCAGACCTGGCCGCAGCAAATGCCCTCGACGATTTGACAACGGTGAGGTGGCCGGTGGGACTTCTCTCTGCCCCTCTTTCCATAGGTGCAGGATTGAAGCCAGCCCGGTCGATATAGTAGCCCGCCGAATCTTCAATGTCGCAGCAGAGATCCATGAAGAGGTTTAATCTCATCTCGCTTTCCGATTCGGCCCCACCAGAGTGAAAGCTGGGCGTGGAACGGCCATTGTTGACATCATCGTCGTTGTGATGATGGATTGCCAACTCATTCTCGCCGTCGTTGAAAGAAGTTCTCCTCTCGTATTCGTCGCCGAGTTGAGCGTTCCGAACGGCATATGAGACGAGCGTGGCCAAGGCGATACCCTTATCCAGGTGCTGCGGCTGTCGGGGAATCGACTCGCGATGCAGCCTCCTGAGACCCAGCAATCTGCTTTCGGCAAACCTCTGAAATTCGACATCGGACTCGTCCCCAAAAAGCCGTTCTCTATCGGACGTGGAGTGAGTGTTGGAGGGGTTGACCATCGACAAGGTGCGCTGGTGAGAAGGCCGATCGAGGGAGAGAACGTCGATGAAGTCATCATACTCGTGCGCAGTGGCATTGAGAAAGTCCCGCGCTTGGACAAGCCAAGAGTCCTTGTCCTTGTCGAGGTTTTTGTTTGCCATGGCCAGCATGACTTTTGAAAGGTAGCCAAGTGTCCGGTCGGCGCCCTCGTCGGGCTTTCCGGCCGTGAGACCAAAGAGCTGAGGTGCTCGAATCGAGGGGCAGATGAGGCGGAGAAAGACAAAGGCGCCGACTGCCTGCATGCCGGGCCCTGGCGGTCTCTGGGCAACAAATTTGGTGTCTACTGTTGATCGAATCTTCCTCAATGCATTGCGCAAGTCGCTGTACAAAGTTACTTCATCAGTCTTGTCTTTTCTTTTCCCATTCTTCTCTTCCTCTTCTTTATCTTTTATACCCTTTCTAAACCCATTTCTCGATACTCACATTGGGCAAGAATGCCGGCTGGAATAGATGTCGCTCCACACCTCAGAGCAGAGGCGCTTCAGAGTGTCCATCTGGCTCCTTTGAACAAAGACTTCCTCGGAATTGGCACCCCTGATGGATTCGTACGAGACGGCCGCTGGCATGGTTTCTGCGTCGAGCCAGATCTTCTCTTTGCAGACACGGCGAACCGTAGGTCCGACGCACTGTTCTAGCCAGTCAAGGCAGCACGTCCGCTGGTAGGCCTCCATGGCTCGGCTCAGAGGCGAGTTGCCTCGGAAGAGAAGCTGAACCTCGTCGAGCTTCTCCAGCGTCTGTCCCTCAACGTCGCATAGCTCGGCCAGACGCCGGGCAATGGTACCCTGACTGGCATAAACTTGTACCATAAGCTGGACCACCCTGCTCTCTTCAAGCATCCTGCCCAAGTCGCACATCAATTGGATCCATTGCGGACCATGAAGGAACTGTTGAGACGAATCAGTAACGGGACGCTGTGTGAAGCGAGGGGGCCCCTCCTTCTCTCATGAACGAAGCCATAGCACAGGAACCCACCTCGACCAGGTCCTCGTACTTGTTGAGGGCCAGAATCACCTCCTCGTTCACCGTCACATCCAGGTTGATCTCACCGACGACGACGCGACCGTACGAGGAAAAGCCGACCGAGGTCGTCGAGGTGTCAGCTTCGTCGCGTGTAGTGGGTTGAGGGTGTGACCAGATGGGAAAGCAGCCTCGGACCACCTCTCCCCGCTTCATCGTCTCGACGTTGATGTCGACTGTGCCAAGGAGGCTTCGTTTGCCGTTTCTTGTCGCCCTCCAGACGGAAATGTGGACGTCTGCGAGCCGAGGCAGGTCGGTGAGCGAGATTCGCTCGAGCCAAGAGTCATCGCCATTGCCCTTGGTAAATCTCGTGCGGGCGGCCACGTACTCGCCATGGTGAAGCAAGCACTGGTATTGCACAGAGGAAGTGGCACTCGCGAAGGCCTGGCTGTTATGGTGAAGGTGGTAGGTGCTTGGAGTCATGGCAATGCCGGTGCTGATGATGGGAAAGCCAGCATCGCCGCCTCTCTTGGATGGTGACGAAGCGAATTCGTCTGCTCGTTTTCCTTCAGCCTCTGCCTGCGAGCGAGTCCCTTTCATGCGGTCAGCTCCTGAGATGCCGCTGATAGGGCCGGTTGCATATGCTCCGATGTCGCTCTCATCGGAGTCGCAGTCGGTATCGCTACACGGCTGGTTGCCGCGTGATCCCTCCTCCCCTTCGTCGGATGTAAACGGACCCTCCCTCATAGCAGACGAGACAACATCGCCGGTGGCAGCATTCATCATGGTATCGATCGAAGGTCGGCCGCTGGTGCTGGCTTCGGTGGCATCGCCATCATCGATGAGCGACTCTGCGTCTGCGACATCGGCAATCTCCTCGACGGCGCTGGCGTGCCGATCGAGCAGCGACGGTACGCCTTGAGAGGAGACAGCATCGAGCAAAGAGGGCGCCAGCTTGATGTCGTGAAACATGAAGTCGATTTGCCGGTAGAAGCGATGGGTGCCCTCTACGCTCTTTGCTTCCTTGACCTCCCTTGGAGTAGGATTGGCAGGACCATATATTTCGGGCCTTGCAAAAGAACGCAGCAAGTCCTTCCACACGCAGAGCTTCCTTCTTGTGCTGAAGCTCAGGTAGATGGGCTCGTCGCGGCCTATCGAAGCTCGGTTGCTGCTGTTTGGTGCATTTATACCACCACCGATGCCTGCCTCTGTTGACCCTCCTTCTGCGCCACCTGCCCCTGCCCCTGCCCCTGCCCCTGCCCATGCCCCTGTTCCCGTCCCTACCCCTGTTCCAGCACCCGTCCCCGCTGCCGTTCCCGCTGCCGCTCCTGCTCCTGCTCCTGCTCCAGCACCTGTCCCTGTCCCTATCCCTGTCCCTGTCCCTGTCCATACCCCTGCCCCTGCCCCTGCCCTTGTTCCCATCCCGATGCCGCCTGTGTCGGTATCACCACCTCTGCCCAGAGAGGAGGTTTTCAGCCCTTGGTGAAAGCCCGAGGGACGAGCAAAGATGCCGAGGACATGCAGTCGAGCAAAGAGGCTCGGATCGATGGAACGAATGTCGCTGACCCACAGGTCGTGGGTGAGGATCGAGTGGACCATGGCGTGATCTTCAGAGAGAATGGCCAGCACGCCGTCGTCTCGGAGGATCGCCGTCGCCCTCCTCCAGCTTCCCTCTGCGTTTGCTCTTGGTTGCGCAGCCTCGCTGGCCAGCCGCGTTCTGCTAGGCTTCTCCTTGAGCCAGCTGGGTGTGGCGCTCTTGAGCGAGGCAAACGATCTCGTCTCTCCGGCCGATGCACTTGTCGCCGCTTCAAATGGCAACAGCTGAGACGTTTGGCTATCAGCGCCCTCGCCTCCAATTCCACCGCTCCCTGGTCCTGCGCCTGCGCTTGCTCCCACTCCTACTCCTCCCAGTCCCACCCCTAGTCCCACTCCTCCCACTCCGGCTCCTTCTCCTGCGGGTCCTAAAGCCCGGCCACCGCCGCCGGCATAGCCGTCTGACTTCTTGGTTAGTTTGCGTCTGACCTGTGGTACCTCGCGAAGCAGAGGCGTCTTTGTAAACGTCGATCCGCTGGGCGGCGGCGAAGGGCCGGGCTGCCAGAGCCAGATTGAGATGCTTGTTTCGCTCCCTTGGTCCGGATGTCTCGGCACCGTTGTTCCAATACCCTGGTTTCCGCCCCTGCCCATGGACAAGGTCGTCGACGTCGACGTCGATGTTCCGGGTCTTGCTCTTGCGCCTGCGCTGGAGCTCAGCGACGAGGACATGGGCTGGCCCCGCGGCACCACGAAGCGGCTCGACTCAAGCTCCGTCATGGTACGAACCTGCCGTTCAACATCGTACCGCGCCTTTCGACTCGGCATCCTGCCTCTTGTCGCGCGTTCGTGATCAGCGGATGTCTCGCCCGGTGCACGATCTCGTGCCCCACCACGCCCTCTTCGTATTTCACAAAATGCGTTCTAAAATAACATTGTCGGAAGATTGATTGCCTTTCCCCACGTGTCGATGCCTTTCCCTTGGATGTCTCAGGTGCATCCCTACGGAGCGCTTTCGCGCACTGTAATCGCACCCCATCTCGCCGTCGCAAACCTCTTGTGTCACCAGCAACATCACTTTTTTGTAATAAAGGCACAGGCTCCGTCTCCAGAGAGGTGATTATGTCCTCTGACCTTCTACCCGATGCGGCCCTCTTCCTTGCGGCCCTCTTCACATCCTACCTTGCCACGTCGCCACCTCACAAATCGACGGAAAAAGCACGGAAAGCGGCTGGAGAGAAAGGCGACTGGGTCAGACGCATTGGACTCTTGAGAGGTAGGCTACCAACTCTGCTGGCTCATTCAACATGTCTCCGCTTGCCAGCTCATCCTGATAACATATTTCTACCTTGCTATGTCTCGAATGTTCTCCTCTCCTCGAAAGCTACCGTCATATTTCAGTGGGCCCTATTCAGCTGGGCACTTTTCCAGCTTCGAATCATGTTTGACCCGACCCAGGAGGCGAAGCTAAACGACTGGATCTCGCGAGGCTCGAGATCCAGCTTCCGGCTCGGGTGTCTCGCCATGCTAGCGGGTGGTAGCCTTCGTCTGTACTGCTATCACACGCTAGGACACTTCTTTACCTTTGAATTGGCAGTCCAGGTCGATCAGAAGGTGGGTTGTAGCCTTTGCTTGCTGTGTACATCAGCTTTCTATCAAGCTGATAAGCGTCCGTCAATCAGGTGATTCAAACCGGTCCTTACGGTGAGCGGCGTTATTCTCGGAAGCAGTATATGCCAGTACTCATGCTCATCTCCGACCCGGCCTATAGCGTACGTGCGACATCCATCGTACACGGGCATTCTGCTCGTTGCGCTCGGTGTCGCGATCGCCATGGGACCCTATGCTCCTGCTCTGTCTGGTCAATACCGTCAGCCGATGCTCTACCTCATGTGTTTGGCGTTGGTGCTGGCCATAGTGAGTACTGTGCACTATACACGTCTATTTCTGCAGCTAAATAGAGGGTCATGCCTTCGAGAGCGCCGCTGTCCTCCGCATCAACGATGAGGAAAGGATGCTAAAGAAGGAGCTCAAGGAGCCATACGAGGACTACTGTCGCAAGGTGTCTTGCAGGCTTATTCCCCTACTCCTGTAGCTGGCGCTCAAGCCAGCCGCAGGCGCTGCACCGGCTCCTTGGTTCCTCGTCTATGAGCTATACGGACAGAAGGAGAGAAAGCTATCGGCCGAAAAGCAGTAGACGGATGCGCGCAATTGAGAAAGTACAGTATACATTACAGCGCCACGCTTTCTTGTATATCTATCTTAGTCGTTTTGCCAGTGAAGTGATCGATTGATTTCCACCGCGTCGGCCATACATCGTCTCTTCCTGCAAATCCTCGCTCGATTCCTGGTCGCTCATCCTCTGGCTTCTGAAGAAAGCTAGGGACAAACGCGGACGTAGATTGGAGGACAGAGCCCTGATAGGAAGCGTCTGGCTGCTCTTTGCTCCCTTTGACATCAAAGTGCAAAGCAAAGTAGTAGTCGGCGACCGAAGCAGGGCGGGAAAGAACGGCACATCGTCGACTGCGCGCCTCATACCTGCTTGACATTGCCCGAAGCACTCGCCAGCGGCGATAGGACCCGCAACATCTTGTTCGAGGAACGCTAAGAGCGGAAACTGGGCACAGCTTCAACGGAAGAGAAGACGGTCTATTACGACAGTCCTGGCAGACGACACATTTCTTTCCTTTTCCCTCCCAATTGAAGCTCGATACGCTGCAAAGATGGTGGGTGGACTGTCGGTTTCGACCCGTGCTAGGTTGTTTTATGCTGAATTTCGTGAGGTCAACCTCGTCAGGACCCTCATCTCGATCCTTCGCCTGCCGTCGTGAGCCCGGTCGATGATGCTCCCGCCACGCCCATGGATGTGGACGACCCTGTTTCTGTGCTAGAAGGTGAGTGAGAGAATTTGGCCGAGGAGACCCTGGGGTTCAGCACAACGGATGCTCACACGGGTGCTTTTTCCCAATGCACAGAACGTCCCTTCGCGGCAAAGCATCTGGCCGATCTCGGACAGGAGGAGGAGGACTTCAAAGTCTGCCACTGGGACGTGGCCGGGTGGCGGAGCCTCGATAAGCGCCTGACCGGGCCTGAGTTTGAGTGCGGAGGGCATAGATGGTGAGAGTCGTGCCGGACAATCACGAAAGCGACCGTCAGACGTGCTGACGCCGAATCTTTTGCGTTCGCTGCACAAAAGGCGAATCTTGCTCTTTCCTTTCGGCAACTCCAATGGACAACCCAATGACATGGTGTCTGTGTATCTCGATTACGCTGATCCAAAGGGCAGTCCAGAGGGCTGGCACGTCTGCGCTCAATTTGCCCTCGTCATCTCCAACCCCTCAGATCCTACAGTCTCTTCGTCAAGCCGTGAGTTTTCAGGTGCATGCACAGAGGAAGTTCGGTAATGCTGATATCTTTTTCTGAAACAGAGGCTCATCACCGCTTCACTGCCGAGGAAATGGACTGGGGGTTCACACGCTTCAACGAATTGCGGAAGCTGAGTGTGGCGGCAGAAGGAAGAGGTCGACCGATCATCGAAAACGAGAGCGCGAGAATTTCTGCCTACGTCCGCGTTTTGAAGGACCCCACCGGCGTCCTCTGGCACAACTTCATCAAGTGAGTTCTGTAATATTGGGCGAAAAGCCCAAGCCTTTGACTGATGGACGGATTTCATCACAGCTACGACTCGAAGAAGGAGACCGGCTACGTCGGGCTCAAGAACCAAGGCGCAACGTGCTACATGAACTCGCTTCTGCAGTCACTGTACAACACGCACTATTTCCGAAGAGTGAGTGTTCATACTTATCCCTACCCGGCTCACCAAGCCGACACTCAAGTCCTCTTCCGCACCAGGCCGTCTACCAGATCCCGACAGAGCAAGACACACCGTCAGAGAGTGTCGCACTCGCCCTACAGCGGGTATTTTACCTCCTGCAGACTTCGGATCAGCCCGTGGGCACAAATGAGCTCACAAAGTCATTTGGGTGGAAGTCGCTCGACTCGTTCCTCCAACACGACGTGCAAGAATTCAACCGAGTGCTACAAGAAAAGCTCGAGACGAAGATGAAGGTACGTGTTCAAGCATTAGAGGTCGATTTGAGAGGTGCCAGCTCACAAGTCCTCACAGGGTACGGCCGCAGATGGAGCTATCACAAAGCTCTTCGTTGGGCGAATGAAGAGTTACCTGCGCTGCGTCAATGTCGACTATGAATCGGCTCGGACTGAGGATTTCTATGATGTTCAGCTCAACGTCAAAGGGATGGCCAATCTACAGGACTCGTTCCGTGATTATGTCGAGGTCGAGATGCTCGAGGGCGACAACAAATACCAGGCAGAGGGCTATGGGCTTCAAGACGCCAAGAAGGGTGTCATTTTCGAGAACTTTCCACCAGTTTTGCATCTGCAGCTCAAGCGATTCGAGTACGACATCGAAAAGGACGCCATGGTCAAAATCAATGATCGGCATGAGTTCCCCATGGACATCAATTTGCAAGAGTACATTGACAAAGCGTCGCCCGTCCGTGATGAAAATTGGAACTACAAGCTGCACGGTGTCCTCGTCCATTCTGGCGACCTTCACGGTGGGCACTACTTTGCGTTGCTGAAGCCAGAGAAAGACGGGAAATGGTTCAAGTTTGACGACGACCGAGTGACGCCCGTCACCGACAAGGAAGTTCTCGAAGACAACTTCGGCGGCGAGATTCCCAATGGGCACTTGGGCGGACAAATTGGAGCGAGGGCGCCAGTAAGAGCTATGAAGCGCTTCACGAACGCTTACATGCTTGTCTACGTGCGGGAGTCCAAAGCCGACGAAATCCTTAAGCCTTTCACGATCGAGGACACGCCTCTCCACCTCCGTGAGAGACTTGAGCAGGAGCGACTTCAGATGGAGGCACGCAAAAGGGAGCGCGAAGAGCAGCACTTGTACCTGACGGTCAAGGTGAGCGCGCAGCCTTTTCCATTAAGTCTTTACTATCTCTGACGTCTCAATGCCCCTGAAGCTCATCACCGACGACACTTTTAAGGCGCATCAAGGTTTTGACCTCGCCACTTTTGAGGAGAGAAACCTCCCTTCGTCGGATTTGCCAACGTTCCGGGTTCTCAAAAACGAGCCCTATCTCGTTTTCAAAAGCAAATTGGCTCAGCAGTACAATCTCGACGAGAATTCGATCAAGCTCTGGGTTTTGGTCAATAGACAGAACAAGACGGTCCGACCCGATACTGCCGTTCCAGAAAACGATCCCAACCTGACGCTGGAGACGGTTCGGGACCGGATGGCGTCGAGGCAGCACGATCTCCGATTTTACCTCGAGCTTCAGAGTCCTGAGATCTCGGTTGACAAGCAAAATCCGCCCTTGATGATCTTCCTCAAGTATTTCAACGTCCTCAATCAGTCTCTCACGGGCCTCGGTCGCGTCTACGTGCAGCGAAACATGAAGGTCGGCGACTTGGTGCCGACCATCAACCAGCTCATGAACTGGGCGCCGACGGTCCAGCTTCGGCTCTTCGAGGAGATAAAGCCTGGCATGATCGAGCAGATGAAACCAAAGGCCACCTTCCAACAGAGCGAGATCCAGGACGGCGACGTCATCTGTTTCCAGACGGAAATCTCGGAGAAGGAAGCGCACGACTATGAGGCTCAATCGCTTTACTCGAATCCGATTCAATTCTACGACTTCCTGCAGAACCAAATCAAGGTTCTCTTCAAGCCACGTTTCGACGACGTCGACTACAAGGGCGAATATGAGGTCACTCTGAGCAAAAAGATGACTTACGACATGATGGCCCTCAAATTCGGCGAGAGGCTCAAACACGACCCCCTCAAGCTGAGATTTACGACAGCCAACGGCCCAAATGGCACGCCCAAGACAATTCTCAAGCGGACGGCCAATCAGACCGTCAACGAGATCGTGTCGCCGAGCTACATTCAAGGGCAAGCCTCATTACTTTACTATGAGATCCTTGATGTGTCCATCGTCGAGCTCGAGACAAAGAGGAGTCTCAAGATTTGGTGGATGGGCGCCCACAACAAAGAAGAAGCTGCCCAATCTTTCCTGTTGCCCAAGACGTGCAACATCAACGATGTGGCCGATAATCTTTCTAAAAACGTCAAGCTGGAAGAGACCAAGAAGATTCGGATCTTTGAGGTGATCAACAATGGACGGCAGCAACGCGAGATCTACGGCACAGAAATGATTGGCAACATCAGCGAGCTGACTGACCTCTTTGGCGAAGAGATCTCACAGGAAGAGCTCAATGCGAGAGAGGAGGACAAGCTCATCCACGTCTTTCACTTCTCAAAGGATGCTCACCGGACACATGGTGTGCCGTTCAAGTTCGTCATCAAGCCTGGCGAGCTTTTCTCCGAGACAAAGAAGCGCATTCAGGAGCGTTTGGTGGTTCCCGACAAGGACTTTGCAAAGTTCAAGTTTGCTCTTGTCCAGTCAAGCACATATAAGCAGCCATCATATCTCGAAGACGAGGACGTCATCTACGACCACCGCTTCAGCCAGGATGATGTGCTGGGCCTTGACCACATTGACCGGTCGGGAAAGACGGGCCGCATCGCCCCTGCAGCACAAGATCGGGGCATTCACATTCGAAACTGATGATGCAAGGCTCTTCCAATTTTGTCGTCCCATCTGCCTTCCTGTCTTCTTTTCTTTTTTCGCCACCTTCTTCCCCTTCTCCACCTTGCCTTCAAGACACTTGTGCGAAGGTCGCAAAGACGACAATGAAACCCTTCGAGGGTATACAAATCCTGGAATGAAGATGACCTCTGTTTTCCGCCTCGACGAAGGACAATGATTTTCATTCCGGGCAAATAACTTTTGTTTCTTTTCAAATCGGTAAGAGGCTGGCCCCGCCTCGAAGAATCATGCTGCCGCCATATCGGAGCGTCGTAGTGCCTCCTGGGAAATACGCAGCAAGGTAAGCTACGAGAGCAATTATCTGGACGACAGCGGAAATCAACGACGGTAGCATCCAGCGCGGACCGAGGGCAAAGTACATGGTAAGGCCCAAAGAGCCAAAGTAGCTGTCAGGAGAGAAAATGCTCAGAATATGAGCGAGAGCCCCGCTCAACGATGACAGAGGAAGATGGAGATACATACGCGATGGAAAATGGTAATCGCTCCTTGGAAAGAATATGCTTGAGATGCGCAAGCGGTCCTGACAGAATTGAGAAGCTGTCTTCAGACGTCAGCACCTCTGCTCCATCACTCTCGCCGGTTGACAGCAAGCAGAGTAGGCTCACCCAATCATAAAGAGCAGGCTGCCAAGGGAAAAGGCGAGGGCGAATTTGTGCGGTCTCAGTGCCAGAATTGGCGGTGAGAGAAAGAGGAAGGAGAATGCGAAGCAGACCATGGATCCCATGATGCAGGCAACAAAGCCTAGGAACCTGCAGCATACCCCAATCGTTGTCAGTACCGCGCAGCTTTGCGAATGAAGATTCAGTCGTGAGTAGCGCTGCGCACCTCTCCCATCTGCTTAGACTCAGGTAGGCCTCTTCTTCATTGCTCCTCTGGGCGCTCCGCAGGGGTACGTAGCCGCTGAGACTACTGGAGAGCGTCGATAGGTAGCTGCCCGCCCCGCCCGTGCCACTGCCTCGTGAATCGTCCGTCGATCCTTGCGCCCACCGGAATCCTGGCCTCGCACGTCAGCAATGCCTCTGACTACGCCAAACGGACGAGTCGTTCACGAAAAAGATCTCACCAGATAGCTGCGATCGAAAGGAAGTCTCTGCGTCCGCCATCACACTTGCAGAGTTTCCAGGGTGGTGGCTTCGTCGAGCGTGGGGAGAGATATGGTGAAGACGGTGGATGTCTGCGTGGAGGCACGTCAGGGACGGTCACGTGATGCACACGTTGAAATCTGCGTTGCACGGCGTATGAGGGAGACAGGCGTCGACGTCAGATGTCGTCTCTTCGACCCTGTGGTCAGGGAAAGGAGGAGGTATCAGTTGAAGACCGCCTTAGTCGTGCCACAGTTCCTCAGGAGTGGAAGGTAGAGTTCCGAATCGGGGTCACTTGCAGAAAGCACGCGCGCGCGCGGGGTGACCGTTTTTTGAACTGCGAGAGGTTTATCTAAATTTTTCAACCTCTCTTCGTCGTTGTCGTCGTCGTCGCACGCTTCCTTCCTTTCATCCATCACTACGGTATTTCGCTTTCGAACACGTCTTGCGACGTAGGGACGAGCGGAACGAAGTAGAGGGTCAAGAGGTCCTTTCATTACAAGAAAACTCTGTGGAACCAATCACTGTTTGCTTTTCGCTTCGAGGACGTTAGGATTAGACGCTCGCCGCTCTCATCCTTCTCCAAAGATACAAAGATGGTAGGTCGATGTCCACTCTCTTTCCCCGTTTTGTAACCTCATTTTATCTTCGTCTGCACAGATCATTCCCGTGCGCTGTTTTTCGTGCGGTAAAGTCATTGGCGACAAGTGGGACGCCTACATTGCGCTGCTGGTCTCCGGCAAGGAAGAGGGCGAAGCCCTGACGGAGCTTGGCCTGCAGCGCTATTGCTGCCGAAGAATGGTCTTGACACACGTAGACCTTATCGAGAAGCTGCTTCACTATAACAGTGCGTCTCTTGGATACGAAAAGGTGTGGAAGCGCTCGACTAACTTGATCTTCCTCGCAGTTCACGAAAAAAGGTCATCAGCTGCAGCCAATTGATGTGCCTATTCCAGGACACGCCCACACACACCGACACCACCCTAGCATGTACTTTTAGCCAGATGTCGATCAAGCTCAATTCTTCGAAGCGATAACGCAACCACCACACGAAGATTATAGCTAACCCATGTGTTACGATCTAGGAGAATCTGGCGGACGACAGAAGTGAGAAGAAAAGACAAAAGGAGAAAGAACGAGTCATGAACAGGAGGGGGGGAAGGAGGGGTTCAAAGAGCTAAAAAAGAGAACCGCCATAGGATGCCTGCACAAACAGGTGCCTAGATGAGCTTCTTTTGCTTTTCTTTGCCCTTTCATGGATCACAAGAAGTAGTCTGGAACCCTTCTCGAGACCAGTGGTTCGCCGGCTCTAGGTGCTGGGTCGAATTGGAGGCTGCAGAGAAATCGCTGTGAGCTTCAGATGGGAGTGGAACACTGCAGACACGAGACACTCACAAGGTGTACTTGAGGTTCTCATCAATCTCCATGATGGCCGCTTGGTTACCACACCGATAGCAGTAATTCGGCGCACTGAAAATGGTGACGACGTTTCGCTCTTGTGACCAATTGAAGCCATCCATGACGAGCTGTTTAGCAGCAAGAGTCAGTATGCTCCAAGCAATGCTGTCTGACTTGACAAAACACTCACCTGATGCGCTCGAGCGACGAGTGTCAGGCCATTGTTGTGGTTGAAGGCTTCGGAAATGTCTTGGCCAAAGGTGTAACCAGCGCCTCGCGGACTGATGCCCCACCCACAGCGATCATCTGGATCTGACCAGAGCAGGTCGCACATGGGACCTTCGTGAGGGACTTCTTGGATGCGATCAATAGACCGAATGTGGTCCAGGGTATCGATGGAAGGCGACAGGCCACCGTGAAGGCAGAAGATCTAACACCGACAAAGTCAGGGGAGTGGAGACTGTACATCAAAGAGCATGCTCACCTGATCATCAATGAGGGCCGTTAGGGGGAGGTAGTCGAAGAGGTCGGTGAAGTACTTCCACACGTTGGCATTGCCGTACTTTCGCAGGCATTCATCGTAGAAGCCGTACACCTGCGTGATTTGTCGGCTCTCATGGTTTCCACGAAGGATCGTGACACGATCGCGGTAGCGGACTTTTAGGGCGACGAGGAGCGTGACCGTCTCGACAGAGTAGTATCCTCTATCAACGTAGTCGCCCATGAAGAGATAATTGGTGTCTGGCGAATTGCCGCCGATTCGAAACAGCTCCGAAAGGTCGTGCTTTTGAAAAGGGGCCCGGCATCAGCAGTCAAGGACAGAGGAAGGTGGTCGTTGCGATGACATACAAATTGTCCGTGAATGTCTCCGCACACTGTCACTGGGCATCGGACCGGCTGCACGTTGGACTCATCCAAGAGGATCTCTCGTGCCTAGAGAGAGACATCCTATATGTCAATCTATGTTCCCCAATTTTCTGCGTATCATGATCCCTTTACCTTGTCGCAAAGCCGTTTTATGTCATTTTCAGCCAGTTGTTTGCAATCGCTCAAGTGTGAAATCCACTGGTCCTGTTCCGAGATGTCGACCATCTTCAATATCTTCTTGTCTGCAGCCGTCGCTATCGAAAGGGCGATGTGGCGCGATCAGACGAGTGCAGCCTTCAATGGGGAAAAAAACAAACGCGCGGCTGGTGCCCCCTGCTTGCTAATGGAAGAAATGTGCTGTCCGTTCAAGTCTATCGCGCTTTCGGCCAGGAGTCGCTGAGATGTTGAGATCGCAACAATGCGGCCGTCTTTTGTCAAATGTATCGGGCGATGAAAGGTTTCGTAGGGTGCTAATGACGGAGATGGTGGTGTCTGCGCTCTGTCATCTCACTTTCGCAGCCAGAGGCAACGCCGGGAAACATGACGACCGACCGCGCGACTAGCCGAAGCCACGTGGCTCAAGCTCACTCCTCAAGTCAATCTGACCAGAGAAGATGCTCCTCTCAATCTCTCTTCCTCAACAATGGCCGGCTATCTCGCGCGCACCGCTCGAGTTAGCACTTGCAGCCTGCGTGCCACCTACAGCTCATCGGTGGTGCGCACCGCCAGTCTGTCAACGTCGGCCGTAGCTCGAGCCTCTTCGACCGATGCGAAAGACCCTCAACTTGGCGACTACCCGGACCTCCCTCCCATCAACCTACAGACGCGGCGCTACGACCCCCGATGGTGGGACCCTCAAGAGAAGCGTAATTTTGGCGAAACAGTAAGTCTAATGGACCCCTACTCTTGCTGCTTCGCCTCTCTAAAAAGTTCGCTCCGATCTTTGCGACAGCTTCACGAGCAAGATGACGTCCTCGGCGTCTGGGCACCCGATGTCCACAAGACGCCAGCCTTCTCGGCCCTTTTGCAAATCCTTACAGCTGCGGGCGGCTTCGGTGCCTTTGCCGCCGTAATCTACCTCTCCTTCCCCGGCAGACCTGCAAACCCGAGAACGTACCCTCGTGAGGGTCTTGCGACTGAGCTAGGTAGCGAGCTTGTTGCTGTGAGTCGGAACAATGTCGACGCTCAGCCAATCTGCTGCTGATCACTACCTTTGTACTTATCACCCCTTGCAGGCAGCAAAGGAAGGCGCATTTGATGGAGGCGAAGACGGAGAAGAAGACGAAGCAGAAGAGGACGACGAGTGAAGCAGAGTAAATCAATTACATCACTTGTTGAGACAGTGTGAAATTGCATGCTGGAGACTGGATGGTGCTACAGAAGTGTTCGAAAGAGGAGAGCCTTGTGTACAGTACAAAGATTGTTGGATTATCGATATTCTTCTGCGCTGCTGCTGAAGCCGTCTTCGTTGTTGTCACTGATCGGCTCGATGTTGATCAGTTGCCTCGCCCTTGCTGCTGAGGCCCTTTGTGGAACCAGACCGGCTGTGATGCTCTGACCGCGGCTGGGAGGCAACGAAGCCACGTCGTCCAACGACATATTGCGGCCAGTTCTGATGGAGGTGCCGCCTCGTGCAATGGGATTCTTGGGTCTTCTAGTCCTCTTTTTGGGCGCAACATCCTCCTTGCTCGACGTCTTTCTTTTAGCCTTCTTTGCTGCCATGCCACGCCCACCCTTATCGTGCCCCTTTCCCGTATCTGTCTTCTCGCCTCTTTCACCTTCAAACTCCTCGACGTCCTTGCCTCTCTCTGTACCTTCCCTTTCTCCTCCACCCTCTCCTCTCCTTACGATTGGACGAGATCTCTTCCCCATCTCCTTTCCCAACAGCTCCTCGGGAACATCGCCACCTGCCCACTGCTCTGCGTCCTCCTTCAGCGCCTTCTCGCCAAACTGGTCTTCTCCCTCTTGCGGTTCATGCGGCTCCTCTAGTCCATCTACATTTCCCACTTCAGCCCGTCTCTGCCTCTGCGGCGTTTGTCTAGGTTTCGCAGCTCCGGTCCTGTTGCTCGCCCGAAAATTGTTGACGACCTGCTGCAACCGCTCGCTGCCGTATGTTGGCCTCTGCCGGCCCGCATATACGCCGGCACCTGCCGTCAGATCGAAGAAATTTCCGCGGTCGAGCGTCGACTGATTGCCCCTCGCTCGGCTTCTTCGATTTTGTGCCTCGATGGCTGGCAACAGGTAGTGGTCCGTCCGATCGCTGGGCCACCGGAGATACTCAAGGAAGAAGCTCCGCAGCGAGTCGAGGTCAGGTAAGCCCCACTGAAACGCCTCTCGGCTGACATCGACCTGAGGCTCATAGTAGGCATCTAACACCTTGGGGTCAGGCCAATTGGCATCGAGCGTCACTTTGTTTCGAAGCGACTTCTTGATGCGGCGCATCGTCAGGCCCCTTGTATCGTCAACGTGGGAGTCCTTGCCCTGCTGCACCTTGAGCCACCACTGGCGGAAGTTGACGAGGGCATCGTCGCCCTTGAAGATGGAAAGAATCTCCATTGCAAGGACCGGTCCGACACCTGCGAGTCCTTCGGTGTAGTCACTGCCGAGGAGGTAGGCAAGCTGCACGAGCTTGGTGCGGTCCATGCCGAGGTCGTGCTGCAGATCCGACAGCTTAAAGCATTCAACATACTTTTTGTTGTTAAACATGTTCTTGTAGACAAAGGTGCCGCCAAAGAGAAAGACGTCGGAGTCATCAGTGATGACTCCATCGGCCAATCTGAGGGCGACGAGCTCGGCGCACTGGGCTTCCGCTTCCATGGGCGCCGTGATGTAAGGCAGGCCAAAGAGACGGAGCATGAGCTGGATCTCACGTGCCATTTGCTGCGTAACATCACCCTCTGTCCTTCTCGTCGTCGCATGCTCGCTGCGCAGCTTGTCAACCTCTTCCTGTACCTCTTGTTGGATCTGATGGAGGCCTTGGCCTTTTGCACGAGAGAGGAACGAGACAAATTCGTCCTGATCGCCCTGCATCTGTCCGAGCTCGGCTTCGTCATCGGCTTCCAGGGCTTCTAGCTCCTCGGCGCTGGGCAGTGGGAAGCCATCGGCCCCCAGCATCGGAGCCCGAGGCTCTCCTGGCGACGGAGAAGGGGACCACTCGATTGGCGTACCCTCATCGTCGTCTTCTTCCTCGACCGCAGTGTTGAGGGAAGGCAATGGCCTCTCGTCTACTACTTCGTCCATCATAGCGGGCAAATTGTCGAATTGCGGCTCTTCTTCTGGTTCCTCCTTGGTGCCGTGCGAATGGGGCAGGTCTACCACCAGGCCGCTCGAGTCGCCCTTGACGACGCTGGGAGCCTTTTCAACGTCTTCTTGCCTGTCTCTACCGTTCTTCTCTACCTCCGTAGGCATCGCTGGTTCCGAATCTTCGTCCGTCTTTTGCACGGGTTCTCTTTTTACACCCTCTTCCACAAAGATACCCACAGAGACACCCGAGGAATGGCTATTGTCTAGTTCAGGGACGCGCGCATCGTCTCGGTTGTCGACAGCTTTCGCTTTCGACCTTCGTGCTATGGATAATCGGCGTGAGCTCGGCATCGCGAAATCGACGACGTTGACCTCAATCTCAGGTGACTGTTCAGTGGCAGCCGCCGAAGGGCCGTCAGCCTCCTCGCCCTGGTCGCGTGTGGATTGCAAAGTCGATTCAGCCCTAACTGCATCTCGCTGAGCCGAAACTGTCACTGAACTTGTTGACAGCTGTGGCACGGTGGCGACTGCCTCATCCGCGCTCTCAGACAGGTCGACTGGGGTTGCGACTTCCTTCGTGGCATACCCGGCCCCGCTATCCTTCCTGGACAAAGACACCATCTGCTGGGGCTGAGAGGCTTGCTCCTCTTCGTCCTCTTCCTCGTCTGCTTCCTCGTCCCATCGCCGCTTGACCAGGAGTTTGGAGTTCAGCCGTTCCGGATAGCCCGGCCTGTCTGAGAGTCGAAAGCTGAGCGCCGGTCCTCCTGCAGTGCCTCGATCCGGCGTCACATCTCTTCTGCTACTTGAGCTGTTCAGACTCAGGTGGTCTCCGTTTCTTGGACCATCCCTGGCCCCATTGCCTTTTGCTAAAGTCGGCCAAGCTTGCCCTCTGACACCAGCCACGCGATCGTGCTCTGCCGTCACTGTCCTGCTGTTTGACGTCTCCGGCACGCTGGCGTAGAAAGAGCTATAGTCGTGAGCTTCGAAAGCATGTGTAGGTACTTCGTCCATGTCTTCTTCGTCGGTGCCGCCTTCGAGAGAGGTTTCTGAAACCGTCACAACCTCCTCCTCTCTCGTCTTGGTGCTCGCGACGGACTCTCTGAGAGCCATTGCCAGATCTTGAGCTTCATCTTCTTCGAGCATCTTGTCTTGGCGGCTGCGGTGGCCATCGTAAATTTCTTGCCAGTCTTCGCTTGCCTCGTCTTCGCTCTCGTCGTCGGCGTCCATGTCAATGTTTTCGGGCCGAAAGAGGTCCCTTGCCTCCCACGAACCAGCGACAACGCCCCTCGAACGTCTGGAGAGAACCGCTGCCTCCCTCGACTTTCGCAGCTGGTCTTCCATTTTCTCCCGTTCGTCTTCGACGCCTTGCTCCCGTCGCTTTTCCCTTGCTAGCTCTTGGGCACGGCGTTGGAGCAACTCCCGAGCCACTTCCTTGCGCGCTGCTGGATCGTTTGGGTTTGCTTGTGCCAGCGCAGCAGCCGTGGAGGCCGGCACTGGGTCGGCTGCAACGCTGGGAACAGCTATAGAGACGTCGATGGGCACGTCTTCCATGTCGGCGTCCGAGTCCGTCAATTTTGCCGTCGCACCTTCGTCGTCGGTGCTGCTCTTGAATGACGCCGTGTCATCTTCGTCGACCACGATTGCCTTTTCCTTGGATGCACCCTGATCCACGACGCCCAAGGAGAAGCCGCCTTCCTTGCCCTTGTTCTTGACAAGGACATACTCTTTGTTGCGTGCGCCTGCAACGCGGATGGGCACCTTGATATGGGCATCGCCAATCTCGTCGGTGACCTCGAGCACCTTTTGGGTGAGCTCGTTGCGCGTCTTGAGGCCGGCAATCTGTGCTTTTGAAAAATCGATGGGCGTGGGCGACTGGGCGAGCATGGTCTGAAGGCGCTTGTACGAGGTGCCGCGTGAGGCCGCACGCAGGTCGCCCACCAGCTCATACTGGAGCTCGGGAGGAAGCGAGCGGAAAAACTCGGAATCCATGTCGAGGTCCGTGGGTCCAATGGAAGACAGCAGGGCGCGGAGCTCTCCTTCGGTGGCGAAGCGGATGTCCTGCCTCCTGTTCCTGCCCTTGCCCCGCGTCGAGGCGTTGCTGCTGTCGGCCGTCAGTGAAGAAATGTCCTGCTCCAAGGCTGGGAGCGCATAGGGATCTTTATGGAAGTCATTCCGCTTGTTTCTGCTCTTTGCGGCTTCCGTCGCCGGCGAGTCTCTCGGCTCATCCAGACCGTTTTCATCGTCACCATCGCCACGGCCTCGCCCCTGATCGGCGTCTGTCTGACCACGACCGTCGCTTGGGGCAGCTCCTGTCTGAGCAGCGAGATCGTCAAAGTAGACAGTGTCTGCTCCCAGGCCATGGCCGCCCTGGCTTTCTGTCGCCCCCTCGTCGACGCCAGACCCTGTTCGTCTCTCCTTGCCCTTGGCCCCACCACCGCCCGAGACGTGTACGACGGCAGCCTCACGCATCCTTGCATTGAGCAGTCGCTCTGCAATCTTGCGATGGTCGTCCTTTGCCCCTTGCCTCCTCGTGCGGCGATTGACGAGTGTCTGCCTCTTCATGACCGGGGCGCCGCCGTCAAAGACAAAAATGGGTCGGATCCCATAGTGGATCAGCTTGAGAATCCGCCAGAGAAAGCCGAGAATGTGTGCATTGGACAGCGTCCGCCCCTCCTTGTCGCGCATGGCCATCTGGAAGTGGTAGAGCCAGATGGACGAGTCGATAGCCAGACGCTTGCCCTCGAGCGATTCGAGCCTGGCGTGGTAAGACTGAGTCTATGCCCCTTGCTTGCCAGCATCGCCTTCCGCACCAACTCACTTGGTAGGCCGTGCACAAGGCTGGATGAGATGCCATAGGCCCTGCACACCCATTGTGCCACCTTATGCGGACCGTCGGCTGTCCTTCTCGTGGCCCCGTGCGAGAAAGCTGTGCGATGGAAAGAGAAGGTGCTCAGCAGCCAAAAGGAAGAGCGTGCGTGTATGTATCGGCGCGCGCACACCCGCGATTTAGAGCTTTGCTGAGGGATCAAAAATAAATAAATTCGGGAAAGCACCTTTTTGGTCTCGCGCTCGGCCGATGTGACTGACGGCTGTATCCATAGACGATCTCATGGCGAAGGAATCACGGCAAGCCTAGCTCTGACCGGAGCTGGCGGGAGCTTGAATGACGCTCGCCCTGCTTCCTTAGATGGAACGATGAGCGGGAGAAGAAGAGAGGCTTGAAGCAGCGGTCATTTGCGTGTCGTCGGTTGAGCTCGTACGTCAGTGGATTTCTTCGCTTTTGGAGAACATCGGCGGCTAGACCTTTATCAGATTAGAGGAACGATCCCCGTCCTGCTGACGAGCGCGCACGAGCGCTTGCATCACGAGCAAACCATACGCTTGGATCCGATCTTAAGCTGATTGTGCGCATTTGAGAGAAGAGGGGAGGGGCCACCCTGACCGTGGCACACAACTTAGAGTACCTAGTCCAGCCTTGCTTTCTTCAAGAGGAAGAAAATTGCACCGGTGGTCTGGAAAGCCCACATCATCGACTAGATCAGCTTTGATAGCATACAATTCTTTCTTACCACCATTTCACACAAAGGGCTTTCTTTCGGTCTCACTACTTTTCTCTTTGGGACAGGACATTTGCCTTCTCACGCACTTTTTGGCAGGTTACAGGAGGCTTACAAAATTTTTACAAGCTTTCTTTCCTAATTTCGGGAAGCGGAACAATGGGACCCGTCGTCCCGTCCTCGTCGCCGTGGCTCGCGAGACGGGACAACTGCTGCCGATAAAAGTACAGACAAAATAAAAGACGCCCTCTAAAGCCCTCTGGGGCAAAAGACGGGCAGTAGGAAGGCAAGTAGGCTATGCTGCAGGCCAAGCTGGTCGTGTCATTAATGCACACACAACGCGACGCCGCCCGGCTCATTAGGGATGCCGCGCTGTACGGTGGTGACCTTTTTTAATATCGAGCCTGAAAGAAGACATCCGCTCTTTCCAAGGAACGAAGGTAGGGGCGGAAGAGGCTAGGGGCTGCATGTCAATGTGCCAAGTGACAGTGTAGCCTAGGCTCTAGCCGCTGCGCTGTGATGGGTTTGTGAGCGAGGAGATATAGAGAGAGCTGTATGTTTAGTGCTGTTGCAGTAGTTTGTCTTGTTGTCTCAGGCAGAAGTTGTTGACTGGAAACGCTAAAGGGGGCCGAGCTGACCAAAAAGAAAATGACTAAACTAAAAAGAAACAAAAAAAAAACCCATGAGGTAGGTAGGCCCGTGTCCAGCGTAGCTGCGCGTTTTGTGCTTGGAAGAGGGAGAGAGGTTCCTCCCCCAGACTAGTCAGCTGGATTGACGGCTCAGGTGGTCGACGAGGTAGTTGTGGCTTCCATCGATCGCACCCACGTCGATCACCCCTTCCGCCTTCACTCGTTCCGTTTGGCTCCTCGCCCCCGCAGGCTCGGTTCACGACGCGGCGCATCTAGACACCGCTGGCCCTGGCTCCACCCTCTCTGGGCGGGCTGAGAGGCGGGGATTTGGACGGCGTGCAAACGCAAAACACAACCCACGCACAGAGCTGGTCAGCCCATCTGACTGGCACGCTACCGATGCAGACCAACGCGGGCGGCCTCAAGTAGAGCAAAATGACGACGACGACGACCGCCGCTGCAGCTCCCTCGTCGCACGCGGGTCAGGACTTGTCTACCCCACCATCAGGTCCCCAATCGTCGTTGGCGAGGAAAGACAAAGGGGCGGACGCATTCGATGCCGTAGTACAAGCTGCCAACCCCAGCCATCCCAACCATGCGGCCTGGGTAGAGCGGTACGGGGGCAGCCTGCCGCGGAGGACCAAGGCACCAGATGTCTCTGCGTCGACAGAGGCAGGACCAAGTGGCACCTCTACGACCGCGTCTCATGCAAGCGTGAGGCCGAGGGCCAGCACACTGGAATCAAGGACGGAGAATAGGGGCGATAGAAGCGCAGACTTGGCTTCTGTACGTCGCAACGGGCGGACACGAGGACATCTCAACAGCATCACTGCTGGGCCATTGGAATCTGGGGCGAACTCCCCGCTGAGCCGTGAGAAGCAGGGAGCCAAAGGAGGAGGAGGAGGAGGAGGGGGAGGGGGAGGGGGAGGAGAAGGAGGAAAGAAGAGAGAAGAGAATGCAACAGCGGTGGAGGTCAAGATGGGGGACGAAGAGGAAGGCACAAGAAAGCCATCAACAATGGAAGATGGGACAACAACGCCAACTGACAAGACGATGAGGAAGAAGAAGAAAAAGACGAGCAGCGAGAAGAAGGGAAAGGCGAGAGCGGCGCCCCCTCCTATCCCCCCGCCACGAGTCTCTAGCTCAGCATATGCCCAGGAAGCCTCGTGGAGCCCAACCACGGCGTCGATGCCGTCGCCTGCTGCTTCTTCCTTTCTTGGCTCTCACTCGCGTACTCAATCCTCGTCGACGAATGCGCACCAATCATCGGCCTTTCACAGCGCTCAGTCTCACCTGTCGGCCTCTTCTCCTATGTCGACTTCGTTTCCCATGACAGCCCCGTCTCCAAGCGCGGCCACTGCGCCTACGTCGGGTACCGCCTCTTCTTCTTCCGACTCCCCCGCGGCATCGCCTTTTCCAGCTCACCCAAAGTCCCCGGGCAGCGGCAGTTACAAAGGCGCGAGATCGTTGGGAACTCCAACTTCCGTCAATGCTTCACCTCTCCTCGGTCCCCGATTCTCCTCTACCGCACCAGCTGCGGGTGCGGCAACGACGCGCTCTTCTTTCTCGGTGGACTCAACGGCGGGAAAGTCAGTCGACTTTTACCTTCCCAATGATGGATTGCACAAGCGTAGACCCAGCAATGAAGGGCTCGGTGTGATGCGGAAAGGTCTCGACCTCTTTGTCTCGCCATTTCGGGGCAAGGGACGAAGTAACAAAGAGGGCAGCAGCATGGTCCCCTTTACTCACAGCGATCGGATCGCGAGCGGCCAAGAGCAAGATGTTGCCAGACTGGCAAGGAATAGCATCGATATCTCGTCGGTCCCTTCGGGCAAGCCTTCGATTTTGAGGAATGCCGGTCTAGCAGTGCAGCAGCATCAAGCACGTGCCTCTACCACGCAGCGAAGACCGCTCAGCAACATCGAGGACGCCCAAGAGACGGAGATTTCAGCAAACGAGCTCGAAGGCAAGTCCACAGCATTGTACTGCGCCTCTGTCGATGCAAATGTGGCGAGAGGCGAGGAAATCAAGGAGGGGAAAACGATCGTGGAGACGCCGGAGAAAGATGGACAAAGGGGGAAGGGAGAAGCCGAGGGAGGACCTGGAGAAAAGTCGGAGGATGGCGAGGACTTTTTCGATGCGAAAAGCGATGAGGGGGACGAGGGCGACACCGACGAAGATAGAAAGGGCAAGGGCACGGTCACTTCGAGCCGGTCAAGGAAGAAAAGTGTTAAACGGAAGAGCCTCGATTCTCTCAATGCCGCCCGGGCAGCGCGCATGCTGGCAGTCGAGGAGGCCAAGGGGCAGCCTCTCCCGTCTGTGGGAATGCAGTCTGGCCAAGTCGACGTGGATTCTGCCTCGTCATCGGCAGATGAGGAAGTGTTGGCGACACCACCAAAACCGGAATCGCGAGAGACGAATGTAACAGTCGGTACAAGGAAAATGCGTTCGCGGGCGGCGCGAGCGTTGATCTGGGGCGAGAAAGAGGGAGAAGGAGATCAGAGCCAGACTCAACCCTCCTCGATCGCCGCTGGTGACGAAGCTAAGCGTCCAGAGGCTCCCAGCGTCGCTTCCGAGAACATGAATGGCCTTTTACATCAGGCGCCGACGAGCATCGCGCGAGCAACGTCATTGACGAGCCTCAACAACAAGGCGACGGAGACCGAGGAGGGCAGGCGGCAGCTTTTTGACGCCAACACCTACTATATCCCTCCCACTTTTCCAAAATCGAGCTCTGCAACAGGCCATCCGGATCGAGGAGTGCCTTTGCCCAGCACAGACCTCGTCGGCCAGTCTGCGTCGTCAAGGAATCGCTTGGTACCCTCGAGAAGCTCCAGGAGCCTGACGGATGCATCTGTGGCCCCTTCTCCGCCCATACTTGCTCCCGCCGAACCGTGGGCAGAGCAAGGGAGAGCGAGCAAAGGAAAATTGTCTGCTACCAGCGCAGCGACGCCGCCATCATCAAGTGATGGCGCCACGATTCCGCAGCAGATTTTTCCCCAGACGCCCGCTCAGGATTCGGATACAACATCGACAGGTGCGCGATCTTTCGGCCGCTCAGGTGGCCGCTCTTTGACGAGTATGCTGGGCAAGGTACGAAGGGACCGTGTACAGAGCCGTAGCCGAAAGCACCAGGCGTCAAGCTCAGCCACAACGCATGGTAGCGCTCCTGCTACGCCTCAAGACCATAGCAGCAGCATGGGCTACGTGGCAGATACATCGGCGGATTTCAGCACAAGCACATCGACTCCGATAGGTCTCGGTATAGATTCTTTACCTTCGACCTCCTCCTCGACGGGTCCGGGTCCGGGCACTTGGCGCTCTCGCGTCGTTTCCTTGACCTCGAAAAAGCACTTGCAGGAGGGCGGAAGGAAGACTGCATCTCCTGATGTGGAAATGATGCCGACGAGGCCGAGCCTCACCCAAGAAAAGGTGCAAGAAAAGGCGCGGGCCGATGACGGTTGGAAGCGCAACCTTCTCTCAGAGGCTGTCGGGCTCAGCCTTACTTCGGTGCCTGCCGTGAGACCAGGGGAGAATCCAGATTCTCCGCAACGAGATAAGGCTGTGCGACGGGCAGGCGCCCGTCGACTATTTGGGAAGTCGCCATTGCCGCCGTCGATGCCAGTAGCCGATGACGACGAACAAACAAGTGGACGAGCGGAGCATACAATCCGCAAGACGCTGAGTCCAGCGCTCCTTACCAACGCCACCCACGAGGCAGATGAGGTTGCCAGCTTTGTTGGCTCGGAGGCAGCAGAGGAAGAGCGCCTCGTCGAGAAGCAGCAGCGTCGTCTAGAAGGGCAAGTTCGGGAGCCAGATGATGACGGAATTCCTCTCCCAGACGCTACCAATGACATGCCAATGCGCGTCGAGCTTATTCGACCTAGTATCGATGGACAGAGCCCGGCAGCTCTAAACCTGCTCGATCGGGGCCATCGGCAACCGTTGCGCCACGCGCAGTCGCTCGACGGGACAAAGCGAAATTCCTTCTCTCTTCGGCAGCTCCAGGACGCTGTGGACAATCCGAAAGCTGTAAGACGCGCTGCACCACCTCCGAGTCTGGACCTCAACAGTCCACCGAGAAGTAGAGCCCCACTTTCCGCCTTCGATCAAGATGAATGGCTATCTGTCAGCAATGCCTACAACTCCAGTCCACAGACACCGACGACGGCAATGAGCAGCAGCAAAGCCAGCGACGCAAAGGTTTGGACGACCTCTACCCCGGGCCAAGGGCGTCCGAGCCCAGGCAGGACATCATTTGCCCTCGATCGAGATCGCTCGCCCATCATATCACCCATGCTTACAAACGGAGGCCCCGCGTCTTCTTCGTCTTCCTTTACTGAATCGACAAAGTCACCAAGATTGCTGTCCGTTTTTCGCAGAACGAAGCCGGCCAATCATCAGCGTCAGCCTGTGACCGCGGCAACGTCACCATCCCAGCATCTCTACCATCACCAATCTGTTACTCCAGCAGGGACATATCAGAACGGATGCGATGAAGAGGCAGTCGAAGTGCTCTCACCGGCAGGTGACTCGCTTGAGGCGGCGCAAAGGGCGACAAAGATGCTGGCCATTCAGACTGACACGATGGTTCTGACGCCCTCGACAACATCTGAGTTCCTCACGTCGAGCCTGAGCACAGCGCCGCCTTCCTCTCTTCCGCCCAGCCCTCGATTAGCGCACAGTCTACGGTCTCACCGAAATGCAAGTTCGTCCAACGTCAACCTGGACGTCACAGGCTTGGGCGTCAGCGGCGGTGCAAACCCAGAGGCGAACAATCTGACAAATCCCTTGGTACCTGCTGCGTTCGCGCTCGCAAGTAAGAAGGATCACTCTAACACAGCTTCGGTCTCACTGGCGGCCTCGAAAGAAGATTCGACGACGAATTTGACGGCACCGTACACCGACCACGCACCAAATACGCCTGTCTCGCCAGAGATGGATGCATTTGGAAAGATGCTCAAGGCGTCGGCAGAGGCAGATGCAGCTCGTATCAAGGACATTGCGCAAAGAAAGCATCAGCAGCATCGGCAACTGCAGCAACTTGATGCATCTTCGAGACCTCCTGTTGCGCACGAAAAGGACCTCACCTGAGGAAGCCGGGTGCCTCATCCCTCGGGTCTGTCTTGGCGAAGGGAAGGAAAGATCCAGTAGTGTGGTAGGGATGTAACGCTTCTTTCTTTTCCCTATTTTGCTTCTATCATCTCTTTGTCCTGTGCACATCGCTCTGTATACCTTTATTCTTGTCCAACACTCTTGCACACATGCATCGTCGTGTCGGTGCTCCCATTCATTCAATGCTAGCTTCTCTTCGGGGCGCCTTGCCGTCCCTCGTCAACGACGACTTTGTTCGTCTTCGAGTTGTTTCCTCTCACCCGCTTCTTGCGCGTTGCGCAACACCATTGTTTAGCTAAAGTGACATACGATTGAAGATCGGGCCTTGATCAAAGATTGGAAGTGATTTGAGCAGAGTAAAGAATAGAACACAACAGGAAACCTGACAGAGAACCACAGCTGATGAAACAACTGATTAAAAACGGCAAGGGAGGCTGGCCGTCTAATCAAATCAAGAGGTGGCAGCCGCATCCGTTCCCTTCGTGGCATAGTCTGATGGTCAAGGTGAAGAATGTCAGCACGATCTATTTTCGTTGCGAAACACACCGAATTACCCACCCTCCATCTCAGCATCGAGATCCTCGAGGCTCTTCTTGGGCCTCTTCTCCCGACTGCCGCCGGCACCTCCTCCGCGACGAGCGCCACGGCCTCCACGGCCACCGGCAGCTCCACCGCGTTGCCTGCGAGCGGCTGCGGCTGCAGCAACGGGAGCGGCAACAGCGGCGCGCGGCTGAGCAGCAGCAATGGCGGCAGCACGAGACGGGTCGACAACGACTTCGACGCGCATCGAGTTCTTGCCGTCAATGACGCGGTTGTTGTACTGCTTGTACGCCTTTTCGGCGTCAGGGCCCCGCTGAAATTCGACGGTGCATGTGCCCGTAGATTGTCCGTTGGCACGGTAGCTCATGGTGACCTTGCGAAGAGGACCGATGGAGGAGGCGAAAAGGTCCTTGAAAAGGCGCACAGTCATGTGAGAATTAGTGTCTGGATGGAAAAGGACTGACGGCGTGTCGGCCCACCTTGATCTGAGCCTCGTTCACGTCGAGGGGAAGATTGCTGACGATAATCTTTCCAGGAAAGTTGCCGCCGGGGGTACGTCCAGGGATGACTACGGGAGGCCTTTGACGGTTTTGCGCCGCAATTTGAGCGGCAGACTGGGCGGCGTTGCTTCCAAGAGCAGCCGCCTTAGCACCACTGGCACGGCGAGTGCTGCTACCGCGTCGAGCTCCTCCGCGGCCTCCTCGACGGGGCTTGGGGTTCGACTTGATGATCTCATCAAGAGCTGTCATGTTGCAATGCGTGAGATAGTGCCATGCCGATTAGGTGGATTGACGGGAAACTCACGCTTGTCGAGGTTCATAGACTAGGCGAAAGTGAAGCGATGCGGAGGGGGGAGAAAGAGAGAGATGGTGCAAGGTCTTCGGTAAGTAAAAGCTCGTGTCTTTTCACATCAGAGGGTCGAACCGTGCGCGTGGAAAGAAAAGGGTGAAGAGGGGAAGCGGATGCGATGCGATACGGTGCGTTGGCTGGGACTGACGTGGCCGTTCGTTACCATTGCAACCATGAACTGCGGATAGCTCTTGCCTCCCAGCGAAGAGCTCGCTAGCTTGGGTGATGCTATGCCATCTCACAGCACATCGCCGCTTGTTTCGAATAGATGCCACGGGAAAGGTCATGTTCGCACGTGTGTGCAGACATGGCGAACGGCTGTTGAGCGACCCAGTGCCTTAAGTCCCGGGACTTTCTCTTCTCATCGTGACGGACCGACCAAAGCAGTCCAAGGATGCGATGATCGCGATGGAAGGCGGCGCAGCCATCAGACGCTCTCACTGGAGGCGCTCTTACTGGCGACAGCAATGACTTGCAGAAGCCGCACGCGCAGACGGATCAGATCCTTCGCTGCTTTGCACGAATGCAGGATGCATGCTGTAACGATAGCACGAGGTCGTCTCGTAGCTACCTGCGCGCACTGCACCGCATCGCATCGCTTCGACCAATGTAGAGCGACTTGGGTGCAATGGAGGGGGAGAGATAACAACGAGACGAGATGCTAACCATTTTTGGAGATAGGTTTGAGAACGGCTGGTCTCAGTGGCGGTGCGTAGAGAGATGACGGAGGAGGAATATGTTGTGGCTGTCCGAGGGTTGACGGCAACTAGAGAATTTCCTGCTCGGCAGCTTCGAAGCGATGGATGTCGAGTCTGTAACGCTGAAGTCTGGGCTGGAGTGCGACAAGGAGCACTGTGACTGAGCGAAAGATAGGTGATGTGAAGAGACTGAGACGCGAAATGCTCCAGCGAGGAAGGCAGCTCATCCGTGAAATGCCACGTGGTTTTTCAAAAGAGCCGTCCGGCGTGACGGCCTTTTGGGGCCGGTGGTTGTGCTTAGATCAGGATCACCATTGCCAGCTCGTCCAACGGCTGCCGCAGGTTCGAGATCTGGGACGCCATCCGGACTTGCTCTTCGGCAAAGATGCTCAGGTCCTACGAGAATTTCTTGCTTCACAATGCGAGCCAGATCACGGCTGTTGAGAGCTCGCTGAGGAGCATCACCTACTTTCTTCCTGGCCGCTTTCCCGATTCCGAGCTGTGAGTGTGGGGAAACATCACCGTGGTATAGGCCTATCCAATCAACTCACACCCGAACCAACCCCCTCTCCCCCCCTTCCTCTCTCTCTACCTCTCCCCCCTTCGTTTTCTTACCTTCATTCCACGGCTTTTTAGAGCGGGAGAAGCGAGTGAGTGTTGTCCGGTGTGCTACAAGACATTCTCTCGAACGCTGACACTGATCTCTCTGTCTTCGGATGCTCTCTTCAGTCTACTCCGCATTGAACCTGCTAGGTCTGTACCACGATTCTATTCTCGTTCGACTTCTCTCGCCACATTCGGTACCTCGCGGGCTCAACGGTCATCGATCCAGCCCTCGTGCTCTGCAGCAGCAGCAAGAAGCACAGGCTTCGTCTTTAGCATCCGCCTCGTCGTCTGCGTACCCTGCGCCACCGGCGACGTACACGCGGCATCAGCACACGCCTTCCCCCCACGCGCGCTACACGCATCACTTTTCCGACGCGAGTCCAACCTACAATGTTCTCGCCCGGGCCCTCGTCATTCTCGGCTATACGGAGCTGCTGGCCGAGATGGTTGCGCGGCGCAAGCTGGGCCAGAAACGTGCCTGGGATGTCGTTGCTGGCATCGAGTCGGTCAAGGTGGCGCTCCGGTTGGCATTGCTCCACATCACAGGAAAGAGGCAGACGATTCAACCGCCGATTCCAGAGAGAGAAGTGGACCCTGCGATGCTCGAGGAAGAACGGAGAGCGACAATGGAAAAGGCTGCAGCACAGGCCGGTCTAGAGGGCTCGCCTCTAGCGACTGCCGTAGGGTCGACAGCAGGAGGAGAGTCGATGGCTGATTCTTGGACGGGATTGCGGACAGGCTACACGAGGCCCACTCTACAGTCGCTTCGGGCCAAGTCGCAGCAGGGAAGTCTCACGCCGCCGCTGCCTTCTTCCACGCGCAGACATCCTCGGCACCCGCTTGCCTCGGCGGCTTCTGACCCCTCGCGTCGGCTCTCGTCGCACCCGACGTCGTCTGTCGATTCGGCCTCTGGGTCCGACTCGGACGAGACGCTGGTGGATTCGTGGACGGAAAAGCAGGTCAACGAGTATCTGCTCAGCCGGACGCTCACACCGACCGACGTGAAGAAGCCAGAGGATCTCGTACGTCCACTACGAAACGCCATGGGCCAGGCTGCGGAGCTCGTCTGGATCCTGAGGCCGCTGCTTTATAGTGAGTCGATTTCATCTTCTTTTCCCTCTTGTCCGGCCAGATGGCAAGGCAGGCAGGATGGCACGATAAGGGATATTTTTTTGCTGACAAGTGCAAACGCCACACAAGTCCTCGCGCTGAGAAGATGGGGTCGCAAGCACAAGGCGCCATTCGTCCTCTCCTTCGTCCTCGAGTACCTCGCGAGGGTGTTGCGCGTCCGGTCGCTCTCCTCTGGCCTTGGCCCATCCAGCAATGGCGGTGGCATGTCGAGCAATCCGCTGATGATGCTCCTCATGGGCGAGAACCCGCTGCTGTCGCTCGTCGGCGGCCTCATGGGCACTGGTGCCGGCGGCCCAAGGGAGTCGCGACCAGTCAGCGAGGTGGAAAAGATGGAGTGGGAGAAGCGCGATCGAGCCTTTTGGTGGTACCTCCTCCGAGGCCCTCTCTGGGAGGGATGGACAAGACCCAAGCTCGAGGGTCTCGCCACCGCGACGGAAAACAGGCCATTGCTGGGAATCGTCGGAGGCATCATCAAGGACTACCTCCCGCTGGTCGACGAGTACTACTACTATTCAGCGACATGACCAGGCTCTTACGCCATTTGTCAATAAAAGGCGAGGAAAGAATGAAGCATGAATGCATTGTATTACTGCCACTACATTGCCTGCTTTACGAAGCTGTGCCCGATGTTGTTGTTAGACACAATCAAAGGAAGCCGAAAGGGAAGAGGGACGAGGGGAACTCACGTTGCATCAATTTGCGAAATCTGAGGAAGAGCCAGCATCAGCTTGCGTCGATAGGCTGCTCCTTCGCTACGCTGGACCGGGTTACCCTCGAGGTAGACTGTGTTGAGCTTCGGACACTTGTTCGGACCAAGTTGATCGTCGATGGATTGAATCGTTGTGATTGCATTGTCATTTGCCTGGTGACAATCAGCCAATCCTCTCGGTCAGCTTTGCAGCTCAAAAGTCCAGGCAGGTCGAAGTGACGGTGACCAAGAGGTTGTCAGCACATACCCAGAATTCCTCGAGTACGCTCAGATGGCTTACGCCCTTGATCTCCTCAATTCGGTTGGCGCCCACGTCAAGCGTCGTCAGCCTGGCGTTGCTCTCCAGGCCTTCAAGAGCCTGCAGGCCATTGTGAGAGAGGTAGAGCTCTTCGAGATTGGTCAGCGCCTCCAGTCCCTCAATCTTCGTCAGCCGGTTTGACTGTATCGAAAGAATTCGAAGCGATTTCAACGACGAGAGATTCTTTGAAGAGGATCAGCAGCGGCTTGAGCGACTTTGCAGATGGGGCGTGAACGACTCACTTCTAACTTGGTGATTTTGTTCTTGCCGACCCAAAGCTCCTCTAGTTTAGTGAGATGACCGATATGCTCGAGAGACTGCCAAAAAAGTTAGGAGGGAGACGTCCTCCGGTTAGCGACACGAAAGGCAGAAGCTTTGACGGACCGAGAGGATCAAGTCGCACCCTTAGCTTGTTGCCGCCCAGCTCGAGGCTGCGGAGGTTGACACCAATAGGCCCAGTCAAATCGTCTGCCCTCACGCGGGAGATCTTGTTCTGAACAAAGTAGAGAGTGTGCACGTTGGCGAGGTGGTTTAGGTGGGAGATGTGACGGATGGAATTGAACGAGTAGTCGAGCGACCTGGATGCGGGCCCACAAGAGCGTCAGTTTTTGGTCGTGACATGGCCACAGAGACCACCCACTCGAGATTTGAACAGGCCTTGAGGACCTCGCCATACGTCTTTTCAAGCCCATTGTCATACAGGTCCAGCTCCTTGAGCGCATTCAGCTGGCCAACGTCATACTCGGTTATCTTTGAGATTTCATTCTGCCGCATCGATAGCCGCTCGAGTGACTTTGAGAACTTCGACCATGGAAGTCTCCGAAGTGCCTTGGTAGTAAGCCGGAGGTGGGTCAAGTCGATAGTCTGTCGCGACAATAGTGGGCGTCAGCGGTACGGCTTGGTGACAGAACGAGGCAGGCACTCACGTCTTCATCCTCTGGGAAATTGGCAAGAAGGTCCTCCTCCTCGGCCTCTTCTCTCCCATTCTGCCTTGCCTCTGCTCCCTCCCGTCCTTCCTCTCCGTCTTCCTCGTCTCTTTCATCCTCTTCCCCTTCATCCTCCTCCGCATCCTCGTCGTCATCTCCGCTGTCCTCGTCTCTCTCCTCTGCCTTTCTTCCGCCAAAGGGCAGCGGCGGGGGCGCGCCAACGACCTGGACCTGTTTCTTTGGCTTTTCACCGCCAATTGTTTGGCTCGACGACGTCGAGGCTTCAGGACCCTCTCCTCCCGAGCCTGGCTCTTGCACCGACATCTTCAGCACCTTGTCGCCCTTTGCGCAAGGCCTGCCCAGAAACAAAAGCCTGAGGAGGAGCAAGCTTGCGCCTTCTCGGCCGATGCGCGTGCTTTTCTGTCGCGCGCGCGCATGGGCCACCTCAACTTGAGATGCAGGGTCTAAAGCAGCAGCAGCAGCAGCAGCAGCAATAGCAATAGCAGCAGTGGGCACAGCTAGTCTGACCAATCTGCTGCTGGCTTCTTGATGGCGCTTCGGCGCTACCTCTCGCAGACGATGACAACCTCCGCGCGCAACCACGCCGATCGAGGTCGGCCTAGAGCCCCCCCTGGCGGATCGTCGGAACCATACGTCTGCGTCGTCGCCCTCCTCGTGCGCGCTCAGCCCACACGCCCCCCACTCCCTTCTTCCTCTTCACCCTCTCTTCCTTCTTCGCCGCATACGACGCTACAGAAGCAATTGGAGGCAATCCAGGCGATTCGCACAAAGCACGACGCGGCGTACGTGCGCTGGGAGCCACACTTGACACTTTTGCCTCCCTTCATTGTGCCTTTCATCTCCGTTGCGGCGGCGGCGACGACGACGACGACGACGACGACGAAGATTGCAGCAGGAGCGGAGGCAGAGGAAGAAGCGGAAGCAGGCGAGACGGAGAGTGTAAAGGACAACGATGGGAAAGCGGGGAACCAGGAACCACACCGCACGCTCCTAGAGCTCAGTAAACGCATCGCTCAGGTCCTCGAAGAGTTTGACAGCGATGCCGTCACTGGAAAGCGAGAAAGAACGGATCTGGAGCTGGATCAAGCCGGCTCCTTTCCACTCAGGTACCATCACTCGGTCCATCTCTGCCCCTCACCGTCAGCGACGGGCCGCCAGACCCTCCGATCGATCCAGTCCGCGCTCGAGGCGGCGCTGCCAGAAACGGTGACCCATGCTCGCGGATCTCGGAAGCGCAAGAAGAAAGGGACAAGCGACGACTACAAGCCACATCTGACAATTGGACAAGCACAAGGAAGAGATGAGCTCGACGCGCTCAAAGCACTCGGCCGCCAGGTCCTGTCCGCAGATGGCGGGTGCGTCAGAGTGCCCATGGACCGCATACAGCTCATGTGCAAGCCCGTCAGTCGCAGCGGCCCGTATGACATCTTCCGTGAATTCGCCATCTGGCCAAGCTCGAGAAAGTGACTTTCCATTCGTGGTCCAAATGTCTGTGTCTACATCAAAATAATCCCTCTGTAATCAGAGACGATTCACACCAATTAATCGCTATCTCCCCAGTCGTCGTCATCAGGTGCCCTCCTCGCACCCTCTGAGTCAAAGACATCCTTGGCTCCCTCGTCGTTCTTCTTTGCCCTCTCAAATACCTCATCGAGTGCCTCCTGCTCGCGCTCTTCGGCCGTCTTTTCCCTCGAAACCGGTCCTTTGGGCAGCTTCGACTGGCGCAAAGAGGCCGGCGGTGCTTGTGAAACTTAACAGGAGGGGAAGGCAAAAAAAATCTTCGTCAGCTCATGCTCTCGCTCTCGCCTGCGTTCTGCCCTGAGGACGATAGACTGACGTGGAATCATGCCATCCGGCTTGATGGAGACTCGCGGATGTAATCCAGACCCACCGACCCCGCCGTCATCGCCTCTAAGCCACTCTGTCGTCGAGAGGAGCGGCTGCCTCTGCAGCCTCGTCGGCGGGAACACATCGTCTTGGAAGAACTCGGGCTGCAATCGGACAGATCGAGAACAGGATATTTAGTCGGAAAAGGAAAGTCAATTAGATAAGAAGAAGCAGGAAGACTCACTCGCGACCTTGTGATCTTCCAGCCGACGCGCTGGGCTTCGGTCCTGCAGAGGCGTATTGACGTGGCGACCTCGACGGCCTTTACGTCGACACTGTCCTTTCCCAGCCAGGCCAGCCCGAGCTGTGCCTCTCCGTGCTGAAACTGAGGCAGCTGCAACCACGTCTGCTGCTGACCTGCTGCCACCGCCAAGCCTGCGCGATTGCTGCGCTGCTGCTGCTGCTGCTGCTGATCAGGATGGATCTCATAGGCATGCACGATCCGCTCGCCCTTGCTCCACAAGTAGAGGATGCTGGTGTCGACATCCCAGTGCGGGAACAGTAGCGCGGGCGAGACGTCCAACGGGCACCTGGACACCTCGGACAGCGAGGCGCTCGAGAGAAAGTCGATGGCGAACAGCTTGAGCTGGCGCGACGAGCCCTGGCCGTGGCCGACGGTGACGATGTGGTTGCCATCGAGCCAGACGATGCGGAACGATCGGGGGCCTGAGCACCTCGCCATCTCAGCAATCATTCATGATACGTAATGAGAAGAACGGTCGAGGAAGATAAATACTCACTGTCATGTGCCGGCGCCTGGCCAAACACCCTGATTTGACCATCGGGCACCCGAACATCGATGAGGTACAGTTTGCGATCCTTGCCTGCGAGCGCCAATACGCTCCCGTCGGGGCTCCACTCTGCCCCAAAGAGGCCGGCGGTGGCCACCAATTCCTCTGTGCTCTTGACGGACGAGAGGATCTGCTCGCCTTCAAAGTCGACGAGGTAGATGAGTGGCGAGCCGATGTGATCCGACGAGGCAACGACGACAGCAACGAGGCCCTTTACGTTGGGGTGCACAGCCAGCTGCAGCACTCGGGTCGCCGAGCCAGGCAACTTGACGGTGCGCTCTGGCTTCTCGACGGTGATACCGCCTTCGGTCTGCTCCTTTTCGTCCTTGTCGACCGTCGAAGGCACCTTCCATGCCCTCAGGTTGCCGTCGGCGGCGCTTGTGTACACCATGGCGTCGTCAAAGGGATCGGTGGCAAAATCGCCAAGAGCGGCACCGTGGACGAAGCAGGGAAGATGCACGGACACCCTGCCCGTCTTGGACAGTGGAAAGATGGCCAGCCTTCCACCTGGTCCAGAGATGGGGACGAAAAAGTGCTTTGGACTGGCGGCCAGCATGCGCGCATCAGCAGACCTCGACACATCGACGGCAGTCAGGTTTTGGTATGCCGGCACGAGGGGCGTGCCCCCGGCGAGAAAGCGGCGGGACCACTGCTGCGAGGATGCCGTCGGCTTTTCGTCCTGCTGCATCTTCGGTGGACGGATGACAGATGTCGCTGCTGGGACTGCTGGAGCAGCAGCAGCAGCAGCAGCAGCAGTAGCCTCGGTTGTCCCTAGTGCCGGCTTGGCCACCGGTGGTACCTTGTAGTCAAGCGAGGGACCTGTTGCAGGAGCCGCAATGGCCGCGACTGCCGTCGCCTCCGGCTGCTTCGCCTTGGAAGGGTTTGTTGGCGCTGCACCACCTGCTGTGCTGGAGTCGTTGCTCGTCGTTGCCGACGGCGCGGCAGACAAAGGAGCAGAGTCCTTGGCCGTCGTGGCCAAGCTGGCCTCGTCTTTGCTCCTCGTCGCTGGATCGAGGGACAGGGTCGCCAGAGGCTTGCCTATCCCATCTACCCAGCTCGTGCCAGCGTTTCTCCTCCCACTCCCAGGACCTCTCCAGACCGTCTCTGGGTAGAGATCCTGGTGGAAGTCGATGTACTGCCGCCTGGGCACCCGCACGCTGACGGGAACAACGCTGTCTGAGCTTGCGGCGCTTCCCGTCGAGGAGTAGCTGCACACGACGAGCCTCGCCACCTCTCCGCACGTCGTGTCATACCTCGACGGAGCACAGACGGCGGCCGATCCGGTGGGGACGACGTCGAGGAGCGAAAAGTGACCCTCGGCAAAGGCATTGGGCCCGCCCTGGTCAGTCGAGCCGACATCGATCCAGCGCATACTGGCATCGCCCCGTGAGACGAGGTAGACGAGCCCACGGTCCCGCTCGACGTACGGCTCCAAGGGCGCAGTCGACACGTCCAAGCTCGTCCGCTTGCGCGCCACGGCCACATCCCTCGTATCCCATACGGCCACCTCGCGCTGCCGCATGGCACCGAATCCAGTCGTGAGAAGCAAGTGGGCCGACTGAACAGAGACAAAGGCGACGCGGGTCGGCTTGAGCTTGGAAGCATGGTGCGGTGCAAACGACGCCGTGCACTGGCACTGGCCCGACGCGAGGTCCCAGAGCCTGAGCTGACCATCCTTAGATGCCGTTGCCAGGGTCCTGCCATCGGTGCTCCAGTCGAAACTCCAGAGGCCTGCGCTTCCATTGTCTAGCTTCGCGACGCATGTTCCCTGCTCTACGTCCCAGATTCTGACGGTGCCATGCGATGGCGAGGCCGTGGCCAGCACGCCGTCGACGGCGGGACAGAAGCGGACCATGCCCACGTCCTCGTCGGCTCTGAATTTCTTCAGATTCCTGACTTCGAACTTCCCATCATGTGTCCCATTTGGCAGCCCCACGATGCGATCGACGATGACCTCCCCCGTCGAGCCAGATGCGACCGTGGCTAGTACAAAGTCGTCGTCGCTGTTGTTGCCCTGGAACGCGCCCACATCAAAGTCGACGACGTGAACGCCGACATCGATGCCCGGCGGCCGCTTTGCAAATTTGCCAAAGCCAGCCTCGGACAGGACGGCAAAGCTTCCCGGCGAGGCAGACGTCTTGATAATGACGTGGCCCGAGTGCGGCGCCACGGCCACTTTCTTCGTCGACGAATGCTCGGCGGACGACGAGGCGGCCGCGGGCACCGACAGGCCCAGCTCCGAGTAGCGCGCGTCGGCCTTGGACACGGTCAGTGTCGCATTGCGGTACCGCGACACCTGCGAGAAGCGTGACGGCGGCATTCTTGAGGCTTGCAAGAGTGATACTCGCTCGTCAGAGGGAGAAAGGGGAAAAGGAAGAAGAACCAAGACGTGAGTTGGCGTTGGTTGTCCTTGTGGAGGACCAAGAAGATTGGACGCCAGCCAGCTCGCACGCGCCATGCTATCGCAGTGGCTGGAAAAAAAATCCCAAGATACAGTACATCGTCGGGAATAGTCATGGCACAAAGACGATAACTTCTCACTTCGCTGGTAAAATGTAAATTGTGGGTGAGGTATACACATGTCTGTCGCTAAGATCAATGGTGACGATGTCGTGGTGAGGGACACCGGAGGAGATTAGGATATATATACGACATTATAGAGGCAGGGAGCTGACTAAAAAAAGAGGAGGAGGGAAGGAGAAAGAGTAAAGGAGCCAAGAGGAGCCGATTACTAGGCCTTGCTGCGAAGCGGTTTCCTGGCCGTGAAGCCGGCAGATCGACGGATGGCGAGGAGCTGCGTGGTGCCGCCCTCGTCATCCTGCGAAGACTCCTGGCGGGGCATCGGAGGTTGTTCCAACACCGTCGCGGGAAAGACACCATCCTGCGGCGGCATCGACTTGGACCTCCTCGGCTCGGCCGATGTCATTGCCAACGGAGGCTGACGTCTCGACGGCCGTTGTCCCCGCTCAATTTTCTGGGAGGCGAGCTTAGACAAGGAGCTCGACTTGTCTCCGCTCTCGACTTTCGCGTTGGCATCCTCGCTGCCGACAACTGTCGCGAGGGAATCGTTACTCCTCTTGGATCCTCGGTCTGTGGCGCTCCTCGCTCGCTCCTCGTCTTGGCGACTCTTGGTCTGCAGGAGGGGCGACATGGGAGAGGACGAGGAAGGAGGCGAAGGACGGTGAAGAGAAGAGGTAGACGTGGGCGATGGAGAGGACGAGCCGCTCGAGCTGGGCGAAGGCGAGCGATGAGTGTCGAGCGACAGCGACGGCTTCACACCGTCGCCGAGGTGCACTTGGTTCCTGTTGCTCTCCCTGGCCCCTTTATCTGGACCCATCGTCACGCTCGCTCCGTCCTTTATGTCGAGGGACGACTTCAAGAGACAGCCCCAGTCCGCTCGGTGCGTCATGTCGGCCACCCAGTCGTCGACGGCCTTGAAGAACTGCCACTGATGTTCCCATCCAAATCGCGCTGCGCCTCCGCCCGCTCCGACTTGCGATGCATTGTCCCGCTCAAGTTCTTCCCAGATCAGGGTGCGACTCTCGCTGATCTTGGTCGTCTCGCTCGTCAAAATCGAGGCCCGGTAGACGTCGTAGTTGGACAAATTGATTGGGTGTGGCTCGAGCGGCGCCCCGATCTGCTCTCGACTCGTGTAGTGGGCGTCATCCAGCTGACCCTGGGCTTCCCTCACACTGGTGCGGGGCTTTGCCTTACCCTCGACTGCTTGTCGACGCCGCCGATCATTCACCAGGTCGCGGTGGTAGGATGAGTGGGCAAAGATGGGAAAGTTGCGCGGGTTGCTCTGCTTGAATTCCTCGAGTTCCTGATTCATGAGATTGAAGGGCACGAGCGAGACCGGCCTCAGGCTAATGAAGCTGATGATGTTTCGCTTCTGTCAGCTCTCGGTCTGCAGTATGCAGCCCCTGCCGCTTCTTCTAAGACCAGGCCTCACCGCTTCTGCATCACTCTTTCGCATGCCTTTCCCACTCTATCATGTGGGCCCGGCGCAGCCTTTGCAAGCCTCAGCATCATGGTCTCGCTCGAGTTGTTGAAGCCCTTCTTGGTATCATACCGCCCATTGATGAGGTTCTGCACATCCAGAGACGCCACCTCCCGGGGACTGCCAGAAAAGGACCAGTCGGTCTCCAGGATCTCGATGCGACCACCGGGGGCGACGACACGCGTGAATTCGCTAAAGACAAAGTCCCACTTGTCCTCGGGCACCTAGTACGCCGGCTCGTCATTAGCAAGGCATCTTCTCGCTCCCACTTGTAATAACAGGGGCTACTTACGCCATGGTTGAGAAAGCGGCAGTGGACAAAGTCAAATGACTCGTCCGGGAATGGCAAGCCCTCCAGGACGTTTGCGACGACCCACGATATCCTAGACTTGATTCCCTCGTCTCGGATTGTCCGAAGCGGTGTCTGGACCGGAACAAGGTCGAGTCCGATGAACTCTGCTTCCTGTTTGGACGATGGGGAAGAAAGCGGTGGAAAGGTGGTGAGTAGCTAGCTTAGTGGCAACGTGCAGGGCCAAGTGGGCCAGATGGACCTGGTGGTAGCAGGGCAACTCACAGGCCACTGCTTTGCAGCATCGAGGCACCAGGCTCCCGAACCAGTCGCAACATCAAGGACACTCTTGGGCGGGGCCTTTGGCCATGTCGTCGTGCCGAGTCCAAGGATGCTGCTCATCGTCTGGTAGTGGAGCTGCTCGGCCATCTCCGTCTCGAAGCCGTGCGACCACCAGTAGGGCGCCGTCTTGGCATCGTAAGCGTGGAATCTGATCTTCCTCAACCGTCCACCATGCTGCGCCTCTCTTTGTGTTCTGTAGACAAAATAGTCCTGCAGCTTCCAGGAATTGTCATCCTTGACCCTACTTTTTCCCTTTTTCCCTTGATCATCCTCTGCGCCCAAGCTGTGAGGCTGTCGCTGTGTCGAGGATGGCTGCTGCTGCTGCTGCTGCTGCTGATCAAGCAAGGAGGGAGAAGAGGGAAATTGTGGCCTCGACACGTCGCTACTGCTCCTGGTACGGCCGCTTGCTTGCGCCAAACGCTGCGCACTCGAACCAGACTCCTTGATGGGATTGAACGACTGCATGAGCCCCAGTGGGGGTTTCTTCGCTTTTGTGGGCTGTATCGGCACTGAAGTAGAGGAAGGGGCAGAGGCAGAGGGAAGCGAAGAGGAGGAGCCATCGGATCTGATCGAAGCAGGCCGCCTGACCACGGCGCCCGAGCCGCTTCGATTTGGAGGGGGCGTGCAGAGGTAGTATCCATCGCAGTACTGGGCCTTGGACCGCTTCCTTCTTCGCAGGGCCGTCTCCCTTGCATCGCGACGCTGGGCTGTCGTCAGCGAGGCAGAGTGCGAGGGAGCGGCAAGTGACGAGGTCCTTCTCCGGCTGCCCTCGCGCTCTCCTCCTCGGCCTGCACGCTCTTCCTCCTTCTCCCGTTCGTGCTCCTCCTCTTCCTCGTCCTCATCCTCTTCTTCCTCTTCCCCTCCTATATCTCCTTCTTCCTCTTTCTCCTTCTCACCCATCCTTTTTGAGCTCGATGCCACCAGGCCTAAGCGCACCGCCAGGGGCTGCCCGCCTTCAACGGAGCGTGAGCGTGGCGTGAGCTGCAAAGAGGGAGGGAGAGGAGATGTGCTTGAGGCCTCTCTCCCCTGTTTGCCAAAGTCGATGGTACCTCGTCCGACCCTCCTGAGGCTTCTGTCTGGCCCATGGAGGTCCACTGCCACGTCTGCAGTGCTCTTTGGCTCCTGCAGCATGACACTGTCGGCGCGCTCCTCGCCCCTTCTGGGCGTGATGACGTTTACAGGTTGATGACTTTCTCCAGCAAGAAGACAAAGATGGTCTGCCAGAAGCGGGGAAACATCCGCGGTTTCCTCGTCTTCGGGGCGGTTCAGTGTATGTCCAGTCTCGTGCCGTCTTCGTTGAGGTCGAGAGTGCGAAAATGACGACGACGCGGAGGACAGGGAAGAGGAAAAGGAGCAAACAGATGACCGGCGGGTCGCGTAGCCCGCCTGCAATGCGCGCAAGGACGCGTCGTCGCAGTGGTAATGATGCTGGCCGCCCGGCCTCTCTACGCTTGTCGACGCTGACGACTCCCAATTCGTAGGTGCAGAAGAAGCAGCGGGAGAATAGTGATGTGGGCTGTGAGAAGAACGAGGAAAGATTCCCCTGCTGCAGCTGCTGCTGCTAATCGGAAAAGTCGCGTCCCGGTCTCTGTCGTCGCTCGTTAGCGCAATCGCATTTGACTTTGTCTGGGACCTGCCTATTATTGTCGCACTTCGACTCGCTGCTTGACAGGAGTAGTAAGCCCTGTCATCGTAATATCTGAGTTGAGAGGCGGCGTCGGATGACAGTGATGGCGTTGGTGACAATGACCGTATTGACGATCGTGATGGATGAGAAGACCTAAAAAAGCTTCGCCGTCTTGTGCTCTGCCCTACAAACTGTTCATTCGCTTCATTGAGATACTCGACCAAGTCTTCGTCACGGTCCTCAGACTGCATCTTTGACTCGCTCAGAGTGGACAGGAGGCTGACAACCCTGTTGTGATGGCGGTTTATCGTGAATACTCCTGGTGCTTGCTGCACTGCTAATTCCCGTCGTTGGTCTTTCGCTGGCGTGGCTGACACATGCTGCCTTTCGACGTCTGTTTGTCGAGGCTCTGCGCCTCTTTGAAAATATCCAGGTGAACTGCCAATCTCGGAAAAGGAGGCCCGACGGGGTCCAACGGCACCGCTGCACCCGTTTCCGCTGCCGTCCTCCGTCTTTCTGCCGTGACGCGCAACAAAGAGGTTGCCGCGCTCCACCCCGACTGACTCTGCCGTCTTGGGCCTCCTCCTGAGCGCCTGCGTTGCCACTGACAAGATGGACCTGGGACGGCCCTGGGCAGCTGGCATCTCATCGATTCTACTCTCTCCAAGCTTGTTACCTTTCTCAGAAATTGACGGCGATGACGATGACGACGATGACGACGACGACGACGACGACGACGACGACGCGGCCGACGGGGAAAAGAGACCAGAATGGGAGACCAAGGGCTGAGAGGCAGTCCATGCGACCAAGTCCTGAGACCTCTCTTGGCTTTGGAGTCGCGGAGCCAGCTCTTCCTTCATTCTCTGTCGCTGTGCCCCTTGGATTTTCTTGGTCCCAGTGAGGGTTGGCATTGGCCACGGTCGACTGAGAAGGGAGAATCAAGGATATGAGGCTTGAGTGCTCGAAGTGGGAAAAGGGACAGTCATGAGAGACAAAGCGCTTCACAGAGAGATCTTTGAGTTGTCACTGAGCATCAGAAAGCTCGGAAGGGGCGCACCCGGACGACGAGCATTACAGTCCTCCGAACTTCGGTAGATGCAGGCACCTCTCTGACATTTTCGGCCTGCCATCTCACCAGAAATCTACAGTACAAGGATAGTAACGAACACTACTATGGCTACTCGCGCAGGCAAGCAGGCGTGCGCACAGTTTCAGGTACAGTGCACGAAGTTCTGCCTCTTCCGACAACCAGCCCTACCTGTCGCCGAGCTTTCTTACTCGCACAATGGCAGCTTGAGGCAGCCTTCGCGTGCAAATTAGGAGGCCTCGGGCACAATAAAAAAAAATAAAGTGCGCCCTGAATTTCCGTCAGGCACCGCGGATGGGGGCTTGCAGATAAAGCGTTTATTTGGCATTCAAATTCACGACCGGAGGCACTGTGGCGGGCAGCAAGGACACATATACAACAGACTAGGGTATCAATGTCATGCATGCTACTGGCCCCTTTCCCTCCAAGCAGGGATAAATCAGCCGAGAGGCTAAGTGAGAAAAGATTGAAGCACAGCTATATTCATCCGAGGCGTTCCGAAATTCTTACGACTCATGCAGGAAAGGAAGCGGGGTCCGCGTCCCATCTTTAATTTTCAAGGAGAGCCTTACGGATCCCCAAGGGCGATTGCGATTGTTGTGATCGCACGCCGAGTAAGACCCGAGACAAGATGATTGGAATTGTGCGACAGGCGGGACCACATGGCTCGGGACGCACCGAGGCTGCAGACGCAGACGCAGGGCTGTCGTCGCCGTCTGCGATCCCGCTCCAGACTGTCCTCTCCAGGACAGCAACGCGACAGAGCAGCAATGCTACCGGCGGCAATGGCGGGAGCGGTGACAGCAGGGACAACATCGACTCCATCACGACGCAGCAGAGCTTCGTGGAGCCTCCGTCGTCGTCGAGTGCAGCAATGGCAGCACAGCAGGAGGGCGGCTTGCAGGGCTGGACCGTCGTCGCGGGCAGCACCGCCATCTTTTTCACCACAGTCGGCCTCGTCTACTGCTTTGGTGTGCTCCAGTCCGAGCTCATCTCGCGCCACTACTCATCCTCCTCCACCCTCGGCTGGGTGTCGAGCGTAACCGTCGTCATTGCCCCCTTGTGCTCCATTCCCATCACCGCCCTCATCCGCCGCACCTCGAATCGAACCGTGGGCTTGATGGGAGCAGCCTGCACCAGCGTCGGCTACATTGCCACGTCTTTCACCTTCAAGAATGGCAATGTTCCCTACCTCTTTCTTGCCCAGGCCATCTTCGGCTTTGGCTACGCGCTCAATTTCTGGGCATCCAACTCGCTGGCCGCGCAGTACTTTGAGCGCAAACGGGGCTTGGCCGTCGGCATCGTCTACGCCGGCAGCGGTGTGGGTGGGGCCGTGCTGAGCATCGGGTTGAGCCGCCTCATCCGTCGTGTCGGCCTCGAGTGGGCAGTCTGCATTTACGGTCTCATGGCGCTTCTCATCCTCGTCCCCGCTAGCTTCACGCTCCGGCAGCGCGGCTCCGTCACGGTGGCCTCGCTCAAGCTCGACTACTTTCGCCAGCCCAACTTTCTCCTCCTCTTCTTCGGCACGGCCCTCAACACATTCGCCCTCTTTGTCCCTCCCTTTTTCCTACCCACCTACGCCGTCGCCGCCGGCTACTCGTCTGAGACGGGCGCCTGGCTCGTGGCCGGCTACAACTTTGCGAGCGCAGTGGGGCGAATCATGTTTGGCCTCATGGCCGACTCGCGGCTGGGCCCCGTGACGACGCTGTGCGTCGCCTTCATCCTCATGGCCACGACGATTCTCTCCATCTGGGTAGCTGCAGGCACCTACCTGCCCCCGCTCGTCATCTTTCTCCTCCTCAACGGCGCCGCCGGAGGGGCGCTCCTCAGCCTCCAGCCGACCGTAGTCGCTTCGATGTACGGCACCTCTGAGCTGGCCGTGGTGAGTATGACCTGCCTGTTCTCTTCCTTCTTAATCCTCTTCTTTTCCGTGGGAAGAATCTCGCGCTAACACGGCGCATACAGACCATGGCAATGGTCACCATTGGCCGCTGCGTCGGATCGGCGCTGGGTGCGCCCATCGCCGGCTACCTCCTCGACGCCTTCGGAGGACCACAGGGCGGCACCCCTCCCTTCCGGCCGGCTCTGCTCGTGATTGGAAGGTGCGTCTCAGCGCGTCGCTGTATTTGCTTACACACACAAAGGGAGAGAAAAGGCTGACAAAAATGAGAGACGGGCGCGAACTTCAGCATCTCGTTCCTGGCTGCGATGTGCCTGTTGACGCTTCGGCTGCGCATGGGTGGGCTGAGCCTCAAAAAGCGAATCTGAGGACCTCGAATCGGAGCACGCAAACGCATCGTCGATCGACTTCAGTCTTAGTAGCAGAGAATTGTCACATCTATCTCTTCTCTTTTTCGCTGTGCAACTTCCTCTACTACAATGAAGGCTTCCTCTTTATCGCATCTTGCTCCTCCTGCTCTCTCGGTGTGTTGGTGCCACTGGGAAGGGGCGACTCGCCGTTGGCCAGGACCTGGCCTCTGGGCCGCTCGTTTGGACCCTGGACGTGCCTCCATGCGCCTGCCTCGTGCGTCTCGTCGGCAAAGGCGTGGATGTAATCGCGGAGAAAGTTGCGCCAGGGGGCCTGCGTGGGCACGACGTGGCCGCTCTCGTGCGTCTCGATGCGCGAGTGGGCGCAGGCATCGACGAGCGTCTGGGACCGGTCTGCATCGACGATTTGGTCTGCTCTGGTTTCATTTCACGCCGTGTGTCAGGGCAAGGGAGAGAGAGGGAAAGAGAGAGAGAGAGGCTTAAAAGACTCACTTGCCAAGGACGTGCAGCACGGGCGTCTGGATGCCGCGAAGCCCCTGTGGGCGGCCATCACCGGCGGGGTACATGGCATCGAGTGCAGGGTCTCGCGCACGGAAGCCCGAGACGGCAATGCAGAAGCGGAGCGGGCCTTGCTTTGAGCCGGGAGGAAAGAGGAGCTCGCGGCGGTGAGGCGAGAGTCTCGACGGGTCTTCAAAGGCCGATGCCAGCAGGGCCGCAAGACCTGCGCCTGCACCACGCCACCAATAAAGACAATTACACCCATTCATCAGCAAACCCATTTCCCCCCAAGAAGGATCGGGAGAAGACGCACCTTGGCTGAAGCCAAAGACGCCGTCAAACGGGCCCTTGTCCCTGATCTCGCCGCCGAGGAAGCGCAGCGAGTCGTCGAAGCCCTCGTAGGTGCCGTCGTCGTCATTTGCCCTCCACCATGCCCTCGGTTGCTCCTCCAACGGCACGTCCTCCTCCTTGTCCCGGTCGGCCGAGGCCTCGGGCGTGTCGAGCGGCTGGCTCGAGAAGATGGGCTCGACACGCATGGGCCCATTGAGAAAGACAAAGTCGCACACGTCCCGACAGGCCTTGCGGAGCGCGCCCATGCGGCGCTGCAGCGTGAAGGCATTGGACGTGAAGCCGTGCAGGGCCATGACGCGCAGCTTGCGCGGGGCCGCCGCTCCCGTCGCCATTATATTGGTGGGTGGGAGATGAAATAGCTAAAAGAAAGAAACGAGCTTGCGATGAGCGTGCGTGCGAGCGTGCGCCGGCATTTCTGATTTTCGTAACCTAGAAGAACCTGACCTCCACGCTTCTGAATTCTGGGACCCAACCAACACTGGACAGACGGAATACGCAGAGAAAAGAGAGAGGAACAGAGAGGCTTGACTCGGTGACGCCCTCGATGCCTCCCAAGCGGCTCGCGCGGCTGTCGTCGCGATCGCCTTCTCCTCCCCTCCCTTCTCAACAGCAGCAGTCACGCGCTTCTCCGGCAGCAGCAGGGGCGGCGCCCGCGGCAAAACCGTGCGTGACATGCGCGCGCCAAATCACACCGCGGTCCAAGTGGGCGCGCAACTGGGACGAGATCCGGCACTGCTCGGCCACATGCCGCGCCTGGCGCTCTGTCCTGCCGCTGCCGCGCTTGTCTGCTGTTTCTCTCCCAGCTTCTCCTCTAGCACAGGCACGGGCACGCGAGGACGGCAACAACGGGTGCGAATGGACACGATTCGTTACGGTGGACCACGGAGCGGGGCGAGCGGGGGCAGGCGTATTCGCGTTTGATGCGTGGGTCGAAGCCAACAGCCTCATGGCCTCTCGCGAGGGCAGGCGCACCACGCTCGACGATGTCACGGCGCGCCTTGATGATCAGCTCGGCGCTGACCTACCGCCGGGGGATGCTAGACTGGCGGTGCCATTACTGTTGCGTGGTGGTGGCGATGGCGGCGGCGGCGGCGGTGGCGATGGCAGCAGCAGCAGCAGCGGCAGCAGCAGTAGCATGTGGGAGACAAGAAAGCGCGAGACGGTGAGGCGCGCCGCGAGGCGCCTCGTCATCTTTCCCTTTGCGCACTCGGCCCTCTGCACCTTTCTCAACGCCGAGCAGAAGCGCCGCGAGGACACAGACGAGGAAAGTGCGAGGCAGCTCAGGGTCCTCGCCAAGTCGTTCAGCCTCTGGCAGGGCAATCGCAGGCTCGTGTCGCTCGAGGATGTCAGCTTTGCAAAGGGACCTATTGCGGTGGACCAGGTCAGCGAGTAATGTGAGCATATATCCTTTCACCGTAGCATTGTGCCGTGGTTGTAAAAGTAGCCTTGGCAGTCCGTCTCAATCGATGATAGCACTGCAAGGGCATGGCATTGATTGGTGAAATTAGCGAGAATGAGTAGGAGAAGAAAAGAGAGAGAAAGGGACGGGAGAAAGACAGCTTGGTTTATGATACAGTCTAGTCTATTCGATGGCGCTCACGCAGCCGCGGCAACGGCCCCATAGCGCGCCAGGATGTTGCGGACGTCCCTCTCCTCGCCGTGGCCCCAATCGTCGTCGAGGTCGCATCGGACGAGGTTGGCCACGAGCTTGCCAGCCTGGTAGATGAGAATCGTCGGCACAATGTCCTCGGCCGCCTCGTCGTCCTCGTCCTCGTCGATGCTCTCGTCGGCCCGCCACTGGCCTGCGCCGTTCTGGCCAAAGCCGATGGAGCCGGCACGAACAGAGAGGAACTTGGTCGAGGGGTTTGTGCGCGCAAGCAGGGAGAGGGCCGTCGTGAGCTGTGCGCATGCATGGACGTGCTGGAAATCGGTTCCAGGCAGGAAGCAGTCAGCATGTGGGTCGCTGTGCAGAAGAAGTGGACACAGAGACGAGAGAAGAGCTCACCTTGACGTAGATGTGAACGACGATCATCGTGGCGCCGTTCTCGCCGTCGATGGCCTGTGCATACCCTCCCGGGCCGACCTCGCGAAGATGACCAAAGAGGCCCTTTGGACGCAGGTTGGGCGAGAGGCCTTTTGGCGGGTTATCGACGTCCTCGCCCGCCAGCCTCTTCCGCCGCGCCTCGTTGGACGCGGCCTGAGTCGACTTGATCTCCTCGACGCGCTTGGCACGGATGTCGTCAAGCTCCTCATCGTCGTCGCTCGCGTTTCCCTCGCTGCGCCCACTGCCCCCGCCCGACTCTGCCGCGGCCGCACGTCGCGCCCGGTCCTCGTCGTCCTCCTTCCAGGTCCGGTTCCTGCCAAGGGCCATCGACTCCATGCGCTTGTTGATGCCGTTCACCAGGGCGGACTTGCGCTGCTTGGATGACTCCCGGTACGCCTTCGCATCGGCCTTGACACCCTTGACGCCCGTCTGGGGGCCCTGCGGTCGTGGCTGACCCATCGAGAGACCCAGTGATGAGGGAGCAGCAGCAGCAGCAGCGCCGTGGCCGTCACTCAGGTCAGACCCGAGCTCGTCGGACGTCGACGGTGAGGGCGTGCGGCGCGGCGACGACGAGGAGGCGGGCCCACTTGTGGGCAGGCCCCCGTGGAGAATCTGTTGCTCAAATGCGGTCGCCATTCGTCGTGATTCTCTCGTAGAGATCCTCTTCTGCGAGACTGTGCTGTTGCAGTCGTGTCTTGACGTGACGTGACGTGACGTATCTCGTCGTCGTGTTGCGCTGCTGGTCTCAATGCGATGCGAGATCTACCGATTGCTGGTGGAGGTGAAGAGAGCGAAAGAAAAAAGCGAGAGTGACCAGTCCTATAAAACTGCTGGCTGGAGAGAGGGGAGGAGGAGTGGCGACTTCCCTTTTTCTATAAGAGACTTTGTCGACCAAGACGCTCGGCAAAACAGCGCACACAAGCGGTGTACAGCACAGAAGAGGCGCGGCTCGAGTGCGAAGAAAGTAAGGGGCGAGGCAGCAGCTCAAAGGAGAGAGAGGAAAGGCAGGGGGTGCGCCGCGCTTTGTCTTCGCGAGAGGGCCAAGCTAGTAGTGCAGCCACCGCCTAGTACGTGTGTGCCTTCACTTTATCAACACTTGGAGATACTTTCTTTTTTTCTTTTTTAAGAATCAACGCCATAGCCTAACAAACAGACCGCGTGTTACACTACTGAGTGCTCCTCTATCTCTCTGCACCTCGGCCAATTTATTCTCTAGTTCAATGACATCGAGACTCGCTCGGACCGCGTGTTGGGCACTGTCGTCGCATCTCCACCGGTGATCGGGGAGAGACGCTGCTGGTTACAACGTGTCTCGGCCCGCTTCAATGAAAAGCTTACATGTTTGGAATGAGAATCGGGGCCTCTTCAGACGCAGAGGGCGGACGGCTTTTGGCGCCAGAGGTGGATCTGTGTCACGTGTAAAAGTCGATTTTGAGCTTTGGAAGGTCTCTTGTAGCTCAGCGCACAGTCCTTTTCTCATTCGCACATCTCCCATCTCGCCTCGTTGCCACTTTCACCAGGCGTCTCGCCGATCGGCATCGGACAGTTGACGAGTGTTGCTTCAGCTGGCATCGTGAGCGTCGCGACATCCACGCCTGCGGCTCGAGCCCATCGGTGCGGTCAAGGGAGCCAGCGAACTAGAAGATGTCCGGATTCGAGAAGGAGTCGCTCTCCCTCGAAGAGACAAAGTAAGTGCAGCTGGGGCAGAAGCGCCGCAAAGCGATCTTGAGCTGACCGGTGCCTGTTTCCCCGCAACAGCAAGCTCCGAATTTCGCTTGGCCTCAAGCCGCTGGAGCCTGACTCGGATGATGAGGGTGACAAGAAGGGCTCCGCACCCGCAAAGGCGACCCCCACGGCCGCCGCTGACAACGATGACGACGACGACGATCCGCTCAAGAATCAGGATGAAAAGGCGGAGAGAAATTACGCACGGAGGCAGGAGGAGCTGAGGCGGCAGAAGGAGGAGCAGGAGATCCGGGACCGGATTGCAAGGGCGCAGAACAAGCGCGAGCTGAGCCGCAAACTCAAAGGACCTACGCTCGGCGATGCTGAGCCAACGGAGGGGGATGGGAAAAAGGACGGCGAGACGCTCAAGTGGCTCAAGGCGTCGCGGAAACGGGCAAAGGAGAACGCAGCCAAGCGCATGAAGGAGGAGGCAGAGGAGGAGGCTGCCCTGGCCCGGGCGGCAAAGTACGGGGCAGAGGACCTCAAGGGCCTGAAAGTGGCCCACGATGTTGATGACTTCGACCTCGAGGCGGGCGGTGAGGAGAGGGTGCTCACGCTCAAAGACTCCAAGGTCCTCGACGATGGCGACGACGAGCTCATGGACTCTGTCCTTACGACCGCTGAGCGCGATCGCATCAATGCTGAGCGCAAGAAGGGTGCAAAGGAGTATACTGGCCTGGACGACGATGAATTCGGAATAGACCAGGTGGGCACGAAGAGAGGGGTGCTGAGCAAGTACGACGCCGACATCGGCGATGCCGCACACTTCGACCGCGGTGCTGACGGCAGCTTCAGACTGGGCGGTGGAGGCGAAGACGGCTCCGTAGTCGCCGCCTCTCGTCGGGAGAAGGCTGAGGAGAAGAGACGGGAAAACGACCGGATGTTCAATCGGACGATGCTGAGCCTTGACTACGCCAAGAACAACGAGGTGTCCGACTATCTCCAAGAGGGCGACGTCGGCTTCAAGAAGCCAAAGACAAAGAAGAAAAAGAAGAGAGAGACAGCGAGAGTCAAGCTCGAGGACGAGGACGAGGAAGGTCCAGGCTCTGTTCCTGCAACAAATGGCGACGCCGATGGTGATGCCACGATGGCTGAGGCTTCCTCCTCCTCCTCTGCCGCGCTCACAACGAGGACAGCGCCAAAGACGGAGAACTATATCGACGATGACGAGCTTGCAGTCTCGCTGGCTCGTGCCCGCCGCGAAAAGGCAAAGAAGGCGTTCAAGAAGATCACGCCAGAAATGATTGCGCAGAACATGGCCGCTCAAAGGGAAGCTGAGGCAGCCGAAGAGGCCCAAAGGGCGGCGGCGACTGCCATTGCTGGAGAATCGAGCGAAGGAGCCAAGGGAGAGCAGGGGGAGGGAGGCAGTGGTGGGGGCCTCACGTTTGACGACACGAGCGAATTCGTGAGGAATATCGATGTGGGCCGTCAGAGCAGCCCAGATGCGAGAGCGGTGAGGAGAAGGGCAGGAGGTGTCAAGCGGGAGTCTGCGTCAGCCGAGCCGTCTGTCAAGCTGGAGAACGGTACCTCGGCCCAGCAGCCCGACGACGCCGAAGGACACGTGGATGCTTCTGCGCTGCTGCAGGAACCTACCACGAAGGTCAAGCAGGAGGATGTGGATGAGGAGGACGAAGAGATGGGCTATCCCGACGACGACGGACCTCCGAGCGTCAGCCTGCCAAAATTGGAGGAGGAGGAAGAGGAGGACGACGAAGAGGAAGACGCAGGAAGCACTGCCGAGCCACTCGTGTCAGGCGGCCTGGCCTCGACGCTGTCGATCCTCCGCAACCAGGGTCTGATTCAGGAGGTGACGCCAGAGCAGCGTGCGCGCGAGCAGGAGCAGAAAGAGTACGACCACTGGCTCGCCGTGCGGCGGGCTGAGGATCAGGTCAGAGCAGCCGAGCTGGCCGCGAGCAAGGCGCAGGGCTCGGCAAAGGACCAGGCGACAAGGGAGTACGAGAACCGGCAGAGGGAGCTCGAAGATGCGCGGCGAGCCCAGGACAAGTTCCGCGACTACAAACCCGACATTGACATCAAGTATCACGACGAGTTTGGGCGGGTGCTCAACAACCACGAGGCGTGGAAGCGGCTCAGTCACACCTTCCACGGCCGCATGCCAGGGAAAAAGAAGCAGGAGCAGCGGCTGCAGCGCATCGAAGAGGAGCGCAAGAGGGAAAAGATGCTGGCCGGCGATACCCCAAGCGGCATGACAAAGGCTTTTGCCGAGCGGCAGGAGAGGAGCGGCCAGGCCCACATGGTCCTGGGCGTTGGAGCAAAGAACAATGCGCCGCAAATGATGGATATCCTCGGGCCCAATACCGCCATGAAGCCTGGCAGCAGTGCCGACAAGAATGCCAAGGCAAAGGCAAAGGCAAGGCCGACGGCGGTCTCGACATCGGCAGCCGCGCTGGGGGCTGTAGATGGGCTTGCGGCCGAGGGAGCGAGAAGCTCGAGTGCTGGCATCGCTTCGCTCCCTCGATCCGTCGCTTCACCTGGTCCGACGGGAACTACCTCGATGGCAGCGTCGACGACAACGGCAACGCCGACGATTGGGACAACAAACGGACAAGGGTCCAGGCCGGGCATGCGGCCAGCCTTTGCGCCGGTCAAGACGCTCTCCCCTGTTCCGCCTTCCTCCTCTACATCATCTCCTGGTGGAGGCGTGTCCTCTCCTCTGACAAATGCTGCACAAGGGTCATCAGGCACGGGTTTCAAGCTGGCCCTGAACAGCAAGCGGCCAGCTGTGGGCGGAGGAGCAAACGAGCCGGCTTCCAAGAGGAGGTAGAGACGACTCTGTATTACTACTAGAATTGCCGCTAGAATTGCCATTTTTCAATTGATGAAGAGGGGAGGAGATTGCCCTCCTTTGCAATCTCATCACTGAGGCTCGTCGAGCCACTAGTGTGGGGGAAAAGTACAAGTGTGAGCAGTGAGACTAGTTTGAAAAAGGGCAGACAGGGAGAAGACTCACGTCCAAGAAGTCCGGCGTAAAGTACGAGAGAATGAGCGTAGCGCCGGCCCTGACCATGCTCTGCACGCTCTCTTCAGCCATGCGCCTTAGCTCGTACACGCCGGCCCTGGCGCCGGCGTGGATCATGGCAAATTCGCCCGAGACCTGGTAGCATGCCAGCGGGTGGTCCGGCACGAGCTGGCGGGCGTCTGCGACAATGTCGAGGTACGGCAGCGTGGGCTTGACCATGACAATATCGGCGCCCTCGTTGGCGTCGCGCTGGATCGCGCGACGGGCGAGACCCCGTGCAGTGGGAGGCAGCTGGTAGCATTTCCGATCGCCAAACGACGGTGCACTGTCGACAGCATCTCTGTTGCGCAGTTGTCTTCAGCCATCGGGAATGGAGAGCGCATACATACGTGTTGACACGAGTACGCACCTGAAGGGGCCGTAGAGGCCACTGGCAAACTTGGCACTGTAGGCCATCAGCGTCGCCCGTCCTCCCAGGCCCGCGTCGGCAAGGGCCTGCTTGATGGCCCTGACTCGGCCGTCCATCATGTCGCTCGGCGCTACGCAGTCGGCGCCCGCCCTGGCGTAGTTGACGGCCACCTGGGCAAGGCGATGCACCGAGGGCGTGTTGTTGATAGTACCGTCCTGGTGCAAGATGCCGCAGTGGCCATGCGACGTGTACTCGCATAGACACACGTCACAGGCCACGTAGAGCTCGGGAAAGTGCTTCTTGATCGTCTTGATCGCCTGAATCACGGGTCCTTCCGGATCATCTGCGAGCGTGCCGACAGGGTCCTGTGCGTAGCGCATACTTACACTTAGCTCTCTCTTTTGACCCACGGACGGCAGAGGGAAAAAAACGAGACGAGACGCACCTTTGGCTTCTTCTCCGGAACACCGAAGAGAATGACGCTTCCCAAGCCCTTTTTGACGAGCGGGCCGAGGAAGCCCTCGAGCTGATTGACACCCCACCGCTTCTGGCCGGGCATGCTCGAGAGTTCCTTAGCAGCGTCCGGCTCATCGCAGATGAAGACTGCTTGTCGCGTCAGCCACACTTTTTGCATTTCATGAAAAGGAGCTGGCCTATGAGAGGCGAGGCGCAGCAAGACTCACTGGGGTACATGAACATGGACTTTGTCAAGTTGCGCGATTGCGACTGCCAGGCGCGCGACGTCGGGTGCGCGTAGCCCGCATGGAGCAAGGACCTTGTGATGATGTGTCAGCTTTTGCGCAGCTCCTCCAACGGGCAAGAAGAGTGAGAGAAAGAGGCAAAACCTACGAGATGTTGACGTCGCCCATGGTGATGATGGTTGCTTGCCGCTTTGCCTAGTCACACGCTTTGTCGGACGACTTTCGTGGCCTTCCTTCCTCCGAGTCCAATTCCTCCACCGGAGAGATTTCCCACGTGGACGCGCATGCGCCAGGCACCGACTGGCGAGAAGATGCATCTCTCTATCTCACCCTCCTCAACTGCTTTTCCGACGAGAGTGAAAGGTTGAAAAGATGAAGGCATTTGCGGGCCTCTTGCTGGCCGCTACGGTCGGCCTCTCTCGTGCTGTGCCCAACCAGCTTGCTTTCAACGCCCACCCAGGTGCTGGTGCGCCCGGAGAGGCTGAAACGGCCACCGTCAAGACGCTTCGTCACGCTGGCCTTCCCGCCCACACGCTTCGCTTCGTCGAGCCGCCCGGGTCAATCTGCGAGTCGACAGAAGGCGTGCGCAGCTGGTCAGGCTACCTCGACGTCGACCTCGATGCGCTGTGGGAGCACCAGGGGGGCGACAAGCTCCTCGCCGAGGACTACGCCGAGGTGGACGAAGGCGTGAAGGAGGACCCGCATCCCAAGGGCGTCATCGAGCACTTTTGGTTCTGGGCCTTCGAAAGCAGAAGCGGGAATGCAGCCGAAGATCCCGTAGTCATGTGGCTCAATGGTGGACCGGGCTGCTCGTCGGGCTGCGGCATGCTCATGGAGCTTGGGCCCTGCAATGCCCGGCCGTACAATGGTACAAAGGGGCCCCACACCCGCTACAATGAGTTCTCGTGGAACAACAACGCATCGCTCCTCTTTCTGGATCAGCCTGTGGGCACGGGCTTCAGCTACGCAAGCTGGGCCGACGAGTTGCGCAACACGCAAAAGGACAAGGCGCCCTCGCGCATCTACACGGCAAAGGCAGCCGCTCGCGATGCCAGCGCCTTTCTCCAGCTCTGGGCCCTGCATGCGGCCGATCTGTTTGGCGATAAGAACGGCCTTTCGTCGTTCCACATTGCCGGCGAGTCGTACGCCGGCCGGTGGATCCCTCTGATTGCCAATCAGCTCGTCGAGGACAACAAGGAGGCGATTGCGCACCCGGAGCGTGGCCTCGCCGCTCTTCCCCTCGACTCGGTCCTGATCGGCAACGGAATCACGAGCCCAAAGCATCAGTTCCCTGCCTATGTCGAGTACGCATGCGCAAACACGACGGGCTTCGGCAATTTTGTCGACGAGGCCGAGTGCGACCGCATGTACTCGCGCATCCCCACCTGCCTGAGCCTGGTGGAGAAGTGCAACACGCCGACCAAGGGCTCGCTCCACGACCGCTTGGCCTGCAAGACGGCCCTCGACTTTTGCGAAGAAGCGCTGCAGACGCCCTACTACCATGATGGCCGGTCCTCGTACGACTTTATGCACTATGGCGACTACGAGGAGGACGACTGGTTTGCCCACTTTCTCAATGACACCCACACCAAGAAGGCCCTCGGCGTCGACAAGACGGGTGCCGGCGACGGCCACGACGGCACGTTTGCCAGCTGCTCCGATGACGTCTACAATCGCTTTGCCAAGACGGGCGACGGGGCAAAGGACTCGATGTGGGCCGTCAAGGCGCTCCTCGAGAACGACGTTCGGGTCTTGCTCTACGCCGGCGGTGAGTTCTGTGCCGTGCACGACCTTTGTCTCCGTCTCTTTTCTCGGCCCTCTGCGTCTTTCCCATTCTGACTCTGTCTGCTCGCGTGCACCTTTTTACAGAGCGAGACTTCATCTGCAACTACATTGGCATCCGCAATTGGTCCCTCGATCTCGACTGGCCCGGCCAGGCGGCCTTCCAGGCGCGTGAGCTGGCGCCCTGGCACTCCGAGGGCGTCATTGCCGGCATGACGAGGACAGAGGGCCCGCTGACCTACCTCACCGTGCGCGAGAGCAGCCACTTTGTGCCGTACAGCCGGCCACGCGCCAGCCTCGAGATGTTCAACGCGTGGGTCCACCAGAGGGGCGTGCCCGAGTAGCAATTTCCGTAGTAGAAGCAGCAGCAGTAGCATCAGCAGAAGCAGGAAAGGGACACATGGCAAGCCATTCGAAGACAACGAGGGAAGGTCGTTCGTCGTTGTTCTTTTGTTTAAAAAAAGATAAAATGGAACGAATGTGTGAATTTGGGGAATATTGAAGTGAGAAATGGGACAGAGCAGCAACGATTGTCTATGAAAAGAAGGAGCAACAACGATGTGGTTGGGTGCTGTGCCGAGTATTGGGTCAGAAACTGTTTTGATCGAGTATCTACAGATGTGACAGAGAGATGCGCGCGCGTGTGTGTGTGTGTGCGTGAGAGAGAGAGAGAGAGAGAGGGAAGGCGGCGCCTGAGCGTGCTGGACGAATGGCGAGGTTTCTTCAGAGGATGACAAAGACCGAGGCAAAGACGGCGGCGGCCAGCGTAGAGGCAACGACGAGGGCGGTGTCGTGGGAACGGAGCGAGGCGATGGCAGCGTCTGCGCTGCTGCTCTTGGACGTCGTCGGTGCCGCCGTCGTGGGATTGGCGCCACTCTTGGAAGAGGAGGAGGAGGAGCCCGCAGACGGCGAGGAGCCAGCGACAGAGGACGAAGCAGAGGTGCCGTTGGACGTGGCCGTGGCCGTGGCCCCCTCGAGCGAAAAAGCGACCGAGGCTGTGTTGGCCGGGTCGGCGACAACGAGGATGACATCGGTGTAGCTCTCGATGCTGGGCTGGTTCTGCGACATGGCCCGGAGCGTGTAGTTGCCCCCCACCCACTCGGTGGCGACGATGAAGCTAGCCGAGCCGCAGGTGGTGCCGGCGACGGCAACACCCGCTCCTTGACCTGCATCACAGTTACTCGTGACGCCGGGGACGGTACCAATGTTGTGGGCGACGACGCTCGAGGCATTGGTCATGAGGTCGAGGACGACGTTGCCGTCGGGCGCATTTAGCCAGTTGGCCGTCGCATTCTGCCCGGGCTTCCAGGTGATGGAGCACTGGTAGCTATCACACGAGGGCTCGTTGAGGTACAGGGGCGAGTTGGCGTCCTGCTGCTGACGCGATACGAGGCCCCGGACGGAAGCGGCCGGAAGCAGCAGCGACGAAGCGACGAGCACCGAAGCCAGCATCCTGGGACTCGCTCAGAGTGGCAAATTCGAGAGGAAAGGAGGGGTAGAGTAAGGAAGGGTTGCAAAGAAGAAGAGAGAAAGACAAGGTGCGACAGGGAGAGAATCGAAAAAGAGAAGGAGCGAGGTGGGGTTGGTTGTGAAGAGGAAACAAAGACCCTTGACCAACTGTCAGACGGAGCTCTTTTGTTTGTTCGGAGAGCGGGCAGCTTGCGCGAGCAGCAGAGAAAATACCACACAGGCACGCTACTGCACCCACTTTCTCCTGATGGACCAAAAATAGGACCGACGGCGGGCGCTTACGTAAGAACGGCACAAGTGTTGTTTCTCGCATGACGGGCTTCGCTTCACCGGAATGACTCCGGGCCTCTGTTCGTAGCACTGTGTTCGATCTTGCCGAACCTATCAATGGACCAGATACGCCGCTCAAGGCCTCCGTACGGGGCCGCCTGATGAGGCGTCGTCACGACTGTTCTTCTTTCTCTCTGCCCCTCATGTTATTTCGAAAAAAAGTTGAGATTTCTGTTCGGACGCGTCGTTGAATCTTCTGAGGGTCATCAGTCTTTTTTTCATTTCTTCCCCTCCCCGAGGACGATGATGGCGATGCTGCCCGTGCGTCTCCTTGGACGAGGGCATCCCCTCCGCCTCGTCAGAGGCGCCGGTCTACTGCAGAGGCGTCTCGAGTCGACACTGACGGTGCACCGCCCTCACGAGTCGGCGTCGCGGGAGGTGCCCACGCCGATGCTCGTTCTCACCTCCAAGTCGTGGACGCAGGGGACGCTGCCCAAGCCCGTCGATGTCGGACCGCTCGTGTCGCACTTTACAAAGCACGGATGGAGCGTCATCTCTCTCGACCTGGATCCCGCCCACGGGACAAAAGGAGGGCAGGACCATCTCCTCGACTCGCTCACACAGGAGATGACGTCGAAGCTTGGGTCGCAGGGCCCTCTGCCGTTTCCTCCCCTGCTCGTCTCGACCGGCCTGGCCTCGCTCGCGGCAGAACAATACGTTAGTTCCCACCCGCTCTCTGGCCTGGTCCTGCTCGATCCGCCCCTGAGCCCGCTCAAGGCGCACGAAGCGAACCCAGAGGCACTTCCTGCGCCGTTGGACGACTTTACCTACGAGCCACGCTTTCCCACGCTCGTCGCCTGGTCGCGCGCCGAGTTGGACCGTCAAAGCCAGGCGGGCGTGCCGTGGTGGGAGGCCCACCGGATCGAGATCCTGCTCGAAGAGGAGGCCGGCGAGAGCCTGGACAGAAAGGTGTACGACATGGCCGACGAGGAGGGCGCCGCGCTGCAGATCAGAACATGGGCAGAGCAAGAGTGTGGAATGTGAGTATATGCCATGTGAGTGATTGTCTGCCTTGTCAATTTCCACCGCTCTTCTCGTGTCAGCATTGAAAGCTGAAGCTCTGATGACTTCCTCTTCAGTGGCGCAGCGAAGGAGGAGGGGCAGGCAAAGATGGAGGAAACGGACGAATTGGACGAAGAAGAGGAGGATGACGGCGAGGTTGCCACTGCCAGTCAGAGGGACGCTGGAATCCTTCCAGAGTGGTTTACTTCGGGAAACTATCAGTGGAATCCGTCAGGATCGAAAAAGGAGCCGTTGCTGCTCGACGACAAGGACCTTCAGGAGTACTTTATCCGGGGTTCAGGTCCAGGCGGCCAGGCCATCAACAAGCTCTCAATATGCGTAGTACTCCGACACGAACCGACGGGGACCAAAGTCAGGTGCCAGGAGTCGCGATCAAGGGAGACCAACAGGGGATTGGCGAGGCGCTTGCTCAGCAGGAAGATCGATCTTCTCCTCCGAGGCCCGGATAGCGTCGAGGCGCAGGACCAGCTTCGGCGAAAAAAGAAGAAGCTGAACAAGAAGAAAAAGATGATCAAGCGGAGGCTGGAGCAGGGCGTCGTGCTGAGGCAGAAGCATCGCGAATTCCTTAAAGAGCATGACAATGACTCGGAATGAAACAAGTGCAAAGCCAGATTTACAAAGGAAGATGGGACAGCCGCGGCTCTTCATGTTGCTCCTACTTGCCTGACACATCTGCAGAAAAGGCCTTGAGGTCGTCCAGGTTGATCTTGCCCAGGGCTTGCTGATGCGTGGACTCGAGCATGACTCTGAGAGAAGAAGACGTCAGCTACAGAGACGCTCCTGGGAGAGAGAAAGGGAATGCTCACCGTGGAACGGCTTCCTTTGAGATCTCGCCTCGCTTCCACGCGTCGAAGCTCTCCTTCCAGCGGCTCGCACAAAGGCACCACTTGCATCCTCCACTCAGGATCGGCCTCAGGTCGTTTCCCCGTTCGGCACTGAACCGCAGCCAGTCGTCTGAGACAACGGCTGCTACCGTGTGCGAGCCCGTGTCGGCAGGCGACGTGTTGCAATAGCTGTCGCGGAAGAAGCCCGTGAGCGGCGATGTGCTGCAGGGCTGCAGCTGCTTGCCCAGCACATTGACAGAGGGTGCCATCGACATGGCGTCCTCGCCCTTGTCACGATTACTGCTGCGCCGCTGTTGCTTGCTGCTCGTGAGCCGGCGGAGGGTAGCTTCGTCTAGGTGGTGCGCCCGTCGGGTGTGCGTCTGAGCAATGGAGCCAAGGACTGCGCGCGCCAAGCGAGAGAGAAGCTTAGTAGCGGTTATAGAAGACGGCGGAATGATGGCAGCTTCTTTACTCGGGTGAGACGGGTGTGCTACGATGCAGAAGGCGGTAGATAGACGCACCACAGCTAGGGTCTAGTTGCTTTGGCTGGTGGAGGTTTGGTGCACGGACTGTTTCGTCATTGGCCTGTTTTTGTGTCACCGTGACAGATTTGTTGTAGGTGACGTATGGGCTGACATGAAGGTGAGGTAAGGACGAGACACGACGGGGTCTTGAATGTGCATCCGATGGGTGTCAACGTCAATCTTCGGATGCGACTTGTAGATGTCCGATTGGGGAATTTATAAATGGATGGACAATGCACAGTTGATCTTTTCATCCATCATCCTCGTCCCACATTCTTCAGTAAAGACACGCAAACACGATGGGCAAGCCAGACGAGGAAGTCATCGAGGTGAGCTACGGCTGTCTGGCCGAGTGTGGCGCACAGGTAGCTAACTTTCGTCGCAGGAGTTCAATGAGCTCGTCAACATGAGCGCGTCGGAGCTCGAGAAGTGGCTCAAAACTGACAGCTCCGAGAGCTCGGGCTGGGGCGACGGCGACGAGACCGTCGGCCACGAGAGGTTAGTGGTGGATCCGCCCATTGAGTCAAATGAGAGTCAAAGCAAAGCTGACCCATCCACTTGATTCCTTACAGCGGTCGCAAGATCGTCGACATTCTGAAGCGAAATCCGAAGAAGGACCCGTCAAAATACACCGAAGAAGACATTGCGCACATGCGCAAGGTTGTCTCGTACAACAAGCGCCATCTCGCCCAGGGTGAGCTCCGTTGTGCTCTTTGACAGAATTCTAGAAGCATAGCTGACGAATGTATTTTGGCTTTGCCAGAGGAGAAGATGAAGGACACAAAGAGCAAGGAGGAACTCGAGCAGTCAAAGTCGGTCCGCAGCCTGCGCAATTGGGGCCACGACCCTCTCAAATACTAGGAATCGGAACTTTTTCGAGCTTCTCACCTTGTGCTGTGCGTCGAATACATTGCATGAAAGGAACTAGGTGCCAGTCACTATTTTCGCTCTGTTCCCTCGCCGTGCTCGAGGTCAGCGTCCGGCTCGCTCGTGGAACGCATGACTCCCTTGCCTCTTCTAGACGGTCTTGGGAAAGACTTTTTAGCTTGAGAGCGCTCTTAGCTTAAGAAGACAAGCCTGGCCTTTGGTCCCACACGTTGCTAATAAGTACATCCGTGGAATATGGGCCGAGAGGCTATCGAAGCCCGGCTGCGCGGGGGGTTCAGATCGCCTAGCTCTCCCTGACGGTTCCTAAGTACGCTTTGTAGCGTAGAACATCTTGCAGAAAAAAAGAGAACTGGGCTCCGCAAATTAGCGCGTATTTTCAATCGTTAAAATAGGGCATGAGAATAAAGCGCCGCGCGGAGTTGTAGCAAACAACACCGCCAATTCTCCCCTTTGTCCCGAACCAAAATCGGTGAACAAAGGATTAGCTGGATGGTGCGGGGGGGCCTCCAGCGTGCGCCCGCACCCTATTCCTTTTGTCTGTCGGCGGCGGAGCCCCGCCTCTCCTCTGACCGGCTGCTTGTCAAGTGACTGGGATAGGAGAAGGCTGCCTTTGTCCCATCCCTCTTTTCTGTAAAAATAGGACGTGTCCCGTCAGTTGAGATTCCTCATTCACCTCGCTCTCCTCCCTTTTGTGAGATCAAGACACAACTTCTATCGAGGATCGAAATCGGGACTCCCCGCTGTGCCTGATTTGCCAAACAGGACTAACAAAGACTTCTCGAACGAGCGAGCTTCTCTTGCTTCCGTGTCGACCACCGTCTAACGGCGACGGCCAAAGCATCCTACCATAACTTCTCTTTTTCTTTCTTCACTTGAGAGCTGGCTCTCTCTCTCTCTTTAACGACCCCATCATGAAGACATTTTTTGATGCGACAATCGCTCTTCTCACGCTCGCGTGGGCCCTCGTCAGCCTGGCGCTGGCAGCTCCGGCGCCCACGGAAACGCGAGACACTCAGACGAAAGCGCCGCAGGAAGCCCTCGATATCAACATTACGCCCGCTCAGATACAGCAGCTGGGTCAAATGGGATATTCCCCTGCCCAAGTCATTGCTGCCGTCTTCAAGTACCTGCAGAAACAGATATCCAACTACGATCCCTCCTCGTCCAGTGGGAGCAGGGTGGGGCACGTCGAGGCGGCGGATGGACGGCGACGCGGACAGCATGCAAAGGATAAGGGAGGTCGTCAAAAGAAGGCGGAGGAGCAGTCTGGCGGGAAAGGAAGGAGCAAAAATAAAGGAAGAAAAGGCCAGAAGCTGTTCCAGTCGCAGGGATCCAAGAGCACTTGCCTGTCTCATCACAAACAGACTGGTGACGAGGGTAGCACGAAAGGGAATGAGACGGGAAAGCAAGGACAAGGAGACAAGAGTGCGAATGGTACGTCTACCAGTAGTGCGTCGTCTTGCTTCCCAGCGCTTGGCTTCCAAATGCCCGATGACGTGCCTGTCGACACTGATGGTTGGTGGTGCGATCCCAAAACGGAGTACGCTTTCTTGGGGTTCTCATACGAGGTATGGAGGACGATGAAAAGCCCTGACCCACCGTAAACTTACCACTTAATGTTGTCCCTCTCCAGGTTTCAGCTTGCCAGTCTGCCGATCAGCTGAAGAAGGAATTTCAAGATGCCCGGGATCGATTTCAGTCTCGCTACATCCGCCTCTACGGCGCCTGTGATCGCGATGGCTTCTACGATGACGTAATCGAGGCTGCTTGGAGCGCCAGTGTGGGCGTCCAAGCTCTCATTTGGTTCGGCTTTGACGGTGATGACAAGTGGAAGAGCCGCCGGGACGATTTGCTCGACACCCTGTACTCGAATCCCAAGGCACCCTTCGTCACGAGAGGTGTCCAATTCGGTTCGGAACCCCTCTACGACCAGGTTCTTCCCCCTTCTCAGCTCGCCAGCCAGGTCAGCGACGCTCAGACCACGCTACGGCCCCTGGGTATCAATGTGACTGTCTCCGATCTGGCCTATGGCTTCCAATCGACAGCCGATCAGGGCAGCCAGAAAGTGCTGGACCAGATCGACTTTATCGATGCCCACATGCTTCCTTACTTCTCCCAGCACGCAAGTACGGGTGATAAGGCCTGGCCCGATGTTCAAAACGATCTCAACTAGTTGAGTGACATCGCGCACTTCTCCACTACCCCCAGTGTGACTAACATCATCGTTCCCATAGCTTCCTCGACAACGGAAAGGGAAAGAAGATCTACTTTAGCGAAAACGGATGGCCATCCAGTGAGCAGCAGCATACAGTCTTTCTGCCGAGGGGCGAGATCGGTTCACTGACCCGGTGTTATGTGTCCGCCAACCAGCCCATTACTGTCCCGGTGTTTGTCCTAATTCGCCAGATGCAGTGTCAAGCGTTGACAGCGAGGACAAGTACTATAAGCTGCTTGACTCAAAGTGCGAATACCTCAAGCAGGTCAACGGAGGCGGTGTAGGATGGTTCGCTCGTGAGTGGGATGTAGCGCTTTGACAGATCAATGTCGTGGAACTCATGTAGTCCTCCTGTTTTGCTTTGCAGACATCTACAGCGACAATCAAGAGCCAGGTGAGTAGTAATACGAGCAGGGCTTACAATATGTGTGGGTGAGGCTCATGCGTGTCTTTCTAGGGTACGGCATCTACGACACCAACATGAAGCTCAAGGTTAGTCTGTCTTCAGCGCCTACTGTCAGACACACTAGTTCCTGATCTTCTTCACGCCAGTTTGACTTCTCTCCCAAGACGAGCTGCTGAGATTTGTGTCCCCAGTCTTTCTATGTTGATTTTTCTGTTTTCTTCTTGGCTGAGGTAGTAGCAACGAAAATAAATTTGTTGATTGGTGTTGAAGGTTTCTCTTGTTTCTTAGCTATTGACACCTGTTCATGCTCCTTTTCTTGACGATGCATCTCTCGCATGCAGCCCGCCCCGGGGACCTTCCCTCCGAGATCCTTTTAGGGATCGAGCGAATGAGGGAAAGAGTTGTTCTCCCGCTGCTCGTCCCATTTCGCCAGCCACTCATCTGTGGCCGAAACAAATAACATCAGCTTCGCTTACTTCATAGGCTGCCAAGCACGAAGAGACCCACTGGGGCAGAGAGAGTGGTATGCGCGGTAGAACTGCTTGCAGGGCGTGAATTCCTCGCCCTTTGCATTGACGCACTTGTAGTAGTCGACGTAGCTGAGACATAAGGGTTGTCATGAGCGAGAGTAGAGCTGAAAAGTGGGAAAGCAATCTTCAACTCACTTCTGCCAGCTGTGGGAAGATAGAGATAAATGGAGGTAAGAAGCGGCCAAGTCAGCAATAATTCTCGGGAAGCGATGGATCGAAGCGCACCAGTGCTTGGTTTGGTTCTGATTTGCGGTACCGAGAAGTCAGCGAAGATGATGGAAATAAAAAGAACCCAGTTCCAGCGCTTGCTCACCTGGTTGGGGAACCTAGCATCAAATGATGCGGCTGTAGACGAGGAGAAGACCGTGTCAGAGCGCCTCCTCAAGCTGACAAATGGTCGCTGCCCGCTCTTTGCACCATCTGGCACCTAGAGGCGTGAGAGAGGACACTCACTCTGCAGGGTGAAAGACCTTCCTCCTTCGGAATCGGACATGGCTGCTAGTTTGGGCTAGTGCAAAAGAAGACGAAGGGCGAGAAGGGAGAGCTAGCGGTCGGCTGGAGACTGGCGATGAGAAGGCGGAGCGTGTCCTCCTCGCCCACGCATCTTCTGCCGGACGCTTCCGTCGTCACGTGTTGCTCCTCTGATTTTGGCTCTTGCGAGTCAACTTTGATATCCTTCTTGCGCACTAAGTCCCCTCCTTCTCGTTATATGCTCTTGAGGGTTTCCGGTCTTTCTTCACGCTGGACGGCCGTTGGATGGACAAAGACACCGTTTCTGGCTAGAGGGAAGTATACTTGCAATATGGCCGCTGCTTCTACCACGACGTCGCAATTTGGCGATTGGCCCGCCGTCAAAGTCCGAGAGACCTTCGTCGGTTACTTCAAGGAGAGGGCCCATACGTTCGTCCCCAGTAGCTCGACGATTCCTTACGAAGACCCGACTCTTCTTTTTGCCAATGCCGGCATGAACCAGTACAAGTCCATTTTTCTCGGTTTGGCATCGGACGATTCGCGATTGGGCTCGTTGAAGCGCGCCGTCAACTCGCAAAAGTGCATTCGTGCCGGTGGAAAGCACAACGATCTTGACGACGTCGGCAAAGACACCTACCACCACACCTTCTTTGAGATGCTCGGAAATTGGAGTTTCGGTGACTACTTCAAGAAAGAGGCAATCACGATGGCGTGGGAGCTTCTCACGAAGGTCTATGGCTTGCCTCCGGATCGCCTCTATGTTACATACTTTGAAGGAGATAAGAAAATGGGTCTTGAGCCAGACACCGAAGCTCGAGACCTGTGGCGATCTGTCGGCGTGGCAGATGACCATCTTCTCACGGGAGACTCGAAAGACAACTTCTGGGAGATGGGCGCAACGGGTCCCTGTGGCCCCTGCAGCGAGATCCACTACGACCGCATCGGAGGACGTAACGCGGCCCATCTCGTCAACCAGGACGACCCTGACGTCCTGGAGATCTGGAACAACGTCTTCATGGCCTACAACCGAGAGCAGGACGGCTCTCTCCGACCTCTCCCCGCCAAGCACATCGATACCGGCATGGGCTTTGAGCGTCTGGTTTCGGTGCTGCAGGACAAGCGGTCCAACTACGACACCGATGTATTCCAGCCTCTTTTTGCAAAGATCCAAGAACTGACCGGTGCCCGTGCATACGAGGGCAAGCTTGGCAAGGATGACGTCGACGGCATTGACACGGCTTACAGAGTCGTGGCCGACCACGTCCGAACACTCACCTTTGCCATGAGCGATGGCGGCGTACCCGACCGTGACGGACGAGGGTACGTGCTCCGGAGAATTCTGCGAAGAGGCACGCGATACGTTCGCAAGTACTTCAACGTTCCTATCGGTCATTTTTTCAGCGAGTTGGTCCCCACACTCGTCGAGCAAATGGGAAGCTTCTTCCCAGAAATCACCAAGAGGGTCGACGAGATCAGGGCAATTCTCAACGAAGAAGAAGAGTCATTTGCCAAGACGCTGGACCGCGGTGAGAAGCTCTTTGAGACATACGCCAGCAAGACTCAAGAGGCCAAACAGAAGGAGCTTGCCGGTGGCGACGTCTGGCGACTGTACGATACGTATGGGTTCCCTGTCGATCTGACGAGGATCATGGCAGAGGAAATCGGGCTGGGTGTCAATGAGAAGCAGTTCGAGGAGGCACAGGCGGCAAGCAAGGAAGCTAGTAAGGGACAGGGCAAGAAGACTACGAGCGAGATGCCCAAGCTGGACGTCCACGACCTCGGTCATCTCGAAAAGGACAGTTCGATCCCCAAGACAAACGACGATGCCAAATTCTCGACAGGAAATGTTACGGCCACGGTCAAGGCCATCTACCAGTCGGGCGGCTTCTATCAATCGTCTGACTCCCCCAACGTGGACAAGGAGAAGCCTCTTGCTATCCTCCTGGACAAAACGAACTTTTACGCAGAGGCTGGCGGTCAGCAGGCGGACACGGGTAGCATCGTGATCGACGGAAAGAGCGACTTCCAGGTCGAAGACGTGCAGAGCTTCTCGGGCTACATTCTCCACTCGGGCTTCTTCAAGTACGGCGATGTCAAAGTGGGCGACGAGGTTGTGGCAGGCTACGACGAGCTTCGGAGATGGCCGCTGCGCAACAATCACACAGGCACCCACATTCTCAACTACGGTCTCCGAGAGGTGCTTGGTGACCATATTGACCAGCGTGGCTCCCTTGTGGCCCCCTCGAAGCTCCGCTTCGACTTCTCCCACAAGCAGGGCGTCAGCGTGGCTGAGACGGACCGGATCGAGAAGATTGCAAATGATTGGATCAACAAGAATGTCGCAGTGTACTCCAAGGAGATGCCCCTAGCCGAGGCGTACAAGATCCCGGGCGTACGCGCCGTCTTTGGCGAGGCGTACCCGGATCCCGTCCGTGTCGTCACACTCGAGTATGACGTTTCGGATATTGCAAAGGACGTCGAAAACCCTCGATGGAGGAACACAAGCGTAGAGTTCTGTGGAGGTACGCACGTTGCCAAGACGGGTGATATCAAGCGCTTTGTCGTTGTCGAGGAGGGGGGCATTGCAAAGGGCATTCGAAGAATCGTTGCCGTGACAGGCGAGGAGGCTGCCAAGGTGCAACGTCTCGCAGACGAGATGGAGGCTAGGATCGCCAGAGTGGCTGCGCTCAAGGACCGCAACGCCAAAGAGGGCGAGCTCAAGACGCTGTCGCAGGACCTCAACAAGGCCGAGATCTCCATCGTTCGCAAAGCGGCGCTGCAGGAAGAGTTTGCCAAGGTCAAGAAGGCGCACGATGCAGAGGCCAAAGCGCTGCAGGCCGCCCAGGGAAAGATTGTCACGGAGCATATTGAGTCGTACTTCCAAAAGAACCCGGACGAGACGTACCTCGTGCACCACTATGAGGGTTTGGGTGCCAACACCAAGGCACTGCAGCAAGGCGTGAATCTGGCCAAGAAGCTGGGCAAGGCTGCTTACCTCTTCAGTGCCGCCGACGAGACCACGGACGAGAAGGCTGGTGACGGTACGTCGACCAAGGCTAAGGTCGTCCACATGAACTTTGTTCCGCCACACGACCTCGAAAAGGGCTTGGACGGACGGGACTGGGCAGAGGTTGTGAGCAAGAGCATCGGAGGCAAAGCTGGTGGAAAGCGCGAGGGCGCACAGGGCGTTGGCCAGGAAGCTGGTCTGGCACTCGAGGACGCTATGGTTGCGGCGAAGAGGTGGTATCAGCGAGACGCCATCGAGAAGCCTCTGATGCCAACACAGTAGATTTCACTAGATCGCTCTGCCCTCTCGCAGCCAAGAGAAAAGAATGTATAAATCCAGTTTCTTCTCATTCCAGAGTGTCAAAGTATCCGAAAGGGCTAGAAAAGCCATAGAAAGTAGACAAATTAGAAAGTGAGCAGGCCGCGTTGACGAGCACCGAAGACGATCGAGATGAGCAAGACGATGATGGCGAGCTTGGACCTCAGAGAGCGGCGCGGCTCTTATCGTGAAGCAAATATATGAGAGTGTGAGCATGTTGAAGATGAGGAGGAGAAAGAAAAAGAAGAAGAGAAAAAGCTCAGCGATACACTCAAATGGACCAAGACGAGCACTTCCAGGGGGAAGCGCGAAGACGGAAGAAGAAAAGAGAAAATTATAAACTCACCCTGGACGGACTCTGATGAGGGTTCGTCGGCCGGCCAAAGTTGATGCTCTTCCCTGACAAGAGCTTGAACTTGGCCAGATCCGAATCACGCAGGGGCGGGTAACGCATGCTCATGACCTTTTCAATCGCGAAGCCGACGACGCCCTTGGCGGGTGCATTGAGCGTGGCACGGTCGTGGGAGAAGGTGTCGAAGCCAGCCTTTCCGTGGTAGTTGCCATAACCTGAGGGTCCGGTGCCACCGAAAGGAAGCTCGGCGACGGCAAAGTGAAGCAGCGTGTCATTGACAACGGCGCCGCCCGAACGCGTGTTGTCGAGGACCTTCTTGGCTTTCTTTTGGTCACCGAAGTAGTAGAGGACGAGGGGCTGGTCGCGGCTGTTGACAAAGTCGATTGCCTCGTCGATGTTCTTGACGGTGCAGATGGGCAGCACGGGACCAAAGATTTCACCGCTCATGGTCGAGTCATCCTGGGGCGCATCGGCAATGATGGTAGGGGCCAGGTACTTTGTCGATTGGTCGCCGTCGCCACCCAGGACAACCTTACCCCGGGTACCGGTGACCATCGAGTTGATTCGCTTCCAGTGGCCGTCGTTGATGATCCGGGAGAAGTCAGCCGACTTGGCCGGTCCATTGGGGAAGAACTCCTTGCTGGCCTTCTTGAACTCCTCGACGAGCTTCGTCTGCACGGCGGGCGTGCACATGATGTAGTCGGGCGCGATGCACGTCTGGCCGCTGTTGAAAGTCTTGCCCCACAGGACTCTTCGTGCCGTCTTTGCCAGGTCGGCCGTCTCGTCGATGATGGTAGGCGATTTACCGCCGAGCTCAAGAGTGACGGGGCAGAGCCACTTGGCAGCTTTTTCAGCCACGATGCGGCCAACGGTACCATTGCCGGTGTACATGATGTGCTCCCAGCGCTGGTCCAGCAGCGCTGTGGCTTGGGGAATGCCGCCATTGACGATGCGCGACGTCTCGGGGTCCATGTACTTGCCCCACAGCTCAGCGATAAGCTTGGCAGAGTGAGGAGCCACCTCAGAGGGCTTCATGACCACGCAGTTACCCGCGGCAATGGCGTAGATGACGGGTGAAACCTGCACGTTCAAGGGGTAGTTCCAAGCGCCCAGTACGAGGACGGTGCCCTTGGGCTCCTTGCGGACGGTCGGGTAGTGCATGGGCCAAGCCATACCGGCCCAGACGCGCTCAGACTTGGCCCACTTGTCGAGATTTTTGATTGTGTCGACGATTTCGTTGACGACGAGCATCGTCTCACCAAAGACGGAGTCGAAGCGCGAACGACCGAGGTCCTTTTTGAGTGCCTCGACGAGGAGGTTCTCGTTGTCCTTGATCATGAACGCCATCTGCTTGAGCTGGTTCTTGCGATACTCTATGCGCGACAACACGGTCAGCTGCCAAGGCAACTATTACTGCACGGCGACGAGTCATCACTCACCGAGATCACGAGTCTTGTGGGTGAGAAAGACCTTGCGGAGATCGGCATTGATCTGGGGAATCTCTTCGACGGTGCTGTAGACCAGCCCGGCTTGTTCTTGGGGAGTAGCCATCGTTGGTGTAGGTGCTTCCTGTCGATCCGTTGAGCGTGGAGTTCAGATGGAAGGAGGTGGCAAAAGGGAGGGAATAGAGGATCAGATCTTGCTCGCTCGCTCTCTCCGTCTGGGGAAACGATTGACTTATCTGCCTTCCCATGCCCCTCCATAGCTAGTCTCCTCGCTCGGGCTCTCCTTTTCTCTTGCAAAAAGCCATTTGAAAGGGCTGATTCTCGTTTTAGCGTCCAATGCTCATGACAAAAGTTTTTTCCGCACCTCTTGCAGGAAGGAAGACCGTGGAAGAGAAGGGCTCGCTCGGTGACGGAATTCCTCCACACCGAGGGGGTTACAAACACACACACAAAAAAGTTGAGGCCGTTCCCCTCTCCAACCGCCGAATAAGGACAAGGCTGCGGGGAGAGGTAACGCGAAGGGCTTACTGTGGGGGGCTTATGACGACTAAAGCGCACAGACTTCGGCAAATCATTGCGACGACTGACCCACAGCAAGCGCTGTCCATCCAACGAGAGCTCGCGCCGCTGGTCTGCATCCCACCATGGCCTTGCCTCGCCCGTTCGTCGGACAAACTCCGCATCCTCGCGCTCGATGTGGCCTACTCCGACAGCCTAATCGTGGGCAGCGCCGTCCTCTGGGACCCGCAACGGCATGAAGTAAGCTGGCAGTCGATGCGGAGCAGCACCACGCCGGCCTTTCCCTATGTACCCGGCCTTCTAGCCTTCCGCGAGATTCCCACGCTGTACCCGCTCATCGATGAAGCTCTCGCGCACGCGTGTCCAACCGGCAGAGACGAAACGGGAGAGAGCCCCTCGATCGTGCTGCTGTGCGATGGGCTTGGCATCGCGCATCCGCAGGGGCTCGGCCTCGCCTCGCACTTGGGCCTCATCTACGACCTGCCCTCGATTGGGACGGCCAAGAACCACTTCTGGGGTACCTACGACGCCGCCTCGCTCGGCTTCCCGCGCGGATCACGCGTTCTACTGCGAAAGCCCTCCGAGGAGAGCCAACAGGCGGAGCAGCAAGTGGGGCCGGAGCAGGAGCAGGAGCAGGAGCAGGAGCAGGAGCAGGAGCAGGAGCAGGAGCAGGAGCAGGAGCAGGAGCAGGAGACGGTGACAGCGCAGCCGGACGAGGCGATGGGCCACGTTCTCCGAACGCAAGACGGCATCAACCCCATCTTTGTCTCGCCGGGCCACCGCGTCTCGCTCGACGAGGCCGCCGATGTTGTCCTTTCGCTTTGTTCAACGTACCGGCTCCCCGATCCGATTCGAAGCGCAGACCACATTGGCCGAATAGAGCTTCAGAGATTGGAGAGAGAGAGAGGCCAGCCATGTAAGCAGAGTGACAGATGATGCTTGTGATATCATTACGGTTCCCCGAGAGATTGAAATAAGAGAGGCGAGATAGAGAGATAGAGAGAGATAAAGCGAGGAGCGACGTCTAGATAGATTGAGAGGAGAGTGTGCAGGAGTGAAGGGGGAGAATGCGCCGAGATGGGTAAAGTGTATCCGGAGTGGGCATGGCGAACTATTAGTGTCACCGTTTGGCAGCCGGGGCAGAGGTGGAACGAGCAATGGAGCCGCCAGCGGGGCCAGTCGGTCGACCTCGTCCGCCCATGCTGGTCCTGACGAGCTTGGAGGCCTGGCGCGATAGCTTTCGAACGTCGCCGTCCTTGAGCTTGACGGTAAATGCGCAACCCAGCACGTTGTCGGGCGACATGAGCTGCAGCGGTGGGTGCAGGAGCATCCTCAACGCTTCCGCGTGGCCCGGGCACTGCTTGCGATCCATCAGAGGTTCTCTGATGATGCGCACGATGGCGAGGCCCACTCTCTGGATCCATTGGGGCCCCTCGAAGAAGAAGACATCCCAGACGCGCATGAGCGTGTCCCACGGCAGGATGCGCACAAAGAGGGGGAGGAACCACGAGGGTGTAAAGTGGATCGGCTCGATGCCCAGCTCGATGAGCCGCTGTGCCAGCTCGGGATCCATGCTCTGCAGCAGCTGGCCCAGGACGATGCCGTCGACGTGGAGCTGCTTGAGATCGTTGCCATAGTAGCCCTCGACGTGGACATCGCGGAGCATGGCACAGAAGAGCCAAAAGGCCTCTTCGGCCGGCATCTGGATAAGGAGCCAGCCAACAATGAGGCCCATGCCCTGGGTGTAGCCGACGGTGGGGTTGTAGTGGACGTAGGCCTTGAGGATTGCCTCGAGATCCGCCTTGCCGCTGCTCTCCTCGCCTCGGAAGAGACGATGATCAGGGAAGCACCGGTCCAAGTCCTTTTCGATGGACTCGTAGGCGGCTTCCTTTCCCTTTCTCACCTTTGGCTCTTGGCTCTGCTTGCACAGCTGCTCAAACAGCCCAGGCCTTCTCCTGGTCGAGGCATTGGCCAGGAAGAGCCAGACGCTCTTTCGCATCGACTGCGGGATGCCAGCGTGGACGAGCTTCTTGACCTTGCGGCTCTTTTTCGCCCCGGCCAAGTCGTTTTCCTGCAGGATGCCCTGCCACTTTTCCACGGCCTCGTGGTCCTCGACCGGCGGTTTGTAGGGAACGCCGGTGCCAAGGTAAAAGCCGAGCGCATCTACGGGCGCTCGGTCGTCTGGCACAGCCGGACCCGGTATCGCGAGAGAGTGAGGAGCCAGGCCAGGCGAGGTGGGCGAGAGCATCGGTGAGCCGCGAGCACCTGGCAGGGACATTTGCGCAGACATGGGTGACGGCGCAGAGAAGGGGCTCGGACTCCTCGACGAAGGGGACGTCCCGCTCCCGCCACCCGGAGGACCGGGAGAGAGACCAAAGACGGTAGACATGCCACCGTGGGCGCCAGGCTGGGGGTTGCTGGGGTTCTTTCGCAGTTGCCCACTCCCAATCCTTTCCCGCTGGCTCGACCGGTCCGACGAGGATCGGTGAGGCGCAAAGCCCGGCGATGGCGGCCCGCTCCCTGGTCCGCCCTGGGCAAACGGCAGCTTCGGCGAGGGTAGTGGCTGGTCGACAAAGCTTCGTGGCGAAGGCCCTGGTGGCATTGCCTCTGGCGCTGCACCCAGGTGCGGTGGTCGCTGCGCAGTTGGGCTCGACATTGACGTCGATCGCCTGCGTGCTTCGTTGGGCCTTTGCTGCTGATGCAGCTGCGAATGGATCGAGGCCGGAGAGCCAGAAGGTCCTGGTGGGCCAGGAATGAACTGGCCAGGCGCGCCAATCTGGCCCGGTGCACCCATCGGTGGGCTGGCGACCCGACTGAGGAGCTGAGGAGGCACCGGCTGCCCTGGCCTCGGAGGACCAGTGGTGGGCATTGGGGGCATGTTGCCGCGTTGCATTGGCCTGTTAATGGGTGCCGAATTACCGATCGAGGGTCTTCTCTTCGGGTCAAAGCTCCCGAGCCCTGCTCCTCCTCCTCCACTACCACCTCCTCCCGCAGAATGCGTCGATCCAGAAGAGTCCCTTTGACTCATGCCCCCGCTGAAGCCCTGGCGAGGCGGTGACGAGGTCGCACTGCTGCTGGCTTCCACCTTGCGACGCAGTGTCGAGGCTGCGCCCGCTCCCGTGGGAAGCGGCGCTGCCGATGGTCGCCTGCCCGAGGGCGTGCGAAGAGCAGCGGGGATCTGCATCCGTCCCGCTTCGTTCGACGCCATGCCGGCTGCGTCAGACGCCGTCTTGTTTGATGTGGGCGTCAGGTTGCGTGCACCGTTGGCCAGTGGCGACGACGGCGCGATGCGAAAGTTAGGGTTGCCAATGCTGTTGCCAGACATGTTTGAGGCCCGGCTGGAATTCAGGCTCTCCATTGACATGTTCGAGGCGAGGACACGGCCGCCGGGCGACTTGCGAATGTTGAGCTCCCGAAAGTCAAAGTTGGGAAAGGCAACGCTATCTCGCCCGTAGACGTCGTAGATCGAGAAGGTCTGATCGCGTCTTCGGTTGTGTGGGTCGTCGTCGGACTCGGACGTGTTTGTCGTGTCGATCGACGAGGTGGTGGAACCATGGCCAGGTCTGGTGCCATTGTTGTTGCTGGAGTGAAGCGCTGCCGCACCCGCTTGGTCCCGGGCATTGATGGGCGATTCGGCCGAGGAAATGGGCGACGGTGGCAGGTGCGACGTCTTTTGCGCCGTACCGGACTTGACGCCGCCCGTGTCGAGCTTGGCCGGTGGGGCAGCCTGGACGGAGCCTGCGCTGCTGGCCACGCTTCCTGAGCTTGCGCGAGCCCAGGGAAGCATCGTCTCCGAGTCGTCAGAATCCATGGAGTCGCGCTGCTTCCGGCTGTTGTTGCGCGCGTGGCTCTCGTCCGAGAGGGGAGGCGTGGCCACTCCCAAGCGTCCGCCGGCATTGGCATTGGCAGCCGCCGTCGCCGCAGCTGCCTTTGCGTTCCCAACCGCCCTTGCAGCCGCACCAGCAGCAGCTGAACGGCCCTCCTGCGCCGCTGCGCTTCTTTCCCCCTTTATTGCCGACCCGCCAGTGCTGTGGTTGTGGCTGGACGAGTCGCCCATCTGGCTGATCTGAACGCTGTGACTGTCAATTGACATGCCTTCCTCCTCTCCGTCCGAGTCGACGGCGGTGACGGGGATGCCGAGGGGCACCTGCGATACGTGCATTGTCGCCGCCTCAGACTTGCTCATCGGCCGCGTGCTCGAGTCACGAATCGTGCCCACACCACTCCGACGCATCAGGACTGGCTTCTTGAGCTTGCCGTGGAAGGTGACGTGCTCGCCCTTGAAGCGGCCCACGACGCCCTCGCAGTAACCCTAGAGTAAGACCGCGCATTGCTCAAATTGGTCAGCAGCCGAGCGATAATCAAGAGGAAGCACGTCAGTCAACGCACCAGAAACCAGGCATCGGAGTCATTGACGCCGCTGCGCCGCTTGCCACTGCTGCCCTCGGCGCCTTCGTCGTCTAGCCTCCGCAGGACGATGATCTGCTCGCCCGTCATAAACATCAGGTCCTCAATGTCCGACGCGGGATTGTCCAGCTTGGCGGTGCACGAGCCAATGCCCCCTTTGAGGAGGGCGAAGCGCGTCCACGCGTTGAGTGTATGCGCATCCATCCTGTCGGCCGGCGATGGTTGACGACGGTGTCAAGAAGATCGCTCGCCCAGTTTCTTCGTTTGCTTTGTTTCTAAAGTGCTGGCTGATGACGAAGAGAGCGATGCGATACACGAGCCTTTGTGAGAAAAGGGGCCTGGGACGTGAATATAATCGTTGGATTGTCGGGAACGAGTGAGAGAAGAAAGATTCCCGCCGTCGCGAAACGCAGCTCAGTCCACACCTGGCGAAGCAATGGTCTGTATCGATACGAGGTGGTTCCCTTGCTGTATGCCTTGGCGATAGCCTACTTGAAAGACGAGAGAGTGTGTGTGGGAGGAACCAGTCCCCGATCTAATGACGCGACGTGCGAAGAGAAAGGAACAGAAAAGGAGCGTGTGTGTATGCGTCGACGCTCAGTGTGATGAACGTCGCGGTAGTTGGCGCAAGAGGCAACCACTGCCGGTCGACTCGCAGTCGAGGAGCAGCAGAGGCGTCGGACAAGCCGAGAGCGGAGTGAGGGTAAAGAAAGGAGAGGGGACCAGTCAGGAGGAAGCAGCTGAGGAACGACGAGCTTCGATGCTGGTTGATGAGGAGGGGGGGAGAGGATGTGTAGGTGCGAACGCGCCGCACTCCCGCCGTCCTTGATTGTATTTGGCAATCCAAAAAGGGGAGAAAGGAAAAAAAAAATCAAGTTTCCATCCCTAACAGGGACCCTCAAGCCAGGAGAAAAAAATATATAATAATAGGCCAGGAAAAATCAAGCGGACGGAACACGCTAGCAAGAGGCTTGGCTGCTGTCGTCGTCGTCGATTGCTCGGTGTCTTTTTAAATTTTTCCTTTGCTCCTCGCTTGACATCGGGAGGCTTCTGTCTTTGTTGCCCAAAATATAATTGCGCTGAAGCTGTGGCAGGCGAGCTGGGGTGCTCCGGCGGCGTTGATGTTGATGTTGATGTTGATTTCTTGCTGAGACGACGAACATGCCAGCAACGCAGCGCCGCGACGATCAATCCACCGACGTGCTTTAGCGTGTGCCCGAAAGACCTCAGGCACGCTCTGTCCAAGCTTGCTGCTCCACCACCCCATCCACTACACTACTAGCTACAACTACTACTTCTGCTTACTTCTTCGTTTCGGCCTGCTCTTCCTCAGCTGTCAGCGCTCGATCAGAAGTGGCCAGACAGATTGTCCAAGGCAGGTTCCTGCTTCACACTCCTCTGCGATCGACCCAATAATATAATGATGATAATGTTGTGTGCAGCAATATGTAGACTTGTGCCAGCGAGCAGTGTGCGAATTCCTGCGAGCGCTTAAACCTGATGCACCGAAAGTACGTCTGCAGCTTTTGAAACGCGTTTGCCGGCGCGGTTCAGGCGAACTCGACGGTTCAAAGCATATTGACAAAGGATTAACACAAGCGTCAGAGTTATCGTGATCACCCTTACGAACTAAATGAATGGAGTAGCCTGGTACCGCAATGTTGCTGCGCTAGAGACCGGAAGGTGCTCCGATGTGCAGACGAAGTGACAACTCGCATTGCGTCCGTCCATCGGCGATGGGCAACTTGCACGCCCGCGACTTCTGGCGGGGAATGGAATGTTTGTGTACCGTACACGTGGAAGTCGCGCTTTCTTTTTGGTCGTCAACATGCCAAGCCGAAGACTCTTTGAACGGGCACAGATCAATTATTTTTAGACTCGATCGTTGCTTCTCTCAGCCGTCCCATCAGCAGATTGCTGGACAGAGAGAACAGCGTATAAAGCCTTGCCAGGCTAGTCGCGGTTGAATCCCCATGACGTTTGAATCCATTTGGCGGAAAGGGCAAGTGATTGGCAACGAGGAGAGAAAGAGACTTCATGATGAGAATAATGTGACTCTTTTCTTTGCTAGACATTGACAATGATCTCGAATTACATCTCCGGCATCTCGCCGGGCATTTCACCCTCGCCGGGAGGTGCCATTTGGGGCGCGCCACCTCCGCCGCCTTCCTGTCGGGCTCGTCTCGCTGACACGACATCGTCGACGCGGAGGAGTAGCGAAGCAGACTGAGGATGATGATCAGCGTGATGCAAAGAAAAGGTCGGATGGAGAGGTCACTCACCTCAATAGCGGTCTTGAGCGTCTGGATCTTGACGGCGGCGCTCTCATACAGGCCATACTCCTTCATCTCAACAACCTTGCCAGTGTTTCCGTCGACGCCGTACGAGTGCTCCCCCATGGCGTGTTTTGCCCGGAGCGCCGTGAGAGTCTTGATGGCGTTTCCGCCGCAATTTTGGATGAGCGTGCGCGGAATGACCTCCATCGCCTCTGCCACGGCCTTGATCGGCCCCACTTCCACGCCCTCGACCGATCTGGCAAAGTCGTACAAGCCCGTCGATACGGCCATCTCGGTCGCACCGCCACCGGGAGCCAAAATGGGGTTGAAGACGACGTTGCGAGCCACGGACATGGCATCGGCGAGGTTTCGGTCGACTTCGTTGAGAATATCCTTGGATGGGCCTCGGAGAAGGATGGTACATGCCCTAGGGTCCTTGCACTTCTCCAGGAAGGTGAAATACCTAAGAGAGAGAGAGTGATCCATCATCAGTGAGATGCACGTAAGAGAGAGAAGAAAAAGAAGGCTAAACTCACTCGTCGCCGAGCTTCTCAATGTGAAAGAGGCCACACTTTGTGCCGATGTCGGCATCACGCAAATCCTCGACACGGTTGACAATCGTCGCGCCAGTCGCCCGAGCAATGCGGTTGTTGTCCGATTTGCGCACCCTGCGGATGGCCGTGATGTTCTGCTTGAGCAAAAAGTGCTGGGCCAGGTCCGAGACGCCCTTCTCGGTGAAGACGAGGTCTGGCTTGTGCTCGATGATGCGGTTGCACATGATCTTGATCTGCTCTTCCTCAATCTCCAGAATCCGGTTCCAGTCCTCTTCTTTTGTAATCTCGATGTTGGTCTGTGACTCTCCCTTCTTGTACTCGAGAGGGCAGTCGAGAAGCAGAATTCGGGGATTGTCGATGCGTCTCCTCATCTTGGGGTGGGTCACATCCTTGGCCAGCATGACGCCGTCGAGGACCTTTGATCCTTCAATCTCGCCTCCGGGCACCTTCTCAACCCTCGCATACCGCTTGATGTCCACCGTCTTTGACTCTCTGCCTCCGCTTCCCTCGTCGACTGTGGCCACGGTCCGCACCGCCTTGAGTGCCAGGCGGCACATTTGGTCCGACCACCGAGAGACAAACTTGGTGCCAATTGAAGTCTTGATGAGTGCCAGCATCTCCTCTTCGTTGTCCACGTCTACCGGCACGCTGATCCTTTCGATAATTTCGAGAGCCTCGGCCAGCGCCTTCTTGTAGGCCGAAATGATGACGACGGGGTGAATGTTGCGTTCGAGGAGGGGTAGTGAGTGGGCGAGCATCTCTCCGGCTGTACATCATTTCATGGGATCAGCTTGCAGGCCCCTTCAGCATGCTTCTCTCATGCCAGCAGACCCACCAAGAATGATGACACTCGTGGTACCGTCACCGACCTCCTCGTCCTGCGTCCTGCTCAGCTCGATCATGCTCTTGGCGGCCGGATGGCCGACCTCGATTTCACGAAGGATAGCATTGCCGTCATTTGTGAGCAAGATGCCACCCATGGGGTCGAGAATCATCTTCAGCATCGCCTTGGGTCCAAGGCATGTCCGAATGACGTCTGACACAGTCTGCAGAAGGCACCCAGCCATAAATTGAGCATTCGGATGTAAAGATTTAAAAAGGGTCTGAGGACCCACCTTTGCCGCCTGGATATTGGAGATCTGTGCCTTGCGTCCATGCTGGCGCTCCGGACCAGCGTTCATGACAAACACCGGCTGTTGGCCCGACATGTTTGGTCGTCGCTGCTGTGCAAAATGGGTGGAGAGGGACGAGAAGGAGGATTGGTGAGGGAGCGAAGAAAATGGAAGGCGAGAAGATGGGTCGCGCCTAAAACAGAGCTCAAAATTCACGTGTCTCTTTCTTCGCTCTCTCCACCTGCAGCAGTGGGACGACGACCGACGGCAACGGTCGACGCAGGAGAGATGCATCCCACCAAGAAGAGGAGACGGGCTCCTGAAGCACGACGAGAAGATCTTGACGACGATGAGGAGGAAGGGGATGCGAGCGTTCTCGGCTTTCAGGCATTACCTGTGGCCGATTTACCCCTTGGCTTCGACGGCATTCCCATGGACGGTGCGCAGTATCTCGCCGTTGTGAGGTGAGTACATTCTCAAAGTGTTAGTCGACACAAGTGTTGACCGTACTGACAGATCCGTCATTAAACAGACAAGAGGCTAGTGGACGGCCAAAGGTCGTGCAAGTCCGAAATCCCTACGCCATTGCCGACGTCCAAACACCAGTTGCCTCGTCGTTGCAGAGCCAGGTAGGCATGCCGTCGCAAGAATGGCGTGATACGTTTCAGACAAGATTGAAAAACATGCGGGAGTCGCTAAATCCTGTCGTTTCTCTCGGGTCCGCAAGTGAAGGGTTGGTGGTTCCCAAGCGGCATGACGAGGCGAGCTGGTATCGTTTTCTCCATGGTCGCACCCTCAAGGACGAAGAGGAGTCGTCGAATGGCCGGAAAAGTGGAACAGAAGGTGTAGCAGAAGGTGCTGTCGATAGGGATAGTCCTGCATCACAACTCGGAAGACCAGATGTTCAATTAGAGGAGCACGCCGAGCCCGCTTTGAGAGAGCCGACACCTGCGCTTCTGAGCCGTCTCAAGACCAGTGACATCCTAGCTTTGCTCGAATTTTTTCCGTCCTGGTTCTCGCAGAGTTCTATGGCCTCATCGCCGTCGCCGCCAACGATACGACACGCAGTGGACCCGTTCCATGCCAGGTGGGTCTTTGCCCTCCTCGCCAAGCTCGACGGTCGGCTTGTGGGAGATGAAATCAGCACTTTGCGCGTTCTCGCTAGAGCCGGCATCGAGCGAGTGGTGCAGGAGCGCTATCGCCGAGCCGTGAAGAAGACTCTTCGGAAGCAGCAACAGCCACAGGCTTCGGACGACATTGACGGCGGCGAGGTCATGATGAGCGAGATGGGAGCCTGGATGATCGTCTGTGCTGTCAGCAGCATATGGGGCCAGCATGATCTCTGGGACGATGCTCGAGCCGACCTTGCGAAGATTGCTTCCTGAAGTTGCACACAGCAACGAGCAGATCCTGTACTATAGCCATTTTTCTCTTTTATCCATCATCTCAACCTGCCTCCCTCTCACCGCGATCGATTGACAGGTCCCGCCCCGTCGCTAGTCAAAGCCACGCGATCAAAAAGTTAACGTAAAAAAAATGCAAGCTCTGGCGCCCGCCGCCAGAGGGGAGGGAATGTCTCAGAGCGCTAAGAGGCAAAAAGCCTCTTTCACTTTACCCCTCTTCTTCGCGGTCTCACTCACCCTCGCTCGCGCTGACCTCCTTCTTGCCTGTCCTCTCTGACGACCTCGCGCTGCACAGCGCCCGTAATTACGACATACGAATCCAGCTCGACTCGTGGAGCTTCGTGGAAAAGGCGGGCCGTCCAAGGAGCATCCATCAGACGCGGTTTTGGGATTAACGACAACGGCGACAGCGAACCACGCGGGGCACCCTCTCTTCTCTCACACGGCATCCAAGGCACGCGCGCTTCCTCATTCTTTCTCGCGGGAACGCCGGTCCAGTCGAGTGCTTCACCGCTGCCTGTGCCCTCATTACTTTGGGCTTGCTCCGGGTGCACTGTGAAACCCGGCCCGAATTTCGCGAGACCACGCGCAACGCGACCCATTCGGTCACCACCTGCAGACGGGCCCTTTGAATTGGGCCATCCAAGAAGGACGAGGGGGCCACTAGATGATGGCACAGGCACGACCGGTCCTGACCGTCGATGTCAACATCGGCCAGGGCGGCGTGCGGAATCAGCATCAGGCCGCAAAGGCTGCCGCTCAAGCAAGGGCGTCTGCCCAAGCACCCCAGTCTGGACAGGACCAGGATCTTCATCCAGATGACATGACCAACGGTAACGGCGATCGCGGCGGATTCAGCAGCGATGATGAAGAGGCCGAAGACACCTACGCCGGCGCTGGATCGTCCGGAAGAGTGAAAGCGGGCACAGGCCAGGCTGCTGCAAGGAACGGGACAGCATATCACGGGCAGGAGGAACAGGTGAGGAGACCGACTGCAATGGACCTTCAGCGATGCTTCACAGTGGCTAACAGGAGATATGTAGTACATGGATGACTCGGAGTCATCAAATGGAGAAGAATACGAGCCTCAGGAAGGCGACATTGAGATCGTGTCGGACGAGGACGAGGGCGTCTACGACGAGGATGACGATGACGACCTCTCGTCGAGCCCGAGCATTCCAGACGAGAACATCGACTTCGATCTTGTCTATGCGATGCACAACTTTGTGGCTACCGTCGAGGGTCAAGCAACGGTCTACAAAGGGAATAGCCTGACGTTGCTAGACGATTCCAACTCCTACTGGTGCGTGCTTGCCTCCCCACTTCCCTCTCCCTATCTGTGGCATCCGCTAACATTTTGTGTGATTGAGCACAGGTGGCTGGTACGGGTGTTGAGAACGCAGGAAGTGGGCTACATCCCTGCCGAAAACATCGAGACCCCCTTTGAACGTCTGGCGCGGCTTAACAAGCATCGCAATGTCGATCTCACATCGGCCACCGACGACGATCACATCCAAGTGCCTGAGAAGATCTTCGTCAGCCACCTCGTCAAGCAGAGAAACTTTGGCCCCAACGGAGGCTTGTCGGAGCATTCTGGCAAGCTGTCTGCTCTCTCCATGAGAAGAGACGGTGACGCTCCTGAGCACGTTGTCAGGGAAAAGGAGCGCATCGGCGATCGTGGCGTTCAGTTTGGGCCATCCACCTACCTCGAGCACAGCGGAAACGAGGACTCTGAAGATGAGTACGATGACGACGAGAATCCGGACATGGAAGGCGATGAAGACATGGACGAAGAATACGATGAAGATGACGAGAACGAAGAAGAGCAAGAGGAGCAAGGAGGGGAAAGCCAGGGCGATAGGGGCGAGGAGATTATCCGATCACGGAGAGGTGTTGAGGAGGGAATAGGCGCTGGTGCCACAGCCACCGCAGCCGGGGCCGCTGCAGGTATCTACGCGAGGGAACATGCGCAAGGCAATGAGCGTACGCCGATGCAACAGGCCCAGCAACAGCAGCAACAACATCCACAACCAGGTCAGCAGCAGCAATATCAGTCGCAGCAACCCACGCAACAGCAGCAAGGTACAAGCAGGCGGGGCTACCTTGACAAGATGGAGCCCGATGATGGCATGGACTGGGATGCAGCAGAGACGGAGCGGGTGCAGCGGGCTCAGCAAGAGCGCATTGCTTCCAAGCAGGCAGCCGATGTGCGAAGATCTAACGAGGATGCACGCTCCCAGGGCGTGCAACAACGTAATTCAGCAAACATCGACAGTGCCCCTCCCTCAACCTTGCGTCCAGGTGGCAACATTGCCACGCAAAGAGCATCAAATGAACGCCTCAGTATGACTGGTAGCGATCGTAACTCTCAAGGCTTCCTGCCCTCGGCCGTCTTGGCTTCTCGAGATCGCTCGGCGTCTGATGCGAGTGTGGGATCCAGCCAGCTCTCGCCCGAGTCGAAAAAGGACAAGAAGGCGGCCCAGCGGCGATCCAAGACCGAAGAGGATGTCAATGAGGAGAAAGCAGGCAAGAAGCGTTCGGGCGTTTTCAGCGGTCTCTTTTCGAGATCCAAAGACAAGAAGGAACGCAAGAGCGGTAGCTTTGGGTCGTCGCACAACCGGAACGGCAGCAGCGGAGATGGAGACAGCCTCTTCACGGGTAGAAGCTCCGAAGAGAGTCTTGGCAACACCCGCCGGATATCGCAGTCGTCAAATCCTGGTCGCACAGTGCAGGAGAGGGACCGCGCACAGCAAGAAGCCTACCAGAGGCAATTCCTCACCACGAGCGGTACCAACCCGGAAGGCGACTATAGGCACCTCAGCGCCCAGCAACATGGACGAGTAGCTAGACCAGGCAGCTTGATCGGCCCGTCAGGCACTGTACCCATGCTCAACGTGCTGAGAATCTTCGCGGGTGACAACATCGACAGTGACGCAACTTTCAAGACGGTCCTCTTGAACGATTCGACGACGTCGAAAGATCTGGTCAAGCAGGCCGTCCAGCGGTTCAGGCTCGGCGCAGGGCAGGATCCTGCCGAATACATGCTTACCGTCAAGCTCGTTGAGGGCGACGAGAGACAGTTGGATGGCGATGAGAGACCACTGCAGGTCTTTGACAAGTACAGCGAAGATCTGGCCAACGACCGCGATACACCGACAGTGCCTTCGGTCAAACGGTCAAGTGTCGGTTCGATCTCATCGATCTCCTCCAACCTGAGTCTGAACCCCGCCATTGCGCGCTTGGGTAACGACTTTAGCGATGATCACGCAGTCAAGTTCTACCTGCACAAGAGAAAGCTGGAATCGTTGTCCAATCTTTCTTCTGTGGACCAAAGCTACTCGCTCGAGGCTTCCACACTTAGCGCTGGAAACACCAGCTCCGACACCCAGCAACGGGCTAGCCAGGCTTCGATGTTATCGGCTGACACCGCTGACACCATCCAAGCATCCTCGGCTCGCTTTGCGCTGCGCTTGCTCATCTTCCCCTCGGACCTGCCCGAAGGGACGGTCTTTGATCCTCAAACCAGCGCTCTCATCCCCCAACGAACGCTCGTGGAGCGAGGACCCGGTGGTATGACGCCAGGCGAGGGCATCACACAAGAGTACCGCGAAAAGGTCCTCGTGCTTCCTCGAAACGCGACGGTGGCCGAGGTCATTGAGCAGGGCTTGGACCGTTTTGGTATCATGGAAGGCGTCGTGGAGGGAGGCGACGATGTTGAGGACAGGTCGTCGCGGCGGAGGAGCAAAGCCAAGGTCCGCTACGGTCTCTCGGTCGACATCAACCATGCTGAGCGATCATTGAATGCGTCTGGCAAGGTCGTTGATGCCTTTCCAGTCGCCCCTGTCTTCAAGTCCGGCGCAGGCAATCGGCGGTCGCTAGATGCAAAGCGTCGAAGCATCGACTCAATGATGCTGCTGAGCGTGGCGGACGACATCCGACCTGACGATCCTATCTTCATCCTTCGGCAGGTTCACCCCAATGCCAAGAACAAGACGGCGAGGTCGCTTAGTCCTACTGAGGACGTCCTTATCAACAAGCAGGATCAGCGGCGCCAAGCCGAGCTCGACAAAGTGGCCCCCATGCTGTCTCAGCAACGATCGCCCAGCACTGCGAATGATCTCTCCGTGCTAGGGGGGGAAAAGGAAGGCATGAGCCGGCAAGAAATTATCGCTGCGCAGAGAGCTGCGGCGAGAGAGAGGAGAGCTGCCGTTCTGGGGGCAGAGCGGAACGAAGACCAAGGCGTCGATTTGCTCCTCGAAGATCGAACTAGGATCCGCAGCTCTCGGAGCCTCGAGTCAGGCAAAGTGCGCTATTCCTACATTGGTTCGTCGGGCCAGGAGCAGGATATCAGCAACATTGTCGAGGACGTGCTTCAAGATCACCAGGAGCCCAAGGTTTCTCGGCCTCCCAACGCAAGGATGCCCAGCCGGGCTGAGAGCGGCCTGACCGCCGACAGCTTTGAGAGCGCACCCAGCCCTAGCCTCATGGACAGGAGGAGCCCATTGAGCCTCAACGAAGTACACTATGACGTCCGGGTGCCTGCCCAGACTGGCGATCTCCTCGAGACGTTTGTAAGAAATCCAAAGAATGCGGAAACAACAATCGAGGACCGCATCGACCAGGTGCTGGCTAGGGTCACGGCGGGAACGATATCACCCTTCACAGCTGGCTACGACGACAGCGGGCGAGCGACGCCAACTGCAGACGGCCGATCATCATCGCGAGCAATCAACAAAACTGGTATGCCAGGCTCGCTTTCTAGCCATGACAGCCCGACATCCAACACCACCCATCAGACGTCCATTTCCACAATGATGACGACGACAACACCGCTCTCGCTGATGTCGGGCACAGCAGCAGCAGCTGCTGCTGCTGCCGCAGCTTCTGGAGGAGGGACGCGCTCCGTGACGTCGCCGAGAAACAACGCGCCTCTGCGCGGCGACTTTGGCCTTTCAAACCTGTACACACTCGTCGACGCCGCCGCCCGTCGAGGGGCAAAAGGTCATCACCGCGGTAAGAGCAGCAGCAAGGGTGGCAGCAACGGCAGCGGTGGTGGCCTCGGGTACAATGGTCCGTACAAGCCGTCGGTCGGAGGCCTCTTCCCGCCTCAGTCGCCGCACATTGGCGAGAGAAGGGTAAAAGAGGTCTACGCGCCCATTGGCCGTCAGCTCAACAACATCGAAGAGTCATTGGACCAGCTTTTGAACGACGCTCTGCGCAACTTTTGACCTCGTTCATGCTTACGGATTCGATTTATTCTCTCAGCACTGCTTCTACCCCCTTGTCTTTTCTCTCAGTCTCTTGGGGTCATTATCTCTGTATGCTTAGCTAGGTAGGAATTCGTCATTCTCCTTGTCCTTTTAAAGGTCTTCAATTTGAGCTGGCTTCATCCAACCCGTGCGCGTCCTGTTACTACTGTGCGATCCGCCCAAGCCGTCTTTTCATAGAAGTCTTATTCACTGTCCCGTAACGGCTTGCACCTCTCGGTGCGCAGAAGAGCCTCGCCTCACCCTTCCAGCGTCTGTGTTCCGACGACGAGCATCTCTCAGCTGAGCTGAGAATTACGAGCTGTGCCTCGAAAGGAAAGCGCCACTGGCCGGAGTTAATTAGTGCCGATGCCGCTTTCGCGCAGCCTTAAAAATCAAGGACAAGGAAGGCCAAGGCTAGATTCGTTGAGGCCAAAACATTGACGACGGCCCCACAAAAAGGACGCTACTACTACAACAACAACAACAACAACAACAACTACTACTACTACTACTAGCACTCTTGGATTCGCCAAGGTGGCAGAGGGTTGTCGGCTTGGGCGAGACTGGGTCACGATGATGCTCAGGTGACTCTTTCTTGCCAAGGAGGCGGAAGGGATCCGGGCTCTTCTTGAACTGGATCTCGATCCTTCCCTATCTCCTTCTTTTCCCTCCCAAGATGAGGCCTTCTCATTTCGTGACGTTATCGCAACGATACTCCTTTCCTTCTGGACCGAGCTCGAGCTTGGACCTTTTTCTAGCCGTATGCGCTGCACCTGACAGGGCGTGCAGAAAAGAAGGAATTGTTGCTTAATTAATCATCTCATCTTCCATGTCGATATCTATCAATGAACCTAGGAGAAATTTCTATGGATGAAGGTAAATTTGCAAGGAAGGTTGGGAAAGGGAAGAAGCGCTTTGATTGTACCACGTCGCAATCCCAGATACTATTGCCCGATCGTCGCCTCTGGCTCTATGCTTGTCTATCTTCTACTTCTGTGATTACACCGCTGCTGCTGAGCTACGCATACACTTGCGGCGGAAAACGCGAGTGCCAGGACGCTTGCTGATCGGCAGCAGGCAGCAAGGACGCTCAGGGTCTTGTTTCGGACAGACCACAAAAATGGAGCGTAGATCGCAATGCTGACAGACGGGTGCCGCCTGGTCAGAAATTCAGCGGTGTAACTACAACCTGCCGAGAGGCTTTCTGTGTTTGTATCATGGTTGCGCAATGTTCTAATCCGGGAACTTGGTCCGAACGAGAGGGAAAGGGAAAATCTCTACCAAACGACCGCGTGTAAGCTAAGCGAGTGTTAGTATTCGAAAAAAAATAAAAATAAAAATAGAGGCGACACTGGCCTTGTGCGTGCCAGCCTTGGTTCGATATGGGCTTTTGTGTGCGTGAAGCGCGCACTGCAGCGCAGGGCCTTTAGGGGCCAATGGCTGGGCCGAATCCTGCCCAGAGCCAGCGAGGCCAGGGAAGAGCGACGACTCGTTTATAAACGGGAAACCCCTCCCGCCATCGTTTTTTCCTTTTCCCAACCCATCATCAGCGCCACTTTCCCTCCGCTCCTACTCATCTCACCTCATTTTCTCCTTTTTTCGACACCAGATCAACACGTTTGAAAAGATGCAGTTCTCGACCGTTGTCATTGCCGCTTCTGGCCTCGCCGCCGCTGGTGTCGCCATGGCCCAGAGCACCTTCTCGGTCAACACGCCCGCCTCGGTGGTCCAGTGTGTTCCCCTCCAGATCTCGTGGACCGGTGGCCAGGCTCCCTTCAACCCTTTCATCACCGCTCCCGGTGACACGGCGACGATCCTCGAGACGCTTCCCCAGGTCACTGACCGCACGACGACGTGGACCGTCAACCTCGCCGCTGGTCAGAAGTTCACCATCAACATTGTTGACTCGACGGGTGCCAACGCCCCCTCGGCCCAGTCGCCCGCCATTGCCAGCGGCAGCTCGTCGTGGTGAGTTTTTACTATCTCTAATGTTAACTTTCTCTTGCCATCGCAGTTGCTCATACGCTTTTTTTTTCTCTTTCTCTTCCAGCCTCAGCTCTTCGAGCGGATCGAGCTCGGCTACCTCGTCGGGTTCGTCGGCTTCCTCGACTGGCTCCAGGTGAGTGCGATGCTTGCGCATGAAATCGGTGGATACGAGAATGGTTCCTGTTGTTGTTTCTCCTGTCTTTGTTCGTCCTCTGGGCGGCCGAAACCTTTCCCAAGGGGCAGCAATTTGCCACGGATGAAGGGCGAAAGGGAGGAATCAACGTTTTCGAGGGATGATTGGTTCTGACTTCTGTTCTTTCTTTTCCTTCTCCTTCCTCTTCCACCCTTTCCTTCCCTTTCTTTTTTTCTCTCCTACGTCCATTCCTTGCTTTCCCCATTCCCTTCCACAATCCCCCCCTCGAACACCCTTACTGACCCTGCAGCACTGCCGCCGCCACCTCCTCGTCGTCTCCTTCGTCTTCGTCCTCGGCTTCCCGTTCGAGCAGCGGTACTACCTCGTCGACCTCTGCCCCCGCGTCGTCGAGCAGCACCAGCCACGACGGTGCTTCGAGCCTCAGTGGCTTCGCCGCCGTCATTGCCGGTGTTGTCGGCATCGGCGCTGCCGCCCTTGCCTAAGAGAACGGCGCAAGCACTTGTCCGATGTGCAGCAATCCTCTTCAAACAAACGTTTGTGCAATAATCTTCCTTGCGTTGATGTGCGCGATATTTGCCTCCTCGCCTATCATTCAGAATCTCCTCACCATCACATCTCCTCCTACGGAACTTTAGACGCCTACCGCCCGAACTCTCAATTGTTCCCTTTAACAATTCATTCGACTCTCTCTTGTTTATTCGATCTTCTACCTTCTTCCCTCTCCTTTTTCATTCAGATTAATCGCACACTTCTCTTCATCGCCAAAAACATACATTTGTTGTCGTGCGACTTGAGTTTCTTAGGTTAGCTGGTCGGAAGAAGAGTTTACTTCTGCAACAGCGGACGCTCATAAAGGCCGCTTTGCGCCCGCTCGTGTGCGTCTCGACCTTCCCGACGGTTTTGAATACCGCTCTCTACTTACCTCTGATTAAGAAGTCTGGTGATCGGCGTACGCCGCCCGCGTTTGTGCGGACCCGTGTCATGATGTGGCGAGGGCGTACCTTTTATTTTCCTCTTCGGTAGCGAAAACTTTCTTCTAGTGCCAACAAACGTAGAGAAAAGAGGTGCTAACAAATTACTAGGAAATTGGAAATGCCCATAATAAAGAAGAAAGTAAAAATTTCTCGACGAGCTCCACTCCTGCTCACTGTAGGAAGAGGGTGTCAAGAGAGTGAGGAGTGACAGAGAGAAAAAGAGAAAGAGGAGCTGCGCGTGTCTTTCTCGCGCTAGAAAGCAGGAAGAGAGCGAGACTCTTGTGCACAGAGAGGGTGCCACAGAGCGAACAAGAGAGAGAGAGAGAGAGAGAGAGAGAAAGAAGCTTGCGTTCAAGGGATCGGGATGAGCGTTGCTCGCGGGGGCGGCGCACTGTCGCTGCCCAAGTTCAGGCACAATGTTGCGAAACGCATCGGCCGGTTCCTCCTCGTCGACGGTGGCGTAAACACTGGAATTAGCAACAAGAAGGCGACAAAGAGGAGCAAGAGGATCAGGAGCAAGGCAGACGAGGAGGGCAAGGACCTTGTGCGGTGGATGTGCGAGGAGCTCAAGGCGAGGCAGGTGGCGGGCACCGAGAAGAGGGAGTTGTGGTCCATGTATAGGCGCCTGACAAGAGGCGAGCCGCTGGCGTACATCCTAGGTGAATTGCTCCGTCTTCGTAGTGCTTGAGATTTCCTGTGCACTGACAGAAAGGATTTGCCAGGAAACGTGCCATTTGGGCCTCTCGCCCGCCTTGAGGTTCGCCCGCCGATCCTCATCCCTAGGCCCGAGACGGAAGAATGGACCGAACGGCTTGCTTCGATGCTCATTGCCAGTCCCGCACCACGCAGCGAGGCGATCAAGATCCTGGATCTCTGCACTGGCTCCGGCTGCATTGCCCTCTCGCTCTTCTCTCACCTCACCAAGCATCGCCAAGCAGAGGTCCTCGGCCTGGACAAGTCCCGTATCGCCGTGGAGCTGGCGCGGCGGAATGCCCACTCCCTCTTCCCGCCGCAGCAATCACAGTCTGCATCAAAGGTCGCGTTTGAACAGGCAGACATGTTCGATTTCGATCCGGTCTCGGTGGGCGGACCGTTTGACGTCGTCGTTTGCAATCCGCCCTACATTCCGCTGGACCAGTGGGAGAAGCTGGAGGATGGCGTAAGGCTGTGGGAGAATAAAGCGGCGCTAGTCGGTCCTGGAGAGACCGGGCTAGGGTTCTATAAAAGACTGGCAGCGCTCGTGAAGAGCGGTGGTCTGCTGCGTGCGCCTTCCTCGGAGGCAAAGGGAAAGAGAAGGCCGGCAATCGTTGTTGAGGTAGGCCACGATCAAGCTGAGAAGGTACGGGACATCTTCAAGGGTACAGGCGTAGGCCTGGACATTGAGATTTGGAAGGATGCGTTTAAAGTGCAAAGAGCGTTGTTCATGTACCATCAATGATCCCACAAGATGTAACAGTACACAAATGAGAGATGCCAAACGAGCAATCGACCCTGCTTTTGCTTTTAGGTCTGGGCACGCATCTTGCTTCTCTTGCCCGTCTGGGCCTGGAAGCCGGTCTTGATCGTCGTGACGGACCTGGTGGAGCCGCAAGACTCGCACGTCATAAAGTAGATACGGTTCTCCTTCGTCAGAATCGTCTGGGGCGACTTGCACGTCTTGCAGGTGACGTACTCGACTGTCGGGCGCAGAATTAGCGATAGAGGTACAGACACAACTCCTGCCAGAGACTCACCAATATATCTCCGCAAGACATTCTCAATCTGCTTGGGTTGGAAACGACCCTTGATGACGAGACGCTGGCTACCATCGACAGAGCCCACTGTTCCCAGCTCCGAAAAGAGGTATTGAATGACGTGGTCCGGTTGTCGGTGCATTCGCTTGCAGATATCGACAACGTTGGCAAAGACCGTCTTCTTTGATCCATCTCGTTGCACCACGGGCGGCGCAATCGTATACTTCTTCTTGTCGCCCGACAGCGCCGGGTTCTGCGCACGAAGTGTCGCGAAAATCCGGCCGAGGAGCTGAGAGGGCACAGGTTGATACAGGTTTTCAGCACACGAGGTCAAAAAAATCAGAGTGATGAACTTTCTCACCTCTTGGTACGTATAGTCTCGGTCTGTACCGTGCCACGTCTCAACGTTGTCCTTCTTCTCTCCGACAGCCTCTTCGGCATCGTCGGCGCCAAATGGATCGTCGCCAAGGTCGCCTTCGACCTCGGCATCGTCTGACTTGGGCGTGGAAGTCCCCTCGCCCAGCTCCTTTTCGAAAGCCTCGAGATCAAAGCCACCCTTCTTGCTCTTCTTCTTTTTCTTCTTCATGTCGCCAAACTGTCCGGTACGTCACAGTGGGGTGAGTTCTTCATTATCCAGAAAGGTAGAGATTGCGGAATAGACTCTACTCACGTCGAGATCTCCATCTGGGACAGCCTCAGCCGCGTCCGCACCTGCGTCTGTCGCCGTTCCATCAGCCCCAGGAGACGTGGCGTCGTCCTGTCAAGGTCCAGGGTCAGGAACCTCTCGAATCTGCGCGCTCAGTCTACTTGAAGCTCACCAAGTCCATTGGAACACTCTTCTTCTTCTTGCTCTTCTTCTTCAAACCTCCGAAGAGGTCCTCAGGGTTCTCTTCTGCTGCCTCCCCTCCTGCCGGTGCTGCTTCTGCTCCATTCTCGTCGCCCGCGCCGGCTCCGTCGAGGACATCGAAATCGACAATCTTTTTGTTCTTCTTTTTCTTGAGACCGGGGTCAAAAAGAGGCTCCTCGGCCGTGGGCGCGTCTGTCACATCTGCAGACGCCATGGCTCCTTCCGTATTCTGGTAGAGAGATATGCCGTTGTTGAGAAGCGGAGAAGTGGTGAACGGTTGCTGATGAGTCGTTCCAGTCAAGACGAAAAGCAAGAGCAGGTCACGAGGTGATTTGGCCGTGCTATTGTAAAATAGAAGAATGGAGTGGAATTCCCAAATACAATATGCAGAAGCGTTATTTGATCAAGACACGTGGACTTCACCGGAGCGAGCCGAGGTTGCGCACCATCACTGATCGGAACGCCTTCCTTCTCGTCGTCACTTCTCCTTCTCGTCCCAGCCCCTTTTCCCTCTCCCTCGAACATGGCCATGCTTCCACGCGCCGCTCGTCCTGCCCTTGTGGCCAGCGGCTTCTCGGCCCCCATTGCCCGGCAGGGAGTCGCCGCCGCCGCAGGTTTCCACTCGTCCGCCGTGCAGCAGCAAACGCTGAGGGAGCTCGAGCAGCGCATCAAGTCGGTCAAGAACATTGAGAAGATCACCAAGGTAATTAGACACCTTTTTGTTGCTATCAGAAAGAGTGCAGGAGTAGCTGACTCTTCTATTGGGACAACAGTCGATGAAGATGATTGCGTCTACGAAGCTCACCAAGGCTCAGCGTGCCATGCAGGCCGCCAAGGTGTACGGCCAGGCCAACAACGGTGGGTGTCACAATTCTGCAACGACGGACGAGAGGGATGGAGAAAGAGGGGGAAACTGACAGACGACTTCCTGCAGAGGTCTTTGAGCAGTCCGAGGCTACCGCTCCCGATGGCGGCCGGGAGCTGTACATTGTTTGCTCGTCGGACAAGGGCCTTTGCGGTGGTATCCACTCCTCCGTCTCGAAGCGCGCCAAGGCCGAATTTGGCAAGCACGGCGGTGCTGCTGCTTCGGCGGACTCGACTGAGGGACCCAGCATCGTCGTTCTGGGTGACAAGGCCAAGGCTCAGCTTTCGAGGACCCTGGGCAAGAACATTGCCGTTTCCTTCAACCAGGTTGGCAAGGATGTTCCCACGTTTGCGGAGGCCAGCGCCATCGCCGACAAGATTGTCTCGAGCGGCATCAAGTTCGACAAGGTGTGTTGGCCGCTGCTTCAAAGCCCTCTTTTGTTTCCTGGACCACTTGCTCACCGAATCTTGATATGACAGGTCAACATCATCTACAATGCCTTCGTCTCTGCCATCTCCTTCGAGTCGAGGATCATGCAGGTCTTCAGCGAGGAGTCCTTGGAGAAGGCTCGTGAGTTGATCTCCCCCATGGCCACGCACTCTCTTGACCTTGCATAAAGGATGCTCATCTTATCGGTATTCTCCTTGCGACCCTGCAGCCAAGTTCGGTCTTTACGAGCTGGAGGAGGACACGCTGAAGGACCTGGCGGAATTCTCGCTGGCCAACGCCATCTACGCTGCTCTTGCTGAGGGACACGCCGCTGAGATCAACTCGAAGCAAAACGCCATGGACAACGCTTCGAAGAACGCTGGAGAGATGATCACAAACCTGGGAATGGGTGCGTTCCTCCCTGACATCATCTTACCTGTCCCTTCTCTCATGCTGATCTTCTTCCTTCTTTCCATCCAATAGCCTACAACCGTGGTCGACAGGCCCAGATTGTGAGTAGATCGAGGCGATTGGAACCACTGAACTGGAACTGACAAGCCTTTTCTGCGACAGACCAACGACCTCATCGACATTATCACGGGTGCCTCGGCTCTTTAAGTCTGCTAACTCCCTGTGTACATGATATCGTAGAGGGCCAGTGGACCGACGGCAAGAATACAATTGAAAGCTTCTGCTACTCTCATTCCTCGCTGGGTCGAGGGGCTCCCCTGTGTGAGACGCTTGAAGAACAATGACAGGAATCTTCCTCCTTTTTTCTTTTCTTTTCTTTTTCTTTTTCTTACGGAGCTGAAAGGGCGAGGAAGATAAAATAAATTTTGGAGGCGTCGCGAAGACTCGACTTCTGCTTTTTGACAAGCAACGACCGCGATAGTAGTTGCAGCAGAGAACATTGCCGACATCGCAAGGATGGAGTCGCGAAAGATTGGTGTGCTGGGTGCTGGGCAGCTGGGGCGGATGTTTGTGGAGGCTGCCTCGCGGCTCAACATCGAGGTGCACCTTTTGGACGTGGGGCCCTCTGCGCCGGCCAAGCAGATCAGCAGCAATCCACACCACATTGACGGCAAATTCAGCGACGCCGACAAGATTTCGGCCCTCGCGCGGCAGGTCGATGTGCTTACCATTGAGATCGAGCACGTTGATGCGCAGCAGCTCCAGCGCGTGCTCGACCAAGGCCTCGTCAAGCATGTCCATCCGCTGCCGAGCACCATCCGGCTGATCCAGGACAAGTACGCGCAAAAGGTCCATCTCACCCAGCATGGCCTGCCCGTGGCCGAGTACATGGCCGTGGGACCCGACGAGCGCGACCCTTCTTTGCCGGCGTCGTCGGCCAAGGAGCAGGCGGCGGGGATCCAGGCAACAGGGCAGGAGTACGGATACCCGATCATGGTCAAGTCGCGCACACAGGCCTACGACGGACGGGGCAACTTTGTCGTCCGCGATCCGAGCCAGGCAGGCCAGGCAGTCGAAGCGCTGGGCGGCGGGAGCAGGGGCCTGTACGCTGAGAAGTGGGCGCCCTTCGAGCGCGAGGTGGCCGTCATGGTCGTACGCAGCAGCAGTGGCGAGGTCCGGGCATACCCCGCCGTCGAAACGGTGCACAAGGACAGCATCTGCCACAGCGTGTATGCGCCCCTGCGACATGCCGATGCGAGCGTAGAGGCAAAGGCGAGAGAGATTGCAGAGCGGGCCGTGGCGACGTTTGGCGGAGCTGGTGTCTTTGGCGTCGAGCTCTTCCTCATGAAGGATGGCCAGCTGTACATCAACGAGATTGCGCCCCGGCCTCACAACTCGGGCCACTACACCATCGAGGCGACCGAGACGAGCCAGTATGAGAACCACGTGAGGGCGATCTTGGGCTTACCGTTGGGCGGCACCAGGCTTAAAGTGGGCAGCGCCGCCATGGTCAACATCATCGGCCTAGCAGACAGCGACGAGGACCCAGAGGCAGTGACCAAGACGCTGGCGCCCGTCGTGCGGAGCCTGAGCATCCCGGGTGCGACGACGCATCTCTACGGCAAGGCCGGCTGCAGGCGGGGCCGGAAGATGGGGCACATCACCGTAGTGGGCAACAGCGACGCGCAGGTTCGCCAGCGCTTGCAGCCCATCCTCGACGCCCTCGATGTCGCGACAGACACAGCAAAGAGCCCAGCGCACAAGCTGCCCAAGGAGCTCACCCTGGCCGGTGTCGTGGACCAGCCGTCGGTTTCCGAAGAAGCAGCAGCGGCAGCAGCAGCAGCAGCAGCAGCAGCGTCAAAGGCCACGAAGAGCGCCGCCGACTTTGCGCACCCGCAACCGCTCGTCGGCATCATCATGGGCTCCGACTCGGACCTCGGCGTGATGCTGCCCGCGGCCCAAATCCTCAAGCGCTTCAACGTGCCCTTTGAGCTCACCATCGTCTCGGCCCACCGCACGCCCGACCGGATGCGCGACTATGCCCGGTCGGCGCCGAGCAGAGGCCTACGGGCCATCATTGCTGGTGCCGGCGGCGCAGCCCATCTGCCTGGCATGGTAGCCGCCCAGACGGCGCTGCCCGTCATTGGCGTGCCCGTCAAGGGAAGCACATTGGACGGCGTCGACAGCCTGCACAGCATCGTTCAGATGCCAAGGGGCGTCCCCGTCGCGTCCGTCGCCATCAACAACAGCACCAATGCTGCCCTGCTCGCGGTGCGCATCCTGGCAGCTGCTGACTCGACGTACCTCAAGGCCATGGACGACTACATGCGCGAGATGGAGAACGAAGTGCTGGCCAAGGTCGACAGACTCGGTCACGAGGGCTGGGACTATCAGGTCAAGAAGTAGAAAGCAATGGTATTACTAGCGATAGAGGTTCATCATGGAGTGTGTGTGTTGTGAGCGCGTACAAGTACAAGCAAGTGAGAAGAGAGAGGCAAAAAGAAGAGTGAGCACATGATCATCTCCTTCGCTTGGGACGACCGTTGTTGTTCGTTCCCTTCTTGGGCTTCCAGCCCTTTTCCTTGCGCCACGTCTCGCGACGGTTCTGCCGTGTGCCCGAGGTGCTGATCTTTGGCTTGGCTTCTGTTTGTGTTGTGGCATCGATGCGTCGATGCGTCGAGCGATAGGAAACAAAATGAGAGGAAAAGGCACGATGACGGGTGGTAAAGGGAAAAGGGGTGAAGAAGGCAGAGAAAAAAGGGAGAAGAGAAGGGAGTCAGTGATCTTTGAAACCAAATCACTGAAGATCTTGCTGCTCCCACAGCCAAGACAGCCTGTCTTCCTCGGAGGAATCAGAGGACGCCTCTGACTCCGAGTCTGAGAACCCAATCGAGTCGGGGTCCACCAGCCCCAGAAGCAACGCATCAACATCTCCTCCCCTTTCTTTTTTCTGCTGCTGCTGCTGCTGCTCGATCTGTGAAAAGGAACAGAGCGGGGAGCTCAACCGGTACCAACCTTGGTCATTGTCTCCCGCTGCTGCTGCTGCTGCGGACGCATCCTGGCCCTCCGTCTCCATCTCGTCCTCAGCCTTCGAGGCCTGTTCCTCAGCGTCTTCCTTTGCCGCCACGCGCTGCGCCAGGCGGCTGCTGATGGCGTTCAGGCGCGCAGCGTGCGTCACCGCATAGTCTGTCTTGTCGTTGTATCGTCTCGCATTGCGCGCTTTGACCTTGGAGGATGCTCGGAGCGACTTCGCCATGGTTCACTTCTCTTGCGCTTCTTGTTGATTCGCTGCTGAGATGTGCCTCTCGATGGGAGAAAGGCCTTCGTTGTAAGTGGTGGTGGTGGTGCTGGTGGTGGTGGTGGTGGTAATATCTCCCTTGCCACTGCTGAGCGAACGCTTCTCCTTCTCAAAGCCAAAAAAAAAAAAAAAAAAAGAGGAAGGTAGGCGCAAAAAAAGGCTGAAATTTCCGTTCGGCCGATGGATGGCCTGCCTGTCCGTCAGTCGCGTGTGTCCAAGCTTTGGTCAATGAGGAGAAGATACCGCGCATCCAAAAGCACCATCTACCCTCCTTCTCGACGGGAGATCAGAGGAGTGGACGAGAAAGAGAAAAGGAGGAGGAGGCCAAGGATGGGACGGAAAGCAGAGGTGCAACGAGCGCTGCTCGAGAAGCTCATGGGTCCCGAGGGTGAGTTTTGTTTTCCCTGCTCTCGTCCCTCTGCGCTTCACTCTCCACGCCCGGTAGCTGACAATTCCGTGCAGCCATGGGCCTCTCGACGAAGCAGCTTCACTTTACAGACGAAAAGGTCTGCCGGAACTTTCTGTGCGGGACTTGCCCTCATGACCTCTTTAGTAATACGGTGAGCTGCGTGCTATACTTGGGCGCTGCATGGAGAAGAATTGCTGACTAGCAAGGCATCGACGATGGCCAACAGAAAGTGGACCTTGGACCATGCCCGCGCTCGCACACGGCCCGGCTCAAGGAAGAGTTTAATGCCTCTGTCAGCGGCGGTGAAAAGTACCCAACATTTGAGGCCGAGTACGAAGACAACATCCGCGGCTTCATGGCCGACATTGACCGCAAGATTGCCGCCAACAAGCGGCGCATCGACCAGACGCCCGAGGAGACGGCCAAATTTACGAATCTCATGCGCGACATTGCCGACGTCGAGGCCGCACTCAACAGCGCCATGGCCGAGGTCGAGCGGCTAGGAGAGCAGGGTCAGATCGAGGAGTCGCTGGCCGAGCTGCAAAAGGCCGAGGCGCTCAAGGGCGAGAAGCAGGACAGGGAGCGAGAGCTTCAGGCACTCAGCGACAGCGCCGGTGCCAGTGGACACCAGAAGCTGAGGGTATGCGACGTATGTGGCGCCTATCTCTCCATTCTCGACTCCGACCGAAGGTTGGCAGACCACTTTGGTGGCCGAATGCACCTGGGATATCTCCGCTTGCGAGAGATCATCACTGAGTTTGATGAAAGGCGAAGGAGGGGAGAGGACCCGAGGCAAGCCATTGCGGCGGGGATCGGATGGCGACCTGGTCAGGGTCAGAATGGGTCGAATGGAGCAGGGCTGGCACCCCCTCCTGTCGCCATGAATGGAGGTGGCCATGGGTACGGCGCGAGAGGGCCACCTCCCATGGATTCAGGCTACGGAGGTCGGTACGGCGGCGGCGCCCCTGCGCCGGTGGACGATGGCTATCGAAGGGACAGGGACCGGGATCGCGACAGAGATCGTGACAGGGACAGAGACAGAGATAGGGACCGACGGGATCGGAGAGACGGGAGAGATTACCGCGACCGGTCAGACCGACGAAGATCAAGGTCGCCCGGTCCCCGACGGTAGCAGACGCATTTTCAATGTGCATCAATTTCAATCTCTCATTACATGCGAGAGGACGGACACTGCGTTGGCTGAAGGGACACTTGTACAGTACAAATGAGCTGAGACTTTCTTCTTCTCGTGGTCAACAGTCACGAGATCTGCTAAAGTCCTCCCATCAGGCTTCGAACCCTAGCCAAGAGCTCATGGCTCTTCATTTTCCGGAGAGAATGGGCCCCACCTCCCTCGCTTTCTGCTCCATTGGCTCCATTTGATACCCGAGTCGATGGAGGAGGTGGCATGACTCCGCTGTCGACGTGCTTGTTCGCCCTCTTTAAAACAAGATTTAACCTCAACGACCAGCCTGGCAGCTGGAGATTGCTCGACGACTGTCCTTCGGAGGCACCCATGAGGCTTGAATCTTGATTGGTCGTGGGTCCCACCCTCAATGACTCCAGGCCGGTTGCATCCGAGCGCAAACTGGCGTCACTGCCTGCCCTGCTCCTCATCCTTCGCAGCTCGGAACCCTGAAGTCCCACAAGCGTTTTGTCCAAGAGGCCCTTTGACATCGCTGTTGTCGTATCTCCGCTTGACAGAAATGTGGCGGCTTGCACGCTCCCGTTGACGTGCGGGCAGAAGGTACGGTGCTCTCGTGCGACGTGAAAGGTCCGAGGGCGATTCGTCGTTTTAGTTGGTTGCGAGTCTTCAGACAAGCATGACCAGAGACCGACCTTGCGGGCACAGTAGGAACAACTGACGGTCGTGTTGCTCGCTTTGAGCTTTTCCGGGGTGGTAGAAGGGGTGAGGGCACTTTGCCAGCCAAAGAGCGAGAGGAGTGAGCAGATGCGAACAGCGCTGTCTTCGCTGTTGCTCCCTGGCATGGACACGGACAAGGCGGTCGTGATGGCCGCTACGAACTGTTGCACCTCACCCTCGTTCTATGTAGGCCAAAAATCATTTGTCAGTGAGCAAGCTTCTTCAGTAGAAGGGTAAATGCGACAGGATGCGCACCAAAGGCGTCTCGATGAGAAGTTTTTCGATGCTGGTGCATTCCAACAGGTTGCGCGTGTCATTGGCCAAATCCTTGACGGTGGCGATTCTCGAATGGATTGAAAGACGGTAGAGTGATGCTGAATTGTGTACAGACAGTCCTGCTCTCAGCACGCAGTGCTACCGTCCTGAAAGAAGGGTTGGACTCACCATCGCATCCTCTCAACCTCCAAGGACACCATGACTTATGAGAGTCGACAATCTTTGATTCCTGCCTGTTCCAAAAGTCCTCTTTCTCCTCTCTACTTTGAGCAGCTGGAGGGCTTTCCAAGTGGCAGGTGGCGGCACAGGTGACGCATCGCACTTCGTCGCGCGTGCTCACACCGGCTTGTGACCAACCGCGAGTCGCAATGCCCAGCGGGCTCAGGCGGGGATGATGCGCAGGCTTGGTGGTGTAGCTTGAGATAGTGAACGTTGACAGCCGGCTCAGAAGATGCTCCCGAGAGAAAGGCTGGTAGGTGGCGGGTGAGGACGAGGAAGACCCTTCTCCCTTTGGATTTGCCTTGCGAAGACGCCTGGCTCTGGCTCTCTCCCGTTGGACGTGGTCCAGCCCAGCGATGCTGCTGAATGAAGACCTTTTCCGTGCCGCCTCCTCACTGGATGGAGATACGACATCGGCCACTTTCCGTCTCTTGACTTCTGAGCGCGGCTCCAACGCCGAAGGAGGTGTCGACGACGACGATGATGACAATGCAGGCGAAATTGCTGGGAACGCAAAGGCATCGAGGGTCCGGATTGTGTTGCTCGCCCTGCCCGTCGTGAGATGCGCGTACGGGTGGCGGCCCGAGGACGACCCTGCCTCCTCCATTGTCCCGCAAAGAGCGTCGGCGCTGCACGTCGTCGAGGAGTGAGAAGGATGCAAGTGGATCGAGGTTGAAGCACGTGTAAATCGAGACCAAGAACAACACTCGACCTGAACGAACATTTTTTTGGCAGTATTCTTCGCGTCGTACCCCTTACAAGCTTCCTCTAACTTAGCAGCAGCAGCAGCAGACAAGCCGAGATGGAAACGGGTCAGTCCGCTTCCTCCTTGTCTTTGTCGGGCTCAGCATCAAGACAGGGCCTCTTTGCATCGCCTTCAGGGCAGTTCGGCGGGCCAAAGGCAGGATCAAGCAGTACAAATGGGGTCGCAGCGTTAGCAGCGTCAGCGAACGGAGGCCCAGCGACACCGATGAGGGCGACGCCCAGGGGCAAGAGGAACTCACTTGCCGACTTCGGTACACCGATCAAGGTCGCCAACTCATCTCCATATCGAACACCGGAACCATCGTCGCGGGCTGCCTCGCTCCTGCTCAGGTCTCCTTTCGGCACGCCTGCTTCCAAGACTGCAACTCCCACGACGAGCGGTGTAGCTGGCGCCTCGGGTCAAGCGACGGCGGCAGGAGGGGGAGCATCAACGCCACCCAAGCCCCTGACTGGGAGCGCTGCGGTGCTGGCGAGGATTCAGGCGCTCGGAGGAGGTGCGAGTGTGACAAGGCCGCTCCAGGGCAAGCTCTACCTGCCGTACTCGAGCTATGTTCAGCTCGCGCTCCAGACCAACATCGACAGGCTCTACGTTGCCGCCGTTCTCAGCGTACATGTCCTCCTTAGCTTGTCGCTCTTCTCGCCGCTGTCGCCTCTTGCATCCCTCGCTCTGCCACTACGGCCCACCCTCGTACTCCTTTCGACACTCGCCTTTGCTCTGGGTGTCCTCCCTCTCATCGCTGCGCGGCGCTTGAGCATCCGAGGAGGCAGCAGCTACTTTACCCCGAAGCCTCTTCTCTCGAGCAGTATCAACGCTCTCGGTTTCGCCTTTCCCCTCTCGTCCCCGGGTGCCCACTACCTTTGGTCGTTGAGCAATCCAAGCACCTGGCTCGCCGCCGCCTTATATGCGCTGTCGGGCCTCGCACTTGCAGGTACTCACGGACTAGCCCTGATGCTTTATGCGAACAATGAAGAAGGACGGTGGTCGCCCTATCTCACGGTACCCATTCGCACCTCGGATGGCTACCGGACCACTGCGACTAGACCCAACGAGCGACTCTTCTTCTTGATAGGCTCCAATCTCCTCTTGGGCGCTTGCTACAGCGTATACCGATCTTCCTCTCTCGCTCATCCATCGTCGAGCCTCTTAGGTTCCCCCCACTTTGCATCGCAAGCTACCGTGCAATCGGCCTCCTCTCGCATCTCGGTGCAGCTTCGCCGTCGTCTGCCTACGGCCCTTATCCTCGGCCTTGTCTTGCCCGCTGCACTTCTGGTAGGCTATCTACCCATTCGACGCCCCCTCTTCCGGCTTCTCCTTTCGATAATGGGCCACCACTCGCCCCTGCGCCCAATTTTCATCCCTTCATTCCGCTCGAGCTTCCTCAGCATCGGCCTCTTGGTGCGCACGACAGCGTTAGGCATCGTCAGCGCTCTCGCATGGGAGACGGTCTCTGTTCTCTGGGACGTCTTTGCCACACAGCCATTCACCGACCGAGGCGGGCTCAGTGCCTTCTCCCGCGCGCCGAAGAATTGCCTCATCAGCGGCATACAGGCCAGAAGAGATGCCACGGTCGAGGGACCAGATCGGAGGGAGCCAAAGGAGGCGAGGGAGTATTACAGCCACTTTGCCTTTGCTGAGCAGGCGGTGCTGGCAGCGACGGAACCAGATCGCAGAAAGGCCATCTTTCGCGATGTTGGGTCCTCGACGCCAGGAGCCGCTGGTGCGGCAAAGAGCTCCTGGCAGTTGCTGGCGCAGGAGTGCTTGGCCGTGATCGACGAGGAGCGGGTGCACATCGCCAGAAGAGGGCAAGCTCAATCAACAGTGGCAACGTCTTCGTCGTCCACGGGCACCATTACAGCTTCTGCCTCTTCAAAAAAGCCCCTTGATCCTTCTCACGATGCGCTGCAGAGTGGCGCACATATCGTTAAGCCAGCCCAACAAACAATTTGGGACAAGCTCGCTTCGTCGAGTGGCGGTAGCCAGCCAGCCAAGCCTGCCTCTTCCACGACGACCGCCGTCTCATCGTCAACTCCAGCTTCCGACGCTGGGCTCAGTGACTTGCTGCATCGCATCGCGCCCAGACCGGAGACGGATGTATCTGCTGTCACCCGACAAGGTCCCGCTGTAAAGCGACCACCAACAACATCTACCACGAGCAGTAGCAGCAGCACCGGAGGAGGCTACGCTTTCCTACACCAGGTCGTCTCTTCGATGGTTCACACCACCTTCAGTCTCTTGCGCACAGCGTACCTTCTCCTCCCTTCCGATCTACAACACGTCCTTCGCACAGCACCCGTCCTGCGATCTCTCCCGCAAGTCTACTCCTACCTCATAACCCCGGCAACAACGACGCTAATTGCCTCGAGGACCATGCCCGTACACGCGGCTCTCGACGTCTGGAGCAGTCAGATTCTCTCTGCTCTGCTCGCGGCGAGCGTGACCGAAGACGAATATGGAAGTGTGGCACTCAGCGCAAAGGAAGGTTGCGGTGTCGAGCAGGTCGTCAGCGCACTGACCAAGCTCCTTCTCGAGATCCAGTCTTGGCAGCAGCAACAGCAGCAAGTCGGCCAGTCAGACGAAGAAAAGGAGCTCTGGGAGCAAGAGGTAGAGCCGCTGGCCTCTGCGCTCCGATCGGGCATCACGATTGTGCTTGCGGCCTTTGAACCAAAGGGGCACGTTTGGGCAAACGAGACGCAGGCTTTGTTGTCGAAGGCCTTCTCGTCGTGAGAGCTGCTCTGGAAATGAAAAGAAATGACAATAAAGGATTACTCAAGTCGCCCAGGTCTGTGGTTCGAGCATGTCTTTTCCTCTGTGCACGGACAATTGTTGTGCCAAGAGATGGCAAGAGCCAAGAAGAGGAAAGTAGATGGGGATCCTGCACTTCTCCATACATACTGTCAAACGAGGCACGAGCTTCTAGACTGCCTGCTTGGCGTCGATACGATGTTGCGCACGGGGCAGAATCGGAGATTTCCTGCTTGGCAGGCATGTCCGTGCTCCAATGCTCTTTCACTTGGCCTTGGCAGTGGTCGACAACCAAACTCTCGAGGTTCAATTCTGCTTCGGTGGGCCAACAACATTTCATATGTTCACATGCATGGTCCAACCTCCCCAGCCCCGACGGCGTCGCGCTGTCGTTGCTGCTCCGCCAGCACCTAAAGCTGGGGGAGAGGAGTAGGAGCCAAATGGTCTCGTGACCACAGTCTTGGACGCGGCGCGCATGACAGGCATGCAATAATGTCTGTCTATGCAGTAGCACAGTACGTACGTATAGCACCGCTGCATCGCAAAAATGATCGACAATCCAAGGTACAAGCAAAAGCTAGCAAGAATTTACAGCACTAAGCACGCGTGATGGCGGATATCAATAAATAAGCAGGGCTGGAGGAAGAAACGAAACCTTCGTTGCATTCGTGTTCGGATGTCGCGCGTTCGGAAAACCCTGCTTTCCCCCCAAAAACCGATGAGAAATTCAATAGAAAGCATGAGACAGAAACAGAGTAGCAATAGTTTTAGTAGTAGTGGTAGTAGGAGTAGGAGTAGGAGTAGGAGTAGTAGTAGCAGCTGAGAAGCCCTGATTATGTCGAGACCAGGCCTGTCCCCATCTCATTCGCCCGGGCTTGCCTCGGTCTATCGTCGCCCGCGCAACCCTGGGCCCTCGTCACGTCTCCGCGTCGGCGTTCACCTGTTGCGGTCGCAGCATGCATGTCTTTGGCTTGAGGGTTTAAACGAGCTTTCGAAATTATTCGCTCCAGGCCCCCTCTGCGTCTCGGCAAAATCGACTTCAACTACTGCTGGGGCCTCGCTCCTATTCCGTGCCGAAACCGACAGCGAGCAGAGCGCTTGATGACGTTTATCGTTTCTGTCCCTCCGAGGAGGGACATGCAGGGCCAAAGCAGGCAAAGCTAACGATGATTTCTCATCTCTTATTTGAACGTGGCTTGGAATCCGCGCCCGCGGCGACTGGAGCAGGAAATAAAAAGCTTTGCCGTAGCCCGCGCGCGGAGATACGGTCGGAGAAGAGGTGCCAACCTGGGCGTTTGCTCGGCTACACCGCTGGGCTAGGGATTACTACTGCCATGAGTCAAACCGCAGAAAGAGAAATGAAATCAAAGCGAATTCAAATAATGAGTCTGTCATGGGGCCTTGCACAACGAAGCTGCCTCCACGCCTGTTGTTGCCTTTCCTTTCGGACGCGCGGTTTCGGATTCCTTCGCACGTTGAACCGACAGCCACCCGGGCCCGTCAATTGTTGTATTCCAAAACGCTTGCGGCAATGTTTTGAGATGATGCTGGGCCCTCTATGGGCGCCTCTACGCTGAACGCTTTCTGATGCATCGAGCTCCCACTGACGTCAAGACCAAAGACCAAGATGGCCATCATTCGTGCCCCTTGCTATCAAGCACATGTTAGCCTGGCCTTGGCCTTCTTTGGATTGCGAGCGGACAGTCGTATTTGGGTGTAGTGTTTTTTTATGGTCAGCGCTAGGAAGACTTCTGTGCAGGCGACGGATAGGAGAGACATTTTGAATTTTTCTAATGGGCAAAGAAAATTTTCGAGCTCGAGGCACGGCGGGCACAGATCACGGCAGGACAAATAATGGGACAGTGGTATACTGCCCAGCGGCCAGCGAGGCTCTTGCCTTCCTCCGATCGCACGCACCTATTCCTAATCCAATCGAAGACTGGAAACTGGTGTCCGAGGACCACTTTGTATTGGTGCCTTCGCCTTTCCCCCCCTCTTGGAAGCTGCTCAAAACATCAGGCCCCCCTATATATTTTCTCTTGAACGAGCCAACACCTTCGTCCCTTTCCCTCATCGACCAACCTCTTCATTTTCTTCCCGTCACCCTTTCCCCATCCTCTCTTCCCCCTCTCCTCCCTCGACCGCCGTCGTAGTCGTGTAAAGGGTGAGCTTGATCATTTGCAAAAGTCTTCGCAGAGTCTGGGCTGAACGACGGGTTTGCCCTTATCTTCCCTTTTCACTCCCAGCTTTGGAAGTAGGACAGACTGATCCTCTGTGCTCAACCTTTGCCCAGCAGCGACAAGTTTGTGCGCCAAATTCCATCGGGGCTTTGCTTTCGTGGTGAGTTTCCTCCTCTCTGGCTATCCCCCTCAAATTCGTGGGCGTCCCTGCCCCTAGACCGCGGCAGGCGGCGCGGAGCAGGATGAGCGGACGAGCGGATGCAAGCGAGCGACCTGTCTTTTAGTCCGCCCAGCTCATGCCCCTCCGTGCTCTGGCTCTGCCTCATCTATGTTGCCTTTTCTCTCACGGTATTAGCTGAGAACGTGAAGCTGACGCTTTTTCTCTCTCTTTCCTCCTTTTGTCCCCTCTTCTTGCGACTCGCCCTGTCTCCACGATCTCCTCGTACCTCCTGACCCACTCGGCGCTCCAATCTTCCGTCTACTACAAACACAAAACGCCCACACATTCGAATCCTCTCTTTTAGCATTTCCTCTATTTAACTGGCCACTTCCTGCCTCGTGCTCTTCTCATCCCCATCGACGTCTTATAGTCAACCACCCCACCAGCACAACAATTGGTCAACATGTCCGACGTTGAAAAGGGTGGCGATGCCACCAACGACGAGTACCAGGCGCTCATCAACTTCATCCGCGAGCAGAAGAGCCACAGCGGTGATGATGACGGCGACGACACCCAGGTCGTCACCAAGCGTTCTTTCCCTGCTTTCTGGAAGAAGAGGGAGGTCCGCGTCAACAAGCATGGCGAGGAGCAGGAGGAGGTTGCTGCCAAGACGCCTGCCTCTTGGTGAGTCAACTCTTCCACCGCAACGTAGCATACCAGCTTGCTGACTTGCCCGCTCCTTTTCAATAGGCTTGAGACGGACATGACCCGAGGTATCTCGGAGAGCGATGTCCACAAGCGTCGCAGCATGTTCGGTTTCAACGAGCTTGAGTCTCCTTCGGAGAACCTCTTCCTCAAATTCCTCGGTTTCTTCAAGGGTCCCATTCTCTACGGTGAGCTAATCCTTCACAGCAGTCTTGTGGCAAGCCTGACGCTGATTCTCTTTTCCCAATAGTTATGGAGCTGGCTGTTGCCCTTGCTGGTGGTCTTCGTGAATGGATTGACTTTGGTGTCATTATCGCCATCTTGCTCCTCAACGCTTTCGTCGGTTGGTACCAGGAGAAGCAGGCTGGCGACATTGTCGCTCAGCTCAAGGCCGGAATTGCGCTCAGGACCACCGTCGTCCGTGACGGCCAGGAACACGAAATTGAGGCCCGTGAGCTTGTCCCCGGTGACATTGTCATTGTCGAGGACGGCAAGACGGTTCCCTGCGACGGTCGCCTGCTTGCCGACTACGACGACAAGGACATGAGCCAGGCCAACTCGATCAAGGAGAAGATGGAGGCTTCCAAGAGGCACGGTGGCGGCGAGGATGACGACGAGGGCATCGACAAGGGCCCTGCGATCATTGCCTGCGACCAGTCTGCCATCACCGGAGAGTCGCTCGCCGTCGACAAGCACATTGGTGACTCGGTCTTCTACACGACTGGCTGCAAGCGTGGCAAGGCCTACATCCTCTGCACGGACATTGCCAAGCAGACCTTCGTCGGCCGCACCGCTGCCCTCGTCCTCGGTGGCGAGACCAAGGGTCACTTCCAGATTGTCATGGACTCGATCGGAACAACGCTCCTCATCCTCGTCGTCGTCTTCATCCTCGCCTTCTGGATCTCTGGCTTCTTCCGCAACACTGGCATTGCTCAGCCCAAGGACAACAACTTGCTTATCTACACCCTCATCTTCCTCGTCATTGGTGTTCCCGTCGGTCTTCCCTGCGTTACCACGACGACCATGGCCGTCGGTGCCGCCTACCTCGCCAAGCGCCAGGCCATCGTTCAGAAGCTCACCGCCATTGAGTCGCTCGCCGGTGTTGATGTTCTCTGCTCGGACAAGACTGGTACACTTACTGCCAACAAGCTCTCGATCCACGAGCCTTTCGTTTCCGAGGGTGTTGACGTCAACTACATGATGGCCGTCGCTGCTCTTGCTTCGTCGCACAACATCAAGTCGCTCGACCCCATTGACAAGGTCACCATCAGCACGCTCAAGGACTACCCCGCTGCTCAGGAGGAGCTCGGCCGTGGCTGGAAGACGCACAAGTTCACGCCCTTCGACCCTGTCTCGAAGCGCATCACTGCCGAGGTTGAGAAGGACGGAAAGAGGTACACGGCCGCCAAGGGTGCCCCCAACGCCATCCTCAAGCTCTGCGCCCCTGACAAGGAAACTGCTGACCAGTACCGCAAGGTCGCTGGTGACTTTGCCGCCCGTGGTTTCCGTTCGCTCGGTGTTGCGATCAACGATGGCCAGTGGAAGCTCCTCGGTCTCCTTCCCATGTTCGACCCTCCTCGCTCCGACACGGCTGCCACCATTGCTGAGGCCCAGACTCTCGGTGTCTCCGTCAAGATGCTTACTGGTGACGCCGTTGCTATTGCTAAGGAGACGTGCAAGATGCTTGCTCTCGGTACCAAGGTCTACGACTCGCAGCGCCTCATTGGCTCTGGCGGCATGACTGGCTCGGCCATCCACGACTTCGTCGAGGCTGCCGACGGTTTCGCAGAGGTCTTCCCCGAACACAAGTACCAGGTCGTCGAGATGCTCCAGCACCGTGGTCACCTTACCGCCATGTGAGTTTTCTCTTTTTTCGTTTTTCTTTCTGTCCGTGCTGTTTAGCCGAGGATAGGGGCTGCCCGAAAAGACGCGTTGAAATCACGTGAGCTGACTATTTTACCCGTTCCTCTCTCAGGACTGGTGACGGTGTCAACGACGCTCCCTCGCTCAAGAAGGCCGACTGTGGTATCGCTGTCGAAGGTGCCTCGGATGCTGCTCGCTCGGCTGCCGACGTCGTCTTCCTCGACGAGGGTCTCTCGACGATCATCACCTCCATCAAGGTCGCCCGTCAGATTTTCCACCGCATGAAGGCTTACATCCAGTACCGTATCTCGCTCTGTCTCCACCTCGAAGTCTACCTTGTCCTCTCGATCATCATCCTCGACGAGGTGATCCGCGCTGACCTCATCGTCTTCATCGCCCTGTTCGCCGACGTTGCCACGATCGCCATTGCCTACGACAACGCTCCTCACGCTCGCGCCCCCGTCGAGTGGCAGTTGCCCAAGATCTGGTTCATTTCGGTCATCCTCGGTCTCCTTCTTGCCGGTGGTACCTGGATCCTCCGCGGAACCCTGTTCCTGCACAGCGGTGGTGTCATCCAGAACTTCGGCAACACGCAGGAGATTCTCTTCCTCGAGGTTTCGCTCACCGAGAACTGGCTCATCTTCGTCACCCGTCTCGGCGGTGGCGAGTCGGACATCACGCTCCCCAGCTGGCAGCTTGTTGGCGCCGTCCTGGGTGTCGACGCCATCTCGACCATCTTCTGTCTCTTCGGCTGGCTCTCGGGCGCTCCCAACCGGAACCCGCTCACCGCTCCCCACGGTGGATGGACGGACATTGTCACGGTCGTTCGTGTCTGGGCCTACTCGATCGGTGTCACGATCGTCATTGCCCTCGTCTACTACATCCTCAGCCGTATCCCCGCCCTGGACCGTCTCGGCCGCCGACAGGTTGGCCAGAAGAACGAGCTGCTCGAGGACTTCTTCACGAACCTCCAGCGACTCACGATCGTCCACGAGAAGGACGCAGACGGAGGCGACCTCTACGCCTTCCAGACGCGCCTCGACATCGACGAGGACTAGACAGCTCGCTCGCTTGTCTGATCAACAAGGCGCTGTCCCCTTCTTCTCTTCTTTCCACACAGCGATGTTTTCGTCTCGACAATGTTTTGTTTGGCACTTGAGTGCGCCTCTTCGACTTCTCGCTTCGCACTCGCGCCATCACTCTCCTCAATACAACAACTACGACAACCACTGCTACTCAACAAATCAACAAATTCCCCGGCGGGTCGACTGCACGTTGCAACCATAGAGTGACGGCGACCATCCCGCCATCCTTTCCCCCTTCTTCGACAACCACATTCTTTTTAACTTTACTTCTTCCTATACTTTATTTCGTCTAAACTTCTTCTGTCCCACTCTCCCGTCTCTCTTTCTGCAGATGAATCGATCGTAAAGTATCGGACTACTCTACTATACTGCCGTCAGCTACAGCCATAGCAAGCTAGCTAGAGATGAGCGTCTGCCCTCCTGCTCCCCGTCCCCAAATGGAGTCTTGCCCCTTCTCCACGCTACTTTCATCTGCCCACAACTTCCCTTCACTCCCCACGTTCCCGCTCTACCGTCTTATGCCCTTTGACGCCCCCCTTTACGCCTTCGAAGCGGCCTTCTTCTGCCCGTGTACGGTAGAGAAGCATGATGTCCTCGACCTTTACGAAGTAGTGATGTTCCAACAGCAAATGAAATAAACTTTTGCGATTCCCTACCCTAGTGGAGGTGCAGGCTGGCCCTTGCTTGGCTGAATTTGGAGCTTCCATTATATTTGGGGCTGCCTGCCCCCCCTTCTCTCCCGACCGTTCCTCGACCGTGTGCGATTCTTGTTCTTTTGGCGTTGGGGCGCACCGACGACGCCGCGTCCTTCTCTGATCTCTCTTTCGCCCCGTCCTCCTTCTCTTCTGCTCATGATTTGACGACTTGCAAGCTACCTCATTCATTTCTCGATCCCACCGCCGCTCGTACGATCTCGAACGGGATAGCATACATACCCCAACCTTCAATTCGATCAAGACCCCAATCAACGCCAACGGAGACACGCATCGGATACCACATCATAGCAAACAGCCTAGCAGCGACATTGATACCGGCATCATCACATTAACGCACATCTACAGAAAATAAGGAGCAATGAGCGACACACCTTCTGAGACTGCCACCGAGAAGGAGAATGAGGCGCCATCGGTGGGCGCAAACGTGCACTGCGACGACCTCAACCCAAAGGCTTCGTCAAACCATCAGCACTTGACCGATTCCTCATCGATGCCACCCGCTTCGGCAAGAGAATCGACGACTGCGACGTTTGAGAGCAGCGGAATGGGCGTTGAGCAGGAGCAGGAGCCTCCGATAACGACGACATACACGACCAACAAGAAACCGACATCGACTACGACCAAGACCACGACTACGACCACGACTTCGCCAAAGAGGGCAAAGAGGGGCGTTGCCTCGTCCTCGTCCAATTCGAAGCCCTTTTCTGACTCGGCAAGGAAGAGAGACAGCGTGCAGGCGCTTGGATCCATCAGCCACCTGCAAAGATTTTACAATAGCCATGGACTGTGGGTTCATCTTGTGGTCACTCTGCTGCTTCCATGGCTGACTTGATCCTCACCTGTGGTAGGGCAAGCAAGCAGAAACCGGCTGGAGGTGGCGTGCTGGCGATTGGCCACGCGGCTGAGCGGGCCTTGGACGATCCTCTAGCTCGGCCAACCCCTGGCGACGACGATACCGCAGGAAGAGGACGAGACCTCGCTTTGGCTGCTCTGCAAGGAAGACATGACGAAAACAAGGAGGGGCGGGTCGCTGAACATGGTAAAGGTGATGGCGAAGGCGACGACGGCCCCGACGACGATGATGAGGACGATGAAGACGACCTTCTCCGACCTGAAGATCTGCAGATGTCACGATACAAGAAGCCGCTGCCGTATCCCGACGTGGGCAAGCAGCTCGATGCTGACCCTCGAATCTTACGGCCCGGCGTTCTGGCTGCGCTCGATGAGACGTGCCAGAAGTGGGGTCTGATGGACCTCATCAAGACAGCTGGCGAAGAAGATGCGCGACATCTCTCCGGCTCCCTCTCTCGAAGACCGAGCTCGAGTGTGCCTTTGGAACAGCAGCAGGCAAATAATGGCGAACCGGTGGACATAGACGAGCTCCTCAAAAGCACTTCGAACACGATTCGCAAGGTTCGAACTTACCTCTTTGCCCTACCTGCGGACTCGATTACACCTCGCGGTGCTGCTGGCCCTATGTCCTCAAAGGAAGGTGCCCTAGGCCCCTCTGGTCGCACACTCAAGCCGAAAGATTCCTTCAAACGCCAGAGCAGCTTCATGGGCCTACCTCGAGGCACCGGAAGCAGCAGCGGCATGCCTAGTGCGTGGAAGAGCAGGCCAGAGATCCCTTTCGCTCCGGCAAAACCGATCCAAGGGGAGCAACTTGATCCTTTTGAAACGTTGGCTGCACAACGCCGAAGAAGCTCAGTCACAGGAGACGGCGTCAAAGAAGTTAATCGAGCAGGTTCCATGTCAAGAATGTCATCCGCTGCAGACGTCAACAAGACGGTAGACAAGAGCAAAGAGACACCGCTGCAGCAACATCAACAACAGCAACAGGACGCAAACGATCCCCTCGTCCTCGTCCGCACTTCTTCCCTCAGTGTCCTTGGAGCGATGCGCGAGCTCGACGAGAGGACGAAGGTCGCGAGCACCGAGGATGTGATGAGCGAGGTCAAGGGTCATGAAGTGAAGCGCAATGTTGCGTTGCTCTCTGCATCCTTTGCAAGCCCTTCGACGTTGACCGTCGATCTGACGGGATCTTCGACAGGCATGTTCTCATCCTCGACAGCGAGCAATGCCAGCACAGAGGATGTGACAGCGGCCTTTCCACCTCGAGAAAGAGTTGCCCTGTCGTCCCTTCGAAAGGAGAGAGAGGTTGTCAAGGAGTATTTGACAACGGTTAATAACGTCCTCGCGCTGGTGTCGCATGGACCCGGGAAACGGACGAGAACGAGGACTTCTTTGGCGAACCTTCAGCAGAGGTCACTAGGAAGGAACCTGGGACTCGGGTCCGCCCCTGGTCTGACAATTGATCGCCTTTCGAGGAGGAATCAGTCAGCCTCGGTGGGTGACACCCCGGCAATCAGGGTGCAACTTCATGGTCCCGAGCAGGGTGACAAGGCGCAAGACACACTTGGCATGGGCGCTGTCAGCATCGACGATTCGATCGATGAGGGTGATGCCGATCTCATCTTGACGGGAGCAGCAGGAGAAGAAGATCTTCCTCCGTGGGCCCGCGCAGGCCAAGACTATCCCGGTGGATCTATCGCCCGCGCCCGCGACCTCCTCATCGACATGCTTCCCTCCGACTTGGCATTGGAGGTGCCTCTGCTGGACGAGGTCGATTCCTCGCATCCCTACACGCAAAAGGAAGAAGACGACGAAGATTTTGACACCCCCAGCACTGGCAAATTCGCCTTCCTCAGCGCGCTTTCCAACGGCCAGTTGCTCTGCTTGGCCTACAACGAGGCGCTGCGCCAGAGCAAGCGTCCCTGGGGATTCATTCAGCCTCAGGACATCCACGATGTCATGACGTATGAGCGCGCAGCGCGAGAAGCGCGAAAGAACAAGAGCGCTCAGGAGCGCATCGAGGAGAAGCTTGAAAGGGAGGAAAGGAAAAAGAAGGGAGAGACAAGCACGTCTGGCACAAATAGCAGCCTGGGCTGGACATTCAGACGGACCGAGAATCTACGGGTCTGGACGGCTGCGCTTCGTCTCCGTTACCTGTTGTCCTTCTCCGGTTCGCAACAGGTGGTGGCGCCAGCTGCTGCAAGCACGAGGCGAATGTCCTCATTCACTTATGGGAGCGCCAGCAATACGTCGAAGGAGGACCTTGCGCTTGTCGAGCTGTCCTCATCTGGGAGTGCCGTGCCACCACAAGCGACACCACTTCCGCCTCTTGCGCCAGTGTTTGATCCCAAAAGCGTGGCCAGAAAGCAGTTGGGTACACCGTGGCTCGATATGCTCGAAGAAGCCCTCTGCAGGTGGGCGCAGGCCGTGGTATCTGAGGAGCTGGAAACGGACTCGGTCTAGTAGTTCCAGTCTCCCTCTTCAATCAACCGAAAGCCAAAAGAAGATGATGAGAAGAATTCCTATTGCAGTGATCCCTTTCTGTCTATGCTTTGTGGTTTGTGTTTGTGTTTGTGACGCTCTAGTCATACAGGAGGTTGTGAGAGTGAGAGAGTAAGAGAACGACTCGAGATGATAAAAGTGCCAAAGAAGAGCATGGAAGTCTTCAGGGCTCAATGCCCTTCTTCCTGAGCGTAGCCTGGTCCTCGGCCTCGAGCGCCTCGTCGATCTGGGCGCCCCTCGAAGGCTTGTTGCCATGGTCCTCTGCCGCACGCGTGGGGGGCTTGTTGTTCTCGGCAGCCTCGGCCTTGGCCTGGCGGTCCTCCTGCTTCGAGGCCTGGTCGAGCTTGTTGGCAATCGACTTTTGGTCCTTGCTGTCGAGGTTCTGGTGCGAGTTCTCAGTGCCCTTCTCGTGCGAAGGGTTGGGGTTCTCGTCGGCCTTGCCCGGTGCCTCGCGCTGGTCAGCGCCGCTCCTGTATATCCAGCGGAAAGTGAAATGACCGCGTCTTGTCAGTGGAGGTTGTCAGAGCGACAGAGGAGGAGAGCAGCCACTAACAGGTGCATCAGAGTCTGCGACTTGGTCGACATTGTTATAGTAGGCTTCTAGCTGTGCTGGTGGTGGTGCTGGTGGTGGTTAATGAAGAAGAAGAAAGCTGCGGATGCGGTCTCGTTGAAGAACACTTGACCCGTCGCGCGAGGGTCTTCCTCTCCCTCCCTCAAAGGGGGCGAACTCGAAGACGTCATGGCGCTTCAGATCGATCGAAGTAGCTAGACGCTCGCGTGGCATGATATCTTAGCAGCTCGGCCGAAACGCGTCGCGAGTGCGAATTTTTTCTCATTCTTTTTACGAAGACGTCCGTCGAGGGAGAAAAGAAAAAAAATAGAGCTCGTCGTTTGGGTTTGAGTCAGAGCAAAGACGAGGAGAGGCCCGCTCACCACTATCCACCATGGCGAACGGTACTCCAGCGCCCACAGAGGCGATTCATTCGCAGTACGACTCGATCCTCATCCTCGACTTCGGCTCGCAGTACAGCCATCTGATCACGCGAAGATGTCGCGAGCTCAACGTCTACTGCGAGATGCTGCCGTGCACGCAAAAGATCAAGGATCTCGACTGGAAACCCAAGGGCATCATCCTCTCCGGCTCGCCATACAGCGTCTACGACAAGGGTGCTCCTCGGGTCGACCCTGATGTATTTGAGGCAGGCGTTCCCGTGCTGGGCATCTGCTACGGCCTCCAAGAAATCGCGTGGAACCACGGAGGCAAGGTGGACCCGCATGATCGGAGAGAGTACGGCAAGGCGACGATCGACGTTGTCAAGACGGGAAATGCGCACATGGACGCTCTCTTTGCGGGCGAAGAGGCTCGGGTAGACGTCTGGATGTCGCATGGGGACCAGCTCTCCGTTTGCCCGCCAGACTTCGAGGTTGTTGCTAAGACGTCGACGGCGCCCTTCGCCGCCCTTGCACACAAGACGAAGCCCATCTATGGGATTCAGTTCCACGCCGAGGTGACGCACAGCCCGAGGGGCAAAGAACTGTTCGAAAATTTTGTCGAGCGCATCTGCGATTGCAGACGGGACTGGAACATGGAGACGTTCATCGACAAGGAAATTGCCAGGATCCGCGAGCTCGTGGGACCCAAGGGAAGGGTTATTGGTGCCATCTCGGGCGGTGTCGACAGCTCCGTGGCGGCCAAGCTTATGCATGAGGCCATCGGTGATCGCTTCCATGCTGTCATGGTCGACAATGGCGTCCTGCGGGCACGGGAAGCGGCGCAGGTGTACGAGATGCTGTCGCAGCATCTTGGCGTGAACGTCACCATCGTCGACGCCAGCGAGCTCTTCCTGGGCCGGCTTGAGGGTGTCGATGACCCAGAGAAGAAGCGGAAGATTATCGGCAACACCTTCATCAATGTCTTTGAGGAGGAAGCGGCCAAGCTCGAGGCAGAAGCCGAGCGGGAAGAAGAAGAAGCGAAGAAGGCGGGCAGGCAGCACGAAACCAAGGGGAAATACGAGTACCTGCTCCAGGGTACTCTTTACCCCGATGTGATTGAGAGCATCAGTTTCAAAGGACCCAGCGCTACGATCAAGACGCACCATAACGTCGGAGGTCTCCTCGATGATATGAAGCTGAAGCTTATTGAGCCGCTGCGTGAGCTCTTCAAAGGTAAGCTCCGTTCTTTTCCGCTTTGAACAAAGGTCTACCTTTGCCAAATGCTGACGAAACGGCTTTGCAGACGAGGTGCGGCAGCTGGGCAAGGTCATGGGCATTCCTGCTCATCTCGTTGGTCGTCATCCCTTCCCTGGTCCGGGCCTGGCTATCCGCATTCTGGGACCTGTGACACGATCTCAGGTCGAGATCCTGCAACAGGCTGACACCATCTACATCGAAGAGATTCGAAAGGCAGGCATTTACGACGAAATCAGCCAGGCCTTTGCCGTCCTCCTCCCCGTCCGTGCTGTCGGCGTGCAGGGCGACAAGCGAACCTATGACCAGGTCATTGCTCTCAGGGCCGCTCAAACGACCGATTTCATGACAGCCACATGGTACCCATTCTCGTACGACTTCCTTTCCAAAGTCTCGAATAGGATCACAAACGAGGTCCAGGGCGTCAACAGGGTCGTCTACGACGTTTCGTCCAAGCCGCCATCAACGATCGAATGGCTCTGAGTTGTTCTCTATTGCTCTTTGCAATCATAGTTCCGATAGATTGAGACTTTGCTTGACTGCTTGACCATTCAGCTGTGGTATCGTCGTGTGGCGCTTTGCACAGCTGCTGAAGATCACTTGTTCACGCGCTTGCCAAGGACCCCTTTCGAGGAGCTTGACCGTTGTTAAGGCCGGTACGGATGATTGGCACGGTCTGATGTAATTTCCGTATTTGATCCGTTCCGAGACTGCAGTTTCAATCCGACCAAGGCGCGGACGGTGACAGACGAGACGAGGCTGCCTCCTAGGGTGTGTGACTGCCTGCCAAATGGATAAATACGGAATTTTTGTGCTGAGTTGGCATGCACTGCACTGCCTCCTCAAAGAGATGGACCAAGCTTTGAAGACCTCGTCACAAGATAAGAAAGCACTTCGACCGTTACGGCCTCAGGCCGAGAAGTCGTAGCGATTACCGGCGAGCAATCGTCATCAATCGGATCACTCGGAGGATTATCCGATGCTCCGATTTCGGCCTCTCAACAACGAAGAAGCGACCTCTCGGCCTTGCTCGTCACTACTTGACAGCGCTGACCATTGGCAGCGATGGGTCGGTTGACAAGCGATCATCTGATGTATTCTGCTGTGCGATCACACTTATAAGCTTTCACCATTCTCGTCTCTTCCTTTCTGGGCGCTCAGGAACTAATGGCTCCAGGTCAAGTCTTGGCATTGGACTTTTTGTTTGCTCAAGACACTCGCTGTCAGAGTCCATCGTCAGAGCCTATCGTTGTCAACAACTCGGGTCCGCTGTCGGACCATCTCACTGTTTTTGATGAGATGACACAAGCGTGACTTGGTAAGGGTTTGAAGAGGAGCTAGTGCAACGCGTTTGAATAGGCACGGATATTCTCGATCTGATAAGGGAAATTTGGACGGTAAGAACGGACGGCGAAGAGCGGGGGCAACAGAACGGCAGACAGGGCCAAATCAGATACTTCAGTGCCATGGCCTCTTTGAGCTGCAAGACGATAGCGCTAAATGACCTCCCTGCGGCTTCCTTGTTGCAGCCGTCTCTCCTCGTTTCCTCGAATTGTGCCCCACCGGTGTCAAAGCAGACTAAGTCGCCGTCATCAGATACGTGGAAGCACGTCACTGATATTGTCCGTGAATCCTTCGTTCGCCGACCCGGATTATAGTTGCGGCAGACCACGGCAGGTCACGGCAGACGGCAGCAGAGAGCGCTTCGCCTGCCTTTGCTCAGCTCTCGCATGACCCCTCGGCCAGCTGGCTCTCGCATCGTTCCCGCACGGCGGCAGGTGCAAGAATAGAATGCCAAGGTGGGTAGGTACCGTTTCTGAATGGTACCTGATTAAAGTTGTGCAGTTGCGAACGCCTGCCGGTGCACCTTCTTCATATCTCGGTTCCTCTAGATACATTGCCAGGATCTAAGCTACCTCGGATCGTTCTCCGCGAGAAAGAGCCTGTGACGATGTGCCCTTTGCCAAGCGTCCGTGTTGCATCTTAGCTTCTCCGTACATCAACACTATTGCTGAGGCTGGCCATGCTTCGCTGTCGGAGGACTCCGTCGCTTCCCCTTCTCGACCAAATCAACTAGCTGATTTTTTTTCCTCTTTCCTTTCACTACTCTCTCTTTTGATTATTTAATTCTAGCGGACAGCCGGACGGGTGGCGCGGAAGAAGAAGTGGGTTGCTGAACTTTGTTCTGGTCCTGGATATATAGTGCGAAGCGAAGCGATCCGTTCGCTCTACGCCCTTCATCAACCCTCCCCAATTCTTCGTCGCCTGTCAAGCAGTAAGCCGTAGGTGACGCCGCCCAAGCCACCGCCTTTTACCGACGGTCAGACATCGGAGTCTGAGACACACTATATATTTAAGCGTGGGTGGCGACATTGCTTCGGTACGGATCTCAGATGCAAGCGAAGCTGATCTTGCTTTTACCATACTATTCATTCATCTCGTCCTTCCTACATCTCCCTATACCGGCATTTTGGCCTGCTTGAACCCCCGCTGCGTCATTCCACTTTCCTCGTCATTTCCAACCTCCTTCCCCGACGTCGACCCTCGCGCTCCCGCTTACGTACTGCACATGCCGCTTACCATTGGGTCGCGTCTGATTGGTTAAATCACGCGTGGGCCTCCAAACTCTATCTTCCCCCTTCGTCCTGTCAACCCTCTGTCGGAAAAAAATGCGACTTGGACGTTATCCGCACCCGTGTGGCTGGCTGGACGCTCCGCTGCCTATGGTGCGGTCATTTGACCATCTTCAACTCCACCCCTACACATCCCTTGCGATCGATTCTTCTCCTCCTCCTTCCATCCCCCCTTCTCATCTACAGGTCGCACACCTTCTTCACACCGTCATCTTGCAAACGTCCGTGCGCCAACTCCTTACGAACCTCTCCCTGCATATGTACCCACGCTCGGACGCTTACTAGCGAACATCCTCGAAACGCCAATTACGAATCGCAACGTCATCTCATAGAATCAGAGCATCAAGATGAACGGTACTGACGACATCTACGACCTGGTCGGCATCGGCTTCGGACCGGCCAACCTATCGCTGGCCATTGCGCTGCAGGAGTCCAAAGAAATCTCCGAAAGAGGCTTCAGGTCAACTTTCATTGAACGACAACCTGGCTTCGCTTGGTGGGTTGCTTTCCCTTTTCCTTTGATCTCTCATAGGCAGAGAAAATGAAGATAGTAGCTCACGGTAGACCACATTCAGGCATTCCTCCCTTCTCTTGCCCGGCTCACAGCTGCAAGTCTCGCCGCTAAAGGACCTTGTGACGATGCGAGACCCAACTTCGTCTTTCAGCTTCACCAACTACCTCCATTCGAAGAACCGGCTTGCGGCCTACATCAACAAAGAAGCCAACATTCCGAGCCGACGCGAATGGAGCGCTTACCTGGCTTGGGCCGCGGATCGTATGAGCCACGCCGTCAGCTACGGTGAGGAAGTCATCACCGTGGAGCCCGTCACCACCACGGAGCTTGTTACGCTTGCTTCCCAGAGCAAGGACAGCGAATCGGTGGAAGACGACGATGAGAGCGTCAGGCTTCTTCGCGTCACGAGCCGCAAAATCGCGACGGGCGACTTGACGGTGCGTTTGGCGCGCAACATCACCGTCGCCGTGGGCGGCCTACCAAAGGTTCCGCACCAGCTCGTCGATATCTATCAGCAGTACAACCACCACCTGCTGGCCTCGCAGCAGAGGATGCAGAGCCGAATCATCCACTCGGGCACCTACCTTCCGAGCTTGGCCCAGCTCGAGCCCAAGTTGCGAGAGGCGGAAACTCGCCGCTCGTCTACCCGACCACTGCGCTTTGTCGTTGTGGGTGGCGGTCAGTCGTCGTGCGAGATGTCGCTGCACCTCCGCAAGACGTTTCCCACTGCCCATGTCGCCCTCGTCTTCCGTGCCTCTGCCTTGGTGCCGTCGGACGACTCGCCATTCGTCAATGCGGTCGCCTTTGATCCGGATCGCACCGATGTCTTCTGGAAACGCAACGAGAGCCAGCGCATGGCCTGGCTCGCAGAGTACAGGCGCACCAACTATTCCGTCGTGAGAAGTGATGTCTTGAACGAGCTCCACACGGCCGTCTATGATCAGGACATTGATCATGAGAGGCCATGGCCCAACGCAGAGGGCCCCCAAACGGGAAGTTTGACGGTGCTTCCCAGCACTCAGATCGACGAGGCTTCGCTCCTCGAAGATGAAGAGGAAGAGACCATTCAGCTTCGCTTCTCTTCGACCAAGGGTCAGAGGGACAACGTGGCAAAGGAGTGGAGGGCGAAGACGCAGAAAGTCGACGCACTGTTCCTGGGCACCGGTTTCGAGCGAAGGCCGAGGGCCATGAAATTCCTGGAGGAGCTTCACAGCTACTTTCCCCTCCTCGACGAGGATGCTTCAGAGAAGAAGCGTGTGCTCGGGTTTGGACAGGAGCGCGAGGGCTCGTTGTGGGCGCGCGTGGACGAAGACGACGAAGATGAGCAGCAGGAAGGTGACGAGGATGAGCAGCAGCAGCTGGAGTACCAAAGACACCGGACACGAGGCATTACGCGCGACTACCGTCTCGTCTCGTACCTCTCCGACGCCTTCAAACAAGCACCGCTCCCCGCCACCCCTACAACCTCTCTGTCTTCGTCGATTGCATCGTCGTCTCGCAGAGTCAGCCAGCTGACATCACTTTCGTCGGCCTCCTCGAGGAACAGCTCGAGGGACAGCAGCAACGTGAGCTCGCCCTCAGTCACGCGAAGGGGAAGCGCTGCCGTTTCCGAGCCTTCGTCTAGCCGAAGCAGTGTGACGCTGCACGACGATGATGGTACAGCTTTGAACACGGGCAGGACCTCCTGCGCTGCTGCTGGAGGGAAAAAGGCGGCCTCTTTCGAGGCCAACATGTACTTTTTGGGAGGAAATGAAGCCACCCACGGCCTCTCCGACTCGCTCCTCTCCATCGTCGCGCACCGTGCAGGCGAGCTGACGAGGTCACTCCTTGTGCAACAGCAGCTGCAGACCCGAAATGCCAGCAGTGGCATCAGCAGCAGCGCTAAGGACCCGAACGCGGCCAAGATCAAGATACAGCACGAAGACGGAAGCATTGAAGAGGCGAAGCTTCTCGCTAAAAATCTTGCAAGGAAGCTCTCCGTCGAGCCGAGTTTCGCTCTTGAAGCTCAGCCCCAGCAGCTTGTCTGAAATCAACCAAAATTATTTGCTCAACCATCTCCAAATGCGTCGTAGTTTCTCTCACCTTCTGTGCATGCAGCTTTCAGTCACCGATCTGCCCAATTCAATCTCCTGCCCAATGATGATTGATGGAAAAGAACGAGCGAGAGGAGAATCCAGAGTACATCGTCTACTGAGAACAGAAAAAAAGAATGGAAGGGGGGCGGGTGTGGGGTATCAATAGTGTTGAGGGAAAGGAGAAGTTGAGGCGAGGGGTTAAGAAGTCAAAGCAACCCAGACACTGAGGCTTTTGTCGATATGGAGTTGGAACTGCTCCACTCCTAGTCCTCCTCTTCCTCCTCGATTGTCTTCACGCTCGCAAACGCCGAAGGGGGCCCGGTCCTTGTTCTTGTGCTTCCCGCAGACCCAGCCGCCTCCTTCTCGGACAGCGTCGTCGTTATTGCTGGGGAATTCTTCAGAGTCGGAGAAGGTCCGCGCTCGCTTGCACCAGATGTGCTTGGCGGTCCACCATCGCTGCCCTTGCCGCCTGTCGCTCCACTCGCAAGCGCAGGCATCGTTGCGCTCAACAGCCTTGGCATCGTTTCTCTTCCCAGGCTTGGAGGCTGGAAAAGCGAGCGGACACCGGCATATCGGCCCGTGCTGCTTGCAAAACCACCGCTTGCCCCGCCCCTCGGCGCCTCCATGGAGCCCGGAAATACGTTCGGAGCTGCTGCTGACGTGCGAGTTGTAAATGGAGACGATGTGGCTCGTCTGCTCGCCATGCTGCTATTATTGAACCCTGGAGTCTGTGGCGACAACGAGGATGATGTCGAAGCCGCATCGCCCATCGCCCATTGGCTCGCACGAGCTGCGCCGACTGAGGAGGCCCAGCTATTCAGCTGGCCAAGGCCACCTGCGTACACTGGCTCGTCGCCCTCCTCGTCCTCGTCCTCCCATCCGTCATCCTCACTCAGGCCTCCGTGACCTGACCGAGAGCTCTTGTCCGCAAAAACGTCGCGAAGCTTGGGCATGCCATCCTCGCCTGCGCCGTGATTTGCTTTCGAAGTGCTCCGGGCCGGCGGCTGCGGCGGGTCGACAAATCCAGCCCAGTTCGGCGGCGGTCGGCCCCATGATCGCCTCCACGTCGCAGCTTTCGGAGCGCTCTCGGTCGCCGCTGCTCTTGCGGTCGCAACCGTGCCTGAAGCTGACGACACAGCTGATTTCCTGGCAGAGGCCAAAGGATCGGTGGGAAGGGAGTGAGAGTGCTGATGATGGTGAGGGTGGAGGTGTGAAGGATGACTAGAAAGGGACGAAGACGTTGATGAGGAATGATGGTGAAGTGAAGCATTGGCCGATGGTGGCTTGTACGGAGTGCGAGAGCGATGAGCAACGAAGACACTTTGTCGGGGCGTTTCTGGCGAGCTAAGCGCTCGACTTCTCGTCTCAGCACCAACTTCGACCGAGGAATCGATGGATCTTCTCGGGGTCTGCGTTGCCACCGGCCCGCCCTCGCGAGCTTCGTCGTGCCTGGTGGGCGTAGAAGGTCGAGAGATCTCATCGGACTCAGACCTTGCTCGAAGCGAGTGTGTGCTGCTTGGGTATTTGCGATGCCTTCGAACAGTGGAACCACCGTCGCTTGGACGTCGGGTATGGATGCCACGGAGACTGCCACTGTAGGTCGACGCTCCAGCTGCGCTGCCGTGCACGCCGCCACCCTGTTGCTGTTGTCTCATAAGGGAGCCAGTGCTGCTTACGGACCCTGTCCTTCCCCGCAAGCCCGACTGGGGTTGTCGATTGAAAGACTGGGCACTTCCAGGCCGGCTCGATCGCTGCGAAGAGGCTGTCAAAGGTACGCTACCAAAATCTTCTGCGAAGAGCGATCCGGTCCCCGTGGGCGTAATGCTTCCGGCACTCAATCTTCGCATGCTCACTGGTCGAGCCGATGCCGATGGCGCACCTTCATATCCGTAGGCACTTCCTGACGAGCTTCTACGGCTGAGCGACCCTCTCTGGTGCGCCAGTGTCTGTCGAGGTGACCGACGAGAGACACTGCCAGCCGAGGGAGGCGGGTATGGGCTGTTCCGACTACGAACACTTCCCGTTCTCGCCATTGTCTGACTCGTCGCGCTTGGACCTGCATGGCCCAAGTTTGAGGGAGGGTGCTTTTGCCCCTTGAACTTTGCTTTCCTCCGCATCGTCGCCTTGTCTTCTGTCCCAAGCCAGTTTCGAACAGTTGTCAGGAAAGAGGCTTTGGCTCGCGCTCCCTTTGTAGGGCTCGTCGAGTCGCTAAGAGTCCTAGATGAGGATCTTTCTTCGTTGGACGACGTGACTGTGCTGAATGTCTCCACCGACTGCGACGCTGTCGGCTCCCTCTCAACGACGGTGTCCCTCTCCTTCTCCTTGCCACTCGATCTGGCGGGTGAACTTGCAAAGCTGCTAGTAGTACTCGATGTCGGAACAATCTTTTCATTGTTCTCCTTGTCCGTCTCTAGTGCAGGCATGGCAGCTTTGATCGTGGCTTCCTTTCGAAGCGGCAGTCGTGCATCGAGCTTGGCTGCCTTTTTCTTCTCCTTGTCCTCCCTCTTGGCACTGCTGAAAAAGGCGCCGACGGGGCTCTTCGACCTTTCGAGCGGCAGCTCTTCATCCCCAATGACGACTGCATCGGGAGAGTCTCGACGTTGACCGCTGCCGCTTGCACCACTGCCACTAACCCCGTCACGATCCTGGCCCTTGAGGACGTTAGACAATCGAACGCTGAAGGAGTTTGTTCGGTTGCGTTCCGTAGACCGCTGGGGCCTCGAGGGACTGCCACCTCCATTGACGCTGCTGCTACTACTGCTCTCGCCGCTAGGGTCCAAAGGACTCGATCTCGCCAAATCGATCAGTGTTTTCTTTCTCGGCGACTTCACGCTCGCTCCCTCCTTGGCGCCATCAGCTCGCTGAGACGACGACTTGCGCCTCTCCGCCTGCGGCTTCATAGGATTGCTCTTCTCCTCCGTCGGTGAGCGCCGTGCCCTGTCCTGTTGGAGGCTTGTTAGTGCCAAGAGGGCCTGATCGATGGAGTCTCCCCGGACTGCTTCTTCATGCGCTCGGCGCGCCGGGTCTTTCGGCGGCAGGGGCGGGGGCGGCAAGCCAAGCGCAGACGAAGTAGCCACTGGAGTAACATTGGTCGCCTTTGGTGACTCGAGCGCTTTCTTTTCCTCCGCTTTCTTCTTGAGCATCCACCAGAGAGCACCTGTCGCGTCGCACGCATCCACAACAACGCTGTGAACAATCTGACCCACGTCCATGCCCAATCCGCTGAGCTGATGTAGAACATTCTGTTCAAGGGTAGAGGAGAAAAGCGCGGGCGACGACTGCTCGAGCTGTGCAACATAGTCGATCGGCCGATTGTCGAGCATGGGCGGATGGTGGTCAGAGAGCCCGCTGAAGGATCGCCGTTTGGTTCTCGAGGGTGTGCGATGGTGACCCATCGACGAGCCTTGAGAGCTTCGCTTTTCCAAAGGTGCCGATTCGGGCCGCTTGATGGCTGACGAAGCTTCTTCCTCGTCTTCGCCTTCGGGCGAAGACCCGGGAGAGCTAGAGATCTCGTGGTGCGTCGGCAGGGGAGCTGAGGCGGCGGCAGCAGCGGCCTTGCCTGCAATCACAGCGGCTCTTCTCGAGCTGTCGCTGCCCGAGGAGCTGGTTCTCCGGATCGTCGTTTGTGATTCATTACGGTGCAGAGCCAGGGCGGCGCTGGACTCTGGTCTATCATGAGGCTCTTTGGCGGTACCCTCCGTCTCGCCTTCCTCCGTCGTAGGGTCTGTTGTGGCGGTCCGTTGCGATCTCCGATCGCTCGAATCGCCGTCGCTGTGAGCCGAGTGGAAGCTCGTCTCCGAAACGCCTGATGAAGAACCAACATGGTTGCCAATTTGCAGGTGTAGACCTTCCTTGCTTTGCGCAGACTGCGCTGGAGATGGCTCATCGGAGGAGCCAGCGGCGGCAAGCACGGCACTCGAGCCGGCAGGCGACGCGGTGGCTGTTGCCTCTGCACTCGAGGGAATTGTGTCCTGGTTGACATCAACAGCCTTGAGTGCGTCTCGTGGGGCGGAAGAAGGTTCTTTGCCGGTCTTGCTGGCCTCCGCATCGGCATCAGCATTAGCAAAGTAGCCCAGATCCTCGGTTCCTTCATGCTCCTCGACCGTTGCCATTGGTGTCGTCGCCATGATCTTTGAGAACCAGGGATGACTTAGAATCGACTTGATAGATGGCCGTGCGCTCGGCTCCTGTTGCAGGATCTTCGAGACAAGATCGCGTGCCTCTGCCGTGACGGAGATTGGAGCAGTGAGTATTTGTGATCGTCCCCATCGCAGTCGCGAGGCCACAATCTGCTCACCTTCTGAGAGCTGCTCAGGCAACTCGTAGTCGCCCTTGAGGATTTTGCTCTTCATGACGTCGTCGTCGTCATCATCAAAGGGCAAGGCACCGCAGAGGAGCGCATACAGAATGACACCCAGTGACCAAATATCGACCTCTTCGCCCGTGTACTTTTTCCCCGCCAGCATTTCGGGCGCAGCATAGCCCGTGGTGCCGCAAAATGTCTCCATGAGTTTCTTGCCCTCAAACTCCCTTGTGAAGCCAAAGTCGCCCAGCTTGACGTTGCAGCGATCGTCGAGGAGCACGTTCTCCAGCTTCAGGTCTCGATGCACGATTCCCCTTCCGTGTATGTAGGCAGTGGCCAGACAGAGCTGGCCAAAGAGGCGCCGGGCTTCAGGCTCGGGCATGACGCCGCGCTCAACGAGGTAGTCGTACAGCTCGCCACCCGCACACAGCTCCGATACCATCCAGATGTTGGTCTCGGTGGCCAGGACCTCGAAGAGCTGCATGACGTGCGGGTGATGGAGCCGTCGATGGTGATGGATCTCCCTCGTCAGGCTTGCGCTGAGAGCCTTGGGCACCTGCTTTATGGCGACGCGGGTGCCCGTCAGCCGGTGGGTGCCCAGCCGCACCTTACCAAAGGTCCCCTCGCCAATCGGTCTGCCCAGTGTGTATGCACCCACCGACCTGAGTCGGCCGGTGGAGAGCTCCTTTCCCAGCTCGGCATACGCGGCCGAGAGGGCTGACTTTTGGTTGTTGAGCGAGTTGACCGTGTTCATCGTGTTCATTGCGCCGCCGCCGCCGCCGCTGCTGCTGCTCCCACTGCTGCTAATCTTCTGACCAATAGCACCGCCAACAGGACTTCAGCCGACTCCTCCCCAGTCGCGCGGTCGCCAGCTCATGTGACGCGCCCGCGCGCCAGTCCGTTGGTGGAGTTACAGTTGGAAAAGATGAGGCCGACGAAAGATGTGGGAGGAAGCGATGCCTGTGCCAGAGGTCGAGTTGTCGGCCCCTTTGGCACAAGCAGCGAAGCCGTCGACGATGTCACCGTGGGCAAAAGAGCGGTGTGGAGACGGCGATGTCGAGGTACTACGAGAATCACGGGCGCCTAGGTGCTGGGCCGCCTCTGTTCCCTTTCAGTTTGGAGAAGGAGCGGCGATCAAAGGATCAATGAGAGGAGAGACGTGTGCAGTCGCGATATGAGCCCTGTCGGGCAAAAGGAGCGCGTACGGTGGGCGGCGGGCCGACGCACCTGCCAAGTCAGCCACGCGACTTTTAGTACAGAACAGAAAGTCGCAGGCCCAAGGGTGGCCCAAGCTTGTCTGAAAGCACACCCTCCTTTCATCGAAGCCACACCCCAAGTCATTCATCTTCTCCTCTCGCTCACTCGCTCGCTCGATGGAGTCGCGCGACGGCACACCAAGAGAGAGGGCGCATGGAGAGAGGAGGCGATCGTCGTCTTCGTCGTGTGGCAGGAGGACGTGGCAGCAACCCACGTCGCAGGACTTTACCTATGCCCTGTCGGACAGCGACATTTCGGATTGGCTCAAGTGCGCAATATGCCTGCACCCGTTTCTGAACCCCGTCGTGGCTTCGGCGAAATGCCAACACGTCTTTTGCGCTCTGTGCATCCGCTCGCATGTGTCATCATCGACGCAAGCCGAGCCTGTGCTAGGAGAGAATGAGGATGGGGAGCGAGAAACGCATCGCGAGGATCAGGCACAAGGACGACGAGGACCAGCCAAGACGACGACGTGCCCCACTTGCCGCGCCCCGCTCGAATCTTCGCACCCTTTCCAGCCAGCCGCGCCGCTGATCCGGAACATGGTTGATTCCCTACTCGTCAGATGCCCGCACGCCGGCAGAGGATGCAACCATACCTGCGAAAGGGGCCTCGTTCGCACCCACATCTTTCACGATTGCGGCCACGCCTACGTGGGCGAGTACGAGGCTGCAGGTGGCTCAGTAGCAAAGCACCGCCCCTCTTCTTCCTTTCGCTCGGGCCGATGCGAATGTGGACAGAAAGTCATGCGAAAGGACTGGGAGCACCACACGACCTCGGGTCAGTGTACCGTCGTGAGGGTGCCCTGCCCCTTTGGTGAGGGCGAGGAAGGATGCAAAGACATGATCAAGGAGCGAGAACTCGACGAGCACCTCGACGTCTGTCCAGCCTATCCTCTTCAGTGCCCACACTGTTCATCGACCCATGCTCGAAGGCATCTCGCCGAGCACGAGGCTGTCTGTGATCACGCCGTCGTCGAATGTCCCCACGCTCGACACGGCTGTCGCTGGAGCGGGCGACAGTCGCAGGTTAGGTCCGAGCACCTGCCACATTGCGTATATGCGCCTCTCGCTGCCTTCTTTGAGCGAAATGCAGACGAGATAGAGACGCTGCGCAGCGACAATGCCCGGCTTACATCGGCTCTCGACGACATGAGCAGGCGGCAGATGGACACCGAGAAGATGCTGGCTGCCTGCATTCGGAGCCTCGGCGCCTTTTACGTAGACGGTGGCACCACAGAGCAGGGCGAAGGCGATGGCACAGGCGCTGGCTCAGCTGATCCTCCTGCCTTGCGACAAAGCAGCATTCCCTCGCTCATACGGAATCGATCCGGCTCGGCCATTCCCCTTCCGAGCACGCAAGCCGCGGACGATGCACCTGCGGCCCCACCTCTGCCCCTCCAGCGCTCGTCGTCCGAGGTCTTTCCGGCCGCGTCCACGTCTGCGCCCGCCGTCGAGCCCTCGTGGCGGTGGCCCGAGCATGAGGATGCACCGCGCCGCCTTGCCCCGCTGGACCGGTCGTCGAGCCTCTCGCACCAGCTCGTCGAGCTGCAGTCTGTGCTCAACACCCTCACGACGCAGCTCCATGCCGCCGAGCGCCGCGCAGAAGAGGGCCATCTGGCCGCCCTCTCGGCAGGCTTCGAGGCGAGCCGGGCCCACGAAGAGATGAACAGCCAGCGACATGCGCTCCATGCCATGCGTCTCCAGATTCACCAGCTCGCCATGGTGCAGCAGCAGCAGCGGGGCATGCCCCCGCCACAGCGGGGCGCTGGCGCGTCGTCGTCGTCTACCTCGCCACAAGCAGAGGGGACAGACGTCTTGCACCCTCCGCCACCGCCGCACCAGCCGGCTTTCCCAATCCCCATTGCGCCCATGGCCCCTCACTTCCGCCGCTTCTGGACCGGCTTCGAGCAGACGAAGCTGTGACAAAGGGTGCCTGGCTTTATTCCTTACAAGTGTACTTCTAGTAGTAGTAGCATGCAGTGACGACAGTTGTTGTGATTGTATTTGTATCATTCATCTATCTCTCTCTCTCTCCCTATTTGACAATTTTCCATCATGTTCATCCAGATTTGCCGTGTCTCAATGCTCTCGATGAGAGACTTCGTCCTCGCCCAGCCCGTTTCGCAGTTCCACGCAGTCACCCAGCTCCAGGCGCGGCTCGACGAGGTCCGGGGGAAAGAATTCGAGGAGCTGGCGAAAGAGCTTGGTGCGCTGCTTGTACAGCGCCGACGGCGGCCGTCCTTCGTTGTTGGACGAGCTGCGCGCCGTCTGTCCGAGGCTCGTGGCGCTGTCGAGCGACTCGGCAGGCGGGAGCAGCGGTGCGGTGGGGGAGAAAGGCGAGGGCGAGAGCGAGAGCGAGGGCGAGGGCGACGATGGGGTGGGTGAGGGTGCGGCCGAGAAGCGGCGCTGGTCCCCGCTGCCGCTGCCCAGCGTCGGAGCGAGCAGAGCCGAGACGGCCGCGGGCTGCTTTCCTCCTCCTCCTCCTCCTCCAGAGGAAGTGAGCGTCTGCGAGATGCTCAGCATCTCCGAGTCCTCGTCAGATGGCGACGGAGGCGGCAGATCGTCTGGCGATGCTGAAGATGGGACTTGCGCAGTGCCGCCACCGGCAGCAGCAGCAGTGGCCGGAGGCAGCATCGTGGCGACTGTCCGCGTCGATGACGACGACGAAGGCTGAGCAGAGAGCCCCTCGTCGGCATTTGCTTCTTTGTCGCTCCGCTCATGCGCCTCATCGTCGTCATCGATGCCAAGCGTCGGGCTGGCATAGTCTTGCATCGGGGCATTCTTCTCCCCTTGTCCAGCCGCTGATGCGCCCGCGTTGAGGAGATGGGCCATCAGCTTGCGAAAGGCTTGCGACTCGTCGGGCGCTTCATGATGGACGACGGCCGCCACCTCCGTCTGCAGGTACACGAGCGCCTGCATCGCCCCCATTCCCGCATACAGCCCTCCTCCTCCGGCAGGGCCGCCGGACCCCGTTGCTGCTGCTCCCGCCCCACCCGCGAGCGAAGTAAATGAGGCATCCATTGACTGTGGCGCATTCTGGCTGCCAGAGGTGGCAGCGGCAGCCATTTCCAGGAAGCGTTGCTGACGCAGCCGGAACTTTGCCCTTCTCAGCACCTCGTCCATCCTCGGTCTCACCAGCTCCAAGCACCAGAGGTCATCGAGGCGGACGCTGCGGTTGGATCCCTCGGCAGGGTTGCCGCCGAAGATGAAGAACAGCTTCCGCTTGCTATCATAAACCATCTGCGTTGCATACCGCGGACGGGGCTCCAGCTCGCCCAAGCTTCCAGCCGTCCCGGCTCCAACGATGCCACCAGAGGCAGCAGCAGCAGCAGCGGCGGCAGCCGCTGCGGCTCCATTGGCTCCATCAGGAGATGAGGGCGGCAACGGCGAATGCGAATCGCGAACGCCCAAGCCGGCATCGGGAAAGGCTTGTGGCCCGGCATCATAGTCGTTTGAGTCGTCCATCTCGTCGTCGTCTCCGTTCATTCCTGCTTCCTCTTCGTCAGCATCTTCTTGATCCCTTCGGAGGGCGCTCCCCGTCGACCCGTGCTCGTAGACGAGGCGCCACTGGTCGTGGTCGATGGAATAGACCCAAAAGGCCGACTTGACTCGCTCTTCCTTGCTCTTGCTCCGACGGACCAGGCCGCTGAATAGATAAATTTCGCGCATCTTTGAGTCCAGCGTAGCCCGCTGCGTGAAGCCACCGTCGGGGCCGTTCTGCAGGCTGTGGTCCTTGGACACCTCGCGCACCTGCCCAGTCGAAGGGTCGTACGTCCACATGTCGGCCAGGTAGGTCTGGCCACGCTGGCCGGCAAGGATCCAGAGGAGGCGCTTGCCCGCCCCAATGCCCGCCTTTGGTGCGTCGAGCAGCATCGTATGGCCGACTCGAGAGGGAATGCGGCTGTCGGGATTTGTCTTGTCGTCAAAAAGAAAGGTCCAGGTGCGCTGGATCACATCGTACTTCCACATGCCGCCCATCTCGACGCGGGTCGGGTCGGGATGTGCGACTCGGCCGCCAAAGACGTAGAGGAGCTGCGTCTCGGGATCAATCAGCATCTGATGGTCAAAGACGAGCTTGGGCCCGCCTTCGCAGGTCGTGTCAAACGAGAGCCGGTCCCATCGTTCGTTTCTCGTCGAGAAGCGGTAAAAGTCAGACTCGTACCCGGGCAAGGCCGTGGGGCCTGGGTATGGGGATGAGGTGCCCGGTGTTGGTGAGGCGGCTCCAGAGCGGAAACCCGAACCCGCTGGACTGCTGCCCGCCGATGGGTCCGTCGGTGTGGGACCTTGGCGGGAGGCGCGGTCGACGCCCAAAAACCCGAGTCGGCCAGACGACAAGCGGGAGTTGCCTCCTCGCCCACTAGCAAAGAGTTCTTCGTTCGGCACGCCTGTTTGCGATTCCTGGGGCGAACCTCTCGAGCCAGGGGCGCCAGGTAGGAAGACAGCTCGAGCGGCAGACCTGGTTGAGGCCGGATTGCTCGTTGTAGAGGTGACGTCGACTGCTGGACTTGCGCCTCGACTCTGCTGCGACGGCTGCGTTTGCTGCTGCTGCGTTTGCTGCTGTTGGGTAGCGGAAGAATGTCTCTGGGGAGATGCGGTCGATGCCTGCTTTTCATAATCGACGAAACGGCCCAGGACGTAGAGGAAGCCCGTTCGCGGATCAAAGACCATCTTGTGGCAGCTCCTCGGTCCCGGTCCGTTCTGGTACCTGACATCGCGACTCACGCAGCGCCATCGACCCTGGTCAATGTGGTAGGCCCACAGGTCGGCGAGGTCCCGAGAGCCATCCCAGCCGCCAAAGAGCCAGACGATTCCTCGCTCCGGGTCAATGTCCATCTGGTGGCCTCCTCTGCCGCAGGGCGAGTCACCATCGCTATCGGTGGCAAAGATGGGTCTCCAGACGGGCCGGGGCAGCGACTTTTGGACATAAGACGCAAACAATGAGGATCCAGTCTCGTGCGCGTCACCGTACGCCGCTCGCTCCAGTACGGCCTCGGCCTCGTCCCACTGGCCCTGCATCAGCGCTTCAAAGAGGCGAGTGGCCAGGGGGTGCTCGAACGGTCTTCTATGACCGCGAGCCCTTGTGGACAGCGTGTAGGCCTCGTTGGCAGCGCCGGTGGGTGCCTCGAGTCGCGACGTCTGCAACAGGACTCTATATGCGCTGTGGTGTCCCCTCGCTCGGAGGTGCTTGAGAATCAGCCGGAGCGTCGTCGACTCGCGATGCTCGTGGTAGTCACTTGTCACATCAACAACGAGCTTGGCGTCCGAGACACCTTCGAGAGCGACATGCCAGACGGAGAAGTTGTAATTGGGCAAATGCGTCGCCAGGGGAACCAGCTTGACGTAGCGAGTGGGAAAGGGCACGCCGTCTGCGTTGCGCCACCGCAGATCAAAGTCCTCGGGGACCGAGTCATTGCGAAGGCCGCCTCTCAGCAGGGGAATCCAGGCGTTGGAGTGAGGATCTCTTGTTGTCGAGCTGCCATAGACTCGAAAGTCGCGCAGGTTGCACGGATGCGACTTGTGAAACTTGCCAAAATGGATCCTTCCTGGTAATTGTTTGTTGGAGGCGGTGCGGACTCTGGTCAGCTCTCTGTCTCCTCTCTCTGCACATTACACAACAAAAAGGACGCTTGGCAGCCACACAACTCACTCAGAACCGAGAGCTTTTCGAGCTTGAGGATGATGTACTGCCTCGCCGACGCCGAGCCGGCAGCCGATGAAGAGATGAGGGCTGGCTTGGCAGATGACGGCCTTCCAATCACGGTCCGACTTTCCATGATCCGGTCCGTTGTCAGCAATAGCCCGGCTCCGTCGCGAGCACCAGCCGGGGAGCTTGAGCTTTGCGCGGCCGAAGACGATGAAGACGTCGCGTTGGCCGAGGAAGACGAGCTGCCGATACCTGGGTTTGGTGCCGACATCGAGGCCACGGCTGCACCTGACCATCGCGAGGAGAGATCGTGGGGGCGATCGTAGAGGATGTTGTGACTAGAAAAAGAGGGTTTTAAGTCGCCCAGGTAAGCTGGCGACGAGCAGGCAGGGGCAAGCGCAGGCTCTTCATCCAACTCACGGCTCGTACGACCCCGAGTAGCTGGATGCCTCTGCAATTGAATAGCGCAAGGCAACGTTGGGCTGTGCGGACACGACGCTGGCCAGGGAGCCTGTAGGACTCTGCGACATGGTTGTCGTCGTCGTCGTCGGCTTGGACGCGACTTGCGCCGTCATTGTTATCGCGATCGATGGCTTTCGCTGGTCTTTATCTAAAGAGACGCACGGCCCTCCTTCCTTTCGCGTTCTAGCCGTGGCCTTCAGTGATTGCGTGACTGGCTTCTGTGCGGTTCGTCTGGCTCGTCTGTCACACAAAGAGCGTCGCGAGAGCAGGCTTGAGACTGCCTCTTCTTCGTCGTCAAACGCAACCCTCAAATGCCTTTGTGCCTGGCGGCCTCTTCCGGCAGCGTCGTCCTCGAGGGAAAAGGCCTGCAAGCTCCACCTCCGGACGCGTCTTGTCGTGACGCTGCTCGTTGCTCAAATTGCCACGTGGTTTTGTCCAGTCCTTTGTCAAGTCAACAGAGCAACCGTCCACAAATCTTGATCTTTTGTTTTGCTCGACTTTAACTCCTCCCTCAAGCACATCTCAGCAGGGCAACACCGTTCACCCTTCAGCTCAGGGGCACGGCACACGGCTCAAGCAGGCGCAAATACGAACATGACGATGGCGGACTAGGCGGACAACCAGCGAGGCGTTGACTCATCTCATCCATCCCACGACTGCCAACTCAGCACTTGTTGCTGGACGTCTGAATTGCGAACAATTGGAAAGTCGCTGAACCGAAACCACCAAACGCGTTTGTTTGTACGCGTACTGCGACAGCTACCGAGGCGGATTTCCCACCCCGGCTCCTGCAAAGTAAGCCAGCTACTTTCGCCGACATCGAGGGGCAAGGAGCATAGGTTCGGGCGTACTCATCACCCCCCCTCCTCTGTCCTCCTCGCCCTCAGTCCTTTTCCTCTCCTCCTTCTCCTCCTCCTCCTCCTCCTCCACCACCACAACACCTCCACCAGTACCAACAACAACACCAACAACAACACCCCCCTTCCCTTTCCAAATCTCACTCTGGCAGCAAGACTCTTCGCTTGACTGCCATGGCCCTCACCCAGGTCCTTTCTCCCCTGGGTCAGAACGGCGCTGCCAAAAAGAACGTGCAAGCTATGGCGCTGGCGGCTGCCGACCAAGCCCCGCGAGGGAAGCGTCCCGGAGGCGGCGGCGGCGGCGGCGGGAGAGTCATCACTGCACGCCGCACTGCTAGCAACGCCGAAAATGTCAGAGTGTCGCCCTCTGCCTCGTCACTCTCATCGTCCAACGAAGCCATCCGGGACAGCAAGGGAAAGGGACGAGCACAGGACATGGACACGCCAAAGAGGAGACGTGGGTTTGCCAACATCTTTTCGCCTGCCCGTGCCATGCGCAGCATCAAGGCAAAGTCAGGCATCAAGAGGAAGCGAGGTGGCGGGCCAGCCGTGCAGGAGCGTGCGGCCTCCTCGGCCTCGCATCGTCGTGTGCAGCAGCAGCTGCAGCAGCCTCCACGCAATCGCAGAGCCATGAGGGCGCCATTAAGCATTGCCAGCAGCGTCGCGACATACGACACTGCCTCGGAGGACGACGGCGACTCGACGGGCTCGCCTCGACGGACGAGGCAGATGAGAAACGCCTCTTCGTCGTCGAGGACATCGACCATCGACTCGCACAGCTCGCTCAGGAGGAACATGCGAGCGATGGCCCTCAATGACCGGGAACGGACCACGCCCGAGGTGGAACACGAACGAGCAAGACAAGCTCTAGGTGATCGCAGGCCCAGCCACCAGAGGGCTGGAAGCCGCAAGGCGAGCTACAACACCATCGATGAGAGCGAGGACGAGCAGGGCGAAGAGGAGGATCAGCGACTGCTCTACCAGGCGCCCAATTGGCAGCTGCATCGTCTCAAGAAGAGCAAGCTGCTCCAGCTTCTCGTCTTCTCTGGCACTTTCGAAGGTGGGGATCAGATCGATCTCGAAGGCATCACCAAACAGGAACTCGTCGACCAGATTGTCAAGCTGCGCTCGACTGGCCATGGCCTTGCACCCACCTCTACTGGCTCAATGACGACGCGCAATGCTCGTCGAAACGAAGGTGGAATGGCAACGTCGGAGAGCTTGGCTTCGATGAACTCGGCTGACTTTACCGACGAAGCGCCCTCCGAGACCGACGCAAACGACGCAGGAGGCGAAGAGACAGAGGCAGAACCCACAAAGGACCGAAGGCGGCGGCAGGAGCTGCGAAGGGCTCGCATGGCTGCGCAAGCCTCGCCTGCCGTCGACCGCCGTCGTCGTCGCGGGACCACACGGGCAATGGCGAGCGAGAGCGTGTCATCGATTGGCTTTGTGTCGCCACCCAATCTGCGGATGCGAAAGAGCGGGTCGAGCCTCTTCATGGCTTCCTCTCCGATCAGGACGCGGTCCAAAGCACGGAGACAGGCCAACCTCGCCGGTCTTCGTCGCTCGCTCCCTTCCACCGCTGCCACCGACGCGCTCTTTGGAGCCTCGGTAGCCTCTGCCGAGGACGTTGAGTCGCATGCCTCGTCAAAAAGAGTCATCAGAAGGACGAGGGGCCTACCTCCAGCCAAGAATGTCGCCTTTCTCAATCGCTCCGACACCCCAGAGTCGCAGCGACACGATGGCGAGTGGGAGGATGACGATCTGCCAGCCGATGCGCATACACGGCCATTCCGCAGAGCAAAGCAGCGAGCCAAGGAGCAGATGCAGGTCGATGAGTCTGGCGAAGACGACGAAGAGGCTTCGACGCAGGAGCAAGAGGCGGTGGAGCAGGACCAAAGCCTAGGAGACTACAGCCTCATGTCGCTAGACGAGGTGACGCCAACGAAGGCAAGGCCGGGAGCAGCACGCCGCGCCACAAAACTCGCTCTTCCACCTTCTTCGGCCATGTCAGTCGATGAAGAGACTGCCTCTTCGGTGCTCAGCGATGAGTCAGAGGAAGAGGATGAAGCCGTTGCATTCAGCGAGAGCTCCGAAACGGATCTGAATGCCAGTCCAAGCAAGATGCGGAAGCTGCGCAACGGCAAGCTTCGTCTGCCCTCGTACGATGCCTCTGCCTCCTCGTCTACTCGGGATCCCGAAGACGAAGACGATATGGACATGGCTGACATCGAGAGTGTTGCTGAGTCAGGTCCAATGGATGCACCCACGGCCGCCTCGCTTGGTCGTCTCCGTCGTGCCGTGCTGATTGGTCTCTGTGCTGAGCAGGGCATCGAGGTGGCCGGAGACGCCACGAAGGCGACCCTGATTGAAGAGCTTCTTCGTCACCATACCGCTCAACGAGATCGGGGCACGCCGCCCATGTCAGCAGCGACCGAGAAGCCAGGTTCAAGCAGCACTGCCAGGCCGTCGTCGAGCGAATCGGACGATTCGACAAGCACAAAGACTCGGCGCAAGACACCAAAAGGACCATTGAAGAAGCGCACGACGGACTCCGACAAGCCTCTGCTGCTTCGTACGCGGTCCAAGGAGGTTCAATCGCCGCGCCCGCCTAGCCTCAAGCTGCAGTCCGGCGTAGCAGAACCCGCGCCCCCGGCAGACTCCATCGACGAGCTCAACGGCTTGGATTTGGAGAGCCTCAATCTCCTCGACAAGGAGATTGCGCCTCACAAGCTTGAGAAGGGCGAAAAAATTGGGTCGGGCGGCTTCAAGGACGTTTACGTTGGCAAATATCAGATCACGGCATCACAGAAGCGCAGGGTGGCGATTGCCGAAATTCGCGATCAGCTTTCAGAGATGGACATCAAGGAGATCAAGCTTCTCCGAGACCTTCGCCACGAAAACATCGTGCGCTTCATCGGTGTCAGCATCCCACAGGAGCCTCGAAACGTTCCCTGCATGGTTGTCACTGAGCTCTGCTCCAACGGCGACCTCTACGACTACATTCGTAACGTCGAAGCACCAAGCGACGATGAAATCTTTCGCATCATGCTTGAGACGGCGCGAGGTCTCGAGTATCTGCACACACGCACTCCGACCATCATCCATCGAGACGTGAAGTCGACCAATGTCCTTGTCTCGCGCAACCGTACGGCCAAGATTGCCGACTTTGGTCTGGCCAGGGTGCGCAACACCAAACGGTCCAAAATTGGCAGCCTGGTGGGCACCGTCAACTGGCAAGCCGTTGAGCTCTGGAGCCCCAAACCCAACTACAACGAAAAGGTAGACGTCTGGAGCGCGGCCATGACGTTCTGGGAGACGCTGCAATGGCACCTCCGCGAGAAAAAGTACCCCTTCCAAGAGATGAACGAACACCAGATCTATCTCGACGTTGGCCAGAAGAAGCTCCGACCGCCGACGGTGTCGATCCGGAGGCGGTACGGTGGCGAGATTGTCGATCTGCTCGACCGGATGTGGGATCACCTGGCCAAGAATAGACCGACAATGACCGAGGTGTGCGAGGAGCTCGAGCTCCTCATCGCCATGAAGCGTTCCACTCAAGAGCCCCAGACGACAAAGCCCACCACTCGAGCGGCTGCTCACCATCAACATTAGCATCATTATCAACAATATCAACAAGCTCGACATCATCACACAATCTATCATACTATCATCTGAGGGATTTCTTTCCCCTCATGGCCAGTCGCATGTATCAGAATCGCCACACAGTCCTCGTTCGATCGCTCAGTGTCCCGTCATTTCTTTCTTCCTTCATGTTGTTGTCTTTAAAATACAAAGAATTGTCTGTAGCGATCATCAATCAATCTGTTGGAACCCTGCCGCGAACGATGTAGAGGATTTCGTCGCAAAGGTTGCTGTCGCCCTCCCCTCGCAGTTCGGATTCCGAGAAGCCCTTTGACTGCTCGAGGAGAGCGCACAGCTGCGACGGCAGGCCGGCTTTCTCGATGTCTCTACCTCTGATCACGATCTCAAGAAATCGACCTGGCGAGACCCCGCGGTGTCCTCCTTCTTCCTCCTCCCCACCCACCTGGCCGTCCTCTGCCGCCGCAGCGCGAGCCTGAAGATGAAAAGTTCTGCTCTCCTCGCCCTCCTCGCCTTCATTTCCAAAGATGATCGTCCTTCTCCCTGCTCCTTCTCCTTTGGACGACGATGCGGACACGCTGCCGCCGCCCACTCCGACGATCCTGGCCTCCTCGACGGTGGCTCTTGCGCGTTCCCACTCGGTACGCGACAGGCGCCTGACGTGGCCGTGTGCGTCGATGAGAAAGTTTGGCTGGAAGAGGGCGTGTGCCAGCGTGGTTCCCTTTCCGTTGCTACTCTCGGTGTGGACCAGGACGAGTGCCGAGGGGGAGATGTCGAGCGGGGGCGCTTCGACGAGCTGCGCTTGACCTTCCTCGAGCAGTGGCTGGTCGAGTACGAGCGGCGGTGGGTTCATCGTCGTCGTTTGCCCCACGCTGGACGCCGAGGACAGGCTCATGCTGCCCAGGCTGACCTCGATGCTGGACGAGGTGCTCCCGCTCCGGTCGCGCAGGCTCAGGTGCGAAGGCCTTGTGGTGAGTGCTGCGTTGGCAGTCGATCTCTTTCGCCGCAGCGTGCGTCCAGGTACGGTCCGGACCGGTGAGCCAGGAGAGGAAGGTCCCGTTGTGTTGCTGACATCGCCGCAGGGCGACAGCGTTGCAGTCGTCGAGAACGACGTTGGAGAGGCCATGGGCGAGGAGTAGGTGCGCGCCTGGCCCGCGGGTGACTGTGCCATGATGTGGTGGCTGACGAAAAGCGGGCAGTCTGTAAGAAGAGGTGGTGACTGAAAAAGGAGCGAAAGGGATTGGCCTTGACAGTTAGGTGGGCCCTCCTGCAGGATGTGAAGTCCTAGCTGGGCTTGCATATGACACACATGAGCAGGTAGTGTGTTTGCTTTTACGGCTCAGTAGCTATCGTGCTTTCTTTCCGCGGCTTCATCTCGTGCAAATTGAGCCGAACAAGCCTCTTAGCTCCACCACACACTAAGAACAATCTAGTCTAGTGTCGGAAGCTTCGTCCCTCTCGCACCGACGATATAACCCGAGCTGATCTTCTTTTGATCGTTCTCTTGTGTTTTTACTTCCTGGCCCAGGCCGCTCGTTTCCTGACCGTGCCTGCTTCTCTCCTTCTTCCTCCGCTATCTACCTCTTTCGAGCGGAGAGGAACTCAGCGTACCATTACACTCCTATTGAGGAGCACTGAAATCACATTTACCAGGCTACTGTACACCTTTATGTGACGACTACTTGGCATCAATGCATCCAAATTGAGCCAATATCTGCACACGATAGCAGACCGTCACATCTGACTTCGCGCTCTTTCTATTCTTCCACTCGATTTGCAGCCTAAAATTAGAGAAGGAAGCGCTTCGTTATGAACAAACAAACAGTTCCATGGCGAGCTTTATCCTTGCCTTGAGGCATTCTATTAAGTTTGTATTGATAGCACGACCTTCTTTCAATAACACGCGAGAGTTGGCAAAGATAGCCGATCACTGTAGGGAGACCCGTGCTATCAGCGGTGTGTCCTTCGCTCAACCACTTTCTTGGGTCGTAAAAAGCGAGGGACGTGAGACTATGAGATCAGCTGAACTTCTCCTTGCAAGGGCCGCCGTCGTCGCATTCCTGTGCGCACACCCAGGCTCATTGACAACGGGACGCAACATTTTGCCAGCGCTTCAAACACCCTGATGTGCCGAGTCAACTGACTTCGCCTTGTTGTTGTCCAAAGGCGTCGTGTGCGTACCTCGTGCAGCTTCTGGTAGGCGACTGGAAGCCTACCATCAAGATAGTGCATACGTCAGCCAATTCAGGAACCCTGCGAGATTGAAGTGCACAGTAAAGGGCGGCGATTGTGGAGCAGGGAGTATGAAGATATGCATTTGCTTCGCTACATCAGCCAGAAAGGAGTCTAGGAAGCAGGTCAGCACTTGCACGAGCTTCCGTCCTCCATTGTCGTTTGCTGGGGCGCTGCTGACACATCGATGTCTGTGGAGACACAAGGGCCAGTTAGAAGAGGAAGGGAGCCGACGAATAGACAGCTAAAAGATAATACTCACTCTTATTCTGTCCGCCCTGGCCCTCGGCACCTCCATCCTTGTCCATGCCGGGTAGCGCCTGGGCAATCTTCTTGAACAGCGTCTTGACATTATGGCCAGCCTTTGCCGATGTCTCGATGAACATGACGTTAAAGTCTTGCGCTCGCTTCTCAGCCTCCTCTGTCGTCACTTGGCGCTTGTCGTTGAGATCCGTCTTGTTGCCGACGAGAACAATGATGACGTCGCTTCCTCGCTCCGCTCGAACATCGTCGACCCATTTTGAAGTGTTTTGGAAAGACGCTCGGTCTGTGATACACAAGTCAGCTACTTTCGCGTGCGAGGAAAAAGAGGCTGGGACTGCTTACTGGTAATGTCGTACACGACGACAGCCACCGACGAGTCTCGGATATAGGACGGGATCAACGATCTGAACCTCTCCTACGTGGACAACTACTCGTCAGCCGAAATTATCAGCGAGTGCATGCTATCGAAAGACTAACCTGGCCCGCCGTATCCCACAGCTGCAATCGCACTGTCCGGTCTTCGAGGTACATTGTCTTGCTGAGGAAGTCGATGCCAATTGTTGCTTGGTAGGTGTTGTCAAAGGTGTCATACATGAACCGGGTAATCAGCGACGTCTTCCCGACCGATTGCTCTCCGAGGAAGACGAGCTGTTGAGAGGGAGTACGACCGGTCAATCACCCCATTTGCCTCTTCACCAAGAGACTGTCAGACAAACCTTGAATTTCCGTAGCGGGTGGCCAAACTCGGCCGTCGTGGGCGTCGTCATCTTCTGTGTGGACCTCTGTCTACTCGTCGCAAGCTCCAGACTTTCGAGAGTGCGACCCAGCTAGTAGTGAAAGTGACAGTAGTTGTAGAGTCGAGTGAAGGTGGTGAGACTGTCAAGCCAGATCGCAATGGGACGCCAATGAAAGTCGGAAACCACGTGGCTGAGAAGGGCCACGCGCTCGCAACCGGCGGAGATGACATGCCCGATCCACCAGGCTTCGCCCGCTGCCGGGGAAATATTTGATAGCTGATAGGGGACTTTGTGTCCGCCAGCCACCTCAGGGACGCCAGCTGTGGGAATCGCCTTCCGGGCCCAATGCAGCGGAGATGAACTCAATGGCGCAAAATTGGTTTACAGGAGAGAGAACCGATTTTAGCCGGCGCGTCTTTGCATGCCAGAGGAGGTCAAGGCCAGGAGGCGCGAGAATTTGGCGCGTTTGCGCAGTTCACGGTTGCCCCACTAGAATTCCAGTCAGGGTCTGATCTAGTACTTTCCCAGCGCTTAAGTGGCTTGGCACGATCGACAAGGTAAGCTTCTCATAACCCAGTAATGCAAACGGAAGGGATGATTGCCACAGCACTTGAGGATTGACCCAATATCAGATCACAACCTGTTGATCGTGTCCCCTGAGTCCTCTTCGAGGTGGTCACCGTGAGCGCTCATCATGGCCTGGTAAGCTTAGCGCAGGTGCCCGCATCGAAAGACAAGCTTGAGGAACGACAAGATCAGCAGCCCACTCACCACTAGCATCGGCACCGCCAGGGTGCGATCGTACACTGCCCCTCCTCAACTCCCCGTAGTCAACCTCACTACGATCACGTCCTTATTCCGTCAAAATCTAGAAGGGCGACCATGTTTGAACCTCTCGCATCGCTCTAAGGATGCCCGGCAACGACATTATGGAAGCAACGACGATTGTCATTGCCATTACGGTCAGCATCATAGCCATCGTCGTCGTCATAGTGACACTGCTCCTCGTCTTTGTCTTTCGCAAGTGTCGTCGAGGCGAGTTTGAGACGAGAAAGGAGACAAGGCGACGGAGAAGTCTGTGGGCGGCAACACGGTGGAGGAGAGGGAGTGACGGGAAAGCATCTTTTGTGCCGCACGACGGCGCCGGTGACGAGGAGACGGGTTGCTGGTCCGTTGTGAACCCCCAGAGATGGAGTACGGGGCATGGCAAAGCGGCAAGCAGCAATCGAGACAGCAGCAGCACCCACGAGCTCGTAGTATCCAGCAGACATCTTGCGGCTACCGGCAAAGCGGGGAGTGCAAGCCCGACACCGGTCTTGGGTGCCGGCTGGCAGCCGAATCCGTTTGAAGATCCCAGCACTCACGGATTCGCCGGCAGCCCACGTATGGCGCAGGCTCTGGATCTGTCTCACAGCAGCAACAACGACAGCGACGATGTGGCACGGGGTACCGGCAACGCTAGGATCAACAATGCGCAGCTGCACCAAGACGCCAACCGTCGTAGTCGGGCCACGAGCACACGATCGTCACTTGTTCTAGGCCCACGAGAAAGTAGTACCCTGTCACGACCGAGATCGATGGTTGCCGCAAGCACAGCACCATTGTCTGCTGAAAGAGCAGAGATGGAGCGAAGAAGACCGTTCTACCAAGCCCTTGCTGCCCCACCATCGACGTCGTCTCTCTACAGCCAGCCCGCCAGCGCTACGTACTCTTCCTTGGCCGAAGAGACAAACAACGTCTCGCACCATAAAGCCTCCGAGGAGGTCGTTGGACTCGGTCTGGACCTTGGCCAACCGGCTGAGGCTATGTCGTTTCATCGTCCCACTACATCTTCAAAGTCCATGGCTACAACAGCAGCGCAGCAGCGATTAACGAGCATCGGTGAGATCACGGAAGACCACAGCTCATCATCCTCAAGCTCCGATGGTTATGGACAAGCATCCGTCACTGGTGACACATCACGACCAGTGATATCGCCACAAATGTCTTCCTCTTCTCCCGCGATTGGACCTCGTGACGCGACAGTTGGAGTTGCTGTGGTCGACGCATCTCTGGAATCATCTCTTCCGCATGCCGCGCAGGAGAAAAAACTGGGCCAACATAACCCAAAGAGACAGGCTGCTTCAGAACTGGAAACAGCCCCACCTTTTGAGTCACGGCTAGAAGCGATGCAGAGGGCTTTCACAGCAAAAGAGAAAGAAAGTAACGGGCCGTGGATCCAACGGCCAAGAGCAAAGACGCAAGGTGAAGCCGATAAAAAGGCAGCATGCCTTTCCCGGCCGCTGCTGGTAAGAGCTGGAAGGTCGACTTCGGTCTCTGGAGCGACCTTCGACATGGTCTCGACGGCAGAAAGCCATCACGAGCTCCTCTACCTCCACAGAGAACGGCACGGCGAGGATGTAGGCCCAGAAACAGTCACGTCCAGCAGCAACAGGCAAAGCAAGCCGTCGAAGTCGATCATGATTGATGGAGAAGTCATTTTGAACTCGCAAAAGCAGTCCGATACTGAGCAGGCTTCTGGAACACTCAAGAGCAAGGTATACCATCTGCCTACAAGCATCGTTTCATCTTCACCCCAGCAGGAGAGCAAGTTCAGCCTGTCTTCCGATCCCTTCTCAGACGAATACGTCGAGGCCGGCACGACTTCGGCAACGGGCGACCAAGAGGAACTTAGGATACAGAGATCCAGCGACTTGAGCGTTGCCGAACTGAGCGATACATCCTCGTCGGCCGTATCCTCGTTGAAGTCACCCTTGGTGGCCAGTCACATGTTTAACGACGACGATAACGACGAGCAGACGCGAACGCAGCAGGATGGCGGATCACTGTCGACATCAACAGTACATGCACCCAAGTTCGATAAAAGAGCGGAAAACCCAAAAGACGGCAGCCCAATCTTGAAAGTGAAAGAGGGAGTTAGGCTAGACGACGGCAAGATAAAAGCCAAACGGAGGAGCAGAAGCAGAAGCAGAAGCAGAGAGCGCAACAGCGATGCATTCGACAAAGAAGGATCGAAAACTAGAGGCCAGAAGCCTTCTTCACCAACGCCGTCGTCGAGTAGCAGAACCCCTTACCAAGGTCTGAAGCCACGCTCGTCGGACTCCACGTCGACAGATTGTTCGAAATTGGTACCCTCAGCAGCGGAACAGCGAGCGTCACCGTCTGGCCGGAGAAAGGCTCGAAAGTCCCACTCGTCCAGCCAGTACAACCTCGCTGCTCCTTCCCCCTCCTTTTCACTCGAAGTTATCCAACAGCGAGATGAACGAAGACGAGCACAGAAAGAGATCTTGCGCGCCTCTCCGATTCTGTCTTCTCCCTCAAAGCTAGCTTGGCTCCCCTCGCCGTCTTCGAGTTCGCAGACGACGAGCAACTCCAACAAACTCCGCGAGGCTCACCCACCCGTTACCACGGCTTCAGAACGCGCATCCTACAGCGGCAAATCAAAGCCAACGACACCACTATCGCCCTCCTCGCCGCCGTTGGATTCATCGACGCGGCTCTCGGCACCATCTTCGGAAGTACGCTTGACAAGAGCAAAGGTTTCAAGAGGAACCATGACCGCCAAGGCTTCTGTTCCGCTGGATATGCGGTCGGGCGACGACAGTGAAGGAACACAGGATACTTCTTCATCGAGCCGGAAGGCAGGAAGGTCCGGACTCGGCATCTCAGGCGTCTCCATCCACATCGAACCAGCGGCAGAGGAGAGAGAGGAAGGAATAAGAAACAAGGGAAAGCAGAAGAAGAGGGTGAGAACGAGCAGGGTCCTCACGAGAGTTAAGGGCAAACGAGAGAGCGACTACCAAAGCCCGACGCTGCAGCTGTATGACTTCTATAGTGCTCCACGGAGCAGTGACGAAAGTGACAGAGATGACGAAGAAGTAGAGGAGGAAATATGGGGTGGACATGGAGAAAGACAGGATATCGGTTTGCGCCCACAGGAAGGCCATGTATTGCCGACAACCAGAACAGTGTAACTACAATTACTACTACCAGCTTCATCTAATGTGTATCACCTAATAATTCAATACCTATAAGCATACTTGTTCCCCTTCCGTCTTCGCACTCATAGGCACGGCCAAGCAAGAGAGCAACTCAGAAACATTCTTGGAGTGCAACACGTTTCTCCTTGCGAACACATCACACCCACACGGCGATTCCCCAAAAGAAGGTGAATAGTACAGAGCAGAACAGGTATACCCGTAAAAGACGAGAGACGAATGAATGTGAAGAAAGGCCGAGGAATGGTATAAAAGAAACAGTGAAAGGGCGCTTGAGCAGAGCATCTAGAGCAGCTTCAGCAGCTTTGCCACGCCCTCGAGACCCGTGACGTGCAGGGGCACTCTTTGGCGGTAAGGCAGGTGCGGGACGTAGTAGTCTCCGATGTAAATTTGAGCGTCGAGCTCGACGTCGAGCGCGATGCTTCCCCGATCGTGGAGGAAGGCCTCTACGAGTTTCGGCAGTGGCTGCGAGAGCTTTACCACGAGGTCGCCGCGCTGCTTCGATGGCTGGCCGGGCGCTTGTGCTGCTGGGAAGCTGAGCATCGGTTGCTGGGACGAAGCCGACGAGGCAGAAGAAGGCGGGTCACGGTATATTTTTGTTGCGTGCCCGAACGGCTTGCTCCTGTAGTATGCTGCCACGTCGAGCCGGACGACATGGATCGGCAGGGGAAGGGGGTTGACAAAGATGTAGTATGCATCGATCGAGTTGCTGGTGACGACGCTCATGCCAAGCTGCACACTGATCGACTCGAGCAACGTGTTGTGGATGAGAGGCTTGACTTCCACGTTGAGACGGAGCTGCTGTACGGCCAGGCTAAGGGCCCGGTTGACAGAGCTTTTGTCGTGGCCTCGGATCTCCAGCTGCGACGTCTTGCCGCTAACAAAGGCCGACAGCATGTTGCGCGCTCTCGGTTCCGAGGCGCGCGAGGGGCGATAGCGGAATTCAACGTCTTTGATCGCAATTGGCCCAGAGTTGAAATTGACCCCCTGGCCCTTGGTGCCCAGCGCCACGTCGCCCAGGTAGGCATCTTGATAATAAGCGGCCATGGTCAGGCTCGAGTCGGGCAAACGGGCCCGGACGGAGTCGGAGGGGTTGTTGAGGTAGAGGCACAGTCGGAGAAGGATGTAGTCTTTGGTCGATCCCACGATGTCAAGGTTGGTGATCTGGAATGGTGAAGTGCGCAATCCGTCGAGACCAGGAAGCGCAATAGGGTGCTCTTTTCCGAGGTGCACATCCACCTTTGCCTCGCCCAGGGCAGTCTTTATCGTGACGTGGGCGATGCCTCGCAGACTCATCTTGTTCGTTCCATCCGGCCCAGACTCGATCGCATGCGTCACGAGGGGTCCCATCAGCTCGACGTCATCCGTGTTGAGATCGAATGTTTGCAAAGAGAGCTTGATCCGTCCGGATGCATTGCCTGCTGGCCTCTGCATGGTCTTGGGCTGACCCGACGTCTCTTGGGACTCATGCATGACATCCTGCTTGACGCTGCATCTGCCCACGACCTTGTCCTCATACATGATTTCGATGTCGGCCGCCACGTCGATGATGTTGAGCGAGATGGGAAACGGCACAGTGTATGCGGCCACGAGATGATCGAGCTTGATCTGCATGGCCTTGCGAGCGGGAAAGATAGCCTCAAGCGACCCGACGCTGACCTCATCGATGATGCGCATTGGTTCGGGCCACGGAATCGTCGCCTCCGCCTCGAGGGTCCTGAGCGCTTCGTCGAGCCAGGAGAGCGACACTGGTTTCGATGACCCATGGGCGACCCAAGCTCGCTGACCTCGAATCGTCACCTGAATGCTTCGGCCAGCAATCATCTCGCCAATGAGTTTTCCCAGCTTTGAAAGGACCTTTTCCCGCTCCTCGCCCGCGCGCTCGGGCGCATAAATGAGGCCCGCTGCCTCGACTTTGCACTCTGCCTGAGCATCGAGCGCGACCTTTTCCATGGCAATCTGTCCGATTGTGGCGCCCTCGTACACGAGGGCACACTCGAGCCGGTCGAGGTGGAGCGAGAGGTTACTCTCATTTACGATGCTCGCCTTTGCGGTGATCTGGAGCGCCGTTGGGAGCGCACTCTCGTGTGCTGGTGCAGCTACAGACAGACTGATGCCCTCGGCGGGAGCGCTGGCCTCGCCGACGACTTTGAAGTCGCTGATACTGAGCGAAGGCAGGCCTCCCAAGCCTGGAATCTCAATCTTCTTTTCAATCGACGAAGCAAAGTGGACGCCGCCGGAGGTGACGTCGAAGTTGGTCGTCTTGACGGCGTAGCTGGCCAGACGCTGGTTGATGAGACCAGAGACAAAAGCCGAGAAGGCGCCGATGGAATCCTGGCCGGGTGGCATGGCAATCCTGGTTGTCACCTCCCTTGCATCGTCTTGGCCTGCGATAACGGAGAGGGGCTCCTCAAAGAACAGGACGGCGACCTTTCGCTTCTTTGCACCAGTACCATCGTCCGAGTAGACTTCGAGGCCATCGACGAAATCGACCTGGGCACTCAAGGGTCCAAAGTTCTTGAGGCGAAGCGCGACTCGGGCCATGACGCCGCGATCCGACATGGATAGGACGTAGACACTCTCGAGCTCCAGCTCACCGCGGTCGACGAGGGCTTTGACGAATGGCTTGCCAACACGGGGCATCAGTGCGGCCGCCGTAGTCGTCGAGAGCGCGATGGGCAAGTCACGCTGCACAAAGGAGAGCTTGCCTGGGATCTTGTACGCACCCAGAGAGGCCTGGGCCTCTACATGCGCCGTGACCCTCAGGTTGGCAAGGGCCCTTGCCAAGAGCGAGGCCAAGTCTGCCGAGGGATCATTTGCATCTGCAATGCTTGTTCGCTTCGAGGCTGCGATGCTGCTCGCTGGCCGGCTCCTCTTGAGGCCCACGTCGTCCTGCATATCGTCGAGGAGCGACGTGAGGGCATCGCCCAGCTGGACGCCACGGCTCTTGGCAGCCCTGCGGAGAATGTCGACGAGAACCTTTGGATCCGGGTTGAGGTCAAAGGGCAGGGTGACATGCGTCGGCTGACCGCCCTTGGAGAGCACCATGCCCGGCCAGGTGGACGGAGTGACGACCTTGCCGAGCGTGAGCTGGTCCGGCTCGCCCTCGTCGTTGACAAAGTCGTTCGATCGTACATGGACAGAGAGGGCCGAGACTTGGACGTCGGCGCCAAAGCCGTTTCGGAGCGTGGTCCTCGCGACCGACTTTTGGAAGTCTGGCTCTGCAGCAGCATCCATGTGTCGGTTGAACGGGTTTGTTGAGGAGCCCGAAGAGGCACGCTGCCTGGGCAGGGGAGTCGAAGGTGCGCTCTCGGAGCCTTCAACGCGGACCTCTGCCCCATCGAGGAGTCGTGCTCTGTCGCCCAGTGGAGGAATGCGTGCGTCGATGCGTGCACCCTGGAACGCCTCGGCAAGCCAGCCGACGGCAGAGGCGCCCGCAGAGGGATCCGCGGCGTCGTAGTTTGTCGAGATTGCGCAGGCATCCAACGCCTCGTTCTGGAGGATGGAAGCGAGAGTGCGCTGCCCAGCCTTGTGGGCGCGTGCAGCGTAGCTCGAAGGATCTGTGCCCTCTGGCACAGGCGGAGGCATGGCGATAGTTCCAGTCGCCTCGACGTGGTTGGGGCCAGGCGACAGGGTGACCGAGGCGAGCGACAAGGAACCCAGCTCAAACAAGCCTCGCGGGATGGCAGGATTTCTCGTCTTGTCGTCGAGAGTGGTGGACGCCTGCTGATCGACGACGCAGAGCACGAAGCGCAAGTCGCCGGGTTGGATGGTCACGGCCGGCTTTGTCGACGGATTCTCCAACGTGACCATCGCCTTTACCTCGATGCCCCGCTGCGGATGGCCGCCGACGATCTCGAGACCGCTGATGTCAAGCCGCTTGCCCGTCGTTTTGGGTTTGGCAAGGCTCTGGAGGTCCTTTTTCTCCGGCTTCTTCTCGTCCTCGACAACGGTACGCGAGGACGTGGATGCCATCGATGACGCCGATGCGCTCTTGTTCCGGCGGCTGCCCAGGCTCATCCTCCATCGCTTTTTCCATGTCTTGGACTCGAACTTCCCACCGTCTTGGCCACCAGCGAGAGCTTCGCTTTCAGACTTGCCCTGCTCCCCCGCCCGTTTTCCCAGCATGCCTGCGCGCCCCTGCTGCAGCGCCTCCCACTCCTCCTCCTCTTCACCGTCATTGTCGTCAAAGATCAAGGCGCCGCCCAGACAGCCGAGGCCGCCAATCGTGACAATTTTGTCGATGTTCAGCCCACCAAACGTCAGCCCAAAGGCCCTGACCTCGACGCCCTGGGCGTGCAGGGCGATGTTGCTGGCGCTCGACGCTGGCGAGCGGACGAGGTAGCGGACGAAGCGAACAAAGGCGTCGTGCGAGTCGTCGAGGAGAATGAGGCGCATGTCCACCTCGGCCGATGCCGAGCCGGGCGAGCCGGCCTGGAGCGTCAGCGGCTCGATCTGGACCCGGACCAGGGCCTCTTCGCGCGCTGCGTCGGACTCGCCCGTGGGGGCGCGGGCCCAGCTGAGCGTGGCGCCGTGCCGGTTGCGAAAGGCGACCTTGATGCCGACCAACGGCACGGGCCCGCTGCCGAGATGGGAGAGCCGCACGCGCCCCCGCGCACAGAGGCCCGTGGCATCGGGCGAGGAAATGTGCAGCGACACAATCTCGAGCCGGCTCCGCTTGATGATGCCCGAGACGAGCTTCCTGACGGCGCTGATGCGCGAGAGGCCGCGCTTCCCGCCGCCGCCCACGCCTGCATCCCCAGCCGTCGTTGGCGATGACGCCGAGGCGCTGGTGCCCCTTCTTGTTGACATGGGTGTGTCCGCGTGTGTATACGTAGAGACAGACAGACAGAGAGAGGGATGCTCGTGTGCGTGTGCGTAAGCTTTGCGAACCAAGGAACTACAGTACATGAAGAAGCAAGAACCTGTTTCTTGTTCTTTATTTGCCCCGAGATTTCTCTTTCTGACAACACTGCGCAGTAAGAAATGTTGGTTCCTCCACTCTTCTTGACCCTGACCTGCATCGCGCGCGCGCATCCGCATCCGCATCCGATTCAGATAATTTAGGCAAGCCTAAAAGAAAATCACCCCTGCAATAATAATGGGACGGACGCGTGAAAAGCCCAGTGTGCAAAGAAGAACATTTAGAGCTTGCCTGCTGAGCACAGATTGCAGCGTGCCAAAAATGACACGCAGAAAATGGCGTGGAAGGCGGGAGACGGGCGCCTTCTGTTCGACTCAGCCTTCAGATACGAGGGCGCTGAAATGTGAGCGAGCAAGCGAGCGCACAAGTGTGAAAGGGGTCGGCCGTTGGGAGGGGGAGTCAATCTATTCGTGAAAGGGATGATGCTCTAGTCGTCTATTGATGCTCGTGGAGGAAGCAGGAAAATGGAGGAGGGAGAGAAAGGAAAGCAGCAGGGACAGGGACGGAGAATCAGGCCTCGCTCTCGTCGAGAATGGCCTCATCGTTGACCTTTGGGTTGGCTGTGCCGCCGACGGGTCGGTTCAGGGGCGAGTCCCGGCCCGTGTAGATGGCGAAGTCGTAGATGAAGCCGCCGACGAGGCCGCCAGTGAGGGCGCCCAGGCCGGGGCCCCAGGCAAAGTAGTAGGAGTTGTGCGTCCAGATCTCGTTTCCGTAGCCGAGGATCCAGAGGGCGAGGCGGGGGCCCCAGTCGCGGCCGAGATTCAGGCTGTAGCCCGTGTTGACGCCCATCGAGGCGCCGATGCCGATGAGGACAATGAACATGGCAAAGGCCATGGTGCCCTTGGGAGGCGGAAGGTTGTTCTTGTCGCTGAGTGCGAGCACGACGGCGACCAGCACGGCGGTGGCGACGACCTCGGACAAGAAGGCAGACGAAGCGGGGAGCCAGGGCTGTGGAAAGGTAAAGAAGATGCCCGCCGTGGCGTGTGGGCCCGTGACAGTACGGACAGTCGAGGGAAAGCCGGCACCCTCGTACAGGCCAATCGAGTAGCGGTAGTTGGCATAGACGACAAAGGAGGCCAGCATCGCGCCGAGGATCTGGGCGCCAATGTACCAGAGCACGCGACGGCCAGGGAAGCCACGGTACATCCACAGCGCAAGCGTGACAGCTGTGAGGATGAGCGCCGTCATCATCAGTTGGGAGGAATTGCTTTGCATGAGGAGGAGGAGATAAGAGAAGATCCACTCACAGGGATTGAGGTGCGCTCCGCTGACACCACCGGCAATCCAGATGCCACATGCGACACCGGCAGCCCAGGCAAGGCGGCAGCTGTTGTAGTCGCCAAAGCTGTAAGGGTGGCCCTTGTTGATGTCGTAGTGGAGCGACGTCTGGGCCTCGACGCTCGCGCCAAAGAAGATGATCATCGACGTGCCCAGCATCTCGGCCAGCTCCTCGCGCCAAATGTACCGAAAGCGGGTGAGGGCATTGGGCCGGCCCGAGTACTCTGCCCAGCGCGGGTCGTGGAACTCATCGTCATGGTGGTCCGCCACGGCCTGGGCGGGCAGGATGGGGCCCGCGCTCGCTGACGACGACTGGAACGTCTCTTGGTTCACCTCGGACCGACGGGCCGAGCGCGACGGCTTCCTCGAGCTCGAGGTCGACGTGCGGCGGGGCAGAAGCTCCTCTCTCTCCGACATTGTCCCTGTTGTTTCTAGCAATTTATGTTGGAGTGGTGAACAGAACTGAAACTGATACACCGGTGGGTAAGTGTTGTTCTTTCCCCCTAAGACAACACGCAGGCGATATTCGCCTTGAAATTCGCCGAGGCCAAGAAGCAATCTTGGGGGTCTTGTCGCCTCGTGGCTGCAAACTCGCGAACGAAATCGTGACACGTGTCGAGTTACCACGCCCTTTTTCCCTTTCTTCTTCTTTTTACAATTTAAAAACTCATGCACAGACCCGTCGAAAATCGGCTAGGTAGCGTTGATTTTTAAATGCACGAGGTGGGGCTGCAGAAGGTCAACGCGGAGTTCAAGCTACGCAACTATAACTAGTACTACTAGTAGTACACTAGCCAGGCCTGGCTTCCTTGAGCCAATTAATCAAGACACACCTGAGACTAGACGTACTGCACCAGAGTAGTCTCGCACCCGTACCTCCGTCTTCCAAAAGATAGAGAGAGAGCCTACTTTACTTTGTGACAGAAGGGCGGAGACTAGTCCTTCCATCTCGTCTCGACGATCGAAAAGAGGCGATCTCATATCACAGCCGAGGGCGACGGACCGACCGCTCGAGCCTCGTTGGAATCGGCTAGATCTCGTGGTCCCCATTTCTCTTCAAGAAAAGGAGGGTGGTGGTGCTGTCTTCGTCTCGCGAACGCCGTGCGCGGCCCTGCCAAGCCCAGCCAATATCAATCTGCAATCTGCGACGAGGGGATCAGACGTGAAGGAGTCTTCTCGAGAAGGGGAGCGCGATGGGTGAGTGGCTGCACCACAGCGCCAGACCAGCAGATTGACTGACTGATGGATGCTGCCAATTCCACCGCCTTTTTTTCGCCCCTTCTCGCCCCGTTCTCGTCCCTTTCTCGGTCCTTTTTCCAATCGCCGCGCCACGACTGCCGCCCGCGAAACGAAAACAAATACAAAACTCTTTGCCGATTCTCGCGACCACGCCGTTCAGCAGCGAGCATGGCCCCCGGGACAGACCCGTCCAAGAGTGGCGGCGGCGGCGGCGGTGGCGGCAGCGTCAAGGTCCTGGCTGCAGACTCGCCCAGCTACATCTCGTCCAAGTCGGCCAACTCTCTCATCTCCTTTTCCCGGCCAACGAGGATCCAGGCAGTGACGCTCTTCTACCTCAACAAGATTCTCGATGAGATCCTGCTCCAGATTCTCTCGTCGGCAAAGAGCCTGGCTACTGACCGGATCAAGTCCGACGGCATCGTCCGGGTACTCGGAGGCGCAAGCGGGTCCGGCAGCGGTGCAGGCGCATTGCTGGCCAAGAATGCCGTCCTGGAAGCCGAAATGGAGCTAAGGAGCTACACAGAGGGCCTGCGAAAAGAGGGTGGAAAGGTGCCTCTGGGCCTCAGTGCAACCAGCAGGCTCGACGGCACCGACAACTTCCCTGTCAAGAGCGCATACGATCTGGTGAGTTGCAACCAAACGCTTCCTGTCCTTTCCAATTTGTCCGCTGACGGGATACAAATCACCGACGGCCACAACAGCTTCGGATAAGATGTCAGTACTACTCGACGCTGGGCGACCTCGAGGATCCTTCGCCGAACAGCCCTCCAGACCAGAACATCATGTCGCGCGATGGCCGGCCCATTGCCACAATTACGCCCGGCGTGGCCATCTACGTCACTGCGCTGCTCGAATTCGTCGCAGACTACATCCTCCAGAACGTCGGTCGGGTCATTGAGCGCGACAACAGCGACGAAGCCTCGCTCAGCGACCTGCGCAAGGCCGTCGAGGAGGACGAGGCGACGAGCTACGTGTGGGCGAGGCTGGACACGAGGCAGGACATCCTCGTCCGGGAAAAGGAGGAAAAGCAAAGGGGTGGTGGAAGCCGAGTGGGGAGGCCATGGAAGGTGCCCGACGAGAGCGAGCTCGATGAGGCCGCTGGACGCAAACACTTTTCGCGCCATAGCCTCACCACGTCGGCGAGCGCCCACATGGCGGCGGTGATCAGGGCGGGCAATGTCAGCAGCAATAGTAGCAGTGGCCATGCCGACGGCAGGCCAGGCCAGCAGAGGCCCATGAGCAGCAGTGGTGGCGGCGGCGGCGGCGGCGGCGCCGGAGGTGCTCCGACGTTCGGACATGGCACCGATAGCTCCACCAGAGACGGCAGCGGCATGACGAGCCCCGTGAGCCCATCTGTTCCGGGGAGTGCGTCTGGCCACACCGCCATGACATCCATGAGCTCCTCGAGCGACATGGGTTCGAATCGCAGACAGAGCGCCGACAAGGCTTGGGGCGGCATCCTCGCAGGTAGGCGGAGAGGAAGCTTTCGAAAGAGCCAGGACATGAACGGCACCGGTGGTCTCGTGCCACCGCAGAGACCCGTGATTCAGACAGGCCCCACCAGTCCGGTGGAAGACGTCTTTGCTCCTGACGATGTGAGTGTTGGCAGGATCGGTTTGAGCGCAAAGTCCAAGACTCACAACTGCTCCTCAACAGGACTTTGACGCTCTCGTCATGTCTGGTGAGACGATGAAGGTGTCGCTGACGCCCAACCGACTTCGGAGCATGGAGGGGCAAAACGACGATGATGTCGACGCCAAGAAGAATGCGCGAAGACGTCCGGGCGCGCTCATGGCTGTCACCGGGCTCCGGGATGGCGACGATGGAGCAGCGCCTCAGCAGCCGTCGCCCTCCGCTTCTCGTGCCAACGGCTCTGTCGACAGCTTCCAAGAGCGCAACTCCACGTCTAATCCTCCTCGCTCTCTCTCACGAGCTGGCTCGACGAGCCTGCGGCCGTCATCGTCGCAAAAGAATATGAACAAAATGGGCGGCGCGCCACCGCCCTCCTCCTACCGGGGACCCGATACGCCTCCCGTCAAGAGCCCAACCCGATCGCAGTCAGTGTCTGGTGACATTCCTGCTCCCGAAGAGGATGAGCCGCAGCCGTTCTCGAGCAACAGCGGTGGACAGAAGATGCGGGCCCGAGATGCCGCAAGATCGAGCCAGAGCGTGCGCGACATGGTCGAGATGTTCAATGCGACGCCACCGAGCCCTATCAGCACAGGGCAGTTCCCCTCGAGCGGGAGAGATTCGAGAATGAGCCAGAGGAGCATCTCTTCGCTGGAAAATGGGCGGAAGTCTGCGCTGAGCGCAGCCGGAGGCCGGGTCCGCAACCTCTTCAGCGTTGGTCGCAAGGCATCGTCTTCGAATACCCCTGCTGCCAGTCCTATGCCTCCTCACCAGCCACTGCAGCGCGCACAGGATCCCTCTTGGTCCTCTGTGCATAACGAGCCCGTAGTCGAGGGCTTGACGAGCGACGACAACATGTCAAGCTCGCATGACCACGCATACAGCGCATCCCACAGCAGCACTCACGAACGACCCTCGACAGGGATGGTTGCAGGTGCTGCCCTGGGCGCAAGTGCTGCATTGAGCGCTGCTGCAGCCGCCGGTCGTCACCCCGTCAATCGCAGCGACAGCGACCGACGAAGCGTCAACCGAAGCCAGCAGGGACACGGTGAAAGTGATGAGCGTGCTCTTGATGTTACCAATGACGGAGGTTCCGTTCGCTCTTCATTCGACGGTGCAAGGGCACCGACATCGAACGAAAATGTGCAGACGGACGCACTTGCTGGACGTTCGTCGCTCTCTGCAGCCTCGCAGCCGGGTACACCTGCCCACTCTGGTCTTGTAGGCGGCTATGAAGATGCGAGAGACGTCCCGGAAGCGCAGAGGCCTACCTCGTCGAATGGGCACTCGCGTGCTGAACCACCGAGTCGCAAGATCGCCTGGAGCTACGCTCGCCCAGGAGGCAACAAGCGCATGAGTGGACCGCCTGGCACTCTCCGGCTCCGCAGCGGGTCTGGGAGTGCAAGTCATGGAAGCGACTCTCATGCGCCTCCTTCGGCATGGACGACGACGTCAGCCTCGCTGCCCGGTCATGGAAGCGCCAATCAAACCCAGAGCAACGACTCTACCGAGAACCTCGGTGTGCGCACACCGACACCTGCGCAGTCCTTCTTCCCTGCCATTTCTCCACGATCATCCACGCCGGCCGACGCAGAGCGACGATCGTCTAAGTCGGACACGGCCAGAGTGCTCGTCCAGCTCGACCGACGACTCAAGGGCGCCACGACGGTCGAGGAGTGCCGACGGATGGTCCAACACGCTCTGGCTATCGCCGCGGCCGCCGTCCACGATGAGGATCGGCCCGATAGCGCGCCAGTCGCTGGCTCGCAAGTCAATGGCAGTGCGCCGGTCGGTGATATTCCCGACGAAGACGAGCAGAGCGTCAGCCAGGCGATGCAACAGCAGGCTATCTCACGGCCTTCCACTAGGGGAAACGCAAGCGTCGAAGGCTTGTCCAGCGCAGCCAATCCCCACCTGTCGTCCGCTGCCAAGCTCGAGAAGATGGTGTCGACGAGCGACGATACGGAGCCGGCCGCATTCAGGGGTCATGCTGTTGTTCTGCCCATGGCCAGCGGCTACGATGCAGCGCTAGACCAGACGACACCTCTGTATCGGCATCACGGTCTGGTCGCCGCTTGGCTGCTCGATGGCGAGTCGTGGGAAGAGCACGAAAACGAAACGGTTACCCAGATCCCACCACCGCAGCTGGAAAGCCCTGATGATCAGGCTGCGGCCTCACCCAGGCTGAGCCTGGATGAGTACGAGTCGGCTGATGAGCGAGGTGACTCGCCTCGCGTAACGCAGGACGATGCATTTGAGAATTCTGCCAACCAATCGTCCTTGGGCCTGCCAAATGCCAAACTTTCTCCCAGGCGATCGAACAAACAGCTGCCTGGGGCATTTTCCGCCATTAGAGTGGCCTCAGCTGGGCTCAACAACAACGGCCACGTCGTCGACGAAAGAAGGGTGAGCGCCGTCGAGAGCGTCAAGTCCTCTTCGCAGTACAAGGACGCCATGGAGGAAGCCGCCATCGAGTAGACAAGACGCCTTTTTTCATTTCCATTTTACCCCCCCTAAATTTCTGAAGTCCCTTCGTCGCCAACGCAACTCTTTCGAAGTTGCATGGATAACATCAATCTTCTAGGCCCTGAGCGACACCAAGCGAACACGGCTTTCTCATCGATACCTCATCGTTTTCCTATCATGTCGGCCGTCTTGTTGTCATACCTACGTTTTCTTTGTCTCCTCCATCTTGCGCTTTTCATCCTTTTCTTCCCTAATTGGTCTTCTGTTCTTTCTCTTCTCTTCTTTCTTCATGCTGCTATCATTGTTGCCAATTGGAGCCGCTTGTCGGTCTTTCGAAGTGCATGTGTTGGCTTGGGGGGAGGCAGCCTCGGATGGTGTGTAGGTGTGCTTAGACGTAAGCTTAAGCTCTCAGTCGCCTTCTTAGATCATGGTAGGTGGTCATTGTCACTAGCAACAGCCAAGCCGGCCAAGCCAGGCCACTCCAACCGCGGCACAGCGCGCGAAAACGATCGCTCTTGAGCAGGCATGTCGATGATCACAGGGTGAATTAGACTTATAAGTTATGAAAGTTGGTAGACGGCTTCTTTCTGGGGGTTGTGAATGGGAGGAGGGGGTTTCTCGATACATTTTTTTCTTTTTTTTTTTTTCTTTTTTTTTTTCTGGAGCGGTGAGGGGAAGTTGTGGAGACCATCTACGTGACAGAGACAAAGAGGGATGATAAGCAAGAGAATCTAAGTCGCATGCTCGACGAGCGAGAAGCTGGGTACTCACGCTGACACTGTCGCCTGGTCAGTGAGGAGAAGAGGGGAGGGAGTTTTGGTGGCCTGTGAGATTGGTGAGTCTGTATATGTCGACGAATGATATGGTCGACAGACAGCAGTACTCACCCTTGTTGAAAAGGCCGATCGCGCTTGCTTGCAAAGGACCAGGTTTACTTGCGAGACTATTTCTCATCACCCTATGAAGCTTTACCCAAGCTTTTCAACTCTCAGAACGACTGCTTCTGCGCAGCGAACAGCAGAGAGAAGAGAGTGACAGATGATTGTGAGTATTTTTGTTCACTGCCCAGCGGTAGAGCACCTGGGCGCCCGCTGACAACTTACGCCTTGACCGTGTCGCCCTGGGACCTAATCGTCGGGACAATGATGATCAATGGTTTAGATGAAGAGCAAGAGAAGAAACGTCCTCATGCTTACCTCTTAAGAGGCAGCGACCTTGCTTTGGAAGAAGTGGACGGGTCGATGGTGTGTGGCCTACCACAAGCAGGATTGGGGCATTGGTGTTTGGAACGGCGTTCGAACATGTTCCCCTCGGAATGCTCACGCTCGACGGTCATCTTGGCGTCAGAGGTAGCGGTAATAGGCCTGTTTTTCAAGTAAGATCCGGTTCCAAAGCAAAACAATGAGGGTACCCACTCGTGACGAGCAGCAATGGTGTTTGATTCGTATGAGGTCGTCTTACTCTTGTCGCGCTTGACGTGGATGGTGTCAGAAAGAGTAGCGGTCGGTCTGTGGCTCCATCAACGTCAGTGTTCCATCGTCGGTCTCACAACGCAAGAAGAGAAGAGAAGTTCAGGCAACTCACTCGCGACGAGCAAATATCATGCTGTCTTCTTTGTCTGGAGATCGTATCCTTCGACAGTATTGAATGACGGTTAGTTAGGAGCCTGGCAGAGAAGGACATTGTGAGTTCGGAGGGTGTTCAGACTCACTTGAGCATCCTGCAAGAGGGTCCTGCGCAGCTGATCGAGTGTAAATCGTGAGGCAGAGCCAGAACTCCACCGGTAGTCATGATGGCGACAAGGAAGCCGAGGACCAGGACCTGGAGCGGAATTGCGGTCATCGAAGGAAGACAAAGGGCAAAGACGCGCATGTTGATCGAGCTGCCTTTTATAGAGGTTGTTCGGTTTGATCAAAGAGAAAGAGATTTGAAGGCGATCGGAATAGGAGGAAGCAGTGAGAAGATTTGTGACTTTTTCGAAGGGGGAAAAGATGCTGGGGTGGGCTGTTGAGAAAGGGAGACGTGCAAATGTGCAGCGAGCTTTTATCTCTCCACCGACAAACCCTCCCCTCTCACCCCTTCCCCCTCCTCCCCCCTCTCCCCCACCCCGCTTTCCGCTCCCTCTCGCCAAATTCGGCGGACAGCGCCCCGGCCAACGTTGGGCGACCTTTGCAGTTACCCTGTACACTTTCATCTCGCCCACTGTTGTGCCTGAAGGTGATGCTGGCGGCAAATACGGCGAAGCAGCATTGCCAAATCTTTGTTGATGATGAATCAGGGTCACATTGGCCGACCGCCAAATAGCTCATTCGGCCGCTGAACAGACTCTTTGCCCTGCCTCTCAGTGCCCGCTTGAATCACTCAAGCTGTATGGCTGTGTCTTTACGTCAATATGAAAAAACAAACCCATGGACATGGACCCGTACTCATGTAAGTCATCATTGGACCTTGACAGGAAGCATCCAAACATTGCTGTCTGCCAAGGAAAGGCTTCTTCGCCCGCAACCCGAATGTCGCGGACTACGATTCCAGCCCGTCAAGGACGATGAAACCAATGAGAAACAAGCACAGGTGCTGAGAATCAGAGAGGCGGACCTGTCTTGGGCCGGTGCACGCGAGGGGTCAGATAGCGTCGGCGCTCAAGTAGTCTTGCCCGTAACGAGTTCGATGTGGCGGGGTGGAAAGAAGGCGAGCACACAACCGATCATCGGAGTATCTTACTGGTCCGCCCTCACTAACATTGCACGGGTGACGTGGTGTTGTACCAACGCGAGCTGCTGTGTTATTGCCCTTGTTTGTCGTCCCCGCAACTTCAAACTCCGTGAGGCTCTCCGCTCTTCAGGCTGGTCACACTTGCCCCGAAGCGCTTGGAAGAAGAAAGAACAAATGATACAATTATGTAAAAAGAAGCGGTGGTGGCTAGTCAGGCGAGGCTGGTTAAGCGAGGGCTAGTCAAGCGACATTGATGTAAGTCGGGACCTGAAAAGACATGAGCGGCTCAACGCTCCACAACATCCCATTCGTCGTCTTCATCAACATCGGTGCCTGACCCTTGTGCGAGCCCGTCCCGGGCTCTTCGCGCATCGCTATAAGGCCTTGTCGGAAGCAACGGAGAAGCTGATGGTGGTGGTGACGCAGAAGACGAGCTCTTTCGGCCAGCAAGCTTTGACGTGCTCTTTGCTCGCACTTCGACTCCATTGAAAGTCACGGTACCCTCTTTGGGCTTTTCGGGCGGCGCGGGCTTAATTTCTGCCGTTCGTGTTGATGAGGCTGTCGAATGTGCTGACGCTATCGTTGTTGCTCCTGTTGTTGTTGTTTTGGTTGTTGTCACCGACGCTGGCGCCGCTTGGGCCCTTGCTTTTGCGCCTCGAGCCTTGAGGAAATTCAAGCTCCCCACTTTGTCCAGCTGCTCGTGCGCTCCGCTGTGAGTCCTCGCAATCCGACGCTCGGGGGTCGTGACAACATTGATGGGCGCTTGAGGGCGCGAAGATGAGCCCGCTACCTTTTTGGAGTGGGCCTTTGGATATGGAGCCCCTTCTTTGCGTGTGGATGAAGACTCCTTCCCTGCGCCTCTGTCCAGCTCCAAAATAGACTCTGCCGCCTGCCTTGCATCGACGTAGCTCTCTTCTAGGAGCGTTGGCCTGCCCTTCTCTTTGGTCAACCTCGGCGGCCGAGACACGCCAGTCGGGGCGTACTTCTTGGAAGAAGGCGACGAAGATGCCGAGGAGCTGTCCTTGGTGTCTCCTCGCGAATCTTTTTCGTTGATCTGCAGCAACTGGCTCAGCTCCAAGCCTGGGAACGACAGATCCCGAGCGTGAGATGGGCCGTGGTAGGTCGTATGAGCCATTTTTCCTAGAGATTTACTCAGTGTCGCCTTCGACAGCAGCCGAAGTGTGCTGCCAGCCGCATGCACTAGCTCGACCCTCGCGCCTTGAACATGAGTGAGGTAGGCGGCATTGTAGGCGAGCTTCGTCAACGCAGAGCGAAACTCCTTTGCAGACAGAGAGGCCGAGTCTGGAGCAGGTGCAGTTGAAGTGGTGCTGCTTTCTCCACTGTTGAGCCTCTTGACACTGACAAACGAGTCGAGGGTCCACATGGTGCTTGCGGTCAAGCTCCCCATCATCGATGCGCCCAGCCCACCAGCTGCGCCTTGCGAAGAGCTGGCAGCAACAGCGGGTCCCAGCGAGCCGTGCGCTTCGTGAGTCAGCACCAGCGACTCTTGTTCGCCTGTCGAGTTCAACGACGAGTACAGCTGATTCGCCCGGATGTTCAGCTTGCCACCTTCGTCAGACATCAAGAATGGTAGGACAACGCCGAGGTAGTCTGCGAGGAGATGCAGGAGGTGGACGGTATGTGAGACAGCCCCATTAATGCTATCACGTTCGAAGCGTCTGAGATCAGAAATGACCGGCAAGACGAGCTCAACGATGGTCCAATCGTTTGGGTTGATCGGAGCCAAGGCTGGTGGCGATTCCGTTTGCCTGGATGACGCAGGGTTTACTGCGGCCAAGTCGAAGATACCACTGGACATGTATCTCTCGCGGCTGCGCTGGTTCCTCGACGTCGACGTAGAAACAAGCCGGTCGGCATTGAGCCTGGCCAAAGAGCCAGAGGGAGGGCGGACCTGGAAGATGGAGATGACTTCTTTGGCCCGCAGGGCACGCACTTTGGCCAGCTCCTTGGCAACATCGTCGCTCCTCTTCTCCAGCTCGTTCATCACCTCTTGGGCCCGCTGAAGTTGTACATGAGAGGCACCGCTATCATCCAGCTCGCCACCAGACATGAGCGCACGCGCTTGCTCAAGCATCGTCTTCCGTCTGTCGAGCTGGGCTCTCCTTTCCCTGTTTCGCGCAGATGCTCGAGTGGCTGACTGGGATGCCATCGCATTCATCTGTCTCATTTCGAGGATCTCGAGTTGCAACGCTGCTTTCCTCGCTCGGAGTTCTCTTGCGGCATGGCTGGCGCCCTTGTGCGGCCCTCGCTTGTTTTGCTCGCCTTGGTTGCCTCCTTGTTGCTCCAATTTGTCCTCCTCGTCGTAGTCCCCAAACGGATCAGGAATCGAGAGAAGCCTACGCAGGCCGGAGGGCCTCTTGGGCGAAGGAGACGACGTCGTGGCTGCTGGTGCTGCATAGCTTCCCGGTATGGCCGGCCACCTCCCCAGGATGCTCTCGCTCGTCGCTCCCTCCTCGGGCTCCTCCAGGGGCCCCAAGAGCGCCTCGACGCGCCTTTTCGACTCGAGCAAGTCCTTGCGTGCGCCCGCTTGCTTCTGGTGGTAGACCGACTTGAAGTGGGTGAGACAGGACGAGCACCGGAAGTTGATCCGTGCCTTTTCGCAGCCGGGGCATGGAGCTGGCGTAAGATTCTTGCTGCTAGCGCTGCTGCTGTTGCTGCTGCTGCCACTGCCTTTGTTCTTGGTTGTGGATGACGATGCATGCCGCACAGATGTAGAGGGAGAAGCCGTCGTGCGATGTCGACTGCTCGTCGCGCGACTAGAGGTCGGTGCCCTCTGACTCGACAGAGTTGATGGAGAAGCCTGGGGTGGGCCTGCCAGCGTCGAGGAAACGCGAGGCTTCGTCGACCTGTTTGGGGCTCGGCCAGCCGTCGGCGCCACCGACGACACGCCCTCGTGTCTTGAAGCCATATCCGTCACCACTCCTTCTTCATCGGGCGCTCCACGATCCGGCAGGTCCAATCCACACAACGGGGGATCATCATCGAGCTCTGCGTCTCTAGCCGCCACAGAGATTGGTGATCGTTGCCAGACCGGAGGAGAGTTGCGTGACTCTGTGCAATCTCAGATAACCCTTGATTAAGGACGCGCTCAGCTCCAACTTTTTCTCACTTTCCTTTGGTTCAATGTGGAGACGGGCCGGGCATGCGACACGTGAAGTGAAGGAAGATCTGTCTCCCATCCATCGACATTAGCATCATCACCATCACCACCATCACAAGCAACAGTGCAGGCTCGATGTCGAGCAAGGCGACCGCATCGGGCGGTTCCGGTGTGGGGCCGAGCGGGCGCAAGTGGGACCTGGAAGAGTACGCCCAAAGAGCGCGAGAGCGCGATCGCGAAGACCGAGAAAATGCGCAAGAAAACGAGGAGAGGTTGCGTAAAGGACAGAAGCCCTTGACGCACGAACAGCGCAACAGGAGGAGGAGGGAGGAGCTTCCTAAACCAACAGAGACGCTCAAGGCTCGAGAAAAAGACTTGGAGATCGAAAAGAACCTGAACAAGACGTTGATGGTAGACAATGTTGGCGGAGCTGGCGGCGGCAGAAAAGGGCCTGGATTCTACTGCGAAGTATGCAACAGAACTTTCAAGGATAGCTTGGCCTATCTCGACCATGTCAATGGGCGACTGCGTAAGTGCTGGCTGTAGACCTAGATTGTGCCTGACACGAAATGAAAGCTGACTGCCTCCCCAACAGACCTTCGCAAGCTCGGTCAGACGACGCAAGTGGAGCGATCGACTCTCGAGCAGGTACGCGCAAAGCTGGCCCAGCTTCGTGCACAGCACGCCGATAAGGCCTCCGACCGGCAGTATGACTTTGATGCCAGGTTGCAGGAGATTGCCGACAAGGAGCAGAGAGAGCGGGAAGCACGCAAGGACGAAAAGAGGAAGCAAAAGCAAAGAGTGCAGGCAGAGAAAAAGATGGAAAACAGCGACATGGAGGCTATGGCCGCAATGGGGTTCGGCAGCTTTGGATCAAGCAAACATCGGTGATCACACTTTGTATTCTAGACAGACGGCCGTCTCTACTTATGTTTTTGTACACGATCAAGCAGCCCAGACGAGAGACAGCATGAAGCTGTCGTCGCCCACTTGCTGCTCCTCCTCGGTGATGATTTTTGCGTTGGGTGGCCGCTGTTTGACCGACATTGGCGTTCGCCTCAGCGACTTCTTGAAGAAGTCGCCCTGCGCCTCGAAGCACTCCTCCAAAGCCTTGCCCACACCTTCTTGGAAGCTGTAGAAGGCATCGACCTCGTCTGTGACTTGGAGGCCAGCCTTCTTGCGAAGCCTCTGAACACGGTTGACAAATTCGCGAGCCGTTCCTTCGGCCTGGAGCTCTTGCCTGATCTCGGTATCGAGGAGCACAACGACACCGCCGTCGGTGTTGCTGTCCCACTTGCCCTTCCGATCGCCAAGTTCGACGCTCTTTGTCACCCTAAGATCGCCCTCGACAAGCTCAATACCCTCGACGGTGATCTTGCCCGTGGCGGCATACGCCTTTGCCTCGTCCGACGTCACCTTCTCCAGGCCCTTTCTCACCTTGCCCATGTCCTTACGCAGCTTGCGACCAAGGACGGGCCAGTCCGCACTAAGCTTGTACTGGACCCCACAGGCCGCCTCGTCAGAGGTCAGCGTCACGTCACGTACGTTGAGCTCTTCTTCGACGTAGGTCTGCAGCGAGGCGACGTCATCGAGGTACTGCTGATCGCTGTGGAAGATGAGGAGCTCTTTAAGGGGCACACGAAGGGGAAGCGTGTTGCGCTCTCGGACCGTCCTCGTCAGCTCAATGACAGATTGGAGCGCGGCGAATCTCCGCTGGATGACGGGATCCAGGTACTCTTGTCGCACTTCGGGGAACGAGATAAAGTGCACAGATCGGTAGTCCTGTTTGTCGTCGGCAGCCGGGGGAGGCAGGAAGACCCTGAGACCCTGGTAGATGTTTTCGGTCAGGAAGGGCGTGAAAGACGACATGGTCCGACACAGAGTGAACAGCGTCTCGAAGAGCGAGTTGAGTGCGGCAACTGTGTCTTTCTCCCCGTTCTCGCCCTTGAGACGGCGTCGGTTGCATCGAATGTACCAATTGGTCAACTCGTCGATCAGGTTGAGCAGTCTCGGCATGACAGTGTACAGCCTGTATGCGTCCATCTCTTCCTGGACTAGCTTGATCAGGCTTTGGCACCTCGCCAGGATCCATCGGTCCATGACGTTGTCGCTCAGTGATGCCTTGGGGTCGTACTTGAAGTCGATGCCAGTATCCTTTTTCAGGAGTGCCACCTGTCCCAAGAAGAAGCGGAACGAGTTGAGCCACGGCAGGAAAGCCGAAGAGAGGACCTCCTTAACGCCTGCCTCTCGGAAGCGCAAATTCTCGCCTCGGACGACTGGTGAGTTGACGAGGTAAAGGCTTTCGTGACATGCTAGCCCGTGAGCGACAATCGTCTGCGATTTTAGAGCATACCTAGCAACTCACCGGACAGCATCGGCACCGTACTGATTGATGAGCAGAGTAGGGTCAGGGTAATTCCTCAGGCTCTTGCTCATTTTCTTTCCATCTTCAGCCAAGACGAGGCCCGTGGTGATGAGGTTCTTCCACGGCGACTTGTTGAACAGATGGGTGCCCAAGATGAGGAGCGTGTAGAACCAGCCGCGAGTCTGGTCGATGCCCTCGCAGACAAAGTCGGCAGGGAAGCTCTTCTCAAACTTCTCCTTGTTCTCGAAGGGGTAGTGAGCCTGGGCGTAAGGCATGCTGCCTGATTCGAACCAGCAGTCAAAAACCTCTTCGATGCGGCGGAGGACTCCCTTCCCCTTCCGAGAGGGAATCGTAATGTCGTCGATCTTATCCCTGTGCAGGTCTGTCAGGCCGGTCCGACCCGAAAGCTCCTCGAGCTGCTTAACGGAGCTGATGCAGACCACCTCTTCGAAGTCGTCGCTCGCCCACAGCGGGATAGGCGTACCCCAGTATCGATTCCGGCTAACGTTCCAATCGCGGGCATTGGCCAGCCAGTTGCCGAAGCGACCGTCGCCAACGCTCTGAGGCACCCAACGCGTACCACTGTTGTTCTTCGTCAGGTCCGAGACGATGTTTTCGACTCTGACAAACCAGGCCGGGATGGCCTTGTAGATGAGAGGGGTACCCGACCGCCAGCAGAAGGGGTAGGAGTGGTGGAGTGTGGCTTGGACAATAAGTCTTCCTCGGGCCTTGAGGTCCTTCTGGATCTGCTTGTCGGCCTCCTTGACATGAACACCCTTGTAGTCGGGCACTTCAGCCGTGTAACGACCGCTCTCGTCGACCGGGCAAGGTGGCGGCGAATCGCGCGAGGTGATGCCATTGGCGATGGCGATCCGGTAGTCATCATCACCAAAGGCGGGAGCCTGTTGAACGATGCCAGTACCTGCGTCTGCCGTCACATAGCTGTCGGCAACGACCTTGAACGCGACGTCCTTGTACTGAGAACGTGATGTCAGCTTAACGCGGCCTCTGTCCGAGCTTTTTGTAGTCGGGCACTCACCTGCTCATAGAAGTACTTGAAGATGGGTTCGAACTTCCAGCCAACCATGTCTTTACCCTTTGCTTCGCCCAATTTGGTAAATTTGGCCTTCTTTGGGTCCTTGTAGAGTGTTGTAAGGAGCTTTTCTAGGATCCAGAAGTTCATGTCCCGCTCCTGGTCGTGAATCTTGATGTAAGTGAAGTCAGGGTGGACGCAAAGGGCCAAATTTGAAGGGAGGGTCCATGGCGTCGTCGTCCATGCCAGCAACGCCGTCTTGGGGTCGTCGAGCAAGGGAAAAGAGACAGTGACGGCAGGGTCGACGACGTCTCGGTAGTCTGAGCCAGCTTCGAAGTTGCTGAGGGGTGTAGTGCAGGCGGTCGAATAGGGCATGACCCTCATCCCTCGATAGACGAGACTCTTCTCAAAGAGCTGACCAAACACCCACCAGACTGTCTCCATGAAGCTTGTATTCATCGTCTTGTAGCCTCCGTCAAAGTCGATCCATCGACCCATGCGCTCCACTGTCTCCTTCCACTCGCCCTGGTACCGCATCACGATGGCGCGGCACTCTGCGTTGTAAGCTGGAATTCCCATGGCCATAACGTCATCTTTTCCCTTAATTCCCAGCTTCTTGTCAATCTCATGCTCTACTGGCAGTCCGTGGCAGTCCCAGCCGAATCGTCGGTCGACATAGTGGCCGGTCGAGTGTGCATGTCGGGTGACAATGTCCTGTCAAATAACCCTATTGAGACCAGCTGCTCCCATAGTTCACAAAGCACATGAAGCTAACCAACCTTGATCGTACCAGCAAGCAGATGGCCGTAGTGGGGCAAGCCGGTGGCAAAGGGTGGTCCGTCGTAAAAGGAGTAAGGCTTCTTGCCCTTGGACTGCTCAAGTGACGTCTTGAAAGCGTCGATCTCTCGCCAGTACTTGAGCACCTTTTCCTCCTCTTTCGAGAAGCTGAAGTTTGCCGTCGCATCGTGCGACGGAAAGGTGGCCGTTGCCATCGTCGTTTGTCGCCCTCTGCTACTGCTGAGGGAAAAGGTGAAAGACGACAGACTGATCGCCTCGTCCCAAGTTGAGCAGGCCGTAGGAAAAGCCAAAAATCAAAAAAGCCCGCGCCAAATCTTCGTGAGTCACATTGGTCATCTTCGCTCACGTGAGCGGGAAATGTGACCATGTTTTGTCACTGGATACGCTCACTGCCGTGCTCGGATTGGAGCTTGCCTTGCCTTTGCTATCGTGCCCCTCATCTTTTTGCCTGTTCAGCAGCGAAATGTATAGATGCTATAACGCACACTTCAGGAAACGAGGCGCATGAGCATTCAAGGCTATTCTTGTGAGCCATAGAACGACCGGGGCGCCCAAGATATGGGCCGACCGGGGCGCAAGTCACACCGTGTGAATATCGTGCTGAAGCCCATTTGGGCGCCGTAAAACTTTGCGCCCACATTGCACGGTCTGAAAAGACCGAAATTACCAGCAGCAGCCAAAGGACCTGTGTTGAGACCGGTCTCTACTCTGAGAGGCGAACCGAAACCGAATGGGCCCCGAGGTGGGGCTTTCTTCTGCCTTTCTTCGTTGCTGTCACCTCAGTAGAGGCGAAAGACGAGAGACTTTTTTCCATAAATTGTGAAGAGTTCTTCCTACCGAGCTGGTCCGAAGATCGGTCAGATCTTTCTCTCTACACCAATGCACAGCTGCTTCTGCTGGATATATAAGTGGGCGAGTTTGCCTGGAAGATGGCCCCCTCATCTCAACTCACCTCCTCGTACCTCTCCAAGCTCAATTTTCTTCCTCTACCAGAGAACGTATCTCATTGAGCTCGCAGGCCGACTTCAAGTCTCAAGGATGAAATCACGAAACACTTTTCTCGCCTGCCTCAGCCTGGCGATGGGAGTTGCCTTGCTCGCCACCACTATGGCTGCGCCCATCGAAGGAACTAAGATCGCCCCACACGGAACAGTCGGCGCACGCATCAGCAACCTGGCTAATTCTGCCCAAGTCACCTCGAATGTGTCCGAGAAGTTCATGAACACCGACGAGGATGTGCTGCTACCTCGTGGGCCCGTGACAGAGTTCGGTGAAAGAGAAGAGCAACACCAGTGGACGGAAACTTCTGAAGAAAGTATGTAAAATCCAAACTCTCCTGTAGCATTGCGTGAGAGATGCTGACGTCACCCTCCGTACATAGAGTGTGATGCCGAGAAAGGGTGTGTCCCGTGCACCGAGAAGCACAACGGGGACTGTCACCTCGTTCAAGAAAGTAAAAAGCAAGGTGAGATTACCTTTCGTACATGTTGAGCAACAGCTCGTTGGAACTCGAATATAACATCCTTTTGCGGCATTTTGCAGTAAAAACCTCAAAGTCAAGGAGGCAACTGGCCGGCGAGGCCACTTCTCAGCGCCGTATGATGAAAAGAGGGAGGTCCAATGAGCCTACAACAAAAGGTAAAGAAAAGCTCGATCAGGATGATCCCCCCGCGGTCTCCCAAAACTCGCACGATATTGGCGCGATTACCCAAAATTCGCCCATTCAATCAGCACTTTGGGAATCAGCTTATTTAAATTCACCTTCGTCTTCTGCGAACAGGTTCCCGATCAGTCCCTCTCATCTCCCGCAGCCTCAAAGCGACAACCTTCCCATCTACCCTAACGACGATGGCCTCGCCGTCGATCATGTTGGTAATTGGGTGAACGCGTCCTTCCCCTCCCCTGTTCACTGTTCGACATTCATCAAGAAAATCGTGGAGCCCTTCAAGAAATTGACGAGCTGTATGCGACCTCCCAACTCCTCACGTCACACGCCAGCTCATGAGGCCCCAATGGATGGGATGGATTATGTGTGAAAGTAGAAGCCTATATGTGAAAGTAGAAGCCGTCAACAGAATGACTAGACTCATGACTGTCCGTCGTTGTCCAGCTGTCACTCCTAAAAAATCTGTATCACTCACACCTAACAATCCGAAATTATGCTGTCGAAGTTGGGAATTCGATGTTTCCCACAGCTTTGCGCCCGCCCACACCTCCCCTTCTTGTCCCTCGGCCCTAGAGAGCCCATTCAGCTTGGATCTGTGGCATTGAACGCGCATTAGTTCCTCATTGGAAGACATTGAAGGTGATGTTGTTTTTGGCTGCATTTTGTGTGCCATTTGAAGGACACCCAGATTCCTTCTTTTTCGCTCTCTGGAGCACCGCTGGAGCAAGAAGGAACGAGGCATAGTCGAAGGAGAAACGAGGCGTCAAAAAAGAAGCTGCCCACTAGGGCTACTCTTGCTCTCTGCAGCCTTGTCAAAGCTGTGATTCTGGCGAACATGAGATCTGCGACGATACAACTCAACTCACCAGGCTCAAGAACTTGTAAGGCCAACACCCACGATCTAGCCTTGGGAAAGGGCACTGATGCAGCAACAGCTGCATCCCCAGTGTATCTCCTTAAACTGGTAGGCCATCCCGAGGTGATCAGCGATTTCGTGAGTGTGCCCTCGTGCTCCCCAAGCTCCTCCTTTGCTGGGGCCTGTCCTAGGGTGTGCCTCGCTACTTTGCCCACTCGCACAGGGACCCCTTCTCTGTTGCATTTTCTCCTGTGCCAGTGGAATGCCTTTGCGACGTCAGAGAACCTTGACAAAGCTGACACCGAAATCCTCTCCTGTGTTGAGAGCTGTCAACGCTCCATCGATTGCTTCCTGTCTCTCCTTGGACTTGGAGCTTGTTCCGAGTGATTTCGGTGAGAGACTGGCGCTCTTTGGGAGGTATTGGTGATGATTGAAGAGAGTCATGATGGTATGAAGCTGCGGCACAGACGGGTGACGCCGTCCAGAATGAGCGTCCGCGGAGCGCAAAAACGCCCAAATGTGACCTCTTTCGCGCCCTGACTGCAAAAAATTGGGTCATAGGACAGCTACGCCACCGCGTCGTTTTTTCCCTCCGCTCTTTAAGGGGTGCATTGACCTACCCACGCCCCCTGTAAAGCTGCAGAAAATCATGCTTGCAAGGATGGCGTAGTGGAATGCTGAGGTCATCAAAACACATGCCAAAAACATTCGCGGGGCAAAGAGGGACGGTAGGATACGCTCATACCGCCGTCCTCGAATCGAGGCCTGCCTTTGCTGTCGTTTCCCCCTTCTCCCGGTCTGTTCAGCAGGGACAAATTTGAAAGGTGCGTTATGCGAATTCCATGCTACGAGCCACATCAGCATTCAGGATGTTGATTTCGTTGACGCACTACTTGACCAATCGGGGCGCAGGTCACATTGTGCGCCTGTCGAGCTCAGAGCCTTTGGAGAGCCGTGATACTCTACGCCCACTTTGGGTGAAGCTGACCGAAGGCGGCCGGTATGAGCAGCAGCAGCTAGGACAACTGAGATTGGCCTTGTTTGTCTCTTTCCGTCAGAGAGCCGAACCGAATGAGCCCGTGATGGGGCTTTCTTCAAGTATCCTGTGTTGTTGTCACCTCACTGTTTTGAGGAGCGTAAGGCGGTGATGGGAATTTTGTCGAGATAAGTGCATAGGCTCTTGCCACTGAGCTTGCCCGAGAATCAATAAGACCTATTCTCTGCTGTGCTACATGGGTGGCTCTGTTGGCTATATAAGCGCGCGATTCTACTTGCAAGATGCCCTCTCATCCCAATTCACCCTCGTCCTCCTTTGAGCCCAACTTTCTTTCTTCCTCTAGCAGAGAACGTATCTTTTTGAACTCGCCGGCCGACTTCAATTCTCGAGGATGAAATCACGAAATGCCTTTCTTGCCTGCCTCAGCCTGGCGCTGGGAGCAGCTTTTCTGGCTTTAACTTTGGCCGCGCCCGTCGAGATTCCTAGGACTGCCTCGTACGACGGAGGAGCCAGCTTACCCACCAGCAACCTTGCCAAGGATGCCCAACACGCCTCAAGCGTGTCTGAAGAACTCATGATAGCAGACGAGGATGTGCTGTTATCCCGAGCCGTCGTGGCAGACTTCGTTGGAAAGAGAGAGCAGCGCCAGTCGACTGAGACTCTTGTAGAGAGTATGTTATGTCCACGTATTCCTCTGGCCTTGTGCGAAATTTGCTGATGTTCTTCTCCAAATTCAGGGTCTGAAGCCGAGGACACGCTTTCTTCTTGCGCCAAGAAGCATAACGAAGAGTGTCAGCAAGACATGAAGCAAGGTGAGAATACCTATCATTTGTTATGTCATATCTCGTTGGAACTTACACACGATTTCTTTCTGCGGGAATTTGCAGGTAATGGCTTGAAGCCAAGCAAACAGATTGCAGACGGGGTCGTCTTTCAGCGCCGAATGGACCAAAAGGGGCAGAAGTACGATCATAATCAGGGCTTCAAGCTCTCGCCTTACGCGGAAGAACGCCATACGGGAACTGAGCTGACGCTCACGAATGATGGCCCGTCCGACGAGCTTTGGGAAGAACACAGTCAACCCACTTCTCCCACTCATCGTCCGCCTTCTTCACCTCATGTCCGCCACGTCACATTCGCAGACAAAGAACCTTCCAAATATTCCCCACCTCATTCCCCGACTTCCTCACCTCATCCCCCGATTTCATCTCATTCCTCGACTTCCCCACCTAATTCCCCGACTTCCCCACCTCATTTCCCAACTTTACCAATTCATACCCAGGCTTTCCCACCTCATGTCCTGGACTCCCCACCTCATTCCCCGACATTCCAACCTCATTTCCCGACTTTCCCACCTGATTCCCCGACTTTCCCAGGAAAATCTCTGCCACCTCCTCCTGGATTCACCGGGTTGGATGAAAAGGCTAAAAAGGCTGCGACCGTCTCTCCGGGACGTCATCCACCTACTCGAAATCATCCTCAGCAGTCTTCACCCACTTTTCTCGCACCTCCTGAGCCCGTTCACATGTCCGCACACAGCGTGCCCGTTTCAGAACTTCCGAGATATGGTGCTTCTGCCCCTCCTACGCCCGCCAAGTCTGACTACACATCATCTGAATTTTGGCACCCCAGGCCTTCCCTTATTGACTGTTCGAACCTTATCCAGAACGTCAAGAAGCCCTTCATAGGACTGGCGAACTGTATTCAAGCTCCCGGCCTCTCGGGTATCTCACAGGCTCATGAAACCTCCCCAGATGATAGCGATGGGAATGTCTAGGCTCATGACAGTTTGTCGTTGTGTTGCTAACAGTCCTGATTCAATAAGAGATTTACTTTGTTTAAATGGCGTGCGACTTACTCCTCAGGCTACTCTTACCCTGTCTGTAGTCATGTTTACGGAGCGCGTTCAGGGAAACTCAGCTGCATCTGTAGGATCAAAAAAAAAAAAAAACACCAGGAGACTGAGCGTTCAGGGGCGGCTTGTGGCGCTGACATGTCATTGAGAGCACTGCCAAAGAGACATAGCCGAGAACCTGCGGCCCGGCTTTTTTTTCCTACGCCGCCCGTCCTTCTTGATGATTTTGCCCATGTAAACACGTCTTCTCCTGCGCTGTTCTTGTATGTGGTGCTTTGCAGCCTCTTTACTGCCTTTACGCTGTCTTTACTCCATCGCCTGACGTCACTCCTTTCGCCCTCCTGCTTTGTAGCCCCTTCTCTGCCTCCTTTGCAAATATTTCTCCACTCGCCCCGCAGCCTTCACCGCCTCTTCTTGTTTTGTCTCTCCGCGATTTCCAATCCTCTTGCTGCGTTTGCAGAGTGTGTTTACTGTTTTCGTTGCACACCCTTCAGAGCTATTTTGATGCCGATGAGCTGTGCTGTGGTCATAGCCTCACCTTTGACCGAAGACCTCCTGAAGCCCCAAGCTGAATAGGTCCGAGATGGCCCCGGCGATGCACCGCCCACGTCTCAGCTGGTAAGGAAGGTAAGGGTCTCTCAAAGGTATAAGAAGAGGGGTACTTAGCTCATTCACCTACACATGTCACCCACCCCATCCTTACCATTTCCCACTTCTATCACTTTCCAGTCTTATCTTCTCAGCGAGAAAGAAGTTATCAAGATGCTGCCTCTCCACCTTTCGGTTAGCCTGGTGCTGACTACGACTTTGCTGGCCATCGTCGCCATTGCAGCTCCAGCCCCTCTCGGCGAACTGCACGCAAGCTCTTCTGTCATCGACGGCCTCCAGGTTCGTTCGTCTAGCCCCCTCACGATCAACAATGATATGAATCAGGTTCGTTCCTTCGCCGCTCATGGCAAGGCTGGCGCCATTGCTAGGTCCTTAAAGGAGTCGCAAGCTAACACCGTCGATTTCCAGCCCCAGGAGGGCGTATTCACTAAGCGCCATGAGGCCGACGCTGGGCATGAAAAGCGTGACGAAGACGACGAAAACGAGCACAATAACAAGATCGACGTTGATTCGTCGGTGGTGAACGAGCATGTCCTCACAAAGCGTGAGAAAACGACCCCTCAAAGTTGCAAACGTCAATGCACAAAGGAGGACCTCGAAAAATGGTGCAAGTCCCATAAAGCAACATCAAACCGCGATTTGAAGGGTGAGTGAAGCGCCGGGGCCCCTCTGACTCCGCGCTCCGACGTTTCAACCTCTTTGCTTTCGAGCATGAAACTCTCCTTCCTTTGCCGCCCTTCCACTCCTCTATCAATCGTCTTTTGCATTACGAGACCACAGTCGCATCCCTCCTCCCCTTTTCAAACACACACTCCTTGGCTTTTCCTCCACTCTTCCTTCTTTCTCACCTCGGTCAAACACGAAACAACTCGCCTTCGCTTCTTTAAATGCGGTCCTCCGTGCCTCCCATGAGTATGGACTGGCTGACCGACCCTGACTTATCCTTTCACCCAGTGCGGGGACGTGGACGAAGCTGGCTTCAACGTCGAACGGTTGCGCATTTTAACAAGCCAAGCGGTGAGTCTCCCTATTTCATCATTATCTCCTTTTTATTTCGTTTTCTCTTTTGGATCGAGGTTCTCTTGCCCGATTTCTTCTCTTTCCTGGGGACCAAGAGGGAGAAAGCTTCAGACAGGCCCTGACTGCGGTCTCCTTTAGTCGAGGACGAGCGAGCTAGCCTTCTCCCCCGCTCGTACGAGGGAGGGCAGGCTGCGACGAGCACAACCGCTCCGGACGTCATGTCGATGACCACGGGATCTCCCTCAAGTGCGAATGCGAATACGGGAGGAAACGAGGCCAACGTGGGCTGCTGGTCTCATGAAAGCTCATACTGTGGGGTGTCCTGCAAAGGCGCGACCCGCTGCTGCTGTTGCACATTTGGTGGCTCCTTTGCAAAATGCTGTGTGGAGATGGCTATCAGCATCGCGATAGAAAATTGTCTTCGCTGTTGTTGAGACCATTTCCCCCGTAGAGGGTCAATATTTTGTCCACTTCTCCATCTTCAAACATATTACAGCGCTTTCATGGCATGACCCATTCTTTTTCTACCGTCTTCGTCCCTCTTCTCCGCCCCGTGTCGTGGTTTCCTTTGAGAACATTACTTGTGCAGATCTAACAGGCGGGCAAACCAGAGACACACGACCAGGACAGTAGCTCCGACCGTCGTGTTACAGAGGGAGGCGAGAAGGGAAGTGGAATAGGACTGCAAGAGAACGTTGGATCGGACCGACATTCTGTTCCACCTTGTTACCCAGGCATGCCAAAGGCGCCGCCAACATTTGAAACAATGTTCCGGCACGAGAACGGGCAGGTGAATCAGCAGGAGAGTCAGGACACTTTAGACTGCACTTGCGGTGAATGTTGCTGCATAACGTTGCTGTTCTGCGGTTCTACCATATGTCGCTGGTGCCGAGACAATACTTGCTCTCTTGGCTGATCTGCTCGCATGTCGCTCCTGTCTCATTTCCCTCTTCTCTTCGTCCTCATTGTCCGTTGGGCTGCTCTAGTCCCATTGCTCCCCTCTTTGCAAGTATCGCTCCACGCCTGGATCGACAGCTTCCTCGATTCACTGTCTGCCATGACCTTAGGCTGTCCTCTCGTGTTTGCTATCAGCTTGCTTGAATGTTCATTACTAATTCCTTGTTTCCTCCCTTCGACCGACACAGGAGAAGATGATCAGGGAGAAAGCAGCGAAGGAAAGGGCAGACAAGCTGCGACTGGAGCGAGGTGGAGCTCCCTCACTCCGCCACCGAAGATCGAATTGGATTTCTTATACAACGAGAAAAATGCCCAAGAGACGGCGGCTATGCTCCTCCGCACTCTGACCTCGGAACGCGAACGCAAAGAAGCCAAGCTCGATTCTCCGATCGAAAGCCCCGATTTCTCTAAATTCAAGTACGCGGAATCAGCCTGGGCGAAACTCGAAACGCAGCGTTCGCTTTCGCCCAAGTGTTGCAGCCCAGCCGAATTCTACGACTCAGTCATGAAAGCCCTTCGGGAATTCTTACGCATAACCGACCCTAGCAAACCCAGCGAGGGCAGCAAGCCCGGCGAGGTCGGCGAGGTCGGCGAGGGCGTCGAGGGCGGCGAGGGCGGCGAGGTCGGCGAGAGCAGCGATCACAAGTCCGAGGAAATTGTGCTGATGGAAGAAACAGTCTGACAGCTACTGTGATCCAAGCGAAGTTGCCAGATGGCCCATTCTTCTTAGATATCGTTCCTCTCTCTATTCTCCCCCCTCTCCTCTTGTTCTACACCTTTCACACAAAAGTCCCTCTCCTCAACATTTCAGAAAAAAAAAGACTCTCTCCCCCATCTGAAATCTATTCTCTTGTCGATGATGACTTCTCGACTACACGGATACATCGATCGAATCCACAGCTGGCTATCCGGTCGCCGTGCTCATCGAGCACGACGACGTCCTTGATGATGGTGTTGCCGCCCCTGCTCCAGCTCGTCGTTCTCCTGAGCTGCTCGTCTTCGCCGCCACCGCCGTCTCGGCCGTCACGGCCAGACAGTAGCGTGCCCAGCGTGGCGCGTTGGTGCGCCTCGGCGGCTGCTCCGTGGGCGGGGATACATGCTCGGACCTTTCCTGCCATGTCGACTAGCCTCAGCAGGCCATCCTCGCCCGTGAGCCAGGCACCCGTTCCGTCCTTGAGCCACGCGTGGCGGTTGGTTGCAAAGCCACTCGATGCGACGCCCGTCCATAGCGTCGCGGTTCTCTTCGACGAGAGCACCGGGAGGAGCAGGATCCTCGAGAGAGAGGACGAGGCGGGGGCATAGCCCGTCGTGGGGATGCTGTGGTCGCCCGTCTGTATGCCAATGTGCGTGCCGAGCGGGTGCAAGGTGAGAAAGAGGAGCGAGTAGCTCACGTGCAGATCTTCGGCCGTGAGGTTCGTGTTGAAGCTCACCACCTCCCAGGCCGGCGTCACCGTGAAAGGGGAGGCGACGGACATGTGTGCCAGCCTCTTGCCCGTCTCGTCTACCCTCGTTTCTACGTCGTTTGCCCTCGCCTGGGCCTCATCGGTGTCGGCGTCGGCATCGAGGGGCAGGGCGAGGTAGTGGACGAAGGAGTCGCTCCTCATCGTGTATACAAGCCAAGTCCTCTGACGTGGTACTTCGAGCAGCGAGGGAGAGGCATTGTCGGATGAAGGCGCTGATTCACCCCGCTCACCGAGGACGCGATCTTTGCTCCTGACGCCGACATCGTCCACAGCCGGAGCAAGGGGAGCCCTGACAAAGACGAGTGCCTCGGGGTTGTTTCTCGTCTCGACCGTGTGCACCAGCTCGTATCGCGGCTCGATCAGAGGGACCTCGACCGTGTCCTCGTCCTCGGCCTGCCTCTGTGCCATCGCTCTCCGGTACACTCTGACGGTCTTGTCGTAGCTGCACGTGGCCAGGTATTGTCCCTTGGGCGAGTAGGCGCACCGCACGACAAACTTGGTGTGATGGCTGAGCGTCTGGACGGTTCTGCGGTGCAGGAGATCCCAGATGATGACTTTGGCGTCCATGCCGCAGCTGACGAGCTCTCTCTGTTCTATGGGGTGTTGTGCGGTGCAGAGCACGGCAGCACTGTGGCCAGCTGCTGCATTTCCACCACCATCCGCGCCAGGTGCAGCAGCAGCAGCAGCAGCGGACGGTGCCGGCTCGAGCACCTCGACCATCTCGCCGGACTCGGGCTCCGAAAAGACGACTGTCTTGTCTGCTGCCGTCGAGCAGAGCAGCTTGCGGCTTTGCGTCACGTACTCTGCCTGCGTGGTCGAAAAGGAGCGTGTAGGCAGCGTGACCACGCTGAGGGAGAGAATGTTGGACGCGTGCAAGCTGGCATGCGTCTTGACGAGCGAGTACGGCAGCGTGGCCGGGCCGGGCAGGACGAGCTCGGTGGGCGACGGGAGCGGTGCGGCGCTGAGCTGGCCTCTCCCATGCCGCTTCTTCTCCTCCGCCAGTGCATTCTGCTTGCGCTGCGCAATGTGTGCCTCGACGAGATTGCGCAGGTCGATGCTGGCCGGCGATGCTGACGGCCACGTCCACCCGGCGACCTGCTGCGCCTCTCGCGTGAATGCCTCGAGCGCCGTCGTGTACCCTTCCTCGTGCAGGAAGCGAGCGATGGCGGCCAGCGCCATGGAATGCGCATCGACGACGACATCGCCGCCACTACCGCCATCGCCCCCGCTGTCGTCTCTGCTGCCGTTCGCCACCATTGTCTTCCCGGGCCTAAATCGAGAGTGCACCTAGAGAGGAAGATGCAGGGATATGAAAAGGGGAAGTGGTTCAAGAAAATAAAAATCGACGTCCGTGCGAGCAAGTAATCTCTCTCTTCCTTGCACCGTGCGTGGTCTCTCGTCGTCCCCTTTGCTACAAACTGAGGGAGACAAGCTTTCACGCACTTCGCAATGCAGAAAGAGACCAGGTCACGGAGAGCTCAGCTCGTGCGAAGTCTCGGCACTTCTCGATGCTACATGGGCAGCAATGATCTTCAGAGGCAGGTGCGGCGAATTGCAAAGCAGATGTGGTTCCAACAGGAGGCAGATGCAAGTCATTATACACAGATGAGAGACAGCACGCAGGGAGAAGAATCGACGGGCGCTAGTCCGACTGAGGCGAAAAGTGCTTCGGAATGACTTGCTCGTAGACGTGCTTGTCGGCATCGCCAAAGACGCAAAAGACGACGAGCTCCAGCTGCACGGCTAGTCAGTAATGCAGACGTTTTTTTCACAGCTGGTAGAATAATTATCACCTGAGAGCTTTCCTTGTCTGCCAGGTACTCGCCAGTGACCTCGAGGGAGACGTTGGTAGCCTCTTCGATCGGGTAGCCGTACACGCCCGTCGAGATGGAGGGAAACGCCTGGTCACGAGAGAATGTTAGATTGGGCAAACGAGAAAGAAAGGAAAGCAACGACACTTACAATCGTCTTGATGTCGGCCTCTGTCGCCGCTTCAAGGCTTCTCCTGTACGCCGATTGCAGCTTTGACCTGCTCGTACCCGCATTGCTTCTCGAGTCTGTTCCTCGCTGTTAGCACTGAAGAACATAATGTTTATCGACCAGTCACTCACAGATTGGTCTGATCGAAGAAGAGGTAGCAGCAATAATCAGCCCAACATTCCCGCTCTTGGTCAACTCGCTCTCTCGCTCTCACCCAACCGTGTGGACGACATGCTTGGCAGGCAGCTTGTAGCCCTTTGTCACCTTTGCATCGCCCGTCTTACAGCCCTGAGCAGGAGAGCGAGTACGGTGAGCTCATCGACTGTCACGATCTGATAAAGATCTGTGACGTCCTTCTCACATTGAGTGTTCTGCATTCTTTGACGAGCTCTGGCCCGGCGGCCCGATGGATGGCGCCGTCAACTTACCGCCATAGATTGGTGTTCGTCAGCCTCGCTCTATCCTTCTTTTCTTCTCCAGCTTCTGGCTCGGTTCTCACCTCCACCGCCCCCTAGCAAGGATTCGTTGGCCGCATTGACGATTCCGTCGACCTCGACTGTTCATACAAGACAAGGTGCACCATTTTCAGTTCGTCTGACTTTGACTCTCCGTCTCTTACACACTCACGTTTCGTAATGTCGCTGTGCCCCAGCACCGTCAGAACGGGTCTGGCAAATACACTGGTCAAAGGAAGACTCACCCTTGCCAGAGAGCAACGCGGTTCGAGAGGTGCGAGTAGGCCGGAAGCGACGAGGACGAGGGCGCAGCTGGCTTGAGGGCGCCTGATTTAAACAGCTGGGCCACCGTTGGAATCTTGGATACGCCCACCTTGGACATGATTGCTGCTGGCGCGGGGAAAGAGCGCCAACGGGTGGGGTGCGACTTGAATAGGAACTGATACAACGAAGACGAGGTGCCGTTGGCTTATGTACAGAGGGGATCGTCGAGCTGCTTCACCTGTCGTCGATCGGCAATTCGCTCCAGGTAGGTGGGCCACAAAAACCTCTGACTCTAAACCTTCTTGACGCCATCATTGTGGAGGCGGGCACGGACGTCACGTGCGATTCAGTTTACCGGTCCCAACTATCGTACCTGTGAAGCGCCGTGATGATAGGAGAGCAAGAGAAAGGAAGAGGGCGCTGGGACCAAGGACCACCATCTCCTTTGATGCTCGCTTGACTAATCTTGAGCCTCGCTCCCTCTGACATGCCTCTGCGCGAGGGCGCGAATTCACTGGTCTGAACTTTTCTTGCTCCCATCCTTAATGCCAGTGAGAGAGTTTTGTCCGAATCGACAGGAGGTTCGGCCTCATGCACAGATAGAAGAAAAGAGGTTTCCGCATATGAGGACACAGTGATGATTGAGAAAGGTACGAGAAGGGAGGAGAGTGAAGCGGTGCGTGAGGCTGGAGGACGGTCGCGTCACGTGAACCAAGCCAGAAGTCAACACCAGTGCGAAAGAGCTTGATTTTTGGAGACGCGAAGAAAGAAGCAACGACAACAAGGACCGGGCGCCTTTGAAAGAGAGGGGTGTCCAATGTTCTCAACGCCAAATGCCTCACGGGGCCTGCCACGGACCAGGAGGACAGTGGGGTCGGCGAGATCGTCCAGGGCAGGCACGCCGGTCAGCCAAGGGGCCGGGCAAGGCGATGCTGCCACGCCCTTTGCGCTGGGCAGCACGAGCCGCACGCCGAGGCGAGGCGGCTTGAGAGGCCCACCGAGGCTGGCATCACCCGCGGTTCTGCCGGCTGAGGACGAGGCGGATGTCGATGATGCTGTAATGGCAGTGTCTCTCACTAGTATGGGAGGTGGCGCCAAGTGGAACCAAGCCCCGGCGCTGGAAGAGGGCGCCATTCTGGCAAAGGACGACGTCAGCGCCATCTCGGTCTTCTCGAGGCTGCCGCTCGAGGTCGCCGCTAGCCTTCAACACACAGACCCATACTCGCACTTTTCAAGGGCAGAGCTGGACACCCAGACGGGCTTTGCCCACCTCGTCACCCATGACAAGTGCTTCGTCTGGAGCTTTGTCAGTCGCGGATTCGACTATCCGACATGCTACAGCTTCACTATCCCTTCGTCGTCTTCGAACTCGACTTCGTCCTCTTCAACCAGCATCACGCCGGTTGGGGCGGCGTTCTCCGCTCTGGTGCCTCGATCGAGCGATCGCGAGCCTGGACTTATTCTTGTGTCTGCCGCAGGCGACTTTCGATTCTGGGAGAGCGTCGCTTCGCTGACGGCAGCAGCCGATCGTGCCAACCAGCTGAGCGTCCCTCTCGGTTCCGGCGAGACAGTGACGGCGCTTCGCCGCTGTCAGGTGGGTGAATCTCTTCTCAGAACCCACTTTACATATATAAAAAGACTGAGTTTTGGCGAACAGACGACGAGCTATGTGATCGCCACGAGCCACTCGAGGCTGTTTCACGTCCACCTCTCTGCTCAGCAGGGCCGCATGCAACCGCACGTCTCCGCCTTCGCTCAGCCGCGTGGGATCTTTGGAAGGCTCTTTGGCGCAGCGGCCAGCTTCGCCTCTTCCGAGGGAGGCATCGTCGCGCTCGACTCGTGCTCCTCGCAAGATGGCTTCGCTCACGTTTTTGCGGCAGGAAAGAACCTCTTGCAGAAGTGGAGCCTCGTGGAAGGGCCCGCTGAAAAGCTCGTCATCGAACAGGACATACGGCCGCTCATTGCCAATGCTGTTTCCGAGGGAGGCGCAGCCACCGTGGACTGGGCAAAGATCGAATGCAGGGACGTGGCCGCCACGAAAGAGGGCGATGTCGCCATACTCTATTCGCTCCGCTCCCCTTCCTCGTCAGACGACTCCCATGGGCTGGGCATTGCCCGCGTCTCGGTGCCTTCATCTGCGTCTTCCTTTGTCGTCGAGAGAGCTTATCCGCTCCACCATCGCTACTTGCCCCAGTCCTCGTCTCTCGTCGCAGGGCCACGGCTAGCGCTCCCCAACGGTGGATCTGTGGCATTTGTTCTTCTGCCCGATGCCATCATCACTCGCGTCCTTGACGACAACGACAGTCTATTCGAAGACTCCATTGGACTCAAGGATGCGCCCGGTGTCCGCATCGTCGGGTTTGGCATAGAAGGACCCGAGATCGAAGCAGCCACGGGCATTGCCGCCATGTCGCTCATGACCCCATCCACAGGCACCCTTCTCCTCGAGCTGGATCCTGAAGCCGTCTCGACGATATCCGCCAGCCTGGCATCACCGTCAGAGCGCAGCGTCGTGCAAACGGCCAGACTCAGGGCAAAGGTCGAGCAAGCCGTCTTTCATGGCGATGACGCTCGGAACCCGATTGCATTCAAGCTGGACCCCGAGACTAAGGGCGATCTCATCGCCGCTACGGAACAACTCAGCAGCGAGATTGTCCTCGCGTCGTTGGAAAGCCTAGACTCCATCGTTGATATCAAATCGCAGCTCGCTACACGGCTCTACAGGCTGCAAGCTTTGATTAAGTTTGTGGGCGAGAATGGGGCTTTGGGAAAACTCTCGCATACCTGCCGAAGGCGATTGTGCTCTGATGCGGAGCTCGTTGCGGCCGCCGTTGAGCTGTGGCAGTACCAAAACGACCTGCTCCGCGACAGTACACGACAGCTTCGGACGATGAACCCACTGGCGAAATCCATCGAGGCCGTCATGGGCCGGCTCGGCGGGCTTGGAGAGGACGCTGTTCGATTGTTCTTGCGTAACGCTCTCAGCTACCTGAATGATGTGTTTGGACAGCTCTTGGTGGAAGTCCGCGCCTCGGCGTCTTCTGGCCTTGAAACACAGTCCAGTGTCATCGAAGAAGCCAATCGAGCCGTCTTGGCTGCATTCGACGCCGCACTGCTCTATCGATCTGAGAACGCCAACCTCTACCGCCTCGAGGGAGAGCAGACGGCCCTCGAGACATGGACATGCCAGCCGATCGACGTTGAGCTCGCCAGCTCGCTGTACGAATGGACTGAAAAGCTCATAAAGGAGCGGACGCGAAGGCTGGGCAACGACATCGATGCTGCGCTGAGAGAATTTGTCGTAGACGTCGATGACCCAGTCAGCGTGCAGCAGCGACAGCAACGAGAGCTCAAGGGCCAGCTGTGCGAGCTGGCATCTGTCGGCCTGTCGATCTACCAAGAGCGCCTTGGCTACCTCACCGCAGCTTCTGCCGCTGGCAACGCCTCCTTCGACCGCGAGAGGTCGGCCTTTGAGACTGCCTTCCATCAGGCACGCTCCTCGATGATCCTGCCGCTCGTTTCCATCGGGCGGCAAGAACGCGCGTTCAATCTGGCCGAAAAGCACCGCGACTTCCGAACCTTGACAGAGCTTTGCAACTTGCCCGAAGCCTTTTCACAGACCCGCATCAACCACTACCTGCACAAATACAGGCACGCGTTTGCCTTTGAGCTCTATCGATGGTACTTGGAGAAGAACAAGGCGAGAATGTTGCTGGAGCAAGACGAGACGTTTGGCGACCTGCTGCTGGACTTTCTCGATGCAACGCACCACCCACGCGTCTCATGGCTGCATGACCTGGCTCTCTCGCGGTATCAATCGGCCTCCAAGACGTTGCTCGAGGAGGCTGACGGCGAGACGAGGCTGGGCTCGAAGAAGCTCATGCTCAGCCTCGGCAAGTTGGCCTACGTTGCTGAGCTCGACGAGGACCAGATTGCAACCAAGAAACAGCAGCAGCAGATCGAAGTCATCGACGATCAGCTCGACTTGGCCAATGTCCACGCCAGACTCAAGGAGCTGTTCGTCGGCGTCGCAAAGGAGAACAGGTTGTCTGGCGGCGGGGGAGAGCAGGATGTAGCGGAGAGCGTGAGCGAATTGCTGGCGCCGACACTGGGTCCGGCATATAGTCTCGTCTTTGCAGGGCTGGCGCGGAAGCTCATGGCCGATCTCGTCCTTTCGTCGGAGGATCTCATCGATCTCCTGACGCTCAAGCAGCCTGCTCATTCCTCGTCTGGTGGCGAAGCCGAAGACGAAACGGAAGGCGTTGCGATGGACTTTACCGACTACACGACCTCACTCGAGGTCTACATCCGGTCCAAAGACGTGCCGCCACAGCGGCTGGAAAAGGCGTCGCTGCCCTCGCTCTGGCGCCGCGTGATCCTGCACGACGACTGGGCAGAGGTGCTGGATACAGCAGGCGCAAGCGACGAAGAGGTCAATGCGCGCATCGAGTCGAGCGCGCTGTTTGCCGTCGTCAGGGCCGCCCTGGCCGCGCAGCAAGACGGCGGCGGCGAGGGCACCATCGCTGATCTTGTTCCAGACTCTGTCGAGGCTTGTCTCCAAGCGCCGGACCTGGAGCTGCTCCAAGCACGCTTTGCGGGAGAGGCCACCGAGAGGATCGAGGAGCTCCACGCTGAAATCGAGACCGAGGTGGAGACGTTGAGAGAAATGGCAAGGACAGCAAGGCTCGACCGATGGTGGGAGGAGATCCTGAGGCTAGCACAGGTCAGCGTTGATGTGGAGACGGCCGCAGATGCAGATACCGTGGAGAGCCCGACAGCGCCGCCATCTATGCACGACAATGATCTTGGCGAAGTCACAGAAGAGGACATGGACATGTAGACGGATGACATGGTGTAAAAATGCTATTCATTCCTTTTTTGACTCTTTTCACTTCACCAGCGTGACTACCCCCTTCTGTCTCAATGTATTGCACAAATAAGGAGCAGGATAGAGCCCTCTTTGCTTTTGAATTGTGCCTGCCGGTGGCGACACTGGCTCGCGCGCCATCAACGAGCCTTGACCTGCTTGCCCTGGGCCTTTCTCATCTGCCGCTTCTTCTCCACCTGCTTCCTCTTCTCCTGCTCGGCCGGGCTGAGCTTGTCAAACTTTTCCTGCTCTGCCTTCTTCTTGGCAGCCTGGCGCGCCTCTTCCTGCTCCTCTCGGTCGTACTTGGACGCCTCTTCCTCAATGTCCTTGTCGACCTGCGCACGTGTCGCGCGCAGCTTCGAAACAGTGCTGGCCGACAGCTTGGCGTGGCCGAGCTCGAGGGCGTCGACGAGGTTGCAGGCAGACTCGACGAGAGCGAGCGAGTCCTTGGCCTGGGCGTGGCTCCGGGGCACCCGAAGCGTCAGCGTCAGCGTTCGCGCACGCTCGGCGACGGGCACGGGTCTGTGCATTGGCCTGTGTGTCAGATGGACAAGTAGGCATAGGCAGCTCATGGACACGAGGACTCACCCGACTTCAGGCCGAGCCTTTGGCTGGTCGCTCAGGACGAGGCTCTCGAGAAGATGGCCGCCGTCGCCGTTGAGGGCGGCCTGGAGCCCCACTTTGTGTCGCTGGTTGGCGCCCCGGTCCCCAATCTCACCCAGGAGTGCGTCTGTCAGCTCGCCGTTCTCGCTCATGATGGCGAAGCGATTGTCGAGGCTTCGCTGCTCGGCCGCATTTTCGGCGTCAATGACCTTGGCAAACGTCAGATCAAAGCGGCCCTTGCGCGTCGCGCGAAGCACACTCTTGTCGACGAGGGCAAAGACACCGCCCACGTTGTCCGGATTGAGGTAGGGCAGCATGAACGTCAGTGTGATGACGTCCCGCGAAGAGGCCACGGGGCTCGCCGTGGCAATGTCCCAGACAAAGTTGTAGAGCAACTCGAGAGGATCGTGGAAAGGCTTGAGCTCGAACAAGACGTGTAGGCTGATTGTGGCGTTGTCAGCATCGTTAATCTTCTTCTGTGAGGTCATTGGCGCGAGACGGCGGCCACATACCCCTCGATGCCTCGCCGACCGCTGGCATAGAGCAGCGCCTGGCTGCCGCCATTCCAGATGAGCTTCCCTTCACCCGAGCCGTCATCGCGCTTGGCGACGGCTGCAAACTCGTCCTCGAGCAGCGGCATGGCAGTCCTGACCCAGGTGGTAACGAGGCTACGATTGCGGGCTTTGCCGGTGAAGTGCAAGAAGAGGTAGAGGAGCGATGCTCCAAGCAGGACGGCCTCCATTCGCCATTCGTCGGGCTTGAAGTGCATCTTCTGGTTCATGACTGTGAACTCGTAGCCCTTGTCTGCTCCAGCCAGTTCGTGGAGGCGCTTGCTGTCGACGTACTTGCTGACGAAGCTGGGCAGCTCAAAGGCTTGTTGCACCACAATCCAATTAGCGCTAGGTCCCCTACCCCGCACAGTGGTAGACGCTTGCTCACCTTGGGCGATGTCAGAAAACATCACTAGCCCCATGGCTGTGACAGCAAGCAGAGCTCTCTGCGATGGAAGTAGATGTCCTCGGAAGGGAGCCATATTGTGCGGTCCTGCAGAGTTGCGGTCCCCGTCGTTGTCGTCGATGTGAAGAGAAGAAACGGCGGAGACCCGGCTTCCCTCTCGCGCCGCTTCTGTGTTAATTCGGTGGGTGGAGCACACGTGGCCGCGCCTGTTATAGAGAAGATGTCGGCGCCGCACAGACCTGAAGGCGCTTTGTCTGCTGCTGCTGCTGCTTCAGCCCTGGTCCAATCCGAGCAAGCAAGGAGTGACGACCGGGAGAGCAAAGGAAGCGGCGGGCAGAATGTCGATGGCGGAAGGCGCACTCCCTTCCAACCTTCCTCCAGACCTCAGCCACTCCATCGCTCGCGTTCTCTCGCAGAGGCAAGCTGGACCTTCCAAAGGCAGCAGCAGCGACGACGACGCGTCGACGTCTGCCTTGGTGGCGCCCTCGTCGCTGGAGCCGCCTTCGCTGACGGCGCAGCTCACCCAGCTGTTCCCCACTGCCGAGTCCATCTCGCCGCTTCAGGTCGAACGAAGGCAAGCCGAGATTCGCCGTGAGCTGGCAGAGCAGGAGCGACGAATCGAAGAGCTCGTTGCAGACCTCTTTCGACGCCAGCAGCAGCAGACACAGACGCCAAATGGTGTTGGCGCTGATGCCGGCCCCAATGGAAGCCTCTCGACGGCCACCGTCGAGGCACGGGTAGAGGTGCTGCTGGATCAGTTGGCTACCATTCGGGAAAAGGCGAGAAAGAGCGAAGAGGTGGTTCGGGAAATCACGCGGGAAATTCGCAACCTCGATACATGCAAGCGAAACGTCGTCGCGAGCATGACAGCCCTCAAGCGGCTGCAGATGCTCGTCAACGCAGTCGCACAGCTCGAGAGGCTCACCAAAGCTTCTCGCTTCCGCGAGGCCGCATCGGCCCTCTCCGCTGTCAAGTCTTTGCAATCTTCCTTCAAGGGCTTCGCAGGCGTCGAGAGAGTGGCCAGCGTTCAGCGAGAAGTCCTAGACCTGCAGCGGGAAGTGGGAGAGAAGGCAAAGACGGAATTTGAGAACCAGTGAGTACAGCACAGCTTGAGCCGCACCTACCATGACGTGTTGCTGATCTATTGCCTTCTAGTTTTACCCAGGACACCGGCCGACCGCTACGCACGACGATGGTACCTGACGCAGCCCTGGTCATAGACGCTCTCGGTGGCGAGGCAAGGACTTCCATCATCGACTTTTACACCAATTTTCAGCTTCGAGAGTACCGCCGCATCTTCCGAGCTACTGACGAGGCTGGCCAGCTCGACAATGTGTCGAGGAGGTTTGCTTGGTTTCGGAGGATCCTAAAGGTCTACGACGACGACCACGCAACAATGTTTGAAGAGGCGCCGATCAAGAGCTGGGGGGTGGCAAAGGAACTCACCCGAAAGTTCACCGAAGTGACGAGGGAGGACCTGCGCAGTGTCTTGATCCGCAGCCAAGGGCGGGTCCAAGTGCCTGTATTGCTCGAAGCCTTACATGCGAGCATAGAGTTCGAGAAGAGCATGAGTCGGCGATTCCAGCTTCCTGTGAGTGACTCTCACGTGTCGCGGAGAGATGTTGTCCATGAGACTCACGATAGGAGCAGTTTGTCGAGATCTCAGGATCGTCGGCACCTTCCAGCTCGACTGCTAGCTCGGCACCACAGACAACGCTCTCATCGGCATTTGACCCTTACCTAACGCTTTTCGTCGAAGCGCAGGACCGGACGCTTCAGGACATGCTCCTGAGCTACCGAAGACAGGGCGCAAAGCTCCAACGGACTTCTTCCGACGAACCAATGGGCAAAGATGGAGGGCACGACACGGTGCTGCCGTCGAGTACCGACCTCTTTTACTTCTATCGACAGGTCATGGAGCAGTGTGCCAACCTCAGTAATCGCGAGCCTTTTAGAGAGCTTTGCTTCGTCTACAAGAAGCATCTGAGGGCCTACGCTGACGAGGTTCTCAAGGCTGCTCTGATGCGATCTGATCCCGCGCCGCGGCGCTCCCTCGACACTAGATCCAACGTCGCAGACTTGCAGCGGAGCTGCTTGATTATCAACACAGCCGACTACTGTGCCAACACATCGAAGCAGCTGGAAGACAAGCTCAAGGAAAAGATTCACCCCGACTTTGTGGAGGGTGTCGATCTGAGCACAGAGCGCGACGTCTTCCTCTCCATCATTGCTGCAGGTGTGCAGACGTTGACTAGGGAGCTAGAACTGTCGCTCGAATCGTCCTTTAACCAGATGATGCGGCCGCCAACTCCCTGGACCCAGCTCGAGAGCGTGACAACCAAGAGCCCGTACGTCGACGACTTTGCCAGCGCGCTCGAGCATGTTGCTGTGGTTGTCAGGCAAGATCTGGAAAGCAAGAGATACGTCAGGAGCTGGTGCGACAAGGTTGTCGGGTGAGTGCAAGCCTCTTCTCCTCTTTTCTCTTCCCTACGTTTTTTTAAGAAGAGGGGTCCTAAATGATGGTTTGACTTTGCAGAGTCGTCTTGGCGAAATTCACCTTCAACATCGTGAAGCTCAAGCCACTGTCAAAGATCATGGCCGAACAGCTCCTGACCGATACGGCCGACATTCGGGTGAGCCTATTGGAGCTACCGCGGTATTCGCTATCCGATGAGGGCAGTGCGACGGCTGCCATGTCGTACAACCGCTACGTTTCAAAGGGCGTGTCAAAGATCGAGACGCTGCTCAGAATGCTCATGACACCAGACTCGCCGCCTGAAGAACTCATCGAAGCGTATATGCGCCTCGTCGGCGATCGGTCCTTCTCCAATTTCCAAAAGATACTCGAGCTGAAAGGGATCCGGAAGGTGGATCAGAATGCCGTCCTGGATTCCTTTATCAGTCAAACGGGCCAGAGGGATGATCTGAGCGATTCGAGTTTCTTGACGAGTCTAGGTGCGACGCTGAATTTCCGTTGCAATCTTTATCATGACTGCTGACTCGTCCCTTTTCGAAACAGACATGGATGTGTCTAGCTCGGCATCGGCAATGCAGACGCCCCAACCATTTTTCTCATTTGCGGGCGAGGGTTCCGGCACACCGACAGGCTCTTCACGCTACGCAAGCCTCACCCTCGGAGGTCTCGGTGGCATCGGCGCAGCATCCAATGCACCATCGACGGGGCCGGCTTCTGTTTCATTAGACTCTCGTCTCAGGAGCCCGCCGCAAAGCGACGTGGGTGCTGGTGCCCAAAAAGCATTCAGTGATCTCAGGAGATTTGGCTCGCTCTTAGTCGGAAGGAGGGACCCGAGCAGCACTAGTAGCGAGCCGAGAAGATAGATTGTCCTGTACTCTTCTGCAGTCATGCCAATTCGTTCCCTTTGGGATGCTTGTCAAATCGGCCGACCACTGTATCGGCCGATGAGCTTCTTTTGCGAGTGGATCAGCGCGCTCCCTCTCTCTAGAGCGTGCATGAATCTCCGGGCTATATTCTCCGAGAAGTCCGTCAAGAAAATATTACTCCGGCTTCACGGAGAAACGCGGAAATTTAAAGGTGCATCTCAGCGGCGTGGTGAGCATGATGAGTGAGCATGCGGACTTCAGTGAGGAGCGCACGTAGTGTGTGCAGGCTTCGATCGATGGGTGGATAAATAGGGAGCAAGTAGCATCCGAAGCGCTATCTGCATCCCCTTCAATCTTGAAACCTCTCAAAAGGAATCCCTTTCAACCTCCCTCAGACGGTCGAAGAAATCAAAGTAGAAAAGATGGCGTCGCAACTTGCAAAGAACAAGGAAACCGTTCGTGTCCTCTTGGAGGTACGTCACTTTTGTTTCTCAATCCACCTGTCATGCTACATGCAGAAACTGACTGTGCTTGGCGGATTAGGCTTGCAACGAGAAACCCTTTGAAGGCTCCAAGATGGCTCGCTACGTCGATGAAGACGTGGTCTCGACCCGTCCGACTGGTATCACGCGCGGCAAAGACAAGTGGATCAGCGGATTCTCCTTTGTGCTCAATGAGAAGATGCCAAACTTTCAGTGGGTCCATGATACGTTGCGAGGCTCTTTGAGGGGGATAGCGATGGCTGATCGATATGAACTTCCGACAAAAGCTACGATATTGTTAATATGGTCGCCGAGGGCCATCAGGTTTGGGTTTTCGGCAAGATCAGGGGCTCCTATGCCGTCGGCAATGATGACGCGGAAGTGCGCGAGAGCATCGATCTGTTCGAGCTTGGAGAAGACGGAAAAGTCAAGGCACATCGAGATGTGCAGCAAAATGCTCCACTCAAGGTACCCGAGCTCTGAGGAAAAAAAAAAGCCGAGGAATGCTTGGGTTTAAAGAGGAGATATGAACAACGACGGTGGTTACCACTCGCTTTATTGTACGCCAGACCCTCGAAGCCCTTGCTCCAGCCTCGTCATGTACTCTGTGAGCCTCTTACACCACACGATGACGAGTTACGGCCAACCTCAGCTCCAACACTGATTGCCAATGCAACGCAAGCCCAACTTCAGACCTACTTGGTCCAAAAGGGTCTCTAACGCGCGTCGACAAGCATCTTATGAAGGAAAAGAAGCGCAGGAGATGGGTGCGGGCGGTTTCCTTGCACCTTCTTCTGTCGAGCATTGTGTCCATCATCAGAAAGCTTGGTCACATGTCGCTGTCGTCATTTTCAATTCGCAAAAGGGAAACGAAAAAACAAGATGAAAAAGTTGGAGAAATAGTGGTCCAGGAGCAGAAGGGCTACGATTTGCCTTCATCCTTCCTTGTCACCAAGGAGTGTACGGTTCATCCTTCCTTGTCACCAGGGAGTGTACGGTAGACAGTCAAGCCAGTGTCGTCAGGAGGGATGAAGCGATTGCTTATAATCAATATGATGTCAGGAGCTCGAGGCGAATCTTGCTGGGCTGCTTCCTCGGGGTACAGCGCTTCCCGATAGCTCGATGGAAAGCCATTTTTAGCTTGTTTGTTGATTTCGAATAGCCTGCGGAGTCTCTCATTCCTGTCCGGGCCATTGTACCCCGGAGTAGTTGTCCACCACCTGTTATGACCGAACTGGATAATCTGGCGGATATTACGCGAACCTCTCGAATATGCAGGATCAAATTCTTCCAGATCGATCCTTCTGTCCTCGAGTGTTCCTATCAGCTGCCTTGCCATGTGCGTATTGAAGGTTTTCCTCCACTCCATAGGCCATTCCGGACAGGCGAGGGGCATATGTAATTCTCCTTGGTCGGTGCTTGTCTTCATTCCTAAGCGCATGGTACCGTGTTGACCTTCGGACGCCCCCTTAAATGCCGCATTTCTTACAGCATCGTCTAGGCTTATGTCCCAACTGCCAATTTGGGCTTCTAGCAGTTCTAGACCAGTGCTGTCTGCTGGAATGCCAGATTTTAAGTACTTTTCTTCCATTTCGCGCTTCCTTTCGTCCCATTCCTGAGCAGCAGCACGATTCCTGGGTCGGCGGGGCCTTGTCATCATGTCTTGCTGATACTGCGACCGCTCTTGGCCAGCGCGACGAGCGTCGCGCATAAAGGTGGGACTCCCACGGGCACGTTCAGGCGAACTTTGTGGGCTCGAGGAGGAGCTCGACAGCACATTTAGCCAAGGTGGAGATGCGTCCGGTGGGTACAACGAACTGCCTGAGCCTTGCTCGTGGTGTGCATTCTCTAAGTTGCTCAGGTATGGCTGGCAGGGTGCATGATATGTGCCGCTCGAGCCGTGTTCGAACCACAGAGGATTGATTGGATACCCTTGCCCAGTCGTCGGATTACATTGAAAATCGCTCACGGGCCTGGCTGGCGAAGCGCTGCCAGCGGGTGCAGCGACATCTGGTTTATGAGGCTCTAAATTCTTGCCAAAGAGCCTGAGGTATTTCTTGGGCTGCTCCGACGGTGAAGCTTCATTTCCCTTTTTCGGCGGAAATTGGAACGTGCGGCTTGGGAGAAGTCCAGCTGCAATGACGAAGAGGAGCCACACGAATCTCATGTGGGCTGTCGCTGTGAATGGGTGCGAAGAAAGAAAGATTTGGTCTAACTACTGCATATAAATACCATGTCTATATCAAGTTAAAAACGCTTGAGACTCTTTGAGCCCCGGCACAGCCTTGTAAAGGGCGTCACGGGTATTTTAGACACTTCTTGCTCTAACTCCACTCCCTTCTCCCCGAAAAACCCATTTGCTCCTCTGTAAACATGGGTCTTTGCCCTCGATAGGTACCGCTTGACACCTGAGCAAATAGGGGCTATTGCAATGTTTTCTGCGACGAAAAAAAAAAAAAAAAAAAAAAGGAGGAAAATACAGGAAAAAGGTCTCGTCGGGTAGGCAGGCGTCGCTCTGCGACGCCTGGCTTACCTATGGAACTTGTACCTCAGGGCGTGCTTGAGGGCGTGCTTGGGCCTGTTTGAGGGTGCGCCATGACACCCTGTGCCTGCTGCACTGTGCAGCAGGCGATGGAGTGCCCGCGGATGTCCGGCACGGCGAAAAGTCCCGAAAACAGACAAGCGGAATAAACACGAGCGCGAGAAATAATCAAAGGCGGCAACAAAGCGGGAGTACCGCTCGCCCCGAGGCCCTGACGAACAACCTGTGGCAGCAGCAGCGGGGATTGGAGTCACCTCAGTACTCAAAACCAGCTTGGGCGAGCTATATTGTCCCTGTTTGAGCTCTTTGCTGATGCCCGACGTCTCAATTGGAAACAAAAAGCTTGGTAACCTTCTTCCTCAACTCCGTCGCCGACTGCGGACACGCCGATGATCCAAGTTTCCAATTTAGTCACACTTCATTATCGTCATTTTCAGTTCGCAAAAGGGAAACGAAGAATAAGAGGGGAAAATTGGAGAAATAGTGGTCCAGGAGCAGACGGGCTACGATTTGCCTTCATCCTTCCTTGTCACCAGGGAGTGTACGGTAGACGATCGCGCCAGTGTTGTCAGGAGGGATGAAGCGATCACTTATAATCAATGTGATGTCGGGAACTCGTGGCGTACCTTGCTGGGCTGCTTCCACGGGGTACAGCATCACTTCGTTCGTATACTTCCGTGGAAAACACTCTTTAGCTTGATTATTGACTTCGAAAAGCTGGCGGAGTTTCTTGTTCCTGTCTTCGCCCCTGTACTCCGGAGTCGTCGTCCACCACTTGGTTTGTGCCTTCTGGGCAATCTGGAGGGCACCGTTCTTCTCTGCCCCCAACTCGGCGTCAAATTGTTTCAGATCCTGGCCTTCCTTCAGGAGTTTTGTTTTGAGCTGATTTGTCATCTCGCGGTTGAAGACAGATCTCCACGCCATAGGCCACAACGGACTCGGGAGGGGCACACGGATCTGTCCTTGGTCGGTCGGTTCCTTCATTCCTAAGCGTATGGTACCGTATTGGCCGCTGGACGCGCTTAAAAATGACGGAGTCCTTTCCCGGTTTCCTTTACTTCCTTTCCATCCATGAATGTCGGCTTCTATCAGCTCCAATTCATAATGATTTGCTCGAATCCCTGATTTCTCGTACTTCACTTCCTGCTCTTGCTTTTTGCTTTTCCGTGTCTGAGCAAGATTCCTGGCTCCAAAGGGCTTTGTCACCATTTCTTGCTGATGTTGTGACCGCTGATGAACAGCGTTACGAGCGTCGCGCATAAAGTTGGAACTCCCAGGTGCACGATCAGGTGAGCTGTGCGAGCTTGAAGAGGAGCTTGACTGTTCTAGCGCAGCGAGGGGACCTTGCACCGGTGGCAATGAGCTGCTTGCGCCTTGCCCGTAGTGTGAGTACCTCAAGCTGCTCGGACTTTGTTCCCAGTATGGATGGTCTATGC